AAGGAAGGGCAACCAGCACTGCACACAGAGCCTGGGAGCGAGGGTAGAAGGAGCTTAAGGGGAGAATCCAGACTGCAGTGGCCTGTGTGACACAATGCGAGAGTACTCTGCCTCAGTGTGCTGCTCTGGAATGTGAGTCTAGGTGGAGTATTTACTGAAGGAGCCTAACACGTGCAGTAGTCTTCATGGGTGCCTACTGAATGGTGGCTGCTGCACGCTCGCCTTTGTCTGTGTTACTGTCACTCTCTCCAGCCCCCCAGAGTCTGGCTTGAGTTTGGCTGAACTGCTCCCTAAGAACAGCCAGGGTGGACTGCAGGGCACACTGGCGCTGGAAGAGCTGCTTTCTCCCATCGGGTGTGTGCTTTGCAGCCTCTGGTCCTGCCCTGCTGTCTTCAGAGCATGGAGATCATGTCACATCCATGAGTCTCAGTCATTCCAACATACCAGGAAACTCCAGTGTCCACTCCTCACCCTCAGGTGGTTCCAGTCTGCTGCCAAAGTTAGACACTGTCTGGAGACAACCCTGTGTATGGTCACTCATTGGAATGGGTCCACTTTTGGTGCTTTTCACCCCACAATGTTCTGGAAAACCAAGGACATAGCTGCTGCTTTGTCTCTTTGATCCTTTGGAAGGTGGTGGTGGTGTTGGGGGTGAGGGGCAGGTAGGGTGTGTGTAGGGAATTTTTCCCTGTGCTAGGGAAACCCAGGTGTCTGCTCTAACTTCTGTAGGGAACCAGTCTTTTACTTTAGCCAAATGCCAGAAATGAAGCCAAGGGAACTCAGTTTCCACGTCACTGTTGCAGCTGCTGAATGCTCCTGAAGTCCCAGGCTGTCCACACCTCTTCCGAGGGGCAGAGCAGTCCTAGAATCTGGGTCAGATAGCCATCACCTGCAAACCCACACACCCCCTGTGTTATACATTTTTTGCTCCAAGCTCCACCAGACTGTAAAGTTTGCCCTTGGCCCTGGCCCATTCTGAAGGTCACTGGAGCCTCTTTGATCCAACCTGGACCACACAGCTGTGTCAGCCTCCTCTCTGCCCACAGGAGGCAAGAGGAGGAGACGGCTGGCATAAGTCAGCACCCATGGAGGAAAGTGTGTGGCAGTTTTCTAGGAGGGAGCTAGGTGCTGTGAATGTGGAGCATACATGGTGGGAACACAGCTGGCTTTTCAGAGTACCAGGGAGCCCCAGCCTGGAGTAGGCCTTTCCCAGGAAGGGAGGCCCTGGTAAGCAGAGACACCAAGGACTGGGAGCTGCAGGCTAAGAGTAGGTGAGTTAGCAAGGACTAGATGTAAGAATTGCTTCGTAAGTAAGAGGCATAGATGTGTCCCCAGAGTTTGGGGCCAGCTAGAGGAAAGGGAAGCCCACAGTGGATGGAGATGGCTACTTGGAACTCCTTGTCAGCCTTGGGGTGGTAGTAGAAGTTGTTCTGCTGCAGAAGAGAAAGCTGGCCTAGAAGATTACATCTCACGCCCCAAATCACACAGGTGTTATGAGTCAGAGCTGGGGTTTGAAACACACCCATTCAGCTCCAGTGCCGCTGGCCTTGCATTTCTCCACAGGCTGGATTCTTGGCTGATCTGGGATGAGGAAGGAGGTGCCTCCAATCCAAGGCCAACCAATTTGTAATTTCCAAAGTGCCCTTCCAATGTGATCTGGTTTGAACCTGTCTTAGTCTGTTCTGGCATCTGTAACAAGATGTCATAAGCCTGGGAGCTTAAACAGCAGACTTTGCTTTTCACCATCCTGATCACACAGGTGATGAGCTCTGCCTTGTTGCCTCAGAAACTTGGTGGCAGTCGTTAACCCGATGTCAGGATGTCAGGTCTGTAATAAGGTTGTGTAATGACAGAACCCAGGAACAGCCCTAGTGAGTGAAACCTGGCCGTCATGCCCCCATTGGCTCTGCTGTGGACATTTCATGGAAAGAATCAGGGAGGGATCCGGTATTGTAATGCAGCAAGCTCAGTTGCCTCCTGCAGCACTGGCATCTCATGTTGGAGCACTGGTTCAAGTCTTGACTGCTCTGCCTCTGATCTAGCTGCCTGCTATTGTGTCTGAGAAGGCAGTAGAAGATGGTTTACATACCAGTTGGAGACCTGAATAGATTCACACTCCTGGCTATGGCCCACACCAACAGATGCAATATCTTCCCACCTCCCAACTCTACTCCTACTTCAAATAAATAAGGAAATCTTCATTTAAAAAATTTAAGTCATATAGCACATGGCTGAGGCAGTCACCAGCAAAGAAAGTTCATCCTGTCCCAGCTCAGGCACTGCCCCTTTTATAAAGAGCTTTTTGTAGCCCAATTTTTTTTTTTAAGAGTAACGTTCTTAATTAAGAATTCTAATTTTAAATTGAGCTCTGACCTCTTTCAGAATTATTTTAGTGCTTTGATTGCATTTCATGAGTAGAAACTAAATTCCTTTGTTATCTGTTATTTCTGCTTTCTTTGAAGATTGGTGACCCGTTGCAAGCTGGTGCTTTATTGAGATCCTAAAGGGCTTTATCCTGCTAGAATATCAATAAAATCTCCATCTTCAAGATGGAGAAGAGCGTGGAAGGTCATAAGATACCCTCATTGCTTAAGTCCATGCTCGCACAGGGATAGGGCTGTGGTTAAATGATGCTCGAACCTCTTTCCCAGTGCATCCTAAGGGAGGAGCAAAGAAGAGTGTCATGTGACTGTGGAATCTGCAGAGTTAGGAGGTTAACAAGGTCGGCTTTCTGGGTAAATGTTGATCTGAAGTCTTCCAGAGCCTGCATACCTAAGTTGAAGGGATAGTGTTCCCTTAGGCCCAGCAACAGGTATATGAGGAGAGCAGCTGCAAACCACAAAGAACAATGTGATTGTGCCTTGGTGGGAGATTGAATTAAACAGTGAACTAGAATGCCTGCAACAAAAAGAAAAAAGTGACAGTGTCTGGTACCACAATGTGTAGTGGATGAAACACCACTTGCAATGCTAACATCCCATGTGGGCACCTGTTCAAGTCCCGGTTGTTCCATTTCTCTTCTAGCTTCCTAGGGAAGCAGCTAAAGATGGTGCAAGTCTTTGGGTCCCTGCACTCACCTGAGAGACCTGAAGAAAGCTCCTGGCCTCAGACTGGCCTAGCTCTACCCTTTGTGGCCATCTGGACAATGAAATAACAGATGGAAGAACTGCGTATCCCTCTCTCTCTGTAACCCAAATAAAAAAAAAAACAAGCAGCCATCTAGAGCCCAACGTGATGGTATAGTGGTTAAGGTCCTCGCCTTGTACGCCCAGGATCCCATATGGGTGCTGGTTCTAATCCCGGCTGCCCCACTTCCCATCCAGCTCCCTGCTTGTGGCCTGCGAAAGCAGCCGAGGACAGCCCAAAGCTTTGGGACGCTGCACCCCCTTCAGAGGCCCGGAAGAGGCTCCTGGCTTCGGATTGGCTCAGCTCCAGCCGTTGCGGCCACTTGGGGAGTGAATCATCGGACGGAAGTTCTTCCTCTCTGTCTCTCCTCTCTGTATATCCGCCTTTCCAATAAAAATAAAATAAATCTTTAAAAAAAAATCTAGAGGAAATCAATACCATGTGTGTTAATGCCCTTTACTATGATTATTTGGAAAGAGTGTCACCCTTTGGCTCTCTCTGTAAATGCCCACAGCACAGGGGTGGGGCCAGGTTGAAGCTGGGAGCCAGGCGTTCAATCCATATCACACATGGAGGACAGGTACCCACATACTCAAGCATCACCTCTGCCTCCCAGGGTACATGTTAGCAGGAAACCTGAATTAGGGATGGAGGCAGAAGTCGAACCCAGGACCTCCAGTGTGGGGTCTGAATGTCCCATCCAACATCTTACCTGTTGGTAGGCCAATTCCACACCCAGTACCACTTTCTAAGACTTGAAATAAGCAAAGCCACTTTTATATGTCCTATGGTTACAAACATGTAGTAAAAAGGACATGAAAGGCAAAAAATGTTAAATCCGAACTCCCGAGAGGGCTGAGCTGTGGTGATGAAAAGCTGACAGATGATCCAGAAGGGACTCACAGGGAACGTTGGTGTTCTCTCTTGTCTTAAAATGTGTGGTGGCATGTGCATTGTATAATATTACATATTTTTGTTTTCCTTTAATTTTTAAACTTTTCGATCTTTTATGTTTAGCTGAAATATTTTATAACTAGTTTCTAAAAGAAAAAAACTTTCCACATCAGTTTCATGAGTAGTTTTAATTTTATGGAATTACAAACCAGGTTGTCCTGAAAAGACAGAAGACATAACAAGTCAATCAACCACCTCAGCCATATGTTGGCAGTGAAAACCAGGGTAAACAGAGACTCTAAGATGGACTATGTCAATCAGTGGATTCTTCAACGACCTCATTGTGCTTGGAGTGGCAAGATTGGCAGCAATTCATAACTACTGAACTATCAAAACCACTTGAGCAAGACCCTCGGAGCATGCCCTACATCCGGGACCTGGGTGGGAAATTGGGTTGGGTTTTTCCCTTAAGTCCCCCTTTATCTCAGATACCTGAAGGAAACAATGTGGAAATAATGGTCTTAAGCACTCTCCTGTAGCCCTTGAACCTTTTTACCAAAAGATTGCCAAAAATATTTTTTTAATGGAAAAAGTTTTTTTTAAAAAGTAAAATATGGTATAATTAAAAAAAAAAAAAGATTGTCCTGAGACTGATTCACCGGACAGTGTGGTGTTCTCTTTCCTCTTGACCCATTGGCTTCATTACGACCGGTGGGAAAATGCAAGACACAAAGCCCCTCATTCAGCTGCTTGTTGGCTTGCTATTTGAGTGACTAATAGAACGTGTAAACTAAAAAATAACATCACATTTTCAGCATTTTGTCATTGGTAATTACATATGCTAGTCATCACAGTTGATGAGACAAACTTGAATTTTGGGCAAATCTGCCAGACCCAAAGGGCAGTGTGTGGGTAACGCTGCAGAACCCCAGTGATTTTATTGCCTTGTCCTGAAATCAGCATTTGCTTTATATTAACAGCATGGCCGGACACCCCTGCACCTTGCTGCCAACAAGGGCCATCTTTCTGTGGTCCAGATCCTGCTGAAGGCTGGCTGTGACCTTGATGTCCAGGATGATGTGAGTAGAAGCTGTCGTTCTATGGAAGGAGGGCTCGGTAGGAAAGTTTGTGTGCCTAGAATCCCAAGGACAAAGAATCAGCAGCCATGGGTGGGAGGGAAGGGTGCTCTCCTAACACTTCTTGGCATTAGTTTGATTGCCATGGTGTCCAGACTGTCTCTGCATGGACCTGTTGTCAGTAACAAATTAGATTCTGAGAATCAAAGTGGTGCTCCCTTCTGATTAATTCCCTGTTATCACTGGGATGCAGTCTTTAAAAAAAAAAGATTTATTTATTCAAAAGGCAGAGTTAAAACAAGAAAGAGAGATAAAGGTCTTCCTTCCATTGAGTCACTCCCCAAATGGCAATGATGAGCTCATCTGAAGCCTGGAACTTTTTCCAGCTCTCCTAGTTCGATGTAGCGGCCCAACTCTGGGCAATCTGCTGCTGCTTTCCTAGCTGCATCAACAGAGTAGGGTTGGGAGTGGAGCAGCTAGGACTTGAACTGGCAGCATGTGATGCCAGATGGGGGCTTAGCTCACTATGCCACAGCACCAGCCTCAAGTGCAGGGTCTTAAAGAGCACTTTGCCTGTGTGCTGTCTCGGTCCACAGACACTCCCAGCAACTGTGGGCAAGGCCGTGTGAAAATGTACATTGTTGGCTAAATTTAGCCTTGGGATAAAGATAGGGCTTAAAACATCCTTTTTTTTTTTTCCCCCACTCTGATTTCTCTGAAGTCAGTGTAGTTGAAGTAAGTGTAGTTGCAAAAGACGTTCTCACAGAGGTGAGGGGTCACCCACCTCCTGAAATTCAAGACAAAAAAGGTACCCGGGAAAGTTCATTCTGCTGAACTCCTGTGGGCTCCTGTGCTGTAACGGAGACACAGCTGCCAGCCAACTTGGCCTTCAGTCTGCTGAAACTGTCGGTGCGGGGCTCTCACTCCCCAAGGCTGAGGACCCACTCCTCCGGCACTGAGCACTGGCTGATGTGGGATCCGTGGTCCATGGAGCTGCCTCATTAGATGGAGTCGCCAAATAAGGGATCATGGAAAAGGGCTCATAGGAAAAGATCCTGTGGTAATGTGATTGAAAACTATCTTTAGAAACTACTTCAACTGCAATTTGTGTTACTCCCAGAAATAAGCTTTCTGAAAAACATGCTCTTGGAGAGTTTGGACTTACCTAATGCTTTTCCAGATGCATCCTTAGTATCTGTCTAGTTATTGACTGCTTTTCAAATGTCAGACTCTCAGGTTTGCTGGGGTGTGACTTACCAAAGTGTTTGGTAAACAGGCTGACATGTGGGAAGGACAGCATTCACCAAGAAATGGCTAAGCCTGGCTTTGTCTTTGGCGTGGGCAGAAGGCTATTAGTATCTTGTCATTTTTATTGTTTTTAAAGATTTTTGTTTTTATTTGAAAGGCAAAATTACAAAGAGGAGCAGAGACAGACCTTCCGTCCATGATTTACTCCCAAAATGATTCAAGAGCCAGAGCTAGGGGGTTCCAAAGCCAGAAGCCTGGAGCTTCTTCTGGGTCTCATACATGGGTCTAGAGGCCCAAGGTCTTGAACCATCCTCTGCTGCTTTCCCAAGGCCATTACCAGAGTGCTGGATCAGAAGTGGAGCAAGCAGGACTCAAGCTGGCGTCCATATAGGATGCCAGCACTGCAGGTAGAAGATGAACTTGCTATACCACAACGCTAGCCCCCATCAGTGTCTTTTCATTAATCTCTAGTTATTTTTGGAGTCTCTTGGATCATCAGGATGTAGTTTGCAAAAGATGCTGATTTAGTTCTCAGCAGTTGATTTTTGTTTTTCTGCACTGTAGCCATTCTAGACTTCCTGACCTACATCATATCAGTAGGAGACAGGAATAAAAATATAGGGAGAGGGAGAAGATTCTGACAATAAAAAGGCTGAGCTTGTTGCAAAGTATTGGGGTGCATCTGGTGTTCTCCGTGCAACCCATTCCTTGCCACAACGGCAAGAGCACCAGGCCAGGCGGGCTGAGCCATGCCACTTTACACCATTGCACTGAGTCCTAAGCTTCAAGTGTCACTGTATTGTCATGCACACAAATTGTATGATGTCCTAGAAATGCGACTGTCTCCATCAGGTGAGGTAGAAAGTAAAACAAACCAGAGTTCTCCTAAGGGAGCCAAACTGAGACATGTCAGCTGAAGGGAGGCGAGGTCTGCCTTTGGGCAGGAGCCACCCTCTTTCATTCCTTGCCATTGTTTTCTTGTACTTTTCCCCTTGCTCTGGACACATGATACGTATTGCTTGTGCATATAACTTAAAACTAAAGCACAACTCCAAAACAAATTGTACAAACAGCTGGGAGTAGACCGTGCAGAAGTGGCCTTCACTTGATCTGGAGTTGTACACCTGCCAGTGTAATCCATGCTTTCCTTCTGCATAATTGATGCAAAAGGCTTGAAGTGAACAAGTGTTTGAGGAAGAAAATGTTGTGGGTGTTCTATAAACAAACTAGGAGATGAGTTATTAGAGGAAAAAAATCATTGCACAGATTCTTATCTTGGATGGTGGGGAGAAGCAAAAAAAAAAATAGCATTGTGAAGAATTCACTCCTCGCTTCATATTCTGCAGATACTGATCTTGCTGGCATGGGAAAGCCTGAGAATTAGTGGAAGAATGACCTCCAGTGGCCTGGAGTGGGATTATTATGAAATCCAACCTGTGGAAACCAGTTCTTTAGAGTATGCAACTCCAGCAGCCAGTTGTCTCTTGCTTGCCGCCAATCCTGCCCACTCTGAGTGGAGCCCTGATGCCATCTTTGATTGGTCCATGAGCAGTCACACAGCCCCAACCTCAGAAATAGTCCAGTACCCTGTGGCCACAGTAACAGACCTGAAGGAAGAAAAAAATAAGAAAAACCAGAGAAGAAAGGCTAGCAAGAACCCTAGAAGATCAGAGGGAGACAATGAGGTCAGCAACTTGCTTTGTGCCCCTAATCTGTGTTGAGCTTCCTTGTGGCATGCCTGCCTGTGCACCTGCAGGGCTGTCCTCTACCCTGCCATGACTGGGCTCTCTTCCATAAACCCGTGAATCTGCAAATGCTCTGCTCACTCTTCTTTCACTGCGTGGGAAAGAACATCACATGTATTTAATAACAACCACCTAGATTCAAAGGTTACAAAGCTCTTAAAAATTCCTGTAGCGCAGTAGCCTACTCGTTTAAGCCTCACCTTGCAAGCACCAGTATCCCATAAAGATGATGATTCATTTCCTGGCTACTTCACTTCCCATTTCAGCTCCCTGCTTGTGGCCTGGAAAAAGAGTAGAGGATAGCCCAAAGCCTTGGGACCCTGCAACCTCATGGGAGACCCAGAAGCTCCTGGCTTTGGATTGGCTCAACTCCGGCCATTGGAGCCACTTGGGAGGTCAACAGCGGATGGAAGATCTTCCTCTCTGTATGTCCTTTTCTCTGTAAATCTGCCTTTCAAAAATAAAATAAATGTTTTTTTTAATCCTGCATAAAAAGCATCATCAATGTCTCAGAAAAACTGAGAGCTGGCAGCTCATGTACTTTTGCAAATGGGTCAGCATGTCCCAATTCAAAATGCCAACCTACAAGGTTGCTGGCTTTTCAGTTTCAGCTGCAACATTCTTCTTTATGCTTCCTTCCATTAGTTATTCATCAATTACTGCTTGGATTCTGACAGCAGCTAAAGCAGTATGCTGAGCCACTTAACTTGATGATGCCATCAAGATACAACCCCAACCCCAAAGGGACACCTGGTCTGTTTTAAGACCACGCTAAGCTTATTGCCTTCACAGGTTGCAAGAGGACTTGCCTATTTGAATTCCAGCCCAACTGTGTTACCCAGAATTGGCTGGCTTGGCCACGTTAGAAATAACCATAAGATAGGGCAGCCTAGCAACTAAAGTCCTTGCCTTGCATGTGCCGGGATCCCATATGGGCATCAGTTCTGATCCCGGCAGCCCCACTTCCCATCCAGCTCCCTGCTTGTGGCCTAGGGAAGCAGTCAAGCACAGCCCAAAGCTTTGGGACCCTGTACCCACGTGGAAGACCCAGAAGCTGCTCCTGGCTCCTGGGCCTGGCTTTGGATCAGCTTAGTTCTAGCTTGTAGCTATTTGGGGAGTGAACCAGTGAGTGGAAGATCTTTTTCTCTCCTTCTCTCTCAATCTGTCTTTCTATTAAGAAACAAACACACACCCCAAACTTGGCCACTTTTAAGTTACTGCAGTGAGAATCAAAGGCTCCAGGAGACCCCAAGCACATAAGCAGAGATGCCTTGGAGTATCACCTTGGACCTACTCCACCTCAGAACACAATGTGCCCAACCTCACTCAGAGACCATCGACTGCAGCAGGGTCAGTTATCTGACCAATTTTCCACTAAGATTAAGTAACTGTTGAAATATTTCCAGGCCACAAGCAGGGAGCTGTATGAAAAGTGGAGCAGCTGAGATGCAAATTGGCAACCATATGAGATACCAGAACTTGCAAGTAGATGACTATCCTGTTGAGCCACTGTGACAGGCACCAAGAAGTGGTTAGTTTTTAAAAGCCAGATAAAGGCAGTGAAAGTCTTAGTCCTCCAGACCCATCACAGTGAGTGGTAACAAAGCTTACAGTCAAACTGAGCATAGCTAGCTGTGAGGGGCACAGCAGCAGAGGCATTTAGCTGACCAAGGAAACTGGGACCCAGGCTCTGAGGTCTTGGGATGGCACCTGGAGGCCTGTCAGGAGATACACTCATGAGAACTGGTCTATGGTTGGATCTGGCCAATGCATTGGGCTGGGGTCTCCTGGAAGACGGTTGTCTTGAGGGAGGCGTGCTCAGTAGGCAGCTGATGCAAGCAAGTCACATGGGACAGTGCCACGCAGACTCCAAGACTGCCTCCATGCATAATTTACTGGGCCACTTGGGAGCTGTGGGGCCACATTTGACCTGAACGCTAACCGGTGAAGCCTTTCGTGTGACATGTGCATCAGAGTGGCTGACATGAGCCATGTGCACAGAGCTTGTTGCCCACATGGTCCACACAACACAAACAGTGCCAACCTTCATCACATCCAAAGGATCTTTGGATCTTTGTCTTTGGTCTGCAGTCTGTGGGGATCTTGACAGCACCCCACAACTGGAAATCTGGCTGTCTCCCCTATTCTTGCTCACAGAGCACCATCTTTCTCAGCAGGCCCATAATTACAAGAGGCCCCTTTTAGGAGCATCCACACCATTCTTATAGAGACCTAGGAAGCCTTAGACGTTCTTATGAAAGTCTTAGAAAGTTAAGACTTAAGCAATATCTCATGATTGCTTCTTTGGGCAAGTAAATCTTGTCTAGAAATGTGAGGGCAGGTCAAAAAGCTCCTGGAGAATGAAACTTACAGAATAAGTTTCTTTTGGTGAAAAGACTTGGAAATCTGTGCTTAATTCTTTCATAATACACAGTTTCTGTCAAGTTTTCTTTTAAAATGAATTTTGCTCTTCTTAAAAATTTTTATTAAAGAAATGGAGATATTCTATCCACTCCCTCACTGTCCAAATGGCTGCAGGAAGCAGGGCTGCAACAGGTCAAAGCCAGGAGCTTCCTGTCTCCTCCAGCGATGGCAAGGCCCAGGATGTGAGCCTTCCCTTGTCTGCCACCTCTCAGGATGTGTGTTTTCAGGAAAGCAGAGAGCTGGGACTCAACCCAGGCACAATGATACAAGGTGTGCAGTCCCAAGCAAGGGTTTGACTGCTGCACCAAACGCCCACCCTCTCTGAACTATTTGAAGACTACCTCCCCCATTCCCATCGTTTTCCCTGAGATGCACCCCATCCTCTATGGATGCAGTGCCTGGGTCACTGTTTGACTTCATAGACCCCAGGGAGGGTGCACTGTGGCTAGGTCTGAGAAGCTAGAAAGATGGAAACCAGCGTCAGCCTAGTAGGTAATGGGACTGAGAGTCTAGGAGCCAAGGCGCAGGGAGGTGAAAGCAGTGCCGATGAAAGACCGTGGGTGACATCACGGTTATTGGCCTGGAAGCCTGAGCATGCCCCCACAGACTTCCTTAGGCACTATGCATCTTCCCTGACACGTCAAATCACGAGTTAAATATAAAATGTTGGAAAATATGTAAAACCACAGAGAAAAAAATAAAAATCACCTCCCCATATGTATTTTTAAAGAAAGACTCGTTAATTTGTTTTTCAAGACTTATTTACTTGAAAAGCACAAAGAGAGAGTATCCATCTGCTGGTTCATATTCTGCAAGTGGCCACAATGGCCAAGGCTGAAGCCAGGAGCCCGGGACTCCAGCCAGGGTTCCCACATGGCGAGTGACTTCTACTGCCTTCCCAGCCTCAATAGATGGATGCTACATGGAAAGCAGAGCAGCCAGGCCTCAAACTGGCACTCTGGATACATCATAATCTATCCTCTCTGATGACCTGTCAGCCCCCCTCACCTTTGCACCTGCTGCGCTCAGCCCAGCAGCGTCCTTTAGACAGAACTCACAGGAGGGAAGGGAGCACCAACCTCCTCCTTACACAGGTGAAGCTCTTGCGTCCCAGTGAGGCCGTGGGTGTCTCCTAGAGCTGTGTGTGGCCCAGGTGCCCCGGCTCCCTTGCCCTGTGCCCATTCTTTTCCAAAACTGCCACTCTGCCACCCATCACACCTTACAAGCCTGGACCACGAGCTCCATCGGATTTGTGCCAACTCAACTTCTGGCTCTCTGGCAGAAATCAGGTGTGCTCTTACAGACTTCAGGGCTCTCTCCTGTAACAGCCTTGACCTTCTTACCTCAGGGAGCATTTTGTCCTTCTCTCCACTGCATCTAAGGGAAAGAAACAAGTTACCTTTGGCACCAGAAGGAGGAAAAAAAAAATCTTCAATCCCAGGAATCTGATCCGCTGAGGAAAGGGGTCAGCCTAAGTCAGAGAGGACTTAGGGAGGATGGAGCTGGGAAACAGGCCACATGGGACAGGCTGCGGTCATCCCGTGCGCAGATGCAGCAGGACAGAGCCCTGCCTTGCTGTTGGCTAGCAGGAGTCCGTGACCAAATGACACTGCTAATGTCACCAGCTGACAGAGCAGCAGGGTGTCCTGCAAGCCAGAGGCCTTGGGAGTTGCTGACACAGCCCAGTTCCCACTCCCATCCTTTACACATTGAACAACTATGTCCCTGTAGTGACAGGATAATCCTGACCCTTATTCTGAGATTGTCCAAGGGAAGGCTATTCTTGTTATTGGACTTAAAACAAAATGAAGAAGATGTGTTTACTTGAAAGGCAGTGTTACAGAGAGAGGGGGAGAAAGAGAGCTTCTTTCTGTAATGGTGACAATGACCGGGGCTGAGCCAGGCCAAAGCCAGGGGCAGGGTCCCAAGCACTTGGACCATCTTCCTCTGCTTTCTCAGGTACACTCCCAGGGACCTGGATCAGTAGTGGAGCAGCCAGGACAGAAACCAGCACCCATATGGGATGCTGACATTGCAGACAGCAGCTTTACTTGCTGTACCACAATGCAGACCCCAATTGCCACTGGCCTAAGGGCCTCTTTGGGTTTGTGAAGAAGGTGGCTAAGCCAGAGTGTGTCATATACTAATGGCCACCAAGCGTGCCTTGTGCCTGAGCCCTTCAGCCAGTAACTGGTCTGCTCATGAGCAGCCGTGACTTGTCCTTGTGTCTGAATGCAAGACTGTGCTGGGGGAGCTGACTGCTGTGACTGCCTCTGTCACTTCACAGGGGGACCAGACTGCCTTGCACCGGGCTGCAGTGGTGGGGAACACGGAGGTCATCGCGGCACTCATCCAGGAGGGCTGTGCCCTGGACCGGCAGGACAAGGTGAGGTGCTGGTAGAGGGGTGAGCAGGGCACTCCAGGGAGCTCAGGACTGTCATTTCTGAGTCTTGCCATTTATGAGCCAGCATGAGAAGATCAGCCAGATTTCCTTTAAAAGAGAATCTGGCACCCCAGCCAGCCATTTTTTTAAGTTAATTAATTACATTGCATTATGTGACACAGTTTCATAGGCTCTGGGATTCCCCCAACCCCTCCCCATACCCTTTCCCCATGGTGGATTCCTCCACCTTGTTGCAGTATTACAGATCAAATTCAGTTGAGATTCTTTCGTTGCAAACATATACCAAGCAAAGAGTCCAGCATCTAATTGTCCAGATACATTCAACTGTTTCTTGGGGAGACCATCTCTGGTCTGAAGGTAGAGATGGCAGAATATCATCCTGATTAATTAGAACCCCCCAACATAATATCAACAACAATTTACAACATTATGGAATTGTCATAGTACTGAGTAGCCAATATGTTACAAAATGCAAGTTCTTAACCACATCCTGTGACTACTTCATTGACATTTCGATTTTAGTTTATATACAACCAGCTTCTATACACCTTAAAATGGCTACAGGGTACTATTCAGCTGTCTCTTGTCTATCCTCATTTTAGCATTTAGCAGTCTATAGCACCCTCACCAGGGACCCCTAGGGTCCTCCTCCTTTAATGGTTTCTAATCACCCCTCCCCACACCCCACTCTGCCTTGGGGACCCTAGACTCCCATTGTGTTACCAACATTGGGGCTTGACTCTTTTGTACATATTTCCAGGAAGTCTCAAGGGCCACCAATGGGGACCTCTGACATAGCTGGAGAACCTGCACAGCCCCTTGGTGACCAGCCTGGATCCAGACTAGGCTATCCCTAACCCTAACCCCAATCCTGACTCTCACCCTGATCCCCATCCCAATTAGGGTTAGAGCTGGTGCAACACAGGAGGTCTCCACTGTCCCTTGTCCCACTCCCTCCCCTGGGACAGCTTTCTTCCCATCCCACTAAATTCATTGCAAGTAGGAATATTTCTTTCTTCCTTTGTAGTGAGGAAAGCAAATCTGAGCTGTGTTTATTGGCTTTATTTGCAAACTGCGTGTTGAGGATCCTCGAGCTTATTTACAGAGCACTGCTTCCTCAGGGCCTATTCAGCTGCTGGGGATGCTGAGGCTATTGGATGGAGTTGGATGAAATTCAACTTTGATTTAGAAAGAAATTTGGGGGGGTGACCACCACCTGTCAGGCGCTCAGACTCTTGGACTCCTCCTTTGCCCCATCTCTGTGGGTCCTCCTTGGTGCCAGGGGCAGAGCTGTGAAGGCATGGACTGGGTGGTTTGCTTCCTAAAGAGTGAGAACTCCTGTCAGCCCGCGTCTGAAGCTGGAGGCCTGGCGCCCAGGTGGCGTCTGAGTGGTAACCATGGCTTTTCCCACATGTGGTTCTTGGGGGTAATGTGGAGAACTGGCACTCCAGCTGTTCTCTGCATCCACAGGAGTGTTGATGACTCTGAAAAGAACTGGGTCTTGAGTGGTGTGCCCTGTCCCCCATGTGTCCCTTAGGACGGGAATACAGCCCTGCACGAAGCGTCCTGGCACGGTTTCAGCCAGTCTGCCAAGCTGCTCATTAAAGCAGGAGCAAATGTACTTGCCAAGAATAAGGTGAGGATCATGGGGGGGCGGGGCTGGGCTGGGGTTGCTTGGCTGTGGGATGGGGGGGCCTCAGCAAGATGGGCCACAGCTCAGAGGGATGTGGGAACCAGGCCAAGTGGTCCCCCAGCCCATGCAGGAGGTCCATATGCAGAGGATATGGACCTTTTCCTTTTCCTTTTCCTTTTCCTTTTCCTTTTCCTTTTCCTTTTCCTTTTCCTTTTCCTTTTCCTTTTCCTTTTCCTTTTCCTTTTCCTTTTCCTTTTCCTTTTCCTTTTCCTTTTCCTTTTCCTTTTCCTTTCCTTCTCAATGTACTTTTACTTTAAAGTAGTGTAGTAAGTACAAAGAGAGGGAGAAACAGAATCTTCTATCTGCTGGTCTCTCCCCCACATGGCTGGAGCAGAGCCAGTCTGAAGCCAGAAGTTTCTTGTGGGTTTCCCATGTGGGACAGGGTTCCAAGGACTGGAGCCGTCATCTGCTGCTTTCCCAGGTCAGAAGTAGAGCAGCTGGGTCATGAACTGGTGCCCACATAGGATGGCAGCACCTCAGGCAAAGGTCTCCGCTGCTGTCTTTTTACCCAGTAACTCCTGGGACTATGTTCTCAGGAAGTGGTACACCTGCTGGTAAAACACCTACAATGGGATGCCCTCGATAGCAGTGACCCCCGAGGAAGGCAAGGAGGAAGATGCTGGGGACTTAAAATTACAGTGCATTCAAACTATAGGATAGAGTTAATATTAAAATCACTGTTTTGGTGTAAGTCTTGCAGGAGAACAAGTTAAGACACTGCTTCAGATGCTTGCATCCCCTATTAAGGTGGCTGGTTCAAGTCCTGGATGTTCTACTTTCAATCTAGCTTCTTGGTGATGAACATTCTGAGACCCTGCCCAGCAGATGCAGGTCTGGATGCAGTTCCTGGCTTCTGTTGGCCCAAACCTGATTGTCATATGCGTTGGAAAATCAGTCAATCTATCTCTCTGTCTCTCTCTTTCAGATTACTAATTGTTTTAAAGATAATGTTCTCAATTTGCTGAGAAACATGACAAAGGGGTACAAAATCAAATATCTTCCATGTCCCAGAACTTAATATTTACATAAGCGTGCTTCAGACCATTTGTGGGAAAAATGAAATTTAAATATTCATTTTGGAGAAAACAATTTGAAATCCATTCTAAATTTTTTTTTTTTAATTTAAACTTTTTTTGGGCCCGGCGCGGTGGTGCAAGTGGTTAAGTCCTCGCCTTGCATGCCCGGGATCCCATATGGGCGCCGGTTCTAATCCCAGCAGCCCCGCTTCCCTTCCAGCTCCCTGCCTGTGGCCTGGGAAAGCAGTCGAGGACGGCCCAAAGCTTTGGGAACCTGCACCCGCGTGGGAGACCCGCAAGAGGCTCCTGGCTTCGGATCGGCATAGTATTGACCCACTGCGCTCACTTGGGGAGTGAATCATCGGATGGAAGATCTTCCTCTCTGTCTCTCCTCTCTGTATATCCACCTCTCCAATAACAAAATAATAAAAATAAATCTTTAAAAAAAAATTTAAACTTTTTTTTATTGGAAAGGCAGATATACAGAGAGGAGGAGAGACAGAGAGGAAGGTCTTCCGTCCAATGGTTCACTGGCGGTTGCAATGGCTAGGGCTGAGCCAATCAGAAGCCAGGAGTCCAGAGTGTCTTTTGGGTCTCCCAAGTGGGTTCAGGGTCCCAAAGCTTTGGACCATCCTCGACTGCCTTTCCAGGCCACAAGCAGAGAGCTGGATGGGAAGCGGGGCAGCCAGGGTTAGAACCAGTACCTATGAGAGCCCGGCACATGCAAGCTGAGGACCTTAGCTGCTAGGCCACCACGTCAGGCCCCATAAATTTATTTTTTTATTGGTAAGTGAGATATAGAGAAGACATAGAGAAAATCTTCTGTCCCCAAGATTCACTCCCCAAGAGGCCAGAACGGCCGGAGCTGTGCCCATCCAAAGCCAGGAGCCAGGAGCTTCTTCCAGGTCTCCCACGTGGGTGCAGGGACCCAACACTTTGGGCCTTCTTTGACTGCTTTCCCAGGCCACAAGGAGGGAGCTGGATGGAAAGTGGGGCTGCTGGGATTAGAACCAGCACCCATATGGGATCCTGGTGCATGCAATACGAGAACTTTAGCCACTAGGCTACTGTGCCAGTCCTCATTCTCAAATTTTTAATGTAATTTTCATTTTATTTGAAAAACAGACCAAGAGCTCTTTCACACTAGTTCACCCCAAATGCCCAGGACAGCCCAGGCTGAAGCTGGGAGCCAGAAACTCAATCCAAGCCTCCCTCATTGGCAGCAGAGACACCAGTGCTTGAGCCATCATCTGCTGTTTTCCCCATGGTTCACGTTATCAGGGAGCCAGATCTAAAGCAGAACCAGAGCTCAAACCCATTTACTCCAATAGGGAATGCAAGCAGCCTGAGCAATATTTTTTTTTAAGATTTATTTTTATTGGAAAGGCAGATTTACAGAGAGACAGAAAGATTTTCCATCCACTGGTTCACTCCTGAAATGGATGCAATGGCCAGAGCGGAGTCATCCAAAGCCAGGAGCTTCTTCCGTGTCTCCCACGTGGGTGCTTGGTACTAAGACTTTGGGCTGTCCTCCACTGCTTTCCCAAGCCACAAGCAGGGAGCTGGATGGAAAGTGGAGCAGCTGGGGCATGAACCAGCACCCATTTGGGATCCTGGTGTTTATAAGGGGAGGGCTAGCCAGTTGAGACATCATACTAGGCCACCCCGAGCAGCAACTTGCTCACTGTGACCCCAGTATTTCCTTTACAATTGGTAGAGTGTAGTTCCAGCACCTTCAGATTCCTTGTATTTCACCTGTTGATTCATTCATCACATCTTTAGTGATTGCCAAGAAGCAACCCCACACTGCACCAAGCCAGGAGCCCAGTGCTGGCACAGGGGATTGAGTGTTCTGGAGCCCCGACCCTTTGTTTTTGAGAACTAAGTTTGCCTTGGTTCTCTAGCTGCCTGTGGGCAATGTGAAACAAAAAAGGGAGAACAAAAGGTAAAAAACGAAATCGCTGATGACCAGCCTTAGGGTGATGGCTATCCCCATTTACCCTAAAGTGTGGGGTTTATCACAATTAGGGACTTAAGTGCTCAAGCTGAGACAGCCCTGACCCTGCCCTCCAGCACAGCCATGCCAGTCAGTCCCCCAGAGGGGCGCAGGTGTACCCTCAGGTGGTTTCTGAGCTCAGGCCGGCCATGCTCTGTTATCCAGGTGGTGACCAACACTACCAAAGTCCCAGCCCCCCTGCAGTTATGAAAGCAGAAGGGGAGGTAACCAAGCAGGACCCGGTCTGCTTTTGTTTATTTTTGTGTGCCCAGTACTCCTCCCAGAAGTGGGGAATCTAGCAGCCCAAGTAGGCAGCTGGAGGGCTCCACCCTGCTGACTTCTGCAGGCTGGCAGTCCGGAGCACAACAGAGCCGCCAGAGCGCAGGTCCAGCTGCTGCGGGTACACCCAGCTCTGCTGCCGTGCTGAGGGTGAGCAGCAGCCTCGCGCCCCTGGACTCCCCTGGAAGGCCTGTGCATGCCACACAGCTCTGTCCTGTGACATGCTCTGACCGCGGCTTGCCATGGTAAAGTGCCGAGGTCTCCGCCCGTGGGCCGGGTGGCTGACAGCGCTGTCACCTCACCTCTTGGTCATTCTTTTATTGTTGTTTGTTTTTTCCACTTTATTTTTAAAATACTTCAAACATTACAGCCAAGTGTAAAGAAGAGTTCAAGTGGGGCTGGAGCTGTGGTGTAGCAGGGTAATCCTTGGCCTGTGGCACTGGCATCCCATTTGGGTGCCAGTTTGAGTCCTGGCTGCTCCACTTCAGATCCAACTCGCTGTTTGTGGCCTGGAAACAGAGTTCAAGAAAGACACGTAGATTTAACAATTGTTCCTATTTTGCAATGTTTTCTTCCTATGTAAATATTATAGACATACATGTATACCATTTTTCTTGGAAGCAAATACTACCAAATAAGTAGAGTTCATAATAGGAATCAGATTAAGGAAAGGGTATGCTGTTATGTCAATGCTATAATTCAGTGAGGACAACATTTATATCTATCGTATATAATATGACATGTATGCATTTTTCATGCTGTATTAATTTCCTCATGAGAAAAAAAAAAACCACAGAATTTTTCTTCTCCGGTGTATTTAACCGAGAGAAATGATCCACAGTTGCATTCATTTTGTTGCTGATGTCAGGATTCCATTCCTTTTTCATGGCTGAGTAATAGTCCATCATGTGTCCAGACAACATTTTCTTTATCTGTCTAGAATATCTAGATCCCACATCTTAACTGTTGTGAATTAAGCTGACTTTGGGATGATAGTCATTCTTATTGGAGTGAAACAATGGCTCACTGTGGTTTTGTTTAGCACCTCCCCAGTAGCTAATGATACCATTTTTCATGTGTTTATTGGCCATTGCTTCTTAAAATAATTATTATTTTGAAAGTCTGAGGTATCCAGAGAGCGGAGACAGTGAGATCTTCATCCCCTGGTGTGTTCCCAACCAGGCCGCCATCACCCCCACTGAGCCAGGCCGGAGCCAGGAGCCTCTTGCAGTTTCTCCCCTGAGGGACAGGGAGCCACACTTTGGTGGCCATTTGCATTTCTTCTTTCAAAAGATGTCCATTCCAGCCCCTTACATGCTTCTTAACTGGCTTGTGCTATTGTTGTTGAATTTCTTGAGCTCCTTATACATTTTGGATATTAATCCTTCATCAGACAGATAGCTTGTGAATATTGCCCCCTCCCCCATTCTGTTGTCTGTTGCATCACTCTATTAATAGTTTCCATTGCCAGACAAAAAAGCATCTTAGTTGATGCAGTCCCATTTGTTCATTTGTCAGTCACTGCCTGTGCCTGTGCCAGGGTCTTGGAGTGTTTCACTCTACCTCCAGTAGTTTCATAGTTTCCAGTCCTATGTTAAAAACATTAAGATTCTGATATCTCAGGAAACATGCAAGAATGTATGATTTGAAAAAGGTCTGTAAGTTTAGTCCCAGTTGCCACTAGACTGTACTTTCAGGATGTGGTTTGTTGCTTGCTTGCTTTTCTTTTAACCATCCTGTGCTGAGCCCTGCAGCCACAAATCTTACCAGGTTACACAGGAAGCCAACTCTGAGAGAAGTTCCAAGCCACACAGGTGCATAATGTTTTATGATTTTTAAAAAAGATGTCTTCCAGGGCTGGCACCATGGCATAGCAAGTTAAGCCTCTCCCTATGGTGCTGGCATCTCATATGGGCACCAATTCGAGTCTCAGCTGCTTCACTTAAAATCCACCTCCCTGCTAATGGCCTGGGAAGGCACATAGGAGACCCAGAAGAAGCTCCTGACTTGGGACTGGCCCAGCTGCAGCCATTGCTATCATTTGGGGGTGAACCAGCAGCTGAAAATTTATCTACATATCTCCCTGTCTCTGTAATTCTACCTTTCAAATGATAATACCTAAAGTGTTAAACTGTTTTGAAAGACATGTCTTCCGAGGCACTCAGTGCGTTGCTATGGGCTCGGGTGGAGGGTCAGGAGCCACTCCCCAGGAAGGCAATCCCGTGTCTGTAGGACCTCACTCAGTGGCTTACAGTTACTACATGGCAGAGTGAGTTCTTGGAACCTTGGTTTGATAACAGAACTCTTCAGTCTGTGTGGCTTCCAGATGGTGAAGCCCCTTACCCCACTGGGACTACGCATTAAGGGACAGAGGGCAAGTGCCGTGACTTTGACCCTGAGTAAGTACAGCCTCGCACAAAGTGTGCAGGTCTAACATGGCCTCTCTTCTCTCTGCTTCTCTTTCAGGCTGGGAACACGGCTCTGCACCTGGCCTGCCAGAACTGCCACTGCCAGAGCACACGTGTCCTCCTGCTAGGCGGTTCCCGGGCCGACCTCAAAAACAGCGTGGGTGACTGAGCCACACTGCGTGGCTGCCTCGGGAAAATAACCCAGGCACCTAGAGAGTAAAACGGGGGTTGTGCTGGGGGCTGTCTTTCTAGAGTGTTAATATTTTGCGGGACACAAGAAGAACCAACATTACAAAGACTGCTTTTGCCCCAGCCTTTTCCTTTTGGTCTTCCGCTTAGTTCGGTTTGTTGTCTCTCCCAGCATGTGTTTGGCCAGTGATGGCATAGGAAGCCTGTAATGCTTTAGGAAAGTCCCATTCAGGTAGCATCAATAGCACGCACAAGATGGCAAGCCGCCCAGGGAGGCCCCAGTGTCCGCAGAGGGCAGGTCCCAGCAACGTTGGGGGTGTCCCCAGTTGGGGGTGTCCCCAGCTGAGGGTGTCCCTCACTCAGGATGTGAGCAAGCCTCCTGTCCCTGGGGGGTTGGAGAGAAACTGGGTGGCTTGTAAATCCTGTGCCTGAGGTGAGCAAGAGAACCGGGCATTTTTCTGAATAATAGCACTAGTTGGGGTCTTGATGTCTGGTAGCAGATTTACCGAAGAGGATTTTGGAACGCCCAGATCCTCGCTCTGAGCATGTCTCCGTCTTGGTCTGGGGCAGGAAGCTGTAATCAGTATTCACCAAGCCCCAGACAGAGCTGGGACACAGACATCAAGAGACACCACAGGAAGCCTTGGCTTTCCGGCTCCACTTCTGTTGTAGTCTGGTTGGGAGCAGAGCTTAGTCTGTGCCTGCTCAGAAAGAGCTGAGCTTCTCTGGATGCTTTCCAGTGCCCCCGCAGTGACCACCCTTTAGAAACTTAACACAGCCCGGCGCAGCAGCCTAGTGACTAAATTCTCACCTTAAATGCACCGGGATCCCATATAGGCACCCATTCATGTCCTGGCTGCTCCACTTCCCATCCAGCTCCCTGCTTGTGGCCTGGGAAAGCAGTGGAAGATGGCCCGAAGCCTTGGGACCCTGCACCTGCGTGGGAGGCCTGGAAGAAGCTCCTGGCTCCTGACTTCAGATTAGCTCAGCTCCAGCCGTTGTGGTCACTTGGGGAGTGAACCAGTGGATTAAGATCCTTCTCTCTGTAATTCTGCCTTTCCAATAAAAAGGTAAATAAATCTTCCAAAAACAAAGCTTCTTAACACGTATTTCCATTTTATTTGGAAAGGAGAGAGAGCACACTCTCCCAGCAGCAGTTCACTCTCCGAGCAGCCAGCACTGGGCTGGGTAGAAGCCAGAAGTGCAGAACTCCATCCACTTGGGGATGTGCACTAGCCCAGAGCTGGTTTAGAGGCAGAGGCAGGATCAAGTCCAGCCATGCTGATATGCGTGCAGGTGCTCCCAGTGGTGACTTAATACACTGTGCCACAAGGTTCACCACAATTGTTTTTTTTAAAAAAGATCTATTTGTTCATTTGAAAGGCACAGTGACAGAATGAGAGACATCTTGCATCTGCTGTTTTACCCCTCAGATGACCACAAAGGCTGGCACAGGACAGGTTGAAGCTGGGAGTCAGGAACTCCGTCTGGGTCTCCTACCAGGATTGTAGAGACCTCGCACCAAAGAGAAAAGAAACTCTATTCTTAGAGAACAAATCAAGTGGAGTATCCAGGACACAGAATAACTGCATGCCCTGTTGGTCTGAATTCTGCTTCCTCCCTGCCAGGTTGTAGGAGGGCTGGCGCCTTAGGTCTTCTGCAGGTCTTGCACAAGCGTGCATCTAGTTTCATAAATGTAAAAGTAGAGGTTCAGGTCAACCGCATGTGGAGAGCTGGCAAAGTCGGCCAGGACTACAGGTGTTGCATCGGGCATCTATGCTAGAAAGGACGCATGTCATCCAGGCCAGCGTGCCTAAAGAATACTTGCTAGTCATCCAGCTTTTAAGTGGTATTTTCCTGTTGTTTTTCCTGTTCGATTTTCTAACTGCTCAGACGAGGCTTAGGTTGGATTTCTGTCTGCAGGTGGGCGACACCTGTCTGCATGTGGCTGCTCGCTATAACCATTTGTCCATCATTCGGCTCCTCCTCAGCGCCTTCTGTTCTGTCCATGAAAAGAACCAGGTGAGTGCGTGCCTCCTCTTTGCTCTCTGGTGCTATCCCCGCAAGACTGCCTGGCCAGGATGTGAGCGCAGGCAGAGTGAACGTGTTAAAAAAGGAAAGGGAATGAGATGGCTCATGACTGCCTGGGTTTCTGGCCAAGGCTACCCAGTTAAGTCAGCAGGGGCAGTAAGTACACGATTCTTGGATCCCAAACCCCACAGTTGAACCTCTGAGGGTATAGCCCAGGCACTGGTGTTTTTACTAAATTCCATTGGCTGTGGAGCCCAATGATATCATCAAATCGCCAAGTCTATGGTTCTGAGTGTGTTGCATCAGGCCCTCCCCACCACAGTCCCACAAGCCAGGGATGCCCAACCTTGGCTGCCTGTCACGGTCTCCTGGGAGCTTCTCACACCCCCAGTGCCAGCCCTTGCTGCAGAGCAGAGCATCAGGCCACTTTGAGGTGGGCCCTGGGCTCCCCATGGGGTCCAGCATGCAGCCGGGATTGGAAACCTTAGCTATCCAGCTTTTCCCTGGCACCCATAGTGACATGATTCCGCAGTGAAATGAACACGTCTCCCAGTTCCTTGGGAAAGGGCTGGGTTTTCATGCCACCCAAGAAAGAAAGCAGATCAGGGTGCATCACCTATTCACTCAACCCTGGAGGTCACCTATTCGTTCGATTGCTTTACTCTGTCATCCTGTTTGGAAAATGGTGGCCTTTGCATTTGGAAACAGCCCACTAAGCTACAGTGTCTTTGTCTCCTTTCACAGTTATGTGAAAACATTTCTAAATGAAAAAAAAAAAGTTAAAATGTACTCAGTGGCTGTACAGGAAGAGTTGGGGCAGAGCTAGCCATAAGTGAACACTGATTTTCTGTGCCTCCACCCAAAGAAGCCACAAGGCCAGCTCCTGTCCCCTGCATTTAACCCCATTCTGTGCTTTCTGAGCCCTCCATTCAATAAAGAATATGATATGAGTACATAGGTCATTTAGGTTCAAGACTACACTTTAATTTTTTAAAAGATTGATTTATTTACTTGAGAGAGTTACAGCAAGAGAGGAAAGAGAGAAAGAAGTCTTCCCTCTGCTGATTCTCTCCAAATGGCCACAACAACCTGGACTGAGCCAGGCCAAAGCCACAAGCCTGCAGCATCCTCAGGACTCTCTGGGACCCAAACACTCAGGCCATCCTCTGCTGCCTTTCCCAGGCCAACCATCAGCAGGGAGCTGGATCTGCAGTGGGGCCTCTGGGACTCGAACTGGTGCTCATATAGGATGCTGGTATCACAAGCATTGGCTTTACACATTATGCCACCATGAGGGTCCTCCAGGATCTCTCTTAAAAAAAAAAAAAGATTTTTTTATTTGAAAGCTAGATTTGTTTTTTATTTTTATTTGAAAGCTAGATTACAGAGAGGAAAGAGAAAACAATCTTCCATCTGTTGATTCACCTCCCTCATGGCCACAATGGCCAGAGCTGGGCTGGTTGAAACCAGGAGCCAGGACCTTCTGTGTCTCCCCTGCAGGTGCAGGGTCCCAAGGCTTTGGGCCATTCTCCACCAATTTCCCAGGCTACTATCAGGATACTGTAAGTGCCCACATGGGATGCCAGGACCACAAAGGGTATCTTCACACACTATGCCAGCATGGAGTCCCCAAGATGTGTTTAAACAGAACCACAAAGAACTTCCATGCAGGCCTCCCATTATAGTCTAAGGCAGATCTGAGTGTGGCCTGGAAGAGCCGCCCTTGGAGCGAAGGAAGATGAGCTGCCACCACGGTGTTCAGCAGACTTTGTTTTGCTTCACTGCAGGCTGGTGACACAGCCCTACATATTGCTGCTGCGCTAAATCACAAGAAAGTGGTCAGACTCCTCCTGGAAGCCGGAGCAGACGGGACCATTGTTAATAATGTGAGTTGAGCTACAAGGGATGGCTTGTAAAGCCATTGCCTCTCCTTTCCAGAAGCGGGAGACAGTTCCCACTGGCTCTAGGAGCTCACCCCCTCCCAACCACTGCTTCTGGGGTCTCTGAGGCAACATCTGCTCTGAGCAGCCCCCAGAGTTGACAAGTTCTGAGTCTGGGCTCACCACCTGTCAGACTGCCAGGTGCATGAGCACAACCCGGCATCAGAAGCAGCTCAGAGGAGTGACTCAGTACACAGACAAGTGGGGTTACTAACAGAGAGTCACATACTTGTCAACACAAGGCAGTCGTGGCCACACAGCCGGAGGGTCACTCCAGCCCCAAGCGCTAAAGACAGCCTCTCCAAAGTTGCCTCTGCCTATTTCATTCCTCTCACTACCCCAAGATTCTCTAGCCCAGACACAATCTCTTCCTCCTCATGGCTGACCCTATAGTCTCTGCCTTCCCTGAAGGCCCTGGGAAACTGGGTTGGAGCAGTGATGTGAGACGTGGCCATGTCTACAGAATCAGTGGCACTGAAGCTGGTGCCAAGCTCTTGCTCTTCCTAGCTCTTGAACTAGTTCCACTCTCCTTGTCCTGCCTTTTCTTAGCTCTGGGAGCTATAGCAGGTCACCTCTTTCATGATGTCTTCAGCACTGCCCCTTCTTCAGAATCCCACACCTGGCTTTCATCTGACTCTCCCAAGAACCAACATGCCGATGGCTTTGTAACTACTATTCAGCATCTTGGTTTGTTTGTTTGTTTTAAGATTTATTTTATTTTTATTGGAAAGGCAGATATACAGAGAGGCGAGACAGAGAGGAAAATCTTCCGTCCAATGATTCACTCCCCAAGTGAGCACAATGGCCGATGCTATGCCAATCTGAAGCCAGGAGCCTCTTCCAGATCTCCCACTCAGGTGCAGGGTCCCAAAGCCTTGGGCCATCCTCGACTGCTTTCCCAGGCCACAGGCAGGGAGCTGGATGGGAAGCGGGGCCGCTGGGATTAGAACCGGCACCCATATGGGATCCCAGGCATGCAAGGCGAGGACCTTAACCACTGCACCATCGTGCCGGGCCCCAGCATTTTGTTTCTAAGCCCCTGTGGCACAGCTCTGATTTGCCATTGAAGGCATCTCCTCCGTTGTTCACCAGGGAAAATTCATTGCCAGGCAGTATGTCAGAGTCCTTTGGGTTTGTCCTGCCTTGATCATGTTGGGTTTTTCTTTGCTTCTCCTCATCTGCAGGAAGTCTTCCTTGCTGGGCAGGACCCCCAGACCTATGCCCCCTAGGCACATGCCCTGTATTGCTGTGCGTCATGAAGGATGCTGTGGGCTGCAGAACAGAGCATGTCATGGGTGGAGCCATGTTTGCTGAGCACAGGCCCTATGGGACATGGCCTCTCTGAATCTGCCCTTGTTTCACGTGCACAGTGCGTGTCCTGTTCTCACCTGTCTTCCCTGTCCCTCTCCATAGGCAGGCCAGACTCCGCTGGAGACTGCCCGCTACCACAATAACCCAGAAGTCGCTCTTCTCCTCACCAAAGCTCCCCAGGTAGGACTCAGTATACTTGCCGTTGTGTTGCTTATGTGGGGCTGTGAAGTTGCTGGGGTTCCTCTGGTGGGCCCCAATGGAAGCCAATTCAAACTCAAACAGGGAATTGGTGAGCCCATGAGCCAGGCATTCCAGAAGGGAAGGGGAGGGGAGAGACATTCTGTGCCCAGAGAGCAGCGAATACCCACCAGGGTTCATCGGTGGAATTCTCTTTTCTTTTGTTTAATTCAGCAGTAAATCATTGTGTTTTTCTAAAAGGCGGCTGGTATCATTTGAGCTGGAGGTTGGCATTATCTAAGTAAAAATGAATACAGTGCTGATCATGTATAAGCTATTCGTAATTTCACTGCTGAAATAACTTAGCTTCTTCATATACTTTCCACAGACATATAATTTTTACAAACATTTACCTACAATTTCTATTCCCTTTAGTATTTGGCCTTTCATCCAGACTATAATAGGACCGTGTCCTGTAGTTCTCACAGTTGCTCCTCATAATGGAAGATTGGTGGCTGTTTGGTATAGTGTAGTTTGGTTTAGTGTTTTGTAGCAATTCCTCAGTGTTAGACACAGGCTGTTTCCCATGTGCAGCTATTGCATGTTACATCACAGCAAACACTGGTTTCCAATTTTTGGTCTGACTCAGGTTTCAAAACGAGAACAAAATCTCAAGATTCTGGGTTCTGCCTTACAGTATTAGAGCCCCGCTCCAGCCCTGCTTCAGCCCAGCCCCAGCCCAGCCCCAGCCCTGCACCAGCTCCAGTCCCAGCCAAGCCCAGGTCAGCACCAGCTCCAGTCCCAGCCAGACCTAGGCTCAGTCCCAACCCTGCACCAGCTCCAGTCCCAGCCAGACCCAGACTCAGTCCCAACCCTGCACCAGCTCCAGTTTCAGCCAGGCTCAGCCCCAGCCCAGACTTTTGCTTGGCCTTGGTTTCACTGGAGTTTGACAAGCATGCCAGCTCTAACAAGCAGCTTCTTGGCATGGTGAAGATTTTTGTCTTTTGCACAATGCGTCACAATGTTGAGTGTAGAGCTGGTCCTCCTTCTGTATGGTCTCTGCGTCCATGAAGTTCCATGATGACAGGAGGACATCAGCCAGGAACAGCTGCCAGAAGTGGGGACACACTCTGTCCCCAAATGTTTGCAGAGAATCATCGAGCTTTCATCCATGAATGCTGATGGACAAAATAATCCATCACATTTGTCTGGTGTGTACACATCTGGCAGTGTGATGAGCAGGGAAGTTCCATCCTCCACCAAAGGTCATCAGGTCTGTGACACATAAAGATTGGTGTATCTTTAATCTGCCTGTGATTTGTCTTCCAGAACCTGAGAAATCTTCATTTACCCAGGGGAGGAAAAAAAAAAAAAGAAAAGAACGAAAGAAAATCTTTATTACAGACCTGGGTCATTCTTGTGCTTCCAATTTTTAAAAATTTGAGCAAGGTGCTCCACATTCATGCTGAATAGCAAGCACGTTCAGTGATGTGCCACACAGGTGTATTTCACACATGCTTGTGCATTCCAAAGCTTACTCTCAATGCAGACAAGGCACTTGGGAATGTGCATGCAGTCTTTGCATGCTGCTTATTTATCTGTAGTCCCAGAAATAGCCTTATTCTTTGTTTCATTTGAAATGGAAAGCCTCTAGCCTTGGGTCTTTTGTCACACATGATGTGAATGAATGCAGGACTGAGGACCAGCTTATGGCGTCACAGCCTCTTTGGTGTTTGGGGCCTGGGAAATTATGGATGATATCCCAGCAGGGAGTTGGGCTGGCTTCCTGAGAAAGCCTGGGAGCCACAGTAAACAGAGCAGATTTTGCTGGTGACTCTGCTCCAAGAGTCCGTAAGGCAGAAAAGCAACAGGTCCCAGTCACTCCCTTTCAAGAGACTTGACCTTCTGGTCAGTCTGGATTTAGCTTTCAAAATGACCTAGCACCATGATTCTCCAGAGGTTGGGGCTTGATTCTAGCTCTGAGATGCTGTCATCTGTGGTTAAATGTGTTCTGTCCATGAAGCAACTCACAGGCAGGTAGGGAAACTGCTGACCACAAGTCCACGGTGTGCCCACCTGCTTCTTCCTGGGTTAGTCCCACTGACTCTGCATTTTCAATTAAAGTCAGCTTACTTACCTAGTGACTCTGCCACTTGCTGAGCCCACATGCACCTGTCTATGCGCATGCATTCTAGGTCTCTGGGCTGTAAGGAGCAGGCTAAAGGCTTCCTTCCTACTGCAGCATTTGGAGCAGGCTTGGACCCATACCATCATCACCTTTGAATACAACTGGATATGACTTGAACAGCTTGGCCAGGACAGATTCTTCTAGGCTGGCTCAGGTTCAGAGTACTCAGGCGGGGGCAGTGAGAGCTCTGCCTGGCACAGAGAACTTGCCAACGTCTGTGTGACGTGGAGCTAACACAACGCCCAGTCCGTGTTCCCTGGGGTTTGACGTTGCTCTCACTAGCCAGTGGGTTCTGTGAGGTCAGAGCCCTGGGGTCCAAGGAGTGTTCTCTCATGCTGACGTCCCATGCCCCAAAGATTTGTAACATGATTCCCCTTGCCTCCTTCAGGTCTTGCGCTTCAGTCGTGGGCGAAGCCTGCGGAAAAAGAGGGAGAGGCTCAAGGGAGAAAGGAGAGCTCAGTCTGTGCCCAGGGATGAGGTGGCCCAAAGCAAGGTGGGGGTGTCCTCCGCAGGACGGGAAACTGCCTCTCTGCCACCGCTGGGCCTGCCCAGCACCTGCCACACCTTCCACTGCTTCAATTTTCCACTGGGGTTCTTTTCCTCTTTGGCTTCCTGTGATCTGATCCTGCAGAATTTCCAATCCTGTGTGTGCGCGCGCATGCATACATGTGCCACCTCTCATCCGTGCAGCACCCTCGTGTGCCTGTTTCCTGGCCTAGCTGTCTGTGGCCTGTGTCCCTCCCACATGCACAGTTCTTCCCCTCTAACACCGCACCCTTAATTGTGTAGAGCAGCAGTTCTCCAAGTGTAGTGTCCAGCATGTCACTTGGCTCTTGTTAGTAAGGCCTTACCCTCAGGCCTGCTGAATCAGAAACTCAGCGATCAACTTGAGCAAGCCTTCCAAATGGTTCCAACATGGAACTAAAGTTTGATAACCCCTGGCAGAGGTTGCATCCTCTTTTCCCACTAACAGACCACACAAAGGTTCTGCAGCCCATATCAGTCCATTGTACAAATGAGAAAAAGGTGACCCTTTGGCAGACCAGCTCTGTGCAGGGCACATGTGGCACATGGAGCTGCAGTTGGCATGGTAGCTCATCTTGCCCCACTACACCTTGGCTAGTTGCCATGCACAGTGAGCAGCTTGCACCACTCTGCATGGAGGCTTGGTAATAAAGGATGCCTTGCCACTGTCCTGGCAGGAAGGCAGCTCCAATAGGGAGGTAACACTTGTCACATCAAATATTATCATCAAGTCCCTGCTCTTCTGGCTGCCATTTCCAGTTGCCCTCATCGATGTCCAGGGCTCAGGCACCGCCACTCTGGTAAAGTTCCTTTGTGTGGATTGCATGTGTGAAGTTGCCATCATTCTCACAAGGACTGAGGCTGTGATGCATTTTCATGTCCGAGTATAGTCTCCACCATGAATTGTGGGCATCTGAGTTCATACAGTGAGCAGTGAGATGCAAAGGAACAAAGCTCTCTAAAGCTGAGATGTTGCTGTGGCAGAGTTCCATAGTGCCAGAGTTTAGAATTAGACTTAAAACTGTATTTTAGTGAGAGCCCTGATGCCTGTAACACAAGCCACATCCTCGACCCACCAGGAGAAGCGGTGTTTGCTCAGTTAGGGCCACCAAGCAGTATTTCCTGTGTCTGAAATGAGTGTGATTGTCCCAGAATCCCAGGGCCCCTTGCTAGTTGGAGTCTTGGGAGCAGAATTTGACACTGCTGATGACGAAGGTGCAGGAGTGAGTGAAACAGGTTCCTGGCTTTCCCCTCTGCAGGGAAGTGTGTCTGCCGGAGACACACCCAGTAGTGACCAGGCTGTGCCCAAGCAAGAAGAGCCCAGAGAGGATTTCCTGGCAGCCTCTCCAGAGCCCAGAGCCAAGAATAACAACCAGAGGACAAAGTCAAAGACCAAGGTCAGGAGGCCCAAGCAGCAGCCATGAGTGGGGCTGGGAGGCTGGTGGCAGGACCTGGGGTGTATCATCACAGCCAGCAGCTGAGAAGCCACCTCGCTTGGCTTGCAGGCTTGTAGCCAAAGCAGAGATATTCAATCTGGCTGACCTCAGACTCAGGTGAGCCTGCTAAAGTCTCTGTCAGGACAAGTGCTGCTCTGTGACCCCATGAGGGGAAACAACATGGGGTTCTCTGACCCCAGAGAGAGTAAGATGGGGCTTACTCTTGGCAGGAGTCACAGGGATCAGAGGTGTCAACTCTTCCTCCCCAACAGGTGTCGGCATACTCTGACCCCACCCCAGCAGCAGACCAGCCACCAGGACACCAGAAGAACTCACACGCTCACAGTCACGCTAAAAAGAGGAGCAGGCACCGGTGTTCGTCCCCACCCCCGCCCCATGAGTTCAGAGCATACCAGCTGTACACGTTGTACAGGGGGAAGGATGGCAAAGTGATGCAGGTACCAGCAGTGCCTGCTCAGGCACTGGGGCCCCAGGTGGTCTGTTTTGCTCTATTCCTGTGGGCTGAGAGCCCCTCCTGGCATTGGCTTCATGAAGGGTAGGCCTTGAATGTGAGTCCCACGGAGGCCCCCTCCTAAACAGTGCATATGCACTCTTGTCACCAAGACCCAGGCCAGCTGAGAAGTTGGTACACAGCTTTCTGCACCATCCTCCAATGCCAATAGCTTGAGGCCCAGAGGCAATACAAGCAGCTTGGTGGGCGGGACCAACCTTGAACCCCTGTGAGTCTCGGTACCTGCTGGGCCCAAAGCTCCACCTAGCAGATAGTCTGAAGTTGCCACAGGGATGAGTCTGTCTTCTCCAGTGACTTTGTCCCCTGGTCATGCAGTGGGAGTACAAAACATGTGTTGGGGTGGGTATGTGGCCTGGGGACACCTGTGTCCTACATCAGAATGTCCGATTCTGGCTTCTTACCAATGCACACTGTGGGAAGTGGCAGTGTTAGGTTAAGTAGCCGTGTTCCTGCCTCCCTCATGGGAGACCTGGATTGAGTTCCTGGCTTGAGAAACTGGCCAGTTCCATCCATTGCTAGCATTTGGGGAATGAACCAACTGCTGGGAGCTTGGTTCAACTCTCAAGTGAAAACAGTAGAGAATGTTTTCTCCCTGTCGGGAGAATGCACAAGGAGCTGACTGTGCTTTCCTGCCCTCCTAGGCACCAATAAATGGCTGTCGATGTGAACCCCTGATCCACAAGCTGGAGAACCAGCTGGAGGCCACGGTGGAGGAGCTAAAGGCAGAGCTGGGCTCGGTGCAGGACAAGATGAACACGAAGCTGGGGCAGATGGAGAGTAAGGCCCAGCACCAGGTAAGCCAGGGCAGAAGGTGACACCAAGAGTTCACCTCACCACCTCCCACCCCGGGAGTGTCAGTCCATCCCACAGGGCATTTAGTTAGAATGGGCCCAGCATGGTGGCTGGCTCAGTGGCTAAATCCTTGTCTTACACACATCGGATCCCATATGGGCACTGGCTCATGTCCCAGCTTCTCCACTTCCCTTCCAGCTCCCTGCTTGTGGTCTGGGAAAGCAATAGAGAATAGCCCAAAGCCTTGGGACCCTGCACCTGTATGGGAGACCCAGGAGAAGCTCCAGGCTCCTGGCTTTGGATTGGCTCAGCTCAGGCCATTGCAGCTACTTGGGGAGTGAACCAAAGGACAAATTCTCTCTCTCTCTCTCTCTCTCTCTAGATCTGCCTTTCCAATAAAAATAAATAAATCCTTAAAAAAAAAATCCCACATTTCTAAATGGCTGATTGTAAAGATACTATATCTCCCTGGCAATGCAGGCTAAATAATATGAAAATTAGCAGCATAAATCCCCTGTGGAAAAGTGCCATGTATGGGTATTTTCGCCTCGTCCCTTCCTAGGTTGGTAGGCCTTACGTTCCTTTTCCCTTGCTGAGGAAATGACAGTAATCCTGCCTGTAGTTTTATTTCCTTTTCCCAGCTTTGTAGTTGAGAAACGAGCAAGCATGCAGCAGAATGGAAGGCACAGCACATTGACTGTGCATGTTCAGTTCCCTCACCTGGATCTGACCATTTTTTAGCACCTGCTGAGCCCAAAGCTCTACCTAGCAGATAGTCAAAGTTGCCACAGGGATGAGTCCATCTTCAGCAACTCTGTCCCCTGGTCTTGTAGTGAGGGTGCCAACAGAGGGGATGTGTGCTGTGTCTCACTGCCCTCCATGCTGCTCCGTCTTGGGCTGCTTGATGTACCAGCTGAGCATCCTGATGGCACCTGCATGTGCCTCAGGGTGTGCACTGATGGAACAGGGAACTTCATCCTCATCACACCTCGGAAACTGCACAGTGGTTGTGCACTCTGCGGTTCAGATTCAGAATCTCTTGGTTATCCCCAGCTGATATTTTTGGTTTATTTTTTTCATAGTTGGAGTGTGTATGTTTTTTAAGCCGTGTTTATGTGAAAGGCAGATTTACAGAGGAGACAGATCTTCCATCTGCCACTTCACTGCCCAAATGGCTGCAATAGTCAGGGCTGAGCTGCTCTGAAGCCGGAGTCTAGTTCAGGCATCCCACATGGTTGCACAGGGATAAGGACTTGAACCATCTATTGCTGCTTTTCCAAGCCATAATCAGGGAGCTGGAGGGGAAAGTGGAGCAAGCAAGACACAAACCAGCACCTATAAGGGATGCCAGTGCTGCAGGCAGAAGCTTAGTTAACTGTGCCATACACTGGCCCCTGGCTTGTTTATTTAGTCCCTATCCAGGATCCAGTGGTAGTTCCCTGTGGAGTATTTGACTGTTGCAGCCTCTGTGGTCCCTCAGCATTTACAACAGTCCCTGACTCCTGTTTCGATTTTTCTCTCCTAACATACTAACTTTGGAGCACATCCAGACTAGCTCTTTCATAAGATTCTGTCTAGGTTTGCCTGGTATTTTCTTCCTTATGTTGTTTGATTTGCTCCTGCAGGGAACTGAAAGGTAGGTCCAGAACCCTGGCTCTCTGAGAGCTGTCAGTGGACAGCAGCATTAGTGTCACCTGGGGATTTGTGGAGAGGGAGAAGAGGCAAATTCCGGGCTGCACTCAGGGTCCACCAAGTGGGATTTAAGTGTGAATAGAACTCGTAGTTCTGCCAACCTATGTGCTAGTAAGCCTCCAGGGGGTGCTAGTGTGTGCTAAAGTTTGCAACTATATATATCCAGAATGCTGCTTAGTGTATCTTTATTTTGCTTTAAAGGAGAATAGTACACACACACACACACACACGGGAGAGAGAGAATTTTCTAGCCAGTGGTTCATTTTCCAAATGACAGCAACATCCAGAGCTGAGCCAGGACAAAACTAGGAGCCTGGAACTCCATCTAGGACACCCATATGGGTGGCTGGGGCCATCTTCTGCCCTAGCAGGTGGCGGGACCAGAAGCAAAGTAACCAGGACTGAGAATGTCGCTTTGACATGGGATGCAAGCATTTCAAGTGGTGGTGGCTTAGTTCACTGTGCCACGAATGGTTGTCGCATTTCAGAATATGAATGTAAACAGTTCGTCTAACCATTTCTTTGTTAGATTTTAATGTTGTTTACAGCTTTTCCACTCACAAATAATGCTGTGATGCACATTTATATGCATAGATTTTTTTGGCTGCTCAGATTATTTGCTCAAATTAGGACTCCTTGAATCAAAGTTATTACATTTAAGGCTCAACAGATATTGACAGATGACTTAAAATAAAGGCTGCTCTGATTACTATCCCAAAAGTGCCTGGTGTCTGTCGCAGATCTCTGCAATCACTTAACATTGTTATTTCCCTGTTGTAAATTTTCTGTTCATTGGTGAGTTTCCAGTTTGGGCCTGACATTGTGGCTTAATGCTTAAACCACTACCTGCAACATCAGCATCCCATTGGGGCACTGGTTCGAGTCCTGGCTGCTCCACCTACAATCCAGCTTCCCGCTAATGCACCTGGGAAAGCAGAAAATGGCCCAAGTTCTTGGGCCACTGCCACCCACATGAGAGAACCAGATGAAGTTCCTGGCTCCTAGTTTTTTCCTGGCCCATCTGTGCCTGTTATGGCCTTCTGGGGAGTAAACTAGTGAGTGCAAGATTTTCTATCTCTGCCAGTCTCTCTATAACTCTTTTTTTAAAATCTCAGATCCTATGGAATTGTAGCATATTTTTATTCAAAATAAAAATTTTAAAAATTAAAAAATAAATAGATAAACCTTTAAATTGAAAACAAAAAAAAGGTTTGGGCCCAACATGGAAGGCTAGTGGCTAAAGTCTTCACTTTGCATGCGTTCAGATCCCATATGGGCACTAGTTCATGTCCTAGCTGCTCCACTTTCATCCAACTCTCTGCTTGTGGTCTGGAAAAGCAGTAGAGTATGGCCCAAAGCCTGGGGACCCTGCACCCGCATGGGCAACCTGGAAGACGCTCCAGGCTTCTGGCTTTGGATCATTGCGGCCACCTGGGAAATGAACCAGCGGACAGAGATCTTTCTCTTTCTCTCCTCCTCTCTGACTTTCCAGTGAAAATAAATCTAAAAAAAAAAATTTAAGGTTTATTTAATTTTTACATCCTGAGGAAAGACCATTTAAAAATATCTCTCAGGGCCATACTATATTAATTTTTGTGTAAAAACTACATCAGCCTGCCTGAGTCCAAAGAAGAATGTCTAAATGCATACGGGGTCGTGTCATTGACCACTATTTAGTTAAGGAAGGTGACAGATTCCAAAATCTCAGGCCAGGACTCTGGCCCAGGACGAGTTAGATTTCATTCATGCCTTGGCTAATCAACCCATCCTCCTTAAATCCCAGGTGCGTGTTTTGGACAAGCTAATGCTTGAGCGCCTCTCGGCAGAGAGAACAGAGTGCCTGACCCGCCTGCAACAGCACACAGACATGGAGAAGCACGAGGGGGAGAAACGGCAGGTAAAAAGCAGGAGCTGCCAGTCTGTGTCTTAGGGCTGAACATGCATGCCCTCCAAGTTAGGGGATTCAGAGGCTGAGTGCACTCCATCGCGTCCCATCACGGTGACCTGGAGGCGAAGTTCATGGAGGAGAACCTCTGGCTCCGTACACATTCTGTAACGCCAGTGCTGGCAGTCAGCTGGGACTGCATGCACATGCTGGGAAAGATGTGCAGCTCTGTGCATTGGGCCATTATGCAGTGTAGAAAAAAAGAGTACATTTTCTGCCTGCAGCCAGTTTGTCTGTCGGGATTACAGGCACTGGAACAGGCACTTGAGTGTTTGAGAGCTTGTGCTTGGCTTGGGAGATCTGAGTGGCTTTGGATGTTTGGGTTTGAGGTGGTTCTAAGTCACTTAGTGAAGATGGTAGATAACTCTTGGTCCAGGGGCTAGGTGCATTGTGTGGGAGCGCAGGTCATCCATAATTTTTGTGTGTGTGAAAGTGACATCCTTAACCATCACCATCAAAAAGTCCACCCTAGATGACTTAGTTGAGCAACAATGTGTCATATCCTCCGGTGTGTGTACTCACTATTGTTTCAGATCTCCTTAGTGGATGAATTGAAAACTTGGTGCATGGTCAAGATTCACAATCTGGAGCTGAAGCTTTCTGGAGATTCTAGATCCTGCAGGGCCAAGTCCGCGCCATCCACCTGCGAGTCCTCCACAGGTAACTGTGTGCAGAGAATGCCCTGGTATGCAGAGGTGATAGACCCCCCAGCTGCTGAAGCAGCCCATTGGATAGGGCTGTGGGCAGCGCTGGACTGTGGAGGAAGCTCTATGGCAGTGAGGCCCATATTTCTCACTTCCCATTGGGAATTGAGGAATCCCTTCCTAGTGCTTCAGCATACCTGAATGTGACAGTCCAAGAGAAGCAGTATTGATGGTGCCCGAGTCAGCTGCAGAGATGAGGGTGATGAATTGCCAGCTGACTCCCGGGCAAGACTCACCCGCTTGCCCACGGTGCCTTTCACCCATTTCTTCTTAAGTTGCCTTTCGGCTTCATCCAGCTGTGCCGAGCCTCATGCAGCAGGAGCTCATGCATTGCACCTTCTCCATGTGTTAAATGAGAGATGCTTCAAGCAAAGCGTCTTTACATTAGACATAGTGATTACACCTGATTACACCTGATGCTCATCATGAGTCCTTTCACAGCTTGGGTAACTAGACCTCAAGTGTTTTGATGTTTGGTGTTGACCACAAGCCATCTCTGGAACTGTGATCTTTTTTGTGTTCGTGACGATGGCAAACATCATGGGCAGAGTGATTCATGTCAGCAGTAGGTATGGAGCTTGTCACAGTGTTCTGGGTATGGGAAAATAGAACCACCTTTCCAAGTTGGCATTTGGGTCAAGGAATGAGGCCATTAGCTTTATGGCCCCAAAATCAAATCAATTCATTCTGCTAGATGAATGCCCAGTTCTGCTGTGAGTCACTCCGTGAGGTGATGTCATTCTTGAGTACTGAGAAATGGAAACCAAGGACTTCCAGGGTAGAATAAGATGTTAGAGGAAAGGGCAGCTCAATTTTTGCCTTAAACATCACCACAGAATCCATGAAAATGTTGAGCAACCAAGTTGGCCATCAGGGGAAGCAAGGGATTGGAAGAGGTGAGAAAAGCCCCAGAGAAGCTGCACCTGGTGGTGGTTGACCAAGATGGCAGGGGGTGGAAAAAGGATTCAGGGTGGCAGGAGTCTTACAGGCCCATGTGCACATGCCTCCACACTGACGTCTGTTGTCCTTCCAGGTGTGGAGCCGTCAGTGGTGACGGGTGGCCCAGTAGCTGCTTCAGACACTTCGTCGCAGGTGGTCAGGCCCAAGGAGAAGGCCCTCAGCAGCACTGCTCCGCACAGACCACCGCAGGAGCTGTCTGCCTCAGACTGTGCAGGCTCCCACCTGCGGAACGTCAAGGTGCAGACAGCCTTGTGTGACCAGCAGGCCGGACCCTGCGTCCACAGAGGCACCCAAACCAAGAAGTCAGGAAAAAGCAGGCATCGGGCCCAACAGGCAGCCGCTGGCAACAGCTGTGGGCAGATGCCACCAGCAACAGGTGGTGAACAGCCCACCCCTCACCTCCGAGACACTTCGCAGGCTCTGGAGCTCACCCAGTACTTTTTTGAGGCTGTTTCTACCCAGATGGAAAAGTGGTACGAAAGGAAGATAGAAGAAGCACGGAGCCAAGCCAATCAGAAAGCTCAGCAAGATAAGGCCACACTGAAGGAACACATTAAAAGCCTGGAAGAGGAACTTGCTAAACTCAGGACTAAGGTACAAAAAGAGAATTAAGATCCAGAGAGGGGTGCGGAAGATTCCCAGAGATGCCCAGTTTTGCATCTGCAGAATCAGTGGGCTTAAGGAGCCGCCGCCTGTGTTAATACAGCTGTCCTGCCTTGGAAACTGCCATGTGCTGGACATCGTGCTCCCCTGCCTCGAAGCTAGGAGGACTTTGATGGTTAAACTGAAACCAGGAGCTTACTTAGGTTCATATTTCATTCCAAACTTGCAAACTCACTACAGGTTGACCTGGAGTTCAGAAGCTCGGATGAAGCAAGCCCTGCTAAGAAACTGAATGATGTGTCAGCCTAAACTCCAAGTTCAGGATATATGAACTAACGTAAAAGAAAAGCAAGAAAACCTAAGTCCCTTGTGGACTGAAGTTGTCATTCATATCAGTTTAAACACCTGCTGTGCCTAGGCCAGAGTGTCTTATGTCGGGGAGCTGTAACTCTGAGATGTGCTTGGCTGAACCCTTTGAGTCTCAAATTCATAACTTTTAGACTTTGGACATAATTGGGTGCAGATTTATCAAATGATCTTCACAATGTAACAAGATCCATTCTGTGTTAAGCTAAATATTTCTGAAAAGTTGATTTACTTAAAGGATTATTGGCCAAGGATTGAAAATGTTCTTCAGGAGCCCACATAAGAGTTCGGATCATTCTAACACAGTTTGTGTTTTTCAGCCAAAAAAAAAGAGCGTTAAGCATAGTGATTTTAAAGCATTCATGTAACCATGGCCTGAAACTGCTCTAACCCACTTGTCTTAAAGGAGCTTTCTGAATTTGAGATGAGAAATCTACATTTTATAAAGAAGTAAGGTTATTTCCTGAAAGTATTTCAATCTGAATTATCACTGACCAATCTCAAAAGCTTTTCACTGCCTCGCAGTGACTATCCAGGTGGATAATTCAGTGATTCAATTGAGACCCCACTGACCCTCAGCTCCATGGAACCCTGAAAATCCTGTGCCCCATAATGAAAAATATTAAAGCTACAAAAATTGCTTGGTTGTGTTGAGATATTGGCTTAATTATCTTGTCTCTCTCAGTGTGGGGAGAGACAATTCCACATAGTCATGGAAGAACCTAACACATGTCACTCATAATCATAAACAAATCGATTTCTTGACATGGAAACACTAGAACGTAAAACAATAATATGACAAACAAAAAAACAACTCCAGAACAATGTTTTCCCTCGCTTTGTCAAGCTCAGTTTTGGTTCCAGACGTTGCTATAAAGTAGCAGATGTCTGCTACCAAGCCTGAATGCAAGATGAAGTGGAGGATCTCTCAAGTTCATTTTTATGTGTTTATAAACCTCTCTTGTCCTTTGGCTGCCACACAAGGGAGACTGCTCCCCACAGACTCTCCTGAATTGCTCCTACACAGGTACTTTCCTCTTTGTTTCCCAGTTTGCTCAGTCACAGAACAGTGCATCTGGACGTGACCTTCAGTTCTCTAAATAGTCCTGACAGACTATCACCAACATCAGTTGACTGAGAATGGCGTACTACTCAAGGAAGAGATGAAGCCCTGGGCGCCAGGAAGGCATGCTCTGAGCAAGGTACTTTTCACTTACCAGAGTAGTTTCTGCTACCAGAAGTAGCCTTGTTGAGAGATGCTGAAGACACATCTGAACTGAACTATCATGTCTCAACCATCCCAGGCTTGGCTGAGAGTGTTCTGAATACACTCCTGCCCTTCGGAATCAGGCATCTTCTTGGGAACTGAATGTCCCAGTCAAAAAGTCACTAACTGGAAGGAGGAAGGTCGGACGGACACAGTCCGGCACACTACCCGACTCTTCTCTTGCTTCTCCTCCATAGCAGACCATCAGAAGCCAGGATTCCGCCTCCTGGAGACAGACCAGGTGGCAGCGCTGTATCTCCAGCCCCTGTGCTTGCTCTGGTGTTTGTTCCATGGCATTGTCAAAAGCTTCGCTGCAGATCCGGTGTGTATTTTCTCATGTTTCTCCCTTGTGTTGTCTGCTAAAGTAAGGAAATGCTCAACTATACTTTTTCTTCCACAAATGTCAGTTTGTAGCCTGTCTTGCAGGTCATATTCCAAACTGAAGCTGACACATAAATAATTTGGGAGGAAAAATGGTGTGAAAACCCAGAAAAATTGTACAATGTTATAATTTGCATTGAGTGTTCTCTAAATATCTATGATAGAGTGAATGCACTAGTTCTAATCTTTCAGGAGCCAAGATAAAGTAAGTGATATTTTTATGTTTGTACATTATTTTTTGAGTCAAATGTTGATATACTTGAGAGGCATGTTTGTTGTCTTGTATTTAATATTTTTATTACCTTGAATTTGTGTCTCTTCCAAGCATTAGACATTGTTCTCAATGCAATGGATCCTTATTAAACTCCTTAATATTTAAAGAAAAATGACAGTGTGAATATTTCAATTGTTGTGGTTAACTGAGTTTCGTGTGTCCTGGGCATGCCTTCAGCCAACCACATATTACCTATGGCTATAAAAGTGTACCTTAGAATAATGCATCCGCTTTAAAGTCAAGATCAGATACATCACATCAAAACAAAATAAAAGCAGCTATTACATGGCAAGATTTCTCAGTGCAAGCTTAAGCAAATGATTAAACTGTTGATAGTCTGGGAGATAATGCACTAAGGGGGAAAACAATATGATTTGTCACAGTTGAATAATATGTAAGCCAACAGTGCTGTGGTGTAGTGGGTAAGGCTACTGCCTGCGACACTAACATCTCATACAGATACCATGTCCCAACTGCTCTGCTTCTGATCCAGCTCCCTATTAAAGCACCTGCGAAAGCTGCTAATAATGGCCTAAGACCTTAGGTCCCTGCACCCATGTGAGAGACCCAGAAGAAACTCCTGGCTTTAGACCAGCATGGCTCTGGCTGCTGCAGTCATTCAGAAAGTAAGGCAACGATTACAGAATCTGTCTCTTTCTCAGCTTTCAAATACATGAATAAATTTTTAAAAGAAAAAAATGCCAACATTTTATTTTTTGATTAATACGTTATTCCTAAAAGTTAAATACATTTCTGGTGAAATGTGGATTTAATAGCCAGTAAATTAAGATTTAAGACAAAATTATTTTTAAAGAAATAACCTTTTAAAATCTGTTTTATCATTAAAAGGAAAATATTTTTGTTTGTAATTTAAGGAGAAATTATTTCCTTTATTAATATTGATATACTAAATGTATGAAACACAAAAGGCACAGAATAGCAAAAAATTTTTTTATTTGAGACTCAGAGAAAGGGAGAGACACAGTGAAAAAGAACTTTTAACCACTGATGCACTCCCCACATGCACACAAAGGCTAGGGCTGTGTCCTATGAGACTTGGAAACCTAGAGCTTTTTCCAGGTCTCTTATATGGGTGCAGGGGCCCAAGCATTTACATTGTTTCATTGTAGTTGAAATTGCTCAGCATCCAAGCATCTGATCCTAAGCAAACACTTAACATTCAAATCAGAATACAGTTTAAAGGCAACACTCAGAACTGTTGTCTAGCCCAGTAAACTGATAGAGATCACTTTATGATAAATAAAATGTTCCTTAATCACTGTGGTCGCATACCTGAGAAAAAATTGCTAAATAAACCTTCTCTTAGGCTAAACAAGACTTAGCCCATAATTCAGAGGGAATAATCAAAGGATATACGCGAACACAGTAACTTTTTTTTTTTTTACAGATAAAAGTATGTCAATTACATCAATCTTAGCATCTGGAAAATAATAATTCAAATTTCAGTGATTTGTTTTGAAAATCCCAACAGAATAAACCCTAGCTTAGAGACAACCATGCAAAGTGCTTTTGATGTCTTCCTGGTATACACTCAACTGCCAAGAACATCAAGACACAGCTAGACAGCTCATGTCACACTCAGAAAAATAAATTATGTCCAGTGTTTTGCTCATAGACCGTGAGTACCCATTAGTCCACCTCATAATAAGTTGACTGACATTCATCCCATCTCATATGAAAGTTGGCTCCTGCAAGTATTTGCACTGGATGAGCTCCGTGGAAGGGTATTAAGAACTGTTTTGCCTGTGGGCGCTGAGGCTGCGGGAGGCAGTCGAGGCCGTCAACTTAGACCTGTCTGGGCCACAGCCCAGGTATTGTCTATCGTTACACCAACTTCTTTCACCTACAGGATGGTCAGATGCTAGATCAGCATTTTAGCCCTGTTACCTTGATGAATGACAGGCTTCAGTCTGCGTGACTGCCAATTCTAGAATCTTCTGAAGTTTTCACTTTCTCTGTATTAATTGCGTAAGTTCAGTCCTACAAAAGTGGAGGTCAGCTTTTTGTGTCTGATGTCTGCTTCACCTTTTCTCCTGTCTCTGGAGAAGCTCCTGATGCACTGAGGATCTTCCTCAATGATTTTTTTTAACCTCTTTCCATCTAGACTTTCAGGTTAACAACAGAAGTTTTATATGGAAGATGTTATAAATAAGTCTTCCTCCATCTCCTTGGTAAGTGCTTGATAATTGTGCTCATTAACCTCTTTTGTCATCCCCAACCCAGATCTGGTCTAGTGGTGGTCTTCTCAGAGGGCCTCTAGCAAGCTGTGACATAACTGAAGAACACAGCTCCGTGCAGAAGGACTTTCCATCCAGGTGCAGAGTATCTCCTGAGGTTGGCAGAGCTCCAGCCCTACATCTAATCTTGGAACATCTTACTGCAATGGAATTTACACACATTTAAAATGTCATTCAGGGCCCGGTGCGATAGCGTAGTGGTTAAAATTCTTGCCTTGAACGTGCCAGGATCCCATATGGCTGCCAGTTCTAATCCCGGCAGCCCCAATTCCCATCCAGCTCCCTGCCTGTGGCCTGGGAAAGCAGTCGAGGGCGGCCCAAAGCTTTGGGACCCTGCACCCATGTGGGAGAGCCGGTGGAAGTTCCAGGCTCCTGGCTTCGGATTGGCTCAGCACCAGCTGTTGTGGCCACTTGGGGAGTGAACCATCGGACAGAAGACCTTCTTCTGTCTCTCCTCCTCTCTGTATATCTGCCTTTCCAATAAAAATAAATCTTTAAAAAATTAAAATATAAAAAAATAGTGATTAAAAAATATATATAGTGATTCAAAAAATATATAAAAATAGTGATTCAAAGTCCTTGGATATACTCAGTTGTATAACCACCATGTTCTAATTTTAGGAGATTTTCATCACCTAGAAATCACCACAGTAGTTACTAATTTGTGTCATTGATACACTTTGTAGAAATAGAACCACAGTATATGATTTTTTCTAAAGATTTAATTTTTATTGGAAGGCAGATTTATGGAGAAAAAGATCTTCTATCCACTGGTTAATTCCCTAAATGGCAGCAGCAACTGCAATTGAGCCAATCTGAAGCCAGGAGCTTTTTCCTGGTCTCCGACATAGGTGCAGGGTCCCAATGCTTTGGGCCATCCACTGTTTTCCCAGACCATCAGAAGGAAGCTGGGTTAGAAGTATAGCACCCAGGACATGCATGGGTTCCCATATGGGCTACTAGATATTTGGAGGTGGAGGATTAGCCAGTTGAGCCAACACACTAGCCCCCATAATATGATTTTTTTTTAAGATTTATTTTTTTATTACAAAGTCAGATATACTGAGAGGAAGAGAGACAGACAGGAAGATCTTCCGTCTGATGATTCACTCCCCAAGTGAGCCACAACAGCTGGTGCTGCACCAATCCAAGCCAGGAACCAGGAACTTCCCCCAGGTCTCCCTGCGGGTACAGGGTCACAAGGCCTTGGACCATCCTCAACTGCTTTCCCAGGCCACAAGCAGGGAGCTAAATGGGAAGCGGGGCTGCCAGGATTAGAACCGGCGCCCATGTGGGATCCCGGCACATTCAAGGTGAGGACTTTAGCCACTAGGCCATGCCACCGGGCACCATAATATGATTCTTTAACATTTATTTTGAAAGTCAGCAAGACATTGAGATCTGCTGGTTCACTCCCCAGTTGGCTGGGCCAGACTGAAACTGGGAGTTTCATGTGTATCTCCTCATGGGGAGCAGCGGCCCAAATGCTTGGGCATCATCTGTTTTCCCAGGCATCAGCAGGATGCTGGATTGTAAGTGGAGTAGCTCATATCCAATGGTGGACATGAGCCAGCACCTTGAGATACCCAGGTGGCAGTGTTACCCACTGCACCACAATGCTGGTGAACCATGTGATCTTTTGACTAGGTTCCTGCCACGTTTTCAAGGCTTATCCATGTGCAGTGTCTATCAGTGTGTTCCTTTTTAGTCCTAAATGAAACTTCATTTTAAAAATATGACAATTTATTCATTTACGAGTTCACAGGTAGTCATCATTTCTGCCTTTTGACTATGTGAATAATGCTATTAACACTCATGTCCAAGTTTATAGGGATTTTTTTTTCAGGCCTCATGGTTAAGACCTAAAAGCAGAATTGGTAAGTAGTGTAACTCAGCATTTAACCTTTTGAGGAACAGTCACTGTTTCACGAAGCAGCTGCAGACAGTTCCCTTTCCGACCAGCAGGGAGTTCCAGTTTTTCATGGTCAAAGTGATAGGCTAGTTCATTGTGTGAGTGCGTATTTATTAAAAGGACAGAGAGACAGATCCTCCATCCACTCTTTTCTGCACACATCAGTGCAGCCCAGGTGGGCCAGGCGGAAGCCAGGGGCTGGGCTCCATCAGGTCTCCCTGTGGATAGCAAGGAATCGAGCATTTGAGCCATTCTGTGTGGCCTCCCAGAGTGTACCTCAGTAAGAAGCTTGCTCAGAGTCAGGACTAGGACCAAGCACTTCGATATGGAAGAGACATTTAATCAATCTTATTTATTTATTTGCTTGCAGAATTACATAGAGGGAGAAACAGATCTTTCATCTGCTGCTTTACTTACTCCTCAACTCCGGCACACCAGCCGAAGACGGGCTAACCAGGAGCTTCTGTCGGGTCTCCCATGTGGGTATCCAGGGGCCCAAGCACTTAGGCCACTTTCTGCCACTTTCCAAGGTGCCTTGGCACGGAGCTGGATCGGAAGTTAGCAGCCAGAAGTTGAAGTGATGATCATAGAGGATACGGGCACAGCAGGCGGTTTTAACAACATCCACCTCTTGACATGTTGATACTGCCCACCTTTTCTTGGTTTTGAGTGGTGTCTTCTTGATAAGTATGGTGCCTAACGGTGTGCTAACTGGCCATTTGCCTCAGTGGTTTTGGCTTCTTAAAACTGCTAACACATCTAGAAATACTGCTTAAGCTCATGGTCATTTTTTCAGCACTAAGGCAACTGTTTGGATGGCTTGGGGGAGGTGGCTGAGTACCCACTGTGTGACAGTAATCTATTTGGTCTGAAGACTGTCCATAAAAACAGTTCAACTTGGCTTTGCACTGTTTCTTGTGACACTGCAATTCAGCAGAACACACAGAAACTAAAAACCCTTCAGAACAATGCTAAAGTTAAGATTTTGCTAAAGCAAGTGTTTTCTCTAATTCCTTCAGCTGCATGTTGCCTTGAGTGATCATCATCCGGATCACATCCTGTAGAAGAAAAGGGATGACTCAGTCACTGCTTTAACTCCTCTCAAAGAGTGACACACAGAGCAAGAGATGATTTCCCCCCACTGACTGTTGCACTCCCCAAATGGCCACAGTGGCTGGTGCTCAGAGGAGCCCAGCACTCACAGTGGGTCGCCCACCAGGGCGGCAGGGGCCTAAGCACTTGGGCCAGCTGCTGCCCTCTGGGACCCTTCAGCAGGGAGCTGGATTGGGCAACTACAGCAGACTCCACCAGGCACTCCAGTAGGAGAGGCCAAAGCTGGCGGTGGCAGAACCTGCTTTATGCCCCTGTGGCTAGATGCGCTCAGCAGTGCCATTTTATTGTAACAAATCAAACAATCATGGAAATCAGAACTGCATGTAAGACTAGCTGGAAGCTCTTCTTGTATACAGATACCTGAAATGGAACAGGGCATGAGTCAAGTGTTGCCACTTTAGAGCGTAAATGCACAATCTCAAATTTTAACTGTATTTGGAAAATCAACAACATTAAAAAGCAAGGCCAAAATATTCCATCTTAGTAACATTCATAGTGGGTGATTACTGCAAAACTTAAAAATAATACAAATGACAAACTGCCGAGAGCCAGGGACTATCCGCACCTTGACCTCGGGCTTACCTCTTGGGTGGCACTTTTGTTTCTTTTGAATTCTTCCCTTGCCCAGTCCCTCAGGTATTTGCGATCGGAATCATCTGGAACTCGCTGAATCGCTTGCAAAATCCTTCTGTAGAGGAGGAGGACTTGTTGCCTTCTCAAGAACTGCGCGGAGGAGAAAAGGCGGTTACCACGGCAACGTCGCAGCCTGGGTCGTCCCGCTTTCCCCAGCCAAGCTGAAACCAGGCCTTTCTTGGGTCCTCAATTTTGAAAAGGAGAATTACTAAAGAACAGAGTAAGTTCATTCGAGCTCTTTGTTTACTCCTCCGTTAACTCTAAGAACATCTAAAATTAAAAGCTGGCGACACTATCAGGCAGCAGCTCTTATCACGGTAAGGGCTAGTTGTTACAAAGCCTGAGGAATCTTGTTCTTTGCGGTAGCTCAGTGCAATGGACACAGCAGTTTTCCGCAGCTGCCGGGCAGTTGAGATCCCAGCAATACAGCACTTCCCGCCCAGGAACAGAACCCTGGCCCAGGCCGGCAAAGCTCAGGGCTCAGCGTCAGAACGCAGTGGACCCGGGGCCACAGCACTGCGGGTACCTGCTTCAGGGTCAGCGTGGCCGGAGGTAAGCGGGAGACTCCCATGGCCGCGGACAGCGCCGCGGGAGCCCGTGCGCGCAGGAGCGGAAGTGGGCCGGCGGGGGCGGGGCGAAGCCTGGCTTCCTGGGAGCCGGCGGGGCGCGCTTGTGTGTGCAGGAATGCTGGAGCAGGGTTGGGCGACAAGGGGCAGCGTGGCCTTGCCTTTCATCTTGTCAGCCTGAGCTAGCTTAGATTCAGTTTATTTGAAAGGTAGAGGAGATAGAACTTGCATCCGCTGGTTCCTTCCGCAAATGAGTGCTACTGGCTGAGGCCACTTAGTGCAGGGGTCCAAGAACCTGGGCCAGTCTCCGCTGTTTCCCCAGTTACATTAGCAGGGAGCTGGTGGGAAGTGGGGCAGCTGGGACTCCAACCAGCGTCAAGGTGGGATGCCAGTACTGAGACCTAGTGGCATAACTGTGCCCCAATGCCCGCCTCCTTAGTTTTCTGATTGTCTTATGTCGTATGGTTTTAGAAACATTTTAAAATTCAATTTTCATAACATACATCTCCATAAATAAGCATCTTTTAATAATATTTGTTTTTTGAAGCTTCGTACATACATACTGTACTTACAGCAGCACCTGGTCCCTGTCAGGTCACTAATGGTGAACTCTGTTGAACTTAACCAGGTGGAACAGCCACAGTCCCTAACTTCCAATGCAGTGCAGAAACTGAGCAGCTATTATTACTGGCGTAAGCTCTCACCACTTGCTCCTTTCATTGCTTTTGGGTTGGCAGTTTGTGTTTTGGGTCACTTTAGGATCAGGACTTTAATTCAAGTTTTATGTGTGCTCTGTTGGGGGAGCACAGCACAAATAATTTTTTTTAAAGATTTTTTATTGGAAAGTCAGATTTACAGAGAGGAGAGAAGGAATAGAGAGGAAGATCTCTAAGATGGTTTACTCCCCAAGCGGCTGCAATGGCTGGAGCTGAGCCAATTTGAAGCCAGGAACTTCCACCGAGTCTCCCATATGGGTGCAGAGTCCCAAAGCTTTGGGCCATCCTCGACTGCTTTCCCAGGCCACAGGTAGGGAGTTGTATGGTAAGTGGGGCTGCCCATATGGGATCCCAGTGCGTTAAAGGAAAGGACTTCAACTGCTAAGCTATCGCGCTGGGCCCTTATTTCTTTAAATGTACAAAAGGCAAGTGTCTGTGTAGGGTTTTTTTTTCTTTCCCTACTCACAGCTTTGCAACATACCCCCTTATTTTTAAAGTACTTGCTTTGTCTAAAACTTGGTCTGTGGCATGATGGTCTTTTTCTGTCTGCTGCCTGCTTCCCCCCAACCCTTGAGCTTGGTGATGCTGTTTTGGCCATGTAGTATATTATTTTAGGATCTGAATAATTTCCTAAGGACTGTTTTGTGGTAATATTTTCACTCTTCACTGTGTTACAAAACTCTGTAGTTGGTTGTCAGACTCTTATATCATTGGTGTTGAGTGACCTTTAGAAATGTTTTCACGCAGGTGACAGCGTTATGCACCATACAGCTGCCCTGTCCTCAGACATGTAACGTCAATGGAGTGCTTAGGGGAAAATGAAAAACGTTAGGGGTTACACCCTGGAAGCTCATTCTTCCAGAGTTGGCTTTGGCAAAGTAGCTAAGTGAAGTTTCCTTCAACTGAGAGCTCTTGTTTGCTTTGACTGTTTCAGGTAACGGTAGGGGTGCTAGCAGGTCAGGCAAGAACCACGGGTCACAGCAAGCAGCTTGCAAAATACCCTCTTCAGATGGAGCCTGGGAGGAGTTTGCCACTGGATTTTGTTTTAGAAAGATATCCCTTGGTTTTGTAAGATAAAGTGAAACTAAAACATAAACACCTGGCAGAGGTTAAGAAAGGACGGTATGTCCAGTGGACAAGGGATATGGATGGAAAAAGGAAATTAAGGTGGATGTATAGATTGAGACCCAAGTTTATAAATTGATCAATAGGAGTGGGGAATACTGGAGAAGTAACAGAATTAGGATGTGAGAATTCAGCATCATATTTGAACATGATGTATTTCAAGAGTTTCTCATTTAGCAGCATTCCGGACACCTTTGCTCAACTCCTGAAGACTTTTTGCAGATGGTGAGGCTGTCTAAAATGAGATTATTAAGTAAACATGAAGAGCATTTATGTTCTGCTGTCTCCTCCTCGAAGACAGAAGGTACCTGGCTAAGGAGCCTGGATTGTTGGGAACATAAAGGGGAAGAGCAGCAAGCTGCTAAGTGACTCCTGGTGTTCATCTGACCCTGTGCCAGGGACTCCCACCCATCAGTTCCTGGTGAGTTCCTGATACTCTGGAGTACCTGCTGACCCGCATTCTTACCTGATGAAATATCATTCTGGGGTACCAACTTAGAAGCACTATCTGATAAAACCTTCGATTACAGATAGATAAAATAGGCTGCATCATTGTCATGATGTTGCTGCCTTTCCCTACTAGGAGGGCAGTAAGGATATGTGTGTAGCAACAATGTGACATGTCCCTATGTAGCAGTCCTTATGAAGTATTGTGCACTTCCTCCAACTCTCCCCTTTCCCTTGGTCAGAGTGGACTACCAACCAGGCTCAACTTGAGGGGTACCTTTCACAAGCCTATGCTGTATTCCAGCAAGAATGGTTACAGATTACACCAACAGTGGTACATGTTTTAATAATTTTAAGAATATAAGCTGCATAGCTTTTTAGAATAAAAAATAACAGTATTCTAACTTCAGGTACATGCTTTAGAACATTTGGTGAAACAACAAGCAATGTGACAAGCACCTCAAAGGGTGGCGCATTTCACAGTGGAAAATGGCAACAGAGGTGGAGACAGACAAGCACATCGTGGCATGTTGCCTACAAAACACTTGACGGAAGAGTAAACACAACACTGCACACATCTTCAAGTATCCAGGCACACTGCTTTTTGGCTAAGCTGAAAGCTGCCTCAAACCCACTGATGTCATTTTGACTAGGGCGTGGAGTTGTAGCTGTTTAGTTAATGGGGACACAGCATTTCTTTCCAACGTCAGACAGACTCAGTCTAGCTTGAGCAGTGTGAGGAATGATTTTCCCTTTAAGGAAAAAAAGAACTACATAAATAAATTACTACTACAACAGGCAACCATGGCACTTAGAGGATGAAATAAAGACAGCCATCTTTCCATCATTGCATAGTCTTCTACAGCAGCAAAAGTGAAGGACACAAAATAGTCACTGTGTTAAGGTGGCCAAGATTCATTTTGCTGATTGCTTGGCATCCCATAATGTCCAGTTGCTTTGTGAAAGCACACACAAAGTTCCCTGCCTTCAAGGAAAAGAGTTCCTTTCACAATAAGGAGTTTTGGGTGGGCTTGACGAGGCAAAGCTGAGAGCAGGGTCAAAAGGACGGCTGGCTAGAGTCCTCTATCCAAGGGACTAGCACATCTTGTTGGCAGATGTCCAGAGCCCCTGTGGGGGCCACACTTGCAGTATACTCCAGGTGCTGGTGCGTGGCCTCTCCTCCGGCTTGGCTGCCAGCATGGGGAACGAGGGCAACACTGCCCTAGTTCCCAGGGTGATCCCTGCTGCTCCTTCACTGCCCAAGAGCTTTCTCTAAGCTCTGAGATTATACTGTAAAATAAAAACATACATTGCAGTAAAATGTTTTTACTGTTGGATACCAAGTTTATAAATTATGCATAAGAATAGCATATTTTAGAGCTGAGTTCAGATAACAGTTGTCCAAGCGAAACCCTTGGGCAAGAAGTAACATTTTGATTGTGGCGAATACGTGCAGGGTTGTCCCTCTGGAGCACTCTCTTGGATCTACAGGTGATCCGAGGCTGTCACCAACTCAAACCACTGCCTCAAGGCATCGCTGAGGGTCTCAGGAAGTGCATTCACATCTCGAAGAATGATATAGAATGGGAACGGGAACTCCTCCATGTAAGATCGGATTTCGGGCATCTCCCCAGGTCCTTTAAATATCGGTACTTTAATGTCCAAAATAGAATCCTGTCAAGACATTAACATGGAAAGGAAAAATCAATCCCCATCTTATCCTTGTCTGCCTAGCTCGTCCTTGACCTTTTGGCTGGCACGTTTTATGTCATTCCCAGGAATAAAACTAGCTTTTATTCATAAGTGAAGGAATTTTCAGAGGCAGATCTTTTTTTTGAGCACCTCTTCTAGGACTAGGTAAGAAGAGTATAAATGTGCTTGCCTTCAATGGCATTTCCATTCTACTTGAAATAATTGCAAATTAAATCTTCATGTGCCATCCAGGACTTCAAGTGGCTTCAGTGACAATGCCCGTTGTGAGGACACTTCAGACGGTGCAGGTAGGGCTTGTCTGAGTTCAGAGTGGTGAGGCTCCACTATCCCAGCTCTTTGGAGGGACACTCTGACCCAGAGAATGGTCTCTGGAGACAGTGTGAGTCTCTCACTCATCATGTTACACAGTGAGAAGAATGATCCTACCTCACTGCCTTAATGTAATTAAGTCCCTGTTACAACAGTGCAAGAAAATTCCTGTGACTGATGGAGCAACACAGGCTACATTTCAGAGCTGAAAGGAATCCCCTCATTTACAAAAAGATGCTTTTTTCAGTGGTTACTTACCCGTGAGTTGGGATTGTCCAGCACAACAAAAATTACGAAGATGTTGGCATTCTGGGTGGCCTGCACTGCTGCCAGGACTCTTTCCTTGCCTTCCAGGAAAAGGCCTCTTCCATCAGAGACTATCAGAAGCAGCTGCGCAGTTTCTGCAGAACACATGACAGAGGAAGGGAATAAAATAGAAACCACCCAAGGCATGACAGATCTATGAAATCCTAAGTTTCACATACAAAAGGGGTCTTTAAGCAAATGAACTGGAGATGGTAGAACTCGAGGCAGGGCTGTCTGTCCAGGGAACTTAGCAAGTGCCATCAGGTGTGAGCAGCTGATTTCCAAAGTGAATCCCCGCTGTCTCTCCATGGTCTGGTCAGGACTGAGGTGTTGGGAAGGGTCATGTGAAGAAGTGGTGTGTTTCAGGCTAAAGCAACTGAGATTGCTTAAGCCAGTTTTTGAATTATGTCTTTCTTTGTTACAAAAATATTATGTAACAGTCTTATACTTAATTTCACACAACTTGGTCCTTTTTATTCCCACTTACAGCCCTGAACTCAATCTACCAGTTAATTAGCTCTAAATCCCAGTGTGATCGGATCCAATAGAAATTTCAGAGCAAGCAGGTAAAATTCCATCGATGCCTAAATATCCCCCCTGTTTTTTTATCTTCCGTAGATGTCATGCAATGGAGACAGTAAGAAGAAGTAAGGACTCTGCAAAACTGAGAACAGGAGAGGGGAGAGAATGCAGCTCACCTGGACTGGTGCTTTGTGAGAGTTGCTTAGCAGATGCAAACATGCTGGCCACAGATTCTAGAAACTAAACCAGAGACAATTAGAAATGTGAGTTTTCTACTCTTCTCATTCTATTGGCACACACGCTGAGGCTTGAGACTATTTGGTTGTAAACTTTACCTGTCTTAATATCACATCAGGGGGCTGGGACCTTTGTAAAAATTATACCTCTTTGATTCCAATTTAAGAACTAGAAGACACTGGATGAAATCACACTACCTGAGCAATCCTGGTTTTCTTTTGTTGGAATTTGCAGAGCCGAAGGATCTGGGAGCCTGAGTAATCACTGAATTGCTCATGGAATGGATGTAACAGCTTGACAGACTCTCCAAAACTTGGGAAAGAAAAACCACACATAGTGGGAGTTATTTATTGTCATATGATCAAAATAACCAAATACTGTCGGCAAGATTTCCCCAGAGAAATTCCAAGCCCAGCTCACCTGCACACTGCGACCTGGCCCACTTCCAGGAGGGTAAGAGCATTTGCAATCACAGCCAACGATTCAAATGCAAGCTATGAAACAAAGTTAAGTATGTAAGACATTACAAATCGTCTAAACTAAGGCCTGGCCATCTTTTCAAGCATTATGGCCACAGAAAACATTCCTTTCTCTGTGGCACACACAGTGACAGCACCACCACGGCCATTATTTAAAATCCACCGAGAGTGGCCTGAGGCCCTGCCTGGCATCACAAATGCCAAAACCCAGAAGCTATGACTCCAGTAGGCAGGTCTGCTCCAGACACCAGCTGATAGAAGTGCTTTTGAGAAATGCACTCCAAAAATGTGCACTGCTTTTCCTTTTGATGGGGGTGGAGAGACTATAAAAATTCATCTTTTATGGGCAACATATTTGATTTTACTACATATGAATGTGTTTTAAAATATAAAACTTTATGCAGGTGGTAAGGGAATATTTTTGTAAACAATCAGCATAGTCTTAGAATTTCAATTCATGTAAGAAGCATGAATTGTTCTGTGTATTTTGTTTCATTTACTCTTCCTAAGTCTGAGGTATCAAGTAGGGAATTATTCTCAGAAGGTTAGCTCGACATTTAAAGCAGCTGAGTGACTCATGGAATGTGGTCTGGTGTTAATTTCCATCAAACTGCCAGGCACTTCTGCTTACCTGCTTGGTATGGTTGTCCACCATACTAGAAGAGTCATCGATAGCCAAACAAATCTGATACTGCCGTTTACTGGGTTTGGTCCTTCGAAGCCAAATCTTGTCCTTCCGAAACTGACTAGCAATGTATGGGATGACCTTCCGCATGTTCAGTCGCTTCCCAGTACGGTAGTCGCCTCTATAGGATTTATCCAAACAGCAACAAGGGTTAGTTACCAATTAAACACCTCTTGAGAATTTTTGAGAATTTTCTTTTAGAACAAAATGCAGTAATCTCAAACAACCAGGTTCGTGGAGTGCAATAAGGTGTTATTGAGAACTAAAGGTTTCTTCCTTTTTGACCATTAGACAGAGAAACTACATGGATAGGAGGCAATAATTAATTCTTCCACTGGTGATGGTTATTTTTTAACTGCACTGAATGAGACCATAGATCTCCCTTTTCTGTTCTAAATCTATGCTTTGAACCTATCTCTGAAAAGATGGATATTAACACCTACAGCAAGAGAGTAGCAGCTCAGCCAAGAACGACTGAGACTGCTTTCACACCAAACACCAGAGATTGGAAGTAGCAGGAGAGCAGAGTAGGGAGCACCATACTGGGGCTTCTATGCCAAGAGGGGCAGCAGACACCAACACACTTAGTGGCACCGTTGCCTTTCCTAAGCATGTGAGAACTTTGGATGGGTAAGACTTACTTGAGCTTGGCTGCCTGGGTAGGCTCTAATATGAGACGAAGCTGCTCACATAATTGCTGCGAAAGAGGTGCAGTTAAGACCAGGTAACTCTGCCACATCTCAGCTGCCATCTTCTCCTGTGATAACAACATCTAAGTTAGCCTACGAGTGTCAGAGCCAGACATGACGTCAACACAAAGGAGGAAGGTCTGAGCAAAGCCGGCATCAAGCCAGCCCTGGCCTTCTCAAAAGCAGCACCTGAGGCCTGCACTTAGTGAGTGGCTCTGAATTTCCCACAATTCCAAATGAGGAAGTCTGAGGCGGTGAGACAGATCAGTACATCAGCCACAAGGCTGGAAGCCAGTATTCTCCATGAAGGGGCAGAGGTAATGGGGCAGGAATCCCGGTGCCAGAAAACATAGCCACTGATTTCTTAGGCGCCACGGGTCATGTTTAAGAGTGACAGTGACAAGTAAAGGCAAAACCCTCAGGTTAACACTCAGCAATGTGCTCATCTTGGACACAAAGCACTGTGGTACAGCATTTCATACATAAATATGGTGGGAATGATAATATTCAATACAGAGGTTTTGATAAGCTATCTGCATCTTGTGGCAAAGCAGGCAGAGAGCGATGCACAGACTTGGGCTTCAGGGTTGCAACTACTTAAGGACTTGTACTTGTGCAAAGTGTACAGTTTGTTACAAAAGAAAAAAAGAGGTTTGTAGTTGCAGGTGCTTAACAAAAACTCAAGCTGCTTTAAGAAAAAAAGCTGTGACTTACTTCCTCTGGGTTTCCAGGTTCATGTGGCTGCCACATTTCCAGCTGTTTCTCCAGCTCCTCTCTTAGCTCACTGACATCTTTTAAAAAGGGCTGAGAAGAAAAGGCAGAGTAAGAGGGGGCCCCAGTGAGATTAGCAACTCATCATGGCTGTCAGCCTCCCTGCAGCCTGAACTCAAAATGGAGGCAAACTGAATGGCACAATGTGATGATGCCATACAATCATTCTTCTGCTTCCCGATTTATAAATAACAAGGATAAAGAAAACATTTAATGTATTTTGTCTGCTGTGTTGGATTTATACATGAGTCATCAATAGCAAAAATTCTTTGATCAATCTGTACTGCCATGGAGCTGGCATTGTGTAGTACATTAAGCCTGCAGTGCTAACACCCCATACAGGCACTGATTCAAGTCCTGGCTGCTCCACTTGCATCCAGCACCCTGCAAATGTGCCTGGGAAACCAGCAGTGAAGAGAGCTTGGACCTTTGCACCTACGTGGAAGACCCAGATGAATCTTTTGGCTCCTGGCTTCAGCTTGGCCCAGCCCTGACTGTTGTGGCCACTGGGGAATTAACCAGTGGGTGGAGTATCTCTCTGACACTACCTTTCAAATAAACAGCAGTTGTTCTTATTTCTCCAGTTGCCTTGAAGATTCCTTCCACAAGGGATGGAAGAAGAGCCAGCCAGGAGAGCAGAAGGATGGGTGAGAGCATTGTAACCTCTCACCAAGTGCTGAAGATTGTCATCTGCTTCAACAATACCTGTCACTACAGCAGCATTCTCAAAGTTCTGGCAAGGACATGATATAACCAAACAACTAGATAAGACTTTTAAGCTGTAATGTAATATATACATATAGTACCTTTTAATTCTTTTTAGAACTTCCCGTTTTATTTATTTTTAAAAACAGTGACAGAAAGGAAAAGACAAAGCCCTTATAGCTGCTGGTTTACTTCTCAAATGCCCTTAACAGCCAGGCCCAGGCCGACTGAGGCCTGAAGCCCAGATTCAATCTGGATCCAGACTCAATCTGGGTCTCCAACATGGAGGGCAGGGACCAACCTAATGCTACCCCAGGGTGCACATTAGTAAGAAGCTAGATAAATGGGAAGTGGAGGGGAGTTTTGATCTTAGGTACCACAACATGGGATGTGGGCATCCCAAGTGATGGCCGGCCCCACCAATGCCACCACACCCACCCCAATCTTGTCAATTATTAAAGTAAGAATTTGTGAGAGGTGTAGCACCTGGGAAGTTGGGTCCATGAGGAACTGCTGGGCTGTATGGATGGTAGATACTCTGCTTCTCTCTGGTTTCTCATTCTCTGTCTCCTGGTGCGATCTGTCCGTCCTGCGGTCTTGGTCGTCTTCTGTTTTAATGGTCTGAGCCTCCGTCTCCATCTCATCAGAGCCTAGTTTCATGTAAGGACACAGTTTTATTTGTCACAGTATTAGTATTGAGCCTAACAGTGAATGAAGCTCTACTCATCGTCCCTCCACGTACGTCCATGAGTTTTTCTCTGTGCAGTAGTCACTGCTGATTCTTGCTCTAATTTTGCCCATCTCTGTGCTCTAATGTTAAAGGTGGTTGTTCTAAAATAACTTACCTTGTAAACCTTAAACTGTGTGCCTGTAGAAACTTTGATAAAAATAAAAACTAAAAGAAAAACACTGCCTCAGTATCTTCATCTATGAAATGGAACAAAGAAAAAAAAAAAAAAAGACTGATGGATTTGAATCCTGACAGTTTTACTCAGTTTTATTTTTTCTGCCATTGTGCTGTGCCAGCAGTTAACAGCATCTTAACACCTTTGTGAGTACAAAACAAAGCAGAAGAAAATGGACTTTCATATAGCAAATTCTTTTTGAGTTTGCATTTATTCCACTGCTGACAGTTATTTTTCAATTTTCAGAATGTGTGTTCTTACTTAACAAAATGTCTTGTAATAGTTTGATTAGCTGTGATAAAAGGGAGCTTACTACTACTCACATTGCAATTTCCTCATTCCATCTTTTACTGTACTTTATACTTCAGTATAACTCAAACATTTTTTGTAATAACCATGAATATACCTTATCACCACAACTGGCAAATGTACTACTCTATTTTCTTGTACATACATATTTTTAAAAAGAAGGATAGGATTTTGTTGAAAATTCAAGGTTCCCTGGTGTCCTACTGCTCCTATACCTTTCTGCTTCCGAACAATTACGACAGGCAGGCGACCCCGTGAGGCCATGGGTTAGGACACGGGTAGGCTAGGGTGACAGAGAACTGCCTGCTGCACATCAGAGCAATGTGTTCCCTTGCAAGACTCACCAGAGGTCGCTGTGATCCTTGACTTGACATCCTCTGGCTGCAGCTGCTCGGTGTCTGCCGCCTGGAGTTCCTCCTGCTCCTCCATGTCCATCATGGTGTCCTCTAGCTCCTCCTCATCCTGCCCACAACCTTCGGCCATCTGTTGCTGCTCCTTGCTGGCCACATCTACATACACACAGACAGCTTAGGCTTTTGCAAAACATAGCAGTGAGGAGAAGGCAATGGCTTCTGTCTTATCTAGTTTCCAAAATTCTATGAATGCTGCTTCTGCTGCTGACTAGCAGTCTGGCTTTTGAGCTTAGTCCACGCCTGCAGATGTAACTGTTCTCTACTTCCTATAGAATTTAGAAGGATGCAGTATAGTTATACATGTAACCATAAAAATGGGGGGTGGAGGGGGACAGCTGTCTTACAGGGCTTTTAACTGCTATGAGAAGAAAATGAGGAATAAACTTGTATGAAATGAACTTGTTTAAAGTTCATATCTTAGGGTATAAAACAAAGTACAGAAAGACGATGGGAATTCCAGCCCTGTAACCTCTGTTTACTTAGGGAAAGCCTAGCTCATAGGAGTATTTGAAGAATTCCATCAATATAAAAGCCAAAGCTGAAAGCAAAAGCTCAACACCTGCTAACCTGTTATTACTGCTGCTTTACTTTTCTGTAAGTAGAGACATAAAAGAGTAACCTACTGAACAGCCCACTGCAAGTAGATATGGTCAGTCAGTTTATATATCAGTGAAGCAAGGAAAAGTCAGTAAGGGAAATAAAAAAAAAAAAAACTGGACTACTTAATTCTCACTCCAAGACACTCACACAGAAAACACATTTCAAAAACTTCATGCTTCCTGCTAGTGTGGGATTTTCCTGAAAGTGACTGAAAAAGTGTCCAGCATGAAGACACCCTGAGACCAGCACATAGTCCCATCATGGCTGATTATTAGTAAGAGTACTTCCAAGAATGACCCTGAACCCAGCAAACCCAAGCAGTCACACTTGATGAGGAACCCCTCTATACTCAAGCTGCATTAAGGCAAACATCTCACTTATCCTGTATTTCTCACTAGAGACACACCAGCATTAAAGGCGATCCTTGTCACTGCACAACACAAGCTCACAGGACTCAAGGAGCTAAAGCAGAAGCTGTCCCTTTGCCGTACCATAGGTCTGTGCATCATATGTGTCGCTGCCTTGTTTGATATGCTCAAATTCATCTGCATCCTCCACCTGGGCCTGGGGCTGAGCTGGCCCCTGTTCGGCAGCAGGGCTGTCTGTATCCACTGTCCGCAGCCTCTTATGCACACGCTCATTGTGATCTCCCATGGACCGTTCATTGTCAGCCTGCCCGGGTTTCCTCTTAAAACTCTGTGGGAGACAGAATTCATCATAGTGTTATCTGTAATGAAAGCAAAGACTCAAAATAAACCTCATGGCCACCCAAAAGGGACAGGCTAAGTCAAAGTGGTACAGACACACAAGAATTCAATGCAGCTACTGAAAAGACCCACGTTTCTTTGTATGTATGCAAAGAAATATACATGTACATACTCACATTATGTTCATCGATGTTCCAACTGAGGAAAATAGCTCTGAGACAAAATAACTGAGTAGTCCCCTGGGTAGCTTGGGGACAGGGAAAGCATGCAGGCTCCTTTAAGGCTGCTCTCTAGTTCTATTGCATGTACACGAATTACATGTCAAGAAAACGAAATTTTAAAAAGCAAAACAAAAAAGATCAAAGACAGTGAAAACAGTGAAAAGACTGGCCAGTTCCAGGCAGTGGAACTCAGCCCCTGGCTCTTAGTTCCATGTCAATGAACCCTAGTGATGGGCTGTCCTGGGGTCAAGGCTGGGGTCTACTTTTTAAACCACTACGTTGATGGCATGTTTTTCAACATCAATAGTGATAAAAACCTGTGTATTTTTCTTGCTGTGTTTCTGGGAAGCCAGCCGGGCAATGAAGTTGGACTCGTGGCCTTCTGCCTGGTTGGCATCTGCAGCTCCACTCCCATGCTCCTAGGGAAGGCAAGCCAAAGAAGAATGAGGTGGAAAAAGCGGAGATAGGCTCCAATTCCTAAGCCCCACCTCTACTTCCCTCCCACTGTGCCTGCCTGGAACTCAGTGCTGACAGGAAGAGCTGCATCACTCCCTGTGGTGTCTTCCTTACAAACCCAACTAGTTCCTGCCTGCAGGAGGATTAGGCTTCACTCCAAAGGCAGAACAGACCTAGATTAGAAACCAGGTGTCATCATTAAACAGCTGTATACTCTTGAGGCTGTCATTTACCTTGACTTTTATTTTCTTCCAATAGAAAATGGAGAAGCGTTAGTATCTGCTGTCTCATAGGACTACCACAAGATCTTGCTTAAGTAAGGAAAATGCTTAGTCTCTCATGGGTGCCCATGAAATGCTGGGGACAGTGGTGTGTGAGCAGTATAAACAGCTGGTACACAAAAGACCACAAAACTGGGGCTCAGATAGGCTGCAGCCTTCCCAGGGTCACCAGGGCAGCCGGCAGGTTCCCTGGCACTCAACGTTCTTTCCAGAGCATGATCACAAGACTGTATCAGAATACATTACTAGTCAAGAAAGGGAGTGCTTTGCTGTGTGATTTAACACAGCTAGAGGCTTTGAGAGGAGCAAGGTAATGGAAAGCACAGTTAGCAGTAAGGTCCTGTCGGAGGTCGAGAGACTGCCTTTCTTTCCTTGGAAAAACACAGACCACTGAGAACCACTAGGCTAAGAAGCACTTTTTCTTATTAAATATCTACCACTTTAATTCAACCTAGGAGCAGGTGTTGTGGCACAATCATTTAAGCCCACATCCAATGGCAGAGCGACTGGGAACTACTACTGCCTTTGCTTCTAATCCAGCTTCCTGCTCGAAGTGCTCCACTTCTGGTCCAGGTCTCTATCAACGTGCCTGGAAAACCAACAGATCATGGTCCAGGTCCTTGGGACCCTGCACTTACGTGAGAGAAAGATGAAACTCCAAGCTCCTAGGTTTGGTCTGGCCTAGCCCTGGCTGTTGCTGCCATGAGGAGGAGTGAACCACCAGATAAAAGATATCTCCCCTTAACTCTCAGTAGCCCTGCCTCTCAAATAAATACACCTCAAAAAAAAAAAAAAAAAAAGCAATAAGGCAAAAATAAAGCCATCTCTGTGTGTATATGTATGTATTCAAACACATTTGCATACATAAACATACGCTAAGAATATGTGTGTGTATAGCCTATACCAAATACTCTGGAGGTATATATAAAAATAATCATTTGTTCAAAGAATAGGAGATAATTTTCGCAAACAAAAATCCCACATAAACCAGGCCTGGCACAGTAGCCTAGGAGCTAAAGTCCTTGCCTTGCATGCACCGGGATCCCATATGGGTGCTGGTTCATGTCCCAGCAGCTCCACTTCCCATCCAGCTCCCTGCTTGTGGCCTGGGAAAGCACTCAAGCATGGCTCAAACCCTTGGGACACTGCTCCCATGTGGGAAACCTGCAAGAAGCTCCTGGCCTGCTGGCTTTGAATTGCTTCAGCTCCGGTTGCTGTGGCCACTTGGGAAGTAAACCAGCGGACAGAAGAGCTTTCTCTCTGTCTCTCCTCCTTTGTAAAATCCGCCTTTCCAATTAAAAAAAATAAATATTAAAACCCACATCAACTAACTACTTCTAAAGAAAATGTGATTTCAGGCCAAAAGCAGAGACCGCTCAAGAGACGCCTAGTGGAGGCAGAGGGCCCTCACCTCCTTGCCCTGCTCCTTCTCGGGTGCAGCCCCAGCCAGCTCCACGGCCTGTTCACTCTGCATGTTCTCCAATCCTGTCTGTCCACAGGAAGCGTGCTCCTTCCTCTCAGTGGCCTCTGCCACCTGCTGTTCCATGTCTGACTCCTGTTCCTCCTGCTTGTCCTCCTCCTCTTCTTCAGCTTGCTTCTGCAAAAACAATCAAACACCACAAGAAATACTCTGCTTGGGAGTACATAGGGTGCAGGCTCTGTGGCATGCTTTTCCCCAGCCCCCCTGATGGGAGTCTGTAGAGAGGAGTCAGCCACAGGGAGTGTTAAAATAGAAACTTAAGGAGCTGGTGCTTTCACATAGCAGACTAACACTCCACCTGCAGCACTGGCATCCCATGTGGAAGTCAGTTCATCTCCCGGCTGCTCCACTTCCCGTCCAGCTCCCTGTTTATGGCCTGGGAAAGCAGTGAAGGATGGCCAAAATTCTTATCCATGTGGCAGACCCAAGAGAAGCTCCTGACTCCCAGCTTTGCACCAGCTCAGCTCTGACTATGGCATACATTTGGGAAGTGAACCAGCAGATGGAAGATCTCTCAGTAATCTTTTCTAGTAAAAATAAATCATTAAAAAAACAAAACACCGAATCTTATATCTTGGCAGTGCCAACCAGTGATGAAGGAGTATCCTAGAGGAGAGTCTTCCTCTTTATTATGTTAGTCTAAGAAAAGCCAGAGTTACCAGTTCCCCTTACCTGGGGCTGAAGTCCCTGGTCAGCAGGGAGGCCATCCTCGCCACCATCCTCACTGGCTTCTGCGTCGTCTTCCTCCCGAGACGGCTGCTGGTCCTCCGGATTTTCTTCGGGCTGCTCAGCAGCATCTCCCTCTGGACTCCCTGCACCTGTGTCCGTCTCCTCCTCCCCTTCCATTTTGTCATCTTCACCAGTGCCTTCCTCAGGCTCACGTGAACTCTGGCCTTCAGCATGTTCATCAGCCTCATTCTCCCCATTTTTTCCCTCAGTTTCTTGACTGGCTTCTTCCAGATCCATTGGTTTTTCTTTGATTTCCAAGGGATTCTCCTCTGGATAGAGACAACATAAAGAAGAAACTCAGGGGAGAGCGTTGTAGCATAGGTTGCAATCCTGGCTGCTCTGTTTCCAATCCATCTCCATGCTAATGTGCCCATGAAGGAGGTGGAACACAGCCCAAGTGCTTGGCCTCTTGCTGCCCACTTTGAGAGAACAGGATGGAGTTCTTGGCTTCTGGCTTCAGTCTGGCCCAGCCCTAGCTGTTGAGATCATTTTGCAGAGTGAACAAGTAGTTGAAAGATCTGTTTCTTTCAGTTGTCACTTTGCCCTTCACATATATAAAAAAAATACTTTACATATGGCAAGAGAAGGGAACACAGAACTTAAGACTGTCTAAATGACTTCTTAAACTGGGATGTAGTTATTCATATATTTGTGACTATTCTTTAAGCCAGGACTTAGCAAAACGCGGTCCGCAGGCCAGCTCTGGTCCTCTACATGTGTCTATGTACCAGTTTTTATTGGAACCCAGCTGCAACTCTTCTAAGTGTACTCCCTCAATCTGTGTTGCCTTCACCCCCGCACCTTTTTTTTTTTTAAGATTTATTTATTCTTAATAGAAAGATTTACAAAGAAAAGGAGAGACAAAGATCTGTCCACTAGTTCACTTCTCAAGTGGCTTCAATGACCAGAGCTGAGTCTTTCAAGTCTTCTACATGGGTGCAGGGTCCCAAGGCTTTGGGCTGTATCTCCAGTGCTTCCCCAGTTACATTAGCAGGGAGCTGTATGGGAAGTGGAGCAGCTGGGACATGAACTGGTGCCCATTTGGGATCCCAGTGATTGCAAGGCAAGGACTTTTGCCACAAGGCCATTGTGCTAGCCCCTCTTTCACACTGCAGAAGGGGGCTCAGGATATGCAATTAAGAGCTTAGGACTTACAAGGCCTCAAACATTATCTGGTACTTTGTGGGAAGTTCACCCACCTTGCTCTAAGCCATACTGATGTGTTAAATACAATTATTCTGAGAATTGTTCTGTGCTGAAAAACCATGATTGAGGCTAGAATTGTAGAGTAGCACATAAAGCCATATATTGGTGCTAGTTCATGTACTGGCTGCTCCACTCTAATTCATGTTAATGGACTGGGAAAAAACAGTGGAAGATGGACCAAGTGTCAACCCCTGCTACATACACGGGAGACTTGGAAGAAGTCCCAGGCTTCAGCCTGGTGCAGCACTGTCCACTGTGGTCATCTCAGGAGTGAACCAGTGGATGGAACTTTTCTGTCTTTCCCTCACTCTGCGGCTCTCATTTTTCAAATAAATAAATATATCTAAACAAAACAAAAAAGTCAAAAAACTACCATAAAAATAAAGTTTTATAACCAAAGCTAGGAAAGGCCATTTAAACCATTTCTGTATATTTCAAAGTCAGAAACTGAGAACTCCTATTTCTTGGATCAGTCTGTAAATATCCATAAATACCCCAGGCTGAGTCATGAGCCAGGAACCTAAAACAACTTAAGGAACTTACGATAGACAACATTACACTCTCAGATTTCAATTTTCTTAACTGCATGCTTCATCACTGACTTTACATAGTTGAAATCTGAATCCAACACTAAATTTTTACTTAACTGGTATGGTAGCTCTTCTTTATCCTTCTTAATCTGCTTTATCTGTTTTGATATATGATTTTAAAAACATATATTCATATTTTTAACATTAAGGCCAGATCCTACCTTCCCACATGGTCTATAGGAACAAGGGCATTCTACTGGAGGCATCTCATACACAGCACTTTCCACTGACATCTACAGCACCCTCTCAGAAAAACAGGTGACAATCTAGATTATATTCACAGGCCCTGGGGTTCCTCTGGGGAATTAGACACCTATGTTCTCTGTTAAAGTAACCCGGTAATTAAGAATAAACATACAATTATCCAATGCCGATACCATCCTTTCCCCAAGAAGCCATAAGCTGACTCCATGAATGACCCGAGATGGGCTCTGGGCAGCTGGGCTGCACAGGGTTTCCACACAGCCACTAAATGGGAACCGCGTAATGGCTGTGGTGAGGTGTGACTTCAGGGAGTGACTCCTGCACCACCCCCCTCCCCCGGCCACTGGCCCCGCCAACTGGGCAGGGCCAAAACCAAGCACAGGAATTGGCATCTGTGAGAGAACCTGTTGACCTAGGCCCTGTGGGTTCGTTCGTCCTCTCTCTCTCTCTCTCACACACACAGTACAAAGGAAAATATGCAATTTCTCAGGCTGTAGTTGAGCCAACTGAGCCTGATCTGTGCTCTGGCCATGACCACGGGCTCGTAGAAGAACAATCGGTGCTCTTTGTCACACAGTCCCAGGGGGCCTTCTGGGGTTTCTGAAACACGCACCTTCTCCATCTTCACTGCCTGTGTCCTCACCATTCTTCTTGTCTTCACTGTCAAGGTTCAGGTCATCGGGAAGATCCAAGGCCTCAGGTTCAGGCAGCTTTTCTTCCTTACCATGGTAAGGGTCTACCTCATTCTCATCATACTCCCTCTATGAGGTAATAAAGTAGAAAAATTGAATAGAGAAGTCCTTATAAAAAATTTTTTATAAAAGTGACTCTAAGTATGTATGCAGTGCTGAGAGAATGCACTGCTTCCTAAAATTCCAACTCACTTCAGTACTTAGTAATTTTTTACATCTTTTACACTGAAATTTCAAATTTGTCTTATTGTAGGTTCTCCACTGAGACAAGGCATTGTGTCAATCTTGATGAACAATAATAACCACAGGTTTTTGCTTCAAACAACAACACGACCCCAAACAGCATGCACACTAATTTGTGAGAAAGCAGCTGTTCACTGTTTTACACTGCCCATTACAAGTCTCTGTTGTGCATCCTTCTATGAGTCAGTAAGACAGCAATCAACGAACAGTAAAGCCAGCATGCAGAGCCCCTACAATAACAATGGGGTACCAAGACTCTGGCCATGAATCAGGAAGGCAGATCAAGTCCTCATTACCTCATCTATCTGCTCATTAATTTTGTGCTGGTCTTGTCCACCATCATCAGCTTCTACTTCATCCTTTTCTTCCCTCTTATCTCGCTGGGTTTTATCTTTATTAGAATTTCCAGAATCTAAGTTATCATCTTTAGCAACAAGTTCAGATTCTTCCTAAATGAAGGAGAAAATTAGTCATCAACAATCCAAGGAAGTGCTTCCACAGGGGTGAGGTCTGCCCAGTTTAGCTCTTAGATGTGCAAAATTTTTGCCTGTTGAGCCTGTCCCATGGAAACAGCCAACAATCACATGGTGCTGTGCTACTGTAGTATGACTCCAGCTCTGGAGAGCTACGCCAAGAACCAGAGAATTCAGTGGCCAAGGGAATGATGAGCCTAGAGCATCTGCAGTGAGTGTTCTTCCCATCTCCACCACACAGGGAATGACATGGGCTATCTTAGGTCTGAATACAGTCAATGAGACAGGAAAGAAACAAGGGAAGAGAAGGGGATACACAGACAAACAGGAGAAGCAATAGAGTGGAAGGTGGTGGGAAGATTACCTCCCCCAGCCTGTGGATTTTGGAATGGGGAGAATCTTAATTACCTCATCCATTCCTGGTCCTGTTTCTTCCGTTTTACTGTCTTCTTCCTCATCTTCCTCCTCCTCATCATCATCACCCCAAAGCCTCTCATCTAGTTTGTCGGCTTCCTCACCATTGAGGTCACCCATCTGCTTATCCAGGTCACTGCCCTCATTGTCTGATTTCTCATCATCTTCTGCAAAAGAAGACATTGAGCTTAGTTAGATCCTTACACTGACCAAGTCCTGTGTGAATGAGACATGGACCCGCTCCCTGACAAGCACTCCTCCTGGGATTTACTAGCCATTACTACAGAATTCCCTACAGGCAGATGCCTTCCGCTCCACTGCCGACAGAAGCCTACAACAGGAAAACAGGAAGGAGAATGAGTACTAGAGCAGCTGTCAGCTCCCTGTGCTGGAGGCAGAGTTGGTAAGGACTCAGCAGCCCACTGGGCTTCTGTGTCTTACCTGTGAAATGGTGGACTGGCCTCAGTGATTTGATTTGCAAGGATCCCTCCCTCCCAACATGCCTTGCCTCCATGCTTTCATCCTATACCTCAAACCAGCTCTAGGCCAATTAGAATGCTCCTGCCTTTGCTCAAGGTCTACTTAACCACTATATACTCCTCTGTTCTGGGGTCCACTTGCATCTCTGCAAGGTCTTCACTTAGAATAAAACACCAAATCTCAAAGCAAGCGAACATGGCAAATTCTCAAGTAAATATTAACAACAAAATGAATGTTCATAAACTGATCAAAAGGGCAGATTAGAAAAACACACACACGATTTACGTGTATGTGTGCGCGTACACGCGATAAATGGAAAAGACATATACCAAAACTTATAAAGTGATTTGAGTGAGGGGACTTCTTGGGGACATATTTCATTCCTACATTTTCACCCCAAATCATCTATAAACATCCCCCCTCCTTTTTTTGATAATTAGAGCACACACACAATTTTTGAAAAGAGAAAAAGGCTCCCAAACAATCTACTTTGGGAGCTGAGCTCTGTGAGGAACCATCACCTCGCTCCACTGCATCCGGCACAGGCAAGAGCCACAACGCTAGTCAAGGTGTGGCTTTTACCCAGAACTGCCCAAGAACTAATGCCACGATGGACATGGCAACAGCAGGCATAACTGTTTCCTGTATCAATGCAGAGGAACAGATGTTGCTTCAGAAAATTACAATAGATTTTTTTCTTATCAGGAAAGTGTGGCTTTCTGGGTAAAATACTGATGATTTCAAAACAAGAAGCAACCAATCATGTCAAACCTTGTTCCTCAAGCTCCCCGTCATGCATCTTCCCATCAAAGTCCTCTGTCATCTCAATGGCGTTATCTTCACCTTTGATGTCAGACTTTGAGCCAGGATTCTCTTTGTCTTTTTCTTGATCCTGCTGAAATGTATCTTCCACCTTCGACACCACGCATTATAAAAATTAAAAACGAATGCTGTAACTTTACTTCAGCTTGAGAATACAAATGCCAACACTAATGGTCTAAAAACAACTAAGAGGGGGACTTGAAATTCAATGAACTCTATAGCAGGCTATCTTGTAAACTGACAATTCTGTAGGGCTTGCAAATAATACTGTAAATATCCAAATGGTTTCTGGCAGAAAAAAATATTCTCCACCGTTGCTCTATAGGCTCTGAGTGACTCAAAAGCATTCTTAATTCTGACCCCAAAAAAGGGACATACATTTTAAAATTCCAGCCTATCTCAAAAAATATTACAACAAAACCTAGTAACAGCAGACTCGGGCATTATGGTTACATTCATTCCTCAATTAAGATAGCCAAGCTTTATATCCTAAAAAGTACTACCAGAAATACTCTGTAGAGAATCATCAGCATGTAACTTCCCATTAAAATCTAAATAAAAATCATTCCCTCCAAAATTTATCCATAACCAATGACTGAGTTGCAAAATTCCCTCTGTGGTTTGTAGGCATTTTATTTACACCCACTGCCCAAGTCCCAATGTCCCTAGGAACTTGACAGACCAGTCTGAAAGCCATTAGCCTGGTAAGAACCATTTACACACGCAATCTGAATAGTAGAGGGAAAAAAAAAAGGAAAAAAGCCTCTGTAATCTACACACCCGACTCACACACAGGGGAGCATACCTGCTCTTCACTCTCTATCCGGTCACTCACATCCCTGGTGCCCTCGCCTTCTCCAATTCCACCTCCCTCATAGTCATGGAACTCAGTTGCCCCCTCTCCTGCTGTTGCATCTTCCATAAATTCTTTGGGTAAGCAAAATCCCTGGAGAGGAAAAAAGCAGTTAGACACAAACGCCATTCAAAAAGGGCCTTCCAGTCCTGCCACTGTTACAATAGCCCAAGACCATGAATCTGCCTGAGTACAGGTAGCAGACCTGTGGCATTCTTCCCCTCCTGCTGCTGAGAGCACACAGCTTCCTGGGGTGTTACCAGGTTTACTACCTGAGGTCCTTACTCTGTGGAGGCCCCTGCCATTTGGCCAAGATAAAAATGTGGATAAAGAACACTGGGAGGAAGGGATTTAGGAAATCACTATGCAAGGGTGGAGGGGGCTCAGACACAGTGTTAGCATCAAGAAGTGTTAATGAACTGTTCCCAATGATGATCTAGCCAGAGAAGGAAAATCACCAGTGAGACAGAATAGAGAAACAATTAAAATAGGAAATGGTGGCTCCCCATCAGAAATTTGAATTTTATAACCAGAAACATGTTAGCAAGTTCTCTGTTACCCTGAGCATGAGATGAAAAGCAGCTACCAATGAACAGGACTAGAGATGATCACCAACTTGGATACACAGAAAGATTCCTGGGCAGTAAGGGATTCCGTTTCAGCTCACATCATCTCTACACTGTATCCAGCCCACTCCCCAGCAGCCCCACAGTTCTCCATATGAACAGTCCTTACCTTCTGGGCAAGCTCCGTGAAGACCCGGGCAAGCACAGACAGTAGCTTCGCAGTGCTCCGGTGAGTCGCCAAGGACACAGTCAGGAAGAAAAGGACGAGGTCTGAGAAGCTGCAGAGCATGGGCACCAGGCGCACCAGCAGGCAGCAGCACTGCCTGAAGAACTAGGGGCACAGCAAAGGAAAGGCGAGCTCACGGTGTTGAATGGGTAGTGGGAACCCTTCCCAGGGGATGAAGACCTTTTACAGCTACACAGTGATCACAGCCATACTCTCAGTAAAGTCTGTCTTTACACACATCCTACCACGGGTCATGAGGTTTCTCATCCTTACTCACATAAACTATAGCAGAAGTGTCCCCTAGATTGTTACTTTCCAAAGTTGACCATGTGTTTTGAAAACCTGAATGTTTATAACAGAGGAGTCTGTGCTAAGAATGACAATCACAGCCCTATAAAATTAGTTGCTTCTCTGGACTCACTGCATAGACTACTACTCCTGGCTCTCTTGTCTGACTGTGGAAGTAACAGTGCTTACAGAAGATAGTCATGAAGCTTGTAGATCACAACAACACTGCAAAACATCAGACTGCGCAAGCACATGCTTGCGATACAGAAAAATCCTAAGTGAATGGATATTCTGCATTGGGAACTGCATCTCACAACTGTAACTCGTAGTGCTGGAGCCCTTTTGAAAGCTTTCTAGTGACATTTAAATGGATAGACAAATGCTTTGTGATTTGGGCATGCCTTGGGCCACCCTCCACCTGTAGCCAGCTAACATCATCCCTGCACCTCTATTCCACCCATTCTCAAGAACGAGAAGCTAGTGCTGGCAGGGAGCAGCAGATTACCGTGTGCTTTGCTGCGGTGCCATCCTCACCACATGATTTCAGCCTCTCCAACAATTCAGATACACAGGAAATGATTTTTTGCACATGCAAAGTGCTCACTTCGGCCCAGAAATCATCTTCCAAAAGTTTTGTAATATGTCCAGGTTGCAGTCTTTCAAGGGCTGCTGTCTTTTCTTTTAAGAGAGCATCACAACATGATGAGTAACAGAATATAAACTTTTCTCATCTCTATTTTTGCAGTCAATTATTTCTAACACCTATTCTAAACGGCTTAGGCACAAAAATAAGCATCAAATAACAACTACCAAGTACAACACTATTTATTGCCCGATTTCAGACATACCATCCTCCTCTTGGGGCCTTGCTGGGTCACTGTTGCCCTGTGTTTTTCCATTGCTTCCTTCTGCTAAGCTCTGGATGGCACACAGGATGGAACGGATAGCAATTTCCATTTGTTCTGAAAAATCTTCCACAAATCCTTCATCCAACATTTGCGTCCCTAGTAAGTATAAGTGCAAAACACAGAAAATAGAAATGTAATACTAACCAAAATCACCCATCCTTTGCTTTGGTGCCTCTAGCAGTCAGGTCACCTTAACCAATGGCCACCTGGTAGGTGGGTGAGCTGCTGTGTCTAGTTCTGCTAGCTACAGACATATGTAAGACAAGCTCCTTGCCTAGACAAACTGGCAAGTTTAATATCTTGGCATTAAAACAATTTTGCAAATGGACTTATCACTTGATTGCTGTGTTTAGTTAGTCCTTGTTTATGTTGTTGTAGAAATGGGTTTCTTCCAATTTTTACTGCTGCTTTCCCAGACAAACTGGCAAGAAACCTGAATAGAAGCTGTGTAGCCTGCACAAACACTGGTCCCCATGTAGGAGGCTGGCATTGTAGAAAGTGGCTTTACTTGCTGTGTCATAACAACTTATGTTTTTAACGTATGTTTGCAAGTTGTCTGAGACAATGCCTTATTGAATCTTCTCAATGACTACAACAAAATTTGATTTTTTTTTTAGCCAAAATCAAAGGTTCAGCAAAACAACATTGCTTGTCTGACAGGCAAACTAAGTTGTGTGGTATCCTTCATGCCTTTTACAGGGTCGTAGCTATAAACCACTTTTTAAAAAGTTACTTATTTTCACTGGAAAGGCAGATCAGATCCACAGACAGAAGGGGAGACAGAGAAGTATCTTTCATCCACTGGTTCATTCCCAAAATGGCCACAATGGTCAATGCTGAGCAGAACAGAACCCAGAAGCCAGGAGCTTCATTTAAGTCTCCCATGCAGGGGCAGAGTCCCAAGACTATGGACCATCCAATACTGCTTTCCCAGGCCATATGCAAGAGCTGAGTGGGAAGTGGAGAAGCCAGGACACAAACTCCAGGCCATTTGGAATCCTGACACTCACAACGTGATGATTTAGTCATTTAGCCATTGCATCAGGCCCAGCTAACAAACTACTTAGACGATGCAATTCTGTAGCCATTATCTCTGGACCATCCCTGACATTTATTTTGACCTTGACATCAGGACCTTCCATTCTTTTGTCTTATTTTATGGTTGCTTTCTTTTGTTTTCTTAAAAGTCATTTGTGTTTTTTGGAAAGGCAAATTTACAGAGAAAAGGGAAGACAAAGATCTCCCTGGTGGTTCACTCCCCAAATGGCCACAATGGCCAGAAATGAGCCAAACTGAAGCCAGACGCCAGAAGCTTCTTCCAGGTCTCCTACCTACAGGGGTTCAGGGTCCCAAGGCTTTAGGCCATCCTCCGTTGCTTTCCCAGGCCGCAGGCAGGGAGCCGATTTGGAAATGGAGCAGCCAGTACCCCAAATGAGATGCTGGCACTTGAAAGGGGGAGATCACCAATTGAACCCTATTATGGTTGTTTTCAAAGATTTATTTATGTTTGTTTTTCGTTGAAGTACAGAAAGAAGGAGAGACAGAGAAAGGCTTCCATCCACTGTTTTCTCCTCAAATCACTACAACAGCTGGAAGTGGGTCATTATGAAGCCAAGAGTTTCTTCTGCATTTCCCACATGGTTACAGGAGTCCAAGCACTCAAGTCATCTTCCACTACTTTCCCAGGCATTAGCATAAAGCTGGATCTTTATGCCCATATAGGATATCTGCATCTCAGGCAAAGGCTAACATGATACACCAAAGCACTGGCCCCAGATTTATATCAACGGCAGTTACAGAGACAGATTTTTTTCTAACCACTGGTTAACTTCCAGATTCACAATGGCAGGTACAGAGCTAATCCAAACCTAGGAGCTATGTCTGGGTCTCCCATAAGGGTCCAAGGGCCCCAGTACTTGAGCCATGTGCTGCTGCTTTTCCAAGCACTTAATCTGAATTGCAGCAGCCAAGATTTAAACCAGCAATCAGGATGCTGGCACCAAAGATGCAGCTTAACCCACTACACACCCCCACACTCCTCTCTCTGCTCCTCCCTCACCTCTCTACTCAAGGCAGTTCCCCCTTTGTTGCCCTCACTGCTTCTACGCTGAAGGAAAGGGATCTAGCAATATAATCGAAAATAAATGTTTTGGTAAATCACCCTTTTTATGTTGGCCATAAATTTGAATAGATAGCTATGTTACATGTTGAAGAGACAATTCCAAAATCAACAACACATCCACACTTTTACCTGAATGGGTTGCCACCACACAGTAATAATGACTAGCTGTAATCTATAACTGTACCAGGGTTGATTCAACATGAAGAGGTGTTTTCCCCTTTCTTCCAGAAAACATGTAACTCTACCTGTCATCTAAAAAAAGCAAACTAAAGTTGTTACTAAAAGTTCAATTTAAAAAATATTAACTGTTTACTTCAAAAAGTAAAGTTCCAGGGCCTGGCATAGTAATCTAGGAGCTAAAGTCCTTGCCTTGCACACGCAGGTATCCCATATGGGCACAGATTTGAATCCTGGCAGCTCCACTTCCCTCCCAGCTCCCTGCTTGTAGCCTGGGAAAGTAGTAGTGGATGGTCCAAAGCCTTGTGACCCTGCACCTATGTGTTTGCCCAGGAAGAGGCTCCGGGCTCCTGGCTTTGGATCGGCACAGCTTTGGCCATTACTTGGGGAATGGATCAATGGATGGATCTTCCTCTGTGTATATCTGACTTTACAATAAAAATAAAATAAATCTTTAAGAAGTACAAGTTCTTGTAATTAGAACCTTGCCATCATATTTTATTGAGACTTTCAATTTATAACCAACCCATCTTAAGGTTTCAGACTAACTTTGTAACAGCCTTCTTACATGGTTATGTTTGATGCTGAAGACCAGGCGAAATACATTCAGGAATTCATTTTACTATCCTTGTAAATCTTTCATAAAACTAAAATTATTTCAAAACAAGAAAAATTTCTGCTAACAAAAGTTTGAAAGTAAAGCAATTTTTCTAAAAGAATGCCAAAATTGGGTCCGGTGGCGTGGCTTAGCGGCTTAAGTCCTCGCCTTGAACGTGCCGGGATCCCATATGGGCGCTGGTTCTAATCCCGGCAGCTCCACTTCCCATCCAGTTACCTGCTTGTGGCCTGGGAAAGCAGTCGAGGACGGCCCAATGCTTTGGGACCCTGCACCCGTGTGGGAGACCCGGAAGAAGTTCCTGGATCCTGGCTTCGGATCGGCACAGCACCGGCTGTTGCGCTCACTTGGGGAGTGAATTATCGGACGGAAGATCTTCCTCTCTGTCTCTCCTCCTCTCTGAACATCTGACTTTCCAATAAATAAATAAATCTTTAAAAAAAAAATACCAAAATTGTGAAAAATAAAATCCTTCAGATCATGTGCATAGGAGCCAGCATTGAAACATAACAGGCTAAGCCACCACCTGCAATGCCAGCATCTTACTCAGGGACTGATTTTAGTCCTAGCTGCTCCACTTCAGATTCAGCTTCCTGCCAATGGCCTGGGAAATCAGCAGAGGATGGTCCAGGTCCTTGGCCCATGTGTGAGAGACCAGGAGAAAGCTCTTGATTTCAGTATGACCCAGCTCCAGCCATTGCAGACATTTGGGTAGAGTGAATTACCAGGTGGAAGACCCCTCTCTATAACTCCTCAATTCAAATAATTAAATCTTACCCCAAAACAAAATATAAAAAAAGTAGGTGGGGTACATAAACCCCACCTATCAACCCAGGCTCTGCAGACTATGGGAAAACTAACAAATGTGCCTTGTTACCTTCCTACATGTATACTACAAAGTTAGTGACAGGATGGCTAAGGGTAAAACAAGCAAGCAAATCAGGTAAGGAATGTTACAAGTTGTGCAACTGACTGTTCTGCTTTAGAAGCCCAGACAAGTACATCTAGAACACAATAAAGTGTCTTTAGGAACACCTCAATTTTTATTGATAAGCTCATAGTTCTCAGGGCAGTCTTAAGGAGCAGCCACTGTCTGAGAAGCTACCATCCCACAAAAGTGCTGGTTCAAGTCCCAGCTGCAACACTTGCAACCCAGTTCCCTGCTGATGTACCTGGGACAGACAAAAAACAAAAGCGGGTTCAAGTTCTTGGGCCCCTGCACAAACGTGGGGGGCCGTGTGGCCTGCCCCAGCCCTGGCTATTGTATCATATGTGGAGTCAATCAGCAAAATAGAAGTGTGCTCTTTCTCTCTAACTATTGCAAATAAAATAAATACTTCTTTTTCTGCTTGTTTTAAATATTACACTTCTCGGGCCCGGCGCGGTGGCGCAAGTGGTTAAAGGTCCTCGCCTTGCACCCCCGGGATCCCATATGGGCGCCGGTTCTAATCCCGGCAGCCCCGCTTCCCTTCCAGCTCCCTGCCTGTGGCCCGGGAAAGCAGTCGAGGACGGCCCAAAGCTTTGGGACCCTGCACCCATGTGGGAGACCCGGAAGAGGCTCCTGGCTTCGGATCGGCATAGTATCGGCCCGTTGCGGCTCACTTGGGGAGTGAATCATCGGACGGAAGATCTTCCTCTCTGTCTCTCCTCTCTGTATATCTGCCTTTCCAATGAAAAAATAATAAAAATAAATCTTTAAAAAAATAAATAAATAAATATTACACTTCTCCATTGGGCTTTTCCTCCCTTACTGAGTAATAATAGCTCTTACCTCCCTGGCTGCCTGAAGCAAGCAGATGGTTTTTCCAAGCAGTAAAGTCATCCACAGCTTTACTGATTTCTTCTCTTACATATTTCAGGCTTTCAACTAAGGCCATTTGTGGACCTTTTTGTTCAACTTCCATCCCTGGAAGAATGAACAAGGACTCTAGGCCTTGCAAATGAGCTGATACCTGGGACAGGCAACTCAGCCCAGAAGAGCAAACTTCAAAATCTTTCCTGCAACAGAAATGCCAGTGTTGAAAGGAGCGAGCACGCGCGCACACACACACACCCCTCCTCTCTCCTTCCCTCCATCCAACCATTAACATAGACACAAGCCGCAGTGCTGAGCCTCTGAAGGGTTACAACACTGTAAGCTACAAAGTGCCATTTAACCAAGATGATACTGCAGCACTGAAACACAATTCTCTTAATTGTACCCTGCCACTAAACTCTGAATATGCACACAGAGGAAGAGTGAAGGCACAGAAACACTCACCAGGAATAAAACAGAGTTTCACAGGACTGTTGTCTAATTCTGTCAATGTCCGCTTTCACTGCATGAACAGTTTTGAGTGTCTCTGCTAACCTCACAGTCGACTGCTGCCAAAGCGGGTCATGTTTTCTCATACGACAGCCAGGGGGCAGTTTACTTTCAGGTAAAGGGGATGGGTAGCTCAGATTAGAAGGAATGAGTTTTGGTGCTGCAGTAGCAAGATGTCCCTCGGCAAGCTCAGGAGTTTCCAGGAAGGAGGTAGAAGGCAGACCCTGAGCCTGGCTGTCATCACGGGCTGGTAGTCCTGCACTGGGACAACACTGCAAGAGCCAGGAGAGCTGCTCAAGGAGGATCTGGCTTTGCATGGTCAAGTGCTGCAGCCGCTCTGTCCAGTGTTGTACTCCGTCCTGAGGCGGGAAGGCCATGGGGTAGGCTGGGGGCACTGTCAGTCTGTCCCGAATCTCCTGCATACAGCTGAGAAGGTTCCTATGTAAAAACATCCATAAGATTATAACACCATGATATGTTAAATCAAATGTCCCTCATTCATCTGCATGTTTCTGAACAGCATGGCATCAAAAGGGAAGAATCCCCACCTAGTTAACACAATAATTAAAAGTCTATTGAAATTGCCTCCCAAAGTATTTAAACGCGAAGTGTGTCAGGAGGGAGCCTTACAACTTACCATTTGACCACTAGGGTCCTCCCACGTGCAGCACCATTTGCATTTACACTGCAGCCATTTCAACTGTTAGCATCTAGTTAAAATATGCTTTGTTGAGCTAACCCTGATCAATGGAGTGGGAACCAGCGAAGCCAGAATGAAAACAATCTGGAAAAAGAACCCACCCTCAGGGTGGATACATTCTGGAAATAAACAGAACACTCTGTCCCTGCTAAGAATCCACTAAGGACACTTGCAGCCTTTCTGCACTAGCTCCATTTTTTAATGATCTATGGCCACTGAGGAGCACCCATGGCTGCTCAGGAAATGGCTACTGAGGGATCCAAAATGCCTAATAAAAGCAGCCTCAAAGCTGTTCTGTGACTGCAGTCCAGGACACCCTGAGACCAGAAACACAGCCCTGAACTTTCAATAACCAATACCCTTGTTCCAGACCCAGGTGTAGTTCACCCAGGGCAATTTCAGGGACTGATTCAGCCTTGAACTAAATCCCAGGCCTCATCCTCTCAAGCGGTGTGGTCTGAGGACAGGGCAGAGAGAGGACAGCATCACCAAATCCAAAAGGCAGAGCCAACAAATCCCACAACAAATGCTGTGGGCAGCAGCACTAGGCAGCCCTAACACGGTTTTTCCCAATCTATACCCTAACACAGCAAGTCAGCCAGTACCTGAGGATGATCCACCGCTCAGTCAGCGTGGTCAGCCAGCGCCGCTGGCGAATGAGCAGCTTCATCAAATGTGCCGAAAACCCTTTACACCGCTCCACATGGCCTGTGCCCAGCTCCTGCCAGAAGGAGGAAGGAAAAGCCTGCTGATGCCAGGGCTAGAAACCATCACCCCCAAGAGCCCCCAGGGAAAACTGGCTCGTGGACCACTCTCTGTGGAATCCCTGGCTTACGCAAGCTGTGGATATGCCACACTCTACAGGAGCCACACTCAGTGTTAGAATAGGGGCCTCAAATTATGCTTCAACTCATAACAGAAAAAGAGATTTGAAGATAGCATCCTGAATTTGAAGTTCTTCTAAAATTTCTCACACCAGCAAATGTGCATAATACAATGTAGTGCTACTGTGCTGTGTTGGTTTTGCACAAAACTGCATTGATTATATTTAAAGTTTAATGAGATTCTAAAGAAAGCTAAGTCATGCCCACTTACTAGTTGCTATCACTTGACAAGTGATAGTAAACAGCACCCAGGGCTGAACAGACCTGCAGCTTTCCCAGGCCCTGTGGTCCCCATGCTCCATCACCCTACCTTGACAGGAGCCGCAAGCGCCGCATTCAGCCTGGCATGCCGGGCGAGAGAGCGATAAAAATACTTCTGGCACCCATCCCATGAAGATGAGATTTCTGTAAGCAGCCTGGAAAAGAAGCCAGCATAGCTGACTTAAGAATAATAATTTTCCCACCTCAGACAACAATCTGAACAGATTTATATCTGTGAGGACTCATTCAGCCTGACACTCATTAGTCCTTTGTACAAAAAACATCCCAGATCGAAAGCACTGAAGTGTCAAGGAGAAATAAGTGATGATGACAATAGGGACCCCTCACTAAATCATTTCAACAGTTTTCATACTTCAAGTAGGAGGTCATAAATGATTAAAGACAGCCAAACACAAAATAACAAGTGGTAATGACAGCTAATCACAGCTTGGGGGAAAGTCACAGGGTTGCTGAGGACTTAAACAGACCAGCTAATATGGGTCCTGTCAAAAGAAGGAAGCCCCTCCCCAGCTAGTCAGCTGCTTACCAAATGGGACCACAGGCCCACTTGGCAAACTTTCTTGACAAACTAAAACACCACATGCTTATGCAAATGTAAAAAAAAAAAAAAGAAAAAAAGAAAAGGCAGAATTACATAGGGAGATTAGTTATTCACTGGTTTATGTTCGCAAATGGCAGCAATGGCTAGGGCTGGACTGAGTCAGGCTAAAGCCAGGAACCTGTAAATCCAGCCAGGCCTCCCACATGAGTGGTCGGGGCCCAGACACTGGGGCCATCTTCAGCTGCTTTTCCAGGAGCATTAGCAGGGAGCTGGATCTGAACTGAAACAGCCTGAACTAGAACTCAGCTCTCATAGGAGACGTCAGCATTGCTTGTGGCGGTCTAATCCACCACATCAACACTGGCCCCAATTTCCCCATTCAAATATAAAGCACCAGAAGGAGTACTAGACAAACAAGGCCTCAAGTGTGAGCTTATGACCAGCTCAGGCAGGTTATCAGCAAAAACACAGCCCCTACTGAGGATATCAGCACAGAGTGATTCTGTCTGTTTCAAACACTCGTCGACTTACACACATGTGAAGCAGCTACAGCTGTGGTCATTCTCTGTCACAGGTGTCCCTCTGTATGTTAAATCAAATGAACAGCCCTTACAAAAATGAAAGAATGATAACAAAACCTAGTGGGGGGGAGGGTTGTGCATGAGTACAGGGGAAAATTAAAGTTTACTGAATGCTCCCCAGGTGCCACAAATGCCATTTTTCTTACAATTCCCAACAATGCCAGGAAAGGAACTGCTATCCTGAGCTTGGCAAATGAGACTTACATGACTTACTCCCTTTATACATTTTAGAAAACAAACCTAGAATCAGCCTCCTGAGGGCAGCTGACTATGGACAGTGCACTCCGGACATCTAACGGGTGAAGGTAAAGTATCTCTTGAGGATTTGTGGAGCGTGCCCAGGCCAGACCTTTGCGATACGACAAACCTAGGAAACAAGCAACACTCATTTGAGCAGAGAAACCCAGATGGGAACCACGGGCACCCTCAGCTCTTCAGCTCAAGGGCAAGTCCTCGGAACCGCATCAGAGCTGCCGGCTCTCAGAAATGCAGGATCTCAGGCCCCATCCCAACTCAGCCCACATCTGCGCCACAGCAAGCCACGCAGCTGAGCACCGGCCGTTCGGCTTTCAGTAGCACTGCTCTCCCGGCTAGACAGGAACACAACTAAAAGTGATGGACAAATCTGAAATACTGGCAACCATCAGCGGCTTTCCTATACAGATTGCGAGCTCTGAACCCTTGCCTGCAACCTTGTTTCCCAATACTCAGGTTTCAGCTATGTCTCGAATCCCCTCAAAACCCTCATGCCTGCTTTGTCCCCAGTGTGAACTTACCAGTGTTTGCGAGGTGTTTAAAGAGGTCGGCTAAAGCTCTCTGCTTCTGCAGGAGGATGTGCTTGGCTTCTGAGCGCCGCTTCTCCTCTGTGGTCGCCTCAATCCCCAAGCTCTGCAGCTCACTCACAGAAGAAATTACTTCACCTGAAGGGAGAAGGAAAACCCCAGAGGCTCAGTAAAGTGCCTGAATTACCCAATGCCAGGGGGAATCTGGCAGGGAGCACCAGGACCAGCAATCTTATCCCACCCAAAACCTAACACAGGCCTTGGATACATTCTTGGATAAGTGTCTGAACTAACTCAGCCAAGATGCATGGAAAAAAGGCAAGAATACTTGGGATTTCTTATCTCCTGATAATACCCAGCTCACTTAAAGGTGGCAGATCTTTTTAATGGAAGGGTTTATAATCAATTATAAAGCACTTACTGAGTGCCAACGAGGTAAATTTTAATCCTCAAAGGGAAATTTCCAATAAATGCAGCATGTTCTGAGTTCCCTACACCAGGAGGGTGATATTAAAGGATAGAAAACACAAAGAGTGACTCTTGGAGGACACAGCATACAAGAAGGCAGCCCTCTGACAAACAAGAACAAGGAACTGAGCAGCAGCCAGTCCTGGAAACACGCTCATCCTGGCCCTAGCTTCTCCAAGCGTGAGACAATGTCCCGCTGGCTAAGCCCCCAGGCTGCGGTATGGTGTTACATCAGCCTCGACAGACAGACACCACAGAGCAAGGATGGTGCACATGTTACACCATACGAGGAGCAGCCGCCACCACCCAGAGCACATCCCCTCCTAAAGAGGCATGGGGACCTGTATACCCCTCAGCCCTTCCCTGGGTGGGCTCAGGGGCAGCTCACCTGGACCAATGGGTACAGGGCTGCCTAAGATGAGACTGCAGCCTTGTTAAGGGAAGCCAGCCTCACTCCAACGCCACTCACTGCAAGGAGCTGCAGGGGACTGGGGGAGGCGAGAGGCTGCCAAGGGCTGGGCAAGCTGCTGAGTTCTCAGTTTCATTCCCCGGCTGTTGCTGTGTTCTACTGCACAGCAGATCTTGGCTCTCAGCTGGGCCGAGCAAGAAGAGACAGGAAACAAAAGGGCTACTGTTCTCTACAGCGAAAAGAGGGAACTGCAGACAAGTCCTTTTCCTGTCACTTGAGGCAGAACACATTTCAAGAGGCAGACACAGCTCAGAAACTCACAGAGATCCATGTCTGGGCTTTTTCCCAGGCCCTGAGACTCAACAACTGGCACAGACAAGGCAGTGACAGAGTAATTAGTTTACAGCAGACAAGAAGGAAAACCATGACTGGCCGTGTCTTCAGCTAGCTCCTGTGCCCAGGATCTACTTGGTCAACATCAAACAGCAAAAACAGGACACGGTTACTAAATTTCTACCATTTCTGAGCCATTGGCACCCACCTGTGAACTGATCTAGGCTCTCCACAAGGTGAGGCAGGGAGCTCTCCTTCATAAACGTCAGGCACATCTTCCTCATTCTGTTCGTCAGCTTTGGCAGGCGGCGCAAAAGCGCCCCCTGCCGGGGGAGAGAGGCAGCACCCAGCCACTGTTCTGGGACCATGACCTACAAAATACAGCATAGATTACTTTCAAGGCCAAGAGCAACACTAATAGTTTTATTCTGCACAAATGATAAATTCAAATGCACACATTCAAACACTCCCTCCCCTAGCTTAACAAGTAAAAAATTACTACCATCTCTGTAGTCTTATCAAAATCAAAGTGGCATCACTGAAATTAAAATGGGCGTGCCCTGTGGGTATTAAGAAAATGGTATTGTTCAGCATAAGATCACTACATCAGATAGAACCCTCCATCCCCCAGTCCATGCTAGCCACAGGATACTCTGGGGCAGAAAGAGACAAAATGACAGACCTACAGAGGTCCAACCCACTGCTTCATTCTTGCAATGTTCCTAACTGCTAGGCCAGGCCATGGGGCCAAAGCTGGGAGCCAGGGACTCAATACAAATCTCCCATGTGCCAGAAATTCAATTTGTTGGGCTGTCACTGATGCCTCCCAGAGTATGCATCAACAAGAAGCTGAACTCAAAAGCCAGAGCCAGGTACCAAACCCAGGCACCATGATGAGATGCTACGATCTTAACATCCTAACTGTGAGGCCAAAGCTCATGCCAAAACTCCAGCTCTGATCTAATAAAACTTCTACCTTTAGGCTGCTGATACACAGCAAAGTACAAATATCTACCAAATTCTACTTCCATTGCTATGTATCTTCACACTTGAATTATTGGTTCAAATATGAGAATATTTATCATACTATTACATTTTTTTCTTTTTTTTTTTAATTATTAGTAAGTGCTGACATTCTCATGCTGTCACCAGTAACAACTCAGAATGACAGACGTAGTGAGCTAAGAAACAATCACAAGAAAATGTATTTGGCAGCCACACCACGGCTATCATGTGTCATTCCATTACAATGCTTTTCAAACTACTAAAGTCTTAGAAATAGTCCCTGGGCCCTCCATCACTAGTCCCTGGGAGCCCCAGAAAGCAGTGCAGTAAGAAAGCACGAATGACCATTCTGTGAGTGTTCCATGTCCCCACAGCCAGAGGCACACACTCTAAAAAAACAGCTTGCTCAAGATCTCTCAGCACTGAATTTATCTTTAAAGATTCATTTATTTTTCTTGGAGAGGCAGATTTTCCAGAGTAGGAGAGACAAAAATATCTTCATCCACTGCTTCTCTCCCCAAGTGACCACAATAGCCAGAGCTGAGAGAACCTGAAACCAGGAACCAGGAGCTTCTTAAAGGTCTCTGATGTGGGTACAGGGTCCCAAGGTTTTGGGTCATCATCCTACACTGTTTTCCCAGGCCATAAGCAGGGAGCTAGCTGGGAAGTGGAACAGCTGGAACATGAACTGGTGCCCATATAGGATCTCAGCATATGCAAAGCAAGGATTTGCCGCTGGGCCACTGCGCTGGGTCCTCAGCAATGAACTTTTATGACTTTCACAAGTCACCTCTAACTGTGCTGCCTGAAATTTGCCATGATGAGGGACTGGCACGATAGCTCAGTAGCTATAGTCCTCGCCTTTCATGCGCCAGGATCCCATACGGGCACCGGTTCTAATCCCAATGGCCCCAATTTCCATCCAGCTCCCTGCTTGTGGAGGGAGGAGGGCCCTCCCTGCAGTGCAGGATGGCCCAAAGATTTGGGACCCTGCATCTGTGTCAGAGACCTGGAAGAGGCTCCTGGGTTCGGATCCGCACAGCTCTGGCCATTGTGGTTACTTGAGAAGTGAACCATCGGATGGAAGATCTTCCTCTTTGTCTCTCCTCCTCTCTGTATATCTGACTTTCCAATAAAAATAAATAAATCTTGAAAAAAAAAAAAAGAAAAGAAATTTGCCATGATGAGAGTCTATACCACAGCCATCAGCACACACTTGCCCCACTAGACAGGCAGCCCCACAGCAGCTCCAATGGCATATTTGCTTAAATCACCCTTCACACAGAAGCACAACTGCTGTCCCTACAGACTGATACAACTCAGCAGCAAGATGGAGGCTTTTTCACTTCATGGTATAGTATGACCAGGCAAACAGTGGTTAGGGCATCCACAGAGAACTTCAAAGGCATTTCCTTGTCTAGTTCCCAGGAATGGGAACACACGTGACTTGCTTGGAATAAGCAGCAGTGATCCCCCATGCCAGTACCTGGGCGGATGCTGGCCGGACTAGAAGGGTCTCCTGCAGTGCCCTGTTCAGACTCTGAATGGGAGACACTTCACTCATGGTTGCCTCTGGTGGCCTGGGCAGAACATCTGACTGTTCCTCTGCAGCACTCTCTACCAGGGATGACTGGCAGGGCTCACTCAGCACGGCTTCAAATTTCTTCATGAATTTAAATAGGGTCCTGGTAACAAGAGAAAGGGAAGTAAAGAGATAGGATAAAAAAGGGAAAGACAGTATTAACATACAAATGTAAGTAACCTTTGCAAGTAGAATATCCTTAGAGAATGTCAATCATTATTTTTAAAGATAAAAAATACAGGAGGTACTGTCATGCCACTTTTATAGAGCAGAAAAGTCAAGCCAGGAATGGTAGGACCACTCTACTCAAGATAAACAACAAACGCATGGCATAAGGCTCAGTCCTGAAGGTCACATGGCCAGTTTCACATCAAGGCACAGCCATCCCCCAAGCAGGTACAGGAGTCAGAGGAAGGCAACCCATGGTAACAGCAATGTCATCTTACTACCTACCACACAAAAATGGACATTTGGCCACATTCCCAGTTTCAGAAGATGAATTACCTATGTGTCTTCTCCACAGACTGCTTAATGGACCAGAAGCTGACATCATTCCACTTGCAAATCTTAACAAATTCCTGCAAAATAAACAAAACTCAAAAAATGGCTTTATAAAGCTGCAGTCCCTCTGCTTCCTTCTAGATTATGTTTGCAAAGATCAGAGCCCACACCAACCCAAACACAGGACTATGTGTCAAAGAACAAGTAAAACCGGTCTAAAAAAGGAGCCATGTGTTTGTCTCAAAGCAATAAAAGGGTGTACTCCAGCTCAGTTACCAGCAAATCACGCAAGTCTCTTGCACCAAGGTTAGCTCACATCCACTGAAAGGGAACCTCCAGCTCGTCGTGAAGACAAGCCTGGGCAAAACCAGGCAAGCCCAAGCACACTGATGTGGCACTCCTCCACAGGGCCACTGATGGGAACCACCCGGCTGACCCCTCACACCTGACTGGGCCAGCAACGGTGCCAATGTCACACAACTGGAATCTGCTCAGCCATCGCAATGCTCATCTCCATCCCCTCCTATCCTAGCCCTCACCTCACTGTTCAATGTATAAAAAAAGAGAACTGAAGAAAAAAAGAATTGGTTAATTTTGTTCTCCCAAGAGTGATCATGACAGCTGTTGATCTTACTTTGAGTTCTTTTTCTAGAGGGGAACGAAGCTCCACAATTTTGTCCTGGACCCGGTTAAGGAACTGCTTGTAATAATGGTACAAATTCCACAGCACACTGCAAAGTGAATCTGGAAGAAATTAAAAGGAAATGAAACCACCACAGTTGCTGCATGTGCTGCTGGCGCCACCTGTGGGCTTCACATTTCAGGGAAGGTGGTTCCTCAAGCCTGGGATTGCAACAGGCTGCACCCTCAGGTGAGGCACAAAGTCGGCTCTGATGAACACATCCCAGCCATCCCAGGTGAAGGCCCTCCACACCTCCCAACTTTGAACTTCAAGCCATACCCAACTTTTTGCTATGCCCTGTGTCCTGTATGATGTCTTCAGGCAAGTCCTGCTGAAGTCACAATTTCAAACTTATTCTGAACCATATGGCAAAATCGCAGAAAGGGGACTTTTTAAAGACGGTATATTAAGAAGTTCACCTGGATAGCTCATTTATTTAGAAGCTACTCTTGTTTTAGGGTGACATTTTTGCTCAAATTGCTGTGGTCAGGGACAGTAACAGAAGGCACTTTTACAAGCAGTACTCTGAAATATGGCAGTGTTCTCTTTAGATCAAAGAGTCTCCTAATGGCCGGGATCACGCACTGGAGCAGGACACACACCATGTATAGATATATAATGTGCTGCTCAACATGCCAGTTTCCATGAGCTTCATCTGGCTATTTAACTCCAACACAGCTCACTACTCAGCAACTCATTTATACCCACCATTAACTGTACTTTAAAATATTCTCTACACCTAATGCAAATTACACTGAAGACTTAAAAGTGGTTTTTTTTTTTCAAACCTGACAGACAGCAACACACTTGTCTTATGTGAAGAATTCAAAGCCTAGCCCTTGATCGTACAGTATAAAAGGAAAAAATACATAAAAATACTTACCCTTTCCTTCAACTTGTGGCATCAATAAGACATGACAATGGAAAACCAGCAACATTTGAAGTCGCACATGAAATTCTCCCAGTGAAGATCCTTCAATAAATGCTTGCAGTGTGCTGACCAGCAACATCAAGGTCATCTGTTTGTCTTTTTTTTAAATTCAAAGAAAACAAATCTGTGACATCAACCATCACTGCCTAGCCCTAAACAGGCACACCGTTAGTACACAATACGCAGAAGGCTGGCTATTACAAAGTAAAGCTTTGGAGCAAGGATCAGAGCAGAATTCTAATCTAACAAACTTAACAGCTACTCAGGGTATGTATTACATGCACTGACAGTGAATTATAACACTAAATTAATGAGGTGCTTGCTTTAAACATGATAGGAAACACTTTGAATCCAAGCATGGTATTCACTGTCTACCAAGAAGGCAGCTTGTATTTTTTACTTATCTGGTGAACACAGGGAATAGCAACATTATCATATGTCTAGTTCTCCAAAATGTACGACAACTTGCTAACTTTCATTATTATCCTCTTGGGAGAATAAATGGGGGTAGAAGAATTCTGATTTTGCAGCCCTCGGTTAAGCTAGGAACTTCCAAGTGAGAGCGGAATGCACTGCAGGGTTACCTTCCTGCTCTTCGTTTTGTTCCTGCATGTGCTTCTCAAGCATCTGATAGATGGAGAACCAGTGCCTGGTGGACTTCTCTGTGTGGTGCTTCAGAATATTATCCAAGCTCATGGACCAACAGCTGGAACAAGAGAAACAAGGCCAGGGAGATACTTGGGTAAATCCAGATGAGACATTGGAAATTACAGAAACAACAGCCAGGGGCTCCAGAAGAGCTGCTCAGTTAGCTGCCTCAAGAATGCATGGCTGTGGGACAGGAGGAGGCTTATATCCCACCCATAAGGACTCCCGGACTCCCACCAAGGTCTATCAGAACGGGCACCAAGAACGTCATCACAACTGCCAAAGAGAACACGGGGAACTGGAATGCCTCCGGATGCTGAGAATCCAGAGGACATCCATCCCCCCTCTTTGGACAAACTACACGAGATGGAAGAAGCCCGAGTCCTTCCACATAGGAACCAACGTCACCAGAACAACAGCCAGGAACCATGATCGGTCATCAGAACCAGAAGATCAGTAAACTTCCTTTGGGACAATGGGAGAGGAGCCTTCTCCAGTCCTTACCTAGTTCCAGCTCTGGGCCTCCACCCTCTATAATGACCAACTAGGTTCCTCCTGAACCTCCCTCCCCCCCAACACACACATAATAAGATGCTGGACTCTATGCTAGGCATATGCTTGTGGTGAAGGTGTCTCAACTGATCTTGAACTGATGTCTCACAACAGGGTGGAGGAATCCAGCATGGGGGGAGGGTTGGGAGGGAATTCCAATACCTATGGAACTGTATCCCATAAGACAATGTAACCACTAAGTTAAAAAAAAAAAAAGCAGGTTCCATGGTCTGTCATGGAGTACAAATGTCAGAGCCGAGCTTCCTCGGAGGCTCCGACGGAGCAGTGGACAGCACAATCAGGTGCTCATGTAGGATATAGCAGTCTATCGGAACCTGCAGAGGACACCTGACACCACAACAGAGGATAGAACAAATCAATCAACTACCTCAGCCACATGTTGACAGTGAAAAACTGAACAGAGACGCTAAGGTGGACTTTGTCAATCAGTGGATTCTGCAGCAACTTCATCGTGCTTGGATTGGTGAGACTGGCAACAATTCATAACTGTTAAACTAGCAAAGCCACTTGAGCAAGATCTTCGCAGCATGCCCCACATCGGGAACCTGGGATGGGTGGGAGGATGGGTGGGGCTTCTCCCTTTATCTCTCCATTTACCCCAGATACAGAGAAAAAGAGGATATGGAAATAATAGTCTTACTCACTTTCCTATATCCCCTGAATCTTTGTGCCCTAACTAACCATGTAAAGATTGTCAAAAATAAAGAAAAAAAAAAGCATGGCTGAACTGAGATCCTATCAACTGTCCTGCTTTTAATGCTGTGACTCAAGACTAGGAGCTGCATTCTGTGACTGTCACACTGATAAACTCCACAGAAACACACTACCAAGCAACCAAAGTCCCATAACCCAAGTTGAGGAGGAAGAATAGGAAATGGACAGCCTCTTACTTCAGCTCTAGTTTACGCCACCGAATGATCATCTGGCTGACCACATCAAGATGTTTCCGCAAAGACAGTGCTCGACTCGCATTCTCCTCCCAATCCTTAAAAAAAAAAAAAAGACAAAAGTTTCAAAAGCCATTATTCAATCTTGTCATTGCTTCTTTCTTCAAGAATAGCTGTTTGTTTGTTCTTGAATGAAGACTCTGGGCCCTTAAACAGTGTTCACCAGGAGCTGTAATGAGCTGACCCACAGCAAAATCAGTTTCAAATTCTTTCTGACCCTGTGACAGACTCCAACAGAGCCTATTTCAAGGAAAAACCAAAAGTACATGGCTAACATATCAGAGATCTAAATTCCTGTTAGCTAGCTGATAGTCACCAAAGTCACATAGCTGCTTCCTGTCACACAGGGAGGCGTGCAATGCAGCCACTCAGCTGAATGAAGGTTGCCTGAAGTCCTGGCGGTAGCGTGCCCTCAGGTGCCAGTGGACACGATCCCACTCCAGAAAAAGAGGGGAGGCAGTTCACCCCACGATGAGGAAAATGGTTTCACTTGTACCAATCCCATCTCTCGCCAGAAAAACCAAGGTTGTTTATATCTTCCTCCAAGCCAAACTTGAATTTTTGATCTAACAACAAATTTGATTGTCTTACCTGTGCCTTTGCTAGAAGAATCTCTAAGCCATTCAAGAACTTTGAGATGGGACTGGAAAGTGGGAAACTGCGAATCCTGTCCATTACAACCAGCAGCTGGAGCAAGGAGGGAAGATTTGGTTATTTCCAGCAGAAGCACCAGTGGCCCAGATGCACACAGTACTGAGCACCTCTGAAAACCTCCAGGGTTTGGGTTCTGACCAAGACAAATCCTTTCCCTGCAGTATTCCTCTCGATATAAGATCAGATCTGATAATAAAATAACTTATTGCTCTCTGTAAGAGAGTCACAAAACAGAGGCAGACCACAGAGCAATGTCTGATTTTAAATCACCAATTTGAAAAGCAAGTTCTACTTCTACTACATTTAAGAAAACCCAAGAGGCCCTTGAACTATAACAGGATGATAGTATTTTAAAATCCCCAGATTCAAGCCTGTCCCCTTTCCTTCCCCCTCCCCAGCTCAAGCTGGAGCGAGCAGTAGGAGAGGCCGGACCCCTCTAAAAGAGCCAGGGACTCTTCCCTGAGAGGTCAGCTCTGTCCAGCAGGCCCGGGAGTGGCTCACCACATGCACGTGGTTGCCGGTGCGCACAAAGTAGGCATGAGACGAGACGACCCATGTTGCCCTGGCGGGCCTCCAGGATGATAGCATTTTAGTATAAGAGAACTTCGTAAAATCTTTGTTACATGTATAAATGTGCAAGCGAAGGCACCAACAGTCAGTACGAGGCCACATCCTAAATGGCAGAGTTGGCACCTGAGCAGTTCATCCCTACCTCATCAGCCATCCTACCTGCACAAGTGCTGGGTGCTCTGGCCAGTCCTGCAGCAACTGACTGACAGTCTCCGAGAAACCTTCAAGCACAGGCTGGCACCGCCGTGCCTCAGGGACATTGGGGTGCTGGTAGAAGTCATAGGGCCCGTCAGGCTTCACCATCAGATCCAAAGTTGCCTCTCCAAAAAGAGTGTTATGGGAGAGGGTGCAGGCCAAAAGTTGACTGCCCAAGAGCTGGTCATTCAATTCAACTCCTGTGAAGTTAACAAGCTCTTAGTAAAAATCAATAAATTCAGCAAGCTGACCTATCAGCAGGTTACAAAGATTTCAGAAATGACGAACTAATTGGGACTAATGAAGCAGATTGCTTCAATGGCATTCAAAGCAACACAGGCCTACAGAAATGTGACACTCCAGCACAAAAGCTTACCAAAGCTCACATGTTTCCAGGATACACATATCCTGCTTAGGTATACGAAGACAGGGAAGAGTTTGACTTAATGTATTTACACTCCCATTTTTTGCAGCTATGTTGAGTAAGCAGAAAGAAAACTTGAAAGTATCATTCCTACTTGCATGGAATAATTCACAAAACTATTAAGAAAATTACACAGAACCAAACTTGCTGTTCAACCAGAATCTGTGAGATTAATTCTGAAGTTCCTAAGTTACTCCTAGAAACACTCTATTTCATCTGAAAAGCAGTTAATCCATTAGGGGGAACCCAGAAACTATGCTGAGGGGTCCAGTGCCGCAGCACAGCAAGCTAATCCTCTACCTTCTATGCCAGCATCCTGTATGGGTGGAATACCAGAGGTTCTACTTCCGAGCCAGCTCCCTGCTAACGGCCTGGGAAGCCAGCAGAGAGCCCTAGTCCTCCCTGCTCCCACAAGGGAGACCAGGAAAAGCTCCTGACTGTGGACAGGCCCAGCTCCAGCTGCCACTACTATTTGGGGAGGGATGCAGTGGATGGAAGTTCTCTCTGTAACTCTGCCTTTCATATAAAAAAACAAATCTTTAAAAAATAAAAAGGAAGGAAAGAAGGAAGAAAGGGAGGGAGGGAGGAAAAGGAAAAAACAAATAATGCTGAGGAAAAAGATCATTTAAACTAAGTCTAACTAAGTTCCCAAAGAACTCCAATGATGAAAATACTTCTTACTACAGAATTTTAAAAAAATTTTTTAGAAGATATATTTATTAATTTGAAAGGAAGAGTTACGGTGACAGGGAAAAAATGAGAAGTACCAACTGATTCTTTGTATTTTGATTTCTTTCCCCAGGGTATAATACAAGTAAACCAGCGTACCCATCAGAGGATAGAAGTGTGTCAGTAGAGACGCCCCAGTCTGATAGCAGGACAGAAACAGGCTGAGGTAATGCTCTGTCTTGTGTGGAGGAACCGTCTGCTGGTACCACAGGGAGCGAGCGAAGCTAAGGCACAGCTGCTGGTGGATGAGCAGCACTGCTTGCATGGAACTCTGGGAGAGAAGGGCTGGCTCTGTGGCTGCTGTTTCTTCTATTCCATCTGAAGTTCTTTTCTTCTCCTCTAGTGATGGGTCTACCAGAATATCTGCAAAGTCCTATAAATGGCATTGTAGAACAAATGAATTTGTATAAATCAGAACCTGGATATGGGGAGCATGAATGACCAAGAAAATGAAGTGGGACTTATATACCACAGGGCACATTTAAAAAGCTAGTAGGCCAACAGGTACTTGGCTTCATAGTTAAAATGCCCACATCCCCCATCAGAGTGCCCAGGCTCTACTCTTGGCTCTGGCCCGATTCAGTTCGTGTCACGGTAGACTGTGGGAGATGACAGATGACTCCAGTATTTGGGTCCCAGCTACCCAAAGAGGCGGCCCATCCTATGAGCTTTCAGCCCAGCCCAGTACTGGTGGTTGTAGGTACTTGATCTCCATCAGCAGCCAGGAGCCCCAAACTTGTCAGTCCTCACTGGTGGAGGGTATGTGTGGGGGCGGGGGAGGTTTGTAGGAGGCACTACAACACCCCGTGTGTGGCATCAAAATAATTCTTTTCAAAGAAATCTAGACACCTTTTCATGCAGAGGGAACCGCCTTCTAAATTCCTGTTCCTCCTCCTCCTCCTCACTCAACATGGTCTTCGAGTTTCTGCTCCTGTATCTGTACAGGCTGTTCTCTTGCTCAGCCTTTTCTTGGGCCATGCGTTCCTGCTCATCCCATTCATTGATGATTTCCTAAAAAAAAAATCCATTAATACAAAAGGAAGTTGGCCTGTGTTGATCTACTCAAAACAAAAAGGAATGATTTGCTGGCTCTTGATTGGCTTAAAAACAAAGCATCGGCATCCAAGAAACTAAATGACACATTAACAGACAGCAAATGGGTTTTATGCATCTTCAACAACCATGGTTTCTTAAACTCAGTCCATTGGGCTATCACAATTTCAAAAGTGCAAAGACATGCTAAAGCAAAGCTAATGGAAATGGCCATCAGTAATGCCCTGTACCAAGGACAGGCTCTGGCTCAGCCGAGTGCAGCCACGGTTCAGCATCCCTGCAGCTGGTGCTTCCCAGAGCTGGGCTGGAGATTCAGAAAAGGATCACTCAGAGCAGGTGTTGGAGGCCAAAGCGCACCAACCAAGCAAAATCGGATTCTACTTCACCACACTGTGAAGCAGCATCCTCAAGCCAGGAAGGCAAACATGTTAAAAGACTAGGACATGTGTTTTATCTCAGAACCCTCAATTCTGCTCTCCAAAATGTCTACTCTCATTGCTGCTGTATTTACTGAGATGGCTGTTTTTTTAAGAGTACCAAAAAATTGCTTTTAAAAAAATGAAAACAGGGCCTGGCAGTGTGGCCTAGCGGCTAAAGTCCTCACCTTGAAAGCGCCAGGATCTCATATGGGCACTGGTTCTAATCCTGGCAGCTCCACTTTCCATTCAGCTCCCTGCTTGTGGCCTGGGAAAGCAGTTAAGGATGGCCCAAAGCTTTGGGACCCTGCACCCGTGTGGGAGACCTGGAAGAGGTTCCTGGATCCAGGCTTCGGATCGGCATATCATCGGCCATAGCGCTCACTTGGGGAGTGAACCATTGGACGGAAGATCTTTCTCACTGTCTCTCCTCCTCTCTGTATATCTGGCTTTCCAATAAAAATGAATACATCTTAAAAAAAAATGAAAACAAAAAGAGTGCAAAAAAATTATATACATACACTGTTCAGTAATAGAAAGCAGTTAAATGCCTTAGGGAATACATATGCAATATAAAAATCATGCAGTAACTACCATGCAGGTGAAGAACACACAAAACAGGGGGAAACAACAGTGTTTTAAAAGCCAGCTATATAGTACAATATTTTTCTTGATGGGTTCTTGCACATTTTGCAATACTCTAGCAAAATAAGGCATATCTTAAGGGCCAGGGTGGGGATACAGTTGATCTCAATCAGACCCTTTTCATTTGCTCATTAGTGGTAAAGATTCATTACTTTTTAAAATAGTACTGTGACCATGAAACAAACAAAAATGTAATTACTGCGAAAAATCACTGTGAAAAAAATTTAGAGTCACAGGCTTACACACATACACATACACACAAGTTGAGTGCCCCGAATCTGAAAAACCAAATTCTCAGCATTATGCTGGAGGTTCAAAACTATTTGGATTTTGAAGCATTTCCAGCCTCAAATTCTCAGGTTAGGGTTGCTCAAGCAGTAAAGCACATGCAAATCTGTACTCCATCAATCTGGAAAGCTCCAAAATTTAGAATACTCTGGTTTTGATTTTCAAGTAAGGATACTCACCCTATGTATGACGGTACCTCAAAATGTTCATGAAATTAAGAGGTTTATTTGTGACATAAAACATTTAAATCATCTTTGTTCATCATAAGTACCTCTAATGAACTTTTTGAAAACTCCTTGTATACAACATATAAACAAGCCAAGAATGGGTTGTCAATTTTAGCAGGTTAAGTGATAAAGACTAGGAAACAAAATGCTTCCCTTTTATTTGTCCTCTTACTGCTCTATAACAAGAACATAAATTATTCTGGCTAAGAAAACAAAGCCCAAGTCATCCGATGAAATTACATGGCAAGCTCACCAAAGAAAGTTAAAAAAAGAAAAAAAAAAAAGGAAAAAAAAGAGCAAATTAGGAGAAAAAGCTTGCAATGTATAGCACACAAAGGATTAACAACTTTTAAAAAATCTCTAAAAAGTTGATGGATAAAGGCTCCAAAATAAAGAGAGGTTCCAGGAAGGAAATAAGTAATGAGAAAAAGAGCCAGCACACCTGCTAGTTTCACCTGTAATCAGCAAACCAGATCAGACCAGTGAAGACTGGTGTGACATCCAGAGTACCTGGCCAACCACAGACAGCAGAGTGCCCGCGGGGTTCAGGTGGAATGCTCGTCCTTCCTGACCGATTAGGAACAACTGAGGCCTTGTTTGAAATGTTATTAATGAATGCTGATGCTTCTACTGGCTAGACTAATGCACCCATGGGCCACAGAGAAAGCTGGGAGGCAGCCAGTCTGATTGGGGTTGTCAGGGATCTTGCCTATCAGACAACTGCACTTTCTAATCAGTGCTGAAACCCTGGGCTGTGGAAAGGTCTGGATAGGTTGTTGTGACCACAGAGCAAAGCTAGGCTTGATGGCAAGCCAGATGAGGGTATCTGTGGTATCTTCCTGGGCTAGGATGTGACTCCAGAGGCACTCAAGAACATTGGGACTAGGGCCAGGCAGACCAGGCCAGGCTCTGGCACATGCCAGCTCACAAAAGAGCTGTGATCAGGGACAGGCCTGGCCAAGTATCTTGGGGGTCTCCTCAGCTGGGTTGCAATGCTCAGTGGCTAGCCCAATAGCCGGGTCTGAGGGCAAATCAGAATGGGTTAGGCAGCACCATCCATCCAACAGAACGTAAGAAAGCAGGCTGGGGTTCTTAGGGATCTCTTCAGTCAGGCTGCAGTAGCTGCCAATACATGAGCCAGGGCTGGCAGCAGGCCAGACCAGGCCATAGCATCTACAAGTGTGCTAGAGCCAGGTGTAGGGACAGCCCAGGAGTTCTTTGAAGCCATTCTAATATGACTATCTACCTAGTCCCCAACCTCAGAAAACATCACATGGCCTCAGAGTACAAGTTGTGGAACTGGGCAATCCCCACTGCTGACTGCGTAAGGAAAGACAACATACCGGCAAGCACATGAAAGACAGTCAGCCTCTCTGATACAACAAAGAACCTTGAGTACACCATCAAAAGATAGAAGGAAAAGCAGCATGAGCTGAACACTACAGGCCAAGTTCTCCAGTAAGCTCTTAAAGTTAGGGACATGCTGAAATAGACACGAACATCTAACAGGCTAACAGGTACTGGAAGTGGTATTCACCTCTGGCCCAACAAGGCAAACACAATCTTAGAACAATCGAAACTACTCAATCTAACACCCTCAGGGCATTCTGCTCCCCACTGGAGTCTCCAGGACAAAGAAGGACCATTTTTGTCCCTTGGCACTGATATGATCTGGCAGCAAGGAGTGGTGCGACATCTCCCTGACCTCCATGCCCCACAGTGACATCAGAGGGCAAGGGCTTTTCCTTCATTCTCTTTCTTCCCCACCTCTTTCTATCCTACTTCAGCTTCTGCAGGCTTCTGCATAGCTTCACCTATGCAAAAACATTTCTTAAAATGCAATAAATACTTGTTGGAAAAGAAAGAGATGGCAAAAATGAAGGAAAAGATAAGAGCTTCTCACATGACTGCTTCTACATCTGTTGGACAACACTAGTATCTTTAGGCCACCCGGCTGTACATGCAGAGCTCTTCAGCAAACAAAGCAAAGGCATGCCCCGGAACCAGTCTCACCTGACACACATGTCGGAAGAGGGACAGGGCCCGCTGGTCCAGCTCTCCCTTGCACAGTGCATGGCAGCGCAAGTAAAGGAGGGCATTCATCAGCAACTGCTCACGGGTGGGGCACGGTCTCTGGCCCTTGCCTTCTAGCTCCTTTCCTCCTGAGCGCCTGAGGACCAGCTTCCCAAGGCCTCGCAGAACTTCCTTTGACTTCACAGAGCACAAAGCATCCGCATGTGCATAGTAGGTCGGGAAGTGGGGTCCTATCGATGGGAAAGCCAACAAGGCTGTGGCCAGGCCCCCCAGCCAATCTGGACGGACTACATTGCTATGTAGTGAGGTGTGGACCTCAGATGCTACTAGCCTCATGCCATGTTGTAGCTGCAAGATGGACGCCTGCAGTGGGATCACTGCATCTGGATACAGGGTGTACTCCTCTGCCAGCCGCTTCCTGAACTGATGGTGTGACTGTTGCCAAGAGGCCTCCTCCTTCAGAAGGTTCTGGGTCACCTGGGCAGACCGTGGTCCATCAGCAAGAAGGGTCTGCAGGAGCCTGCTGAGCAGATCCTGAACAGCTGGTGCTTTGGCAATGCTGGTGGCATAGTGGTGGATCTCCTGTACCAGGGATTCATAGGCAGGCAGCTGGGGTCTAAAGGCCTGCTTCTTTGACAGCTTGCACATTAAATTCTCCAACTCTTCAATCCTTTGACGAAGCAACCTGAAAACAAATCAATACAAGATGCAAATCCTGCCAGTTAGAAAAGCAGCAAGCCTATACTGGGCTCACTGCCAGGAAACCAGAAAAAAGACATACTGGCTGCCAGGCAGTAACAAGAGGATGGTGTTGACAACTACCATGAGAAGGAGTAACAATATACAGCACTTTCCCACATGCTAAATGCTAGCACCCAGATACTCATCTCATCAACGCCTCACCATACCTCAACAAAGCAGATACTACATTCATGTTTTACTGGTACAGGCCTGGAGCTCAAGAATTAAGTCAGCAAAAACTAAAGGACATGAAAAAGACTCAGCACCATAACTATGCCGTATTTCTGAAGCAACAAACCTGTAACTCGGATACCAGAAAAGTCTGTGTATGTCACCACACCTGACTTCTTCCGAGATGGACTCAAGTCAAACCTGTGTTAGCCTACACCTTGAACACCCTTCCCTTTCTTTCCAACAAGTCTTTTTCCCTATGACCATGGTCTTGCAAACTAACTGCTAACACAGCTAGTTCACAGGTTTCAATTAATCCTGTAACTATTTTACAAAAGTTAACCTCAAAATGTCTCTTGCAAAAGAAGTAACTCCTAATACAAATAATCCTTCTACCACATTACCTGATGTGAGGATGAGAGTAAGTGATAATGATGTCGTCTCCCAGGTCTCTTCCAGTCTGTAGCTGGGATGAAAGGTTCCGGGTTTTCCACTCACACTGCAGCCTAAGTAACTAGAAAAAGGGAAAAGTTGGTCTACCAGATCCTGGCTATGACCATGCATTCCAGGACAGTGCCCAGAGGTGAGCTCAGCAACAAGATGCAAATAAGATGGGTTCCTGAATGACCCATGAGCAGCTGGCTCTCTCATTAACCAGGACACTCACCTAGGAGCTACGACCTGAAAGAAGCTATCTCCTCTACAGCACAGAACTTGGCTACTGTAACTCAGTCTTCACTCCAACCAGTCATCCTTTTTCATGATACATGCTAGTATATTGCTCTCATAAGGTATTTTGTTCTTACAGAAAAATTACATTGCAGGGGATACCATATTAACTCAACCTATTTTGATGTCTGAATATGAGATAACAAACATACAAAGTTCAATATTCCTAAGGGTACAGATGTAATATACTCTTAAATCATCTAATCCAAACACACACAATTCAGCTAAGGTAGGAAGTATGGATAGTGAGGGAGGCCTCCATTCCTCAGACAATGCCTTGCGTATTCCACGTACTTGCCCTCTATCCACTGCATCTACTTCTAGGTACATAAATGACCCAGGAAGGAAATGTGGCCCTCCCTTACCTCTTCCTTTGTGTACTTGAGCTTGTATTCCCTCTTCACTGCAGGGTCAAAGCGGGCCTGGGGAAGCCAGGTCTGAATCTGAAGCAAGCCAAGGCTCACCCAGAGGCAACCACGCTGCACAGGCTCAGGAAGGTTCCTTTTACTTTCTGCATCTCCAAAAAGGTGGCGCAGGGAGTTGAGTAAGAGACACAGTAGCTCTTTGGGCAGTGTGTCCTCACTGGCCATATCACCAAGGACCTGGGCCACAGGCTGGAACGCCTGGCTGTTCCCAAGTAGCAGCTGCTCACAGTTGTGTATATGCTCCTGTCGCCGTGGCTCTGGCAGCAGCTCCGCCAGGCCCACAAGGTGCCGACACAGCAACAGGCCCTGGAGCTGGGAATCCGTGCGTCTGTTGGGACACAATCAGGAAGTGCTTAAGAATTCATGCTCTATTAACGGTCCTATTTATACATGGTCATTCAGCAGGAAATGATAAACATAGGCAGCACTGTCAACATTTAGAGGGACTTTCTGTTTTCCCAAAATGCTGAACATGTTTCAAAGGACCACTCTCTTGGACACAGTGCTTTTAACAGTAACAAGTACTGGTTAGCTCATGGCATTCTCTGCCACAAACTGACAAAGTGCCAATTGGGCAAACAACTTTGCCTTTACCCACCAGAACCCACCACAGCAACAGCAGGTTCTGTTCCCAGGAGAGCGATACCTGAAGTCTGCCAGAGAATTGACAGTCATGTTGGTCCAAAGCATCGATCTGATGTCCTGGATTTGCTGGGTTCTCTCTGCCCACTCTCCTAGGGTCACATGTGAGGAGGACAGGATGGGGAGGCCGCTCACATCCCAGGGTTTGGCTCTGCAGCTGCTGCTCAAGATGTCAAGGCAACACTTAGAGAACATGGCCCTCCCGAGACTGCCAGGGCCCTGGACAAAAGAGAAGTGCCAACAAAGTTTCAGAAATTAACTAGAAAATAAAACCCCACTGGTTACCTGGAAGAGGAAAACATCAGCCAGAGGCTGGGCCAGAAGAGCATAACAGGAACAGATATCAATAGGTCTTAAAGGAATACAGACTCCATCTTTGCAGAAAATGGGGAGGAATGGTTAATCTGAGATACATGAGAAAACTCCTGAAACCTGGGAATCAAGGAGACCATTCTTACAGCAGAGAAAGGCACACATGAGTTTGTACTCCTTAGAATATTAATCCAGAACACAGCCATTTAAAGGTGTTCCAGAAAGGATTGACTGGTCAAATTAATGAAAGGAAATATTGTATGTGGGGCTCAATGATTATCTCTAAAGGGTTTCAGATATCCGTTTTGGTGTAGGAACAGACTAGAATGCAAAGATAAATCCATAAACATCTGTAGGAGTATGACAGGTTAAAGGACAGCCTGGAAAACGGAAACACACAGTTAACTACGCATGATAATACTATAACCTACTGCTTGTATAAAAGATAGGGCTCTGCCACACAAAACAGGAAGTGCAGCTAAAACTGACAAATGTAAAACAAAAACATAGAATATATAGGAAAACGGCTTTCATTGTCATGAGAGGCGAAGGAACACATCTGCAGAAGCACTACATCACAACCCGACAACAGACTGGCATGTTTAAAAAAGAAAATACTGTGAAACTTGACAATATATTAAAAAGCAGTCAAACTTAAGAAATAACAAAAAACTTGAAATTCATTCCCAAATATATACTGAGCAAAGGCATAATATTTACAACCTAAAGAAAAATTTTAAATAATAAAATGATGCTGAATAACCAAAATTTATTTTAATAGATATGAATGTGACTGGAAAAGCCAAAGGAGAAATAAAAAGAGCAATAAACCTTTGGAAAACTGTTCAAACTGTGTGACAGCCAAACAGATACAAATTAAAATAAGGCTAGCACAGTCCAACACCACCAGGATGAGTTTGCACCAGCTGGTGTGGCAATCATCTGGAGGGACAGCACCTCACACAGGGTCAACCACACTGTGATCTGGCCCCAAGCCTTCCGGGAGCTGGTGGTTGGGGGACATGGGGGGTAGGGTGGGGGGAGAGTGGTGGTGGTGTTTTATGGAGGGCAGAAGTTTATTCAGCACTCACAGAAGTTAAAAAACAACCCTTCCCGGGTAGTCCAGTAACAACTAAGCAAAACTTCTAAACTAAACATGCAAACACTTTGACCTAGAGTTAAAGTCTAGCTCTAGTACATTATCCTCTGAAAAATATTCATGCAAATGCACAAAAAATTTGCAAAAGGATGGTTAATGCAATCACATTAGTTAAGAATGTCTATTAGGTCTATGCTATACAATTCTATACATGTCTACAGTGTGTTTTGTATTAAAAAAATGTTTTAACTGGAAAAAAACATTCTCAAAAGGAAATCTGTGTGACTGTAACTAAGATTTACACAAATCACTAGAAAACCGAACATCCTTTCTGATGTTCTGAATATCGTGTACACAATCATGTGTCTAATTCCTGTTCCTCCCTAGAAATAAATGCTTACTGCTAGGTCCGTGGACAATGTTTTTCTACTACATCAAACAGTTTTCTCAGTTTATGGTAACACACCTTCAATGTGGAGTCCAAAAGGGACTTGGGCATCTCCTGTTGTTGCATACCAGGCAGAGGGTTCCACGCAAGCCAGTACTCTGGATTTGTGGTCACAGTGCTGCTCCAGAAAGATGCAAATGTAGAAGCGAGTAGTTCAGACCACAAAGAGAAAACGTCTTCAGCAGACACCTACAAATAGGACAGTATTTGAAAGAGATCCATAAATCAACTTCTGCTTCCAAGACTTATTAAGACTCACATAGGTCTACAGGCATTAGTCCTAATTTTCCTGATTTTCTATCACCAGATCAACTTGATCAAGTCATATTAACCTGATCATAATTTTGTAATAAGATTTGTTTAGTTGATACATACAGTGACATAAAAAGAGAGTAAGGGAGAGGAAAAGATCTTTCATCTGCTGGTTCACTCTCCAATCTAAGAACTCCAGCCACACCTCCCATGTAAGTCCAATCATCTTCTACTGCCTTTTCCAGCACATTAGCAGAATGCTGCATTAGAAACAAAGCAGCCAGAACTTTCCAATCACCCCATCAATATTTAATGCCAATATTACAACCTGTGACTTAACTCTTTTTACACGATGTTCATCTCCCCGATTGTAATTTTTAAAACTAAAACTAAGGGTCAGGAGTGTGATATGATGGTTAAAGTCTCCACTTATGACACCAGCATCCTATGTGGGAATCAGTTTAAGACCAGACAACTCCACCTTCTGATCCAACTTCCTGCTAACAACCTAGAAAAGGATGATAAACCAACTGCTTTTCAACCATTTGAAAAGTAAACCAGTAGATTAAAGAGCTTTCCTGTTTCTTCCTCTCTCTAAATTTGACTTTCAAATAAATAAATACTATAAGACAAAACAAAAAACACACTGAGATCTGCTTTTAGGCTACATGAGAAAATCTAAGCAACTCACACGACTGTGACACAAATGTTTCTTAAAAAATTTTAAGGCTATACTAACAAAGTAACATTAACTTTTTCATCAATAAATCAACATTCAAAGGCTATCCTAGGGAAGACATAAAAATCACCTCATCTTTTTGAGCAAACAGGACATTTTTAGAAAGAATTTTATCCTCATTTCAGTAGAAAGCAAATGAACAATTCCATAACAATTGTGAAACATCCCTGCAGTTCCTACAAAAGAAACTGTAAATCCAGAAAATGTTCTGCTGCAAAAGGTCTAGCTCACTCACAGCCGTAAAGGAGGCTTGCATTGCCCCCACCTCATGATTTTTACCTTCTGATAATGTAGTAAGGACCACAAGTCTTGAAGTTCCTGAGGAGTGATTGGTGTATACTTAAGACAAAACATGATGTGATGAGTTATCTCATCCATCTGGGGTTGCCAAGTTTTGCTGGACCTGTTAGAAAAATAAATACCAAGAGGAGAGGAAGTGGATTATCAATGAACATCTAGAAAACTACATAAGGGAAGACAGAACACATAGATGCAGTACATTCATATTAAAGCAAGCAACCATTTTGGAAAAAAAAAGACTTAGTGACTTGCAAAGGTAGAAGAGACACAGGCCAAGAATTCAGAGAAAGTCAGCTTTTCAAAGTAGCAACTGCCTTTCCTCTGCTTCAGCCACCATTCCGTCTACAGACAAGTCTGCGCTCTACCATCCAGATGCACACAATGATTAAGAAAATAAGTTCACACAAAAGAAAGTAACTGAAATAATGGCTGACCCTCTCAGAAAAGCCCGTGTCATGATATCTGCTACCATTTTGTACTGCCAAAGCATAGCCAGGTACTCCATGGCAGGCCACAACTGAACACTCCGAGTGAGTCGAGGTAAGCAGGCAATGCCTGGCTGGGCTGGGGAGGACGTTTCACATTGCTTTTTCTCCATAAATTCAAGTGGAAGCCCTTTGGCTTTTAATTCTAAACACTGGGCATTCACAAGACTCTTCAATTGATCTGGACAAAAGAAAGAAAGAAGAGTTACGTTAAAGCACAACAGGCAAGAGTTCAGGGTCTCTACTTCCAATAACCAGTTACAAGAATGCACATAATCTGAGTTAAAACCATTAGATTTCTTAACCTGAGCTTTGAGTTTTCCATCTGTTAAACAATGTTATTAATACCTACATGGATTTAGTGCTGGAATTAAATGTTTGACTATAAAGCTTAGCTCAATACAATGACACATATTTAATGAGATTTATACTCCAGAATGAGTTAGAATGTGTTGGCAGCAAGAGCAAATAAATTCTCAAGAGTATCAAGTGGGCCCGGCACTGTAGCCTAGCGGCTAAAGTCCTCACCTTGAATGCGCCAGGATCCCATATGGGCGCTGGTTCTAATCCCAGCAGCCCCACTTCCCATCCAGCTCCCTACTTGTGGCCTGGGAAAGCAGTCGAGGACAGTCCAAAGCCTTGGGACCCTGCACCCATGTGGAAGACCCGGAAGGAAGTTCCAGGCTCCTGGCTTCAGATTGGTGCAGCACCAGCTGTTGTGGTCACTTGGGGAGTGAATCATTGGACAGAAGATCTTCCTCTCTGTCTCTCCTCCTCTCTATATATCTGACTATATAATGAAAAATAAATAAATCTTTAAAAAAAAAAAGAAAGAAAGAAAGAGTATCAAGTGCTAGAGTACATTACCTAGCTTGACATCTTCTAGAGTATTAGCTCTGAAGATCAGTCCCCAGGCCTGCAAGAGGCTTGCTTTTACTGTCCATTCAGAAGCAACCACTTGGAGACGATTAATATCTTCCTGCCATCCGCTCTCCCCAAATGCAGGTGTCCACACCCTGATCGCAAGGGCTTTGTGAAGGACTTTCAATTGCATAAAACAATCCACCAGCAGCTTGTCCTGAAACAATAAAACCCAGGACAGCTTACTACAGAGCAGGGATTTCAGGGGTTTTTCATAGCAGTTTATTTTGACTAAGAAAACATTTAAAATATTTCCTGAAGCTTCTAGAAAAATAGTTTTGCCTATTCTTCATGCTAGAGAGCTTTTTACAACAATAGTTAAAACTCTGCAAACCACTTAATGCTCTCAGGATGTTTGGGAGGTAAACTTTTCAGAGAAAGGTAAGTAAAGTTGAATGTTAGCTCCTAGGGTCCAGGGGAACCTCAGAGGTCAACTTTCGTTTCACTTACTACATGTTTTCACGTGTACCTTAAATGGAACTGGTCGTCCCAGGAACTTCTGCAACTTCTTTACACCAGGGAAGCCACCAGTTGGGCTCCCCAAACAACTCTGAATATGTTCTGAGACTGTCTGAAGCTCTTTGTAATACCTTTAATGGAGAAAAGAGACAGGAGGGAAATAAGGGGCAAATAGCAAGAAAAGTCAATTACTTCTCTCATCTCACTTATGTCATCAATAAACAGAATAAAGCAAAGTATGCAAAATGAATCAGTTTCAATTTCAAACCAGTTTGCGTTCAAAATGAACTGACCAACACATTTCAATGTTATCACTCCAAATATGAGGCTTACTTCTCTTCATGATGCAGTAGAAGTTGGGGGATCTGACGGACCAAATGCTTTGAAACCCAGTGCCAATGGAGAGCAAGCAGGGCCAGACCAGAAGCATCCACTTTGACTGTGTCAGCCACCATCCAAAACCGGTCCCGCCACTGCACAGAGCCTAAGATCTAAAAACACAGTAAATCAAAACTGCTCATTAACATCTCGCACGACCTGGACTTCAACAATTAACCAACACTCAATATGTGCAAAAAGTCTTATGCTGCAGAAGAGTATCTGAAGTAATGTTCAGGTACATGGAGAAAGTGAAGGTGATTTTCCCTTAGAACCTGAAGTACAAAAGTTTATTTACAGAAAATGAAATTGTTGGATCATACCTAAGTATAAAAAGGAACTGCATTATTCTGTATTCCAAACAGCAGATGTAAAAAACTATCCTGGGCCCAGCGCGGTGGCGCAAGTGGTTAAAAAAGGTCCTCGCCTTGCACGCCCGGGATCCCATATGGGCGCCGGTTCTAATCCCGGCAGCCCCGCTTCCCTTCCAGCTCCCTGCCTGTGGCCTAGCAAAGCAGTCGAGGACGGCCCAAAGCTTTGGGAACCTGCACCCGTGTGGGAGACCCAGAAGAGGCTCCTGGCTTCGGATCGGCATAGTATCGGCCCATTGCGCTCACTTGGGGAGTGAATCATCGGACAGAAGATCTTCCTCTCTGTCTCTCCTCTCTGTATATCCGCCTTTCCAATAAAAAAATAATAAAAAAATAAATCTTTTAAAAACTATCCTAATTGTTGTATTTATTTGCCAATACCTAATATCAGTGATTTGAATTCTAGCTATTTGACCTACTGCTAAAAACACTAAAGGACCTTTGCCTATCCTTAAGATTATAAAGATTTTCTCCAGAGCCAGTATTGTGGCATATCACGTGAAACTTCTACTTACTGTGCCAGCATCCATATGGGTGCCAATTTGAGTCCCTGCTATTCCACTTCCAATCTAACTCTCAGCTAACACACCAGGCTGCTCCACCTCTGATCCACTTCCCTGATAATGGCCTGAGAAAGCCGCAGAAGATGGCACAAATACTTGAGCCCCTTTACCTACAAGGGAGATCTACAAGAAGCTCCAAATTCCTGGCTTCAGCTTGGCCAGCTGCTATAACCATTGTGGGGAGTAAAACTGAAGAAACCCAAGTCTCTTCCTGCATCCTTATTTCTAATGTTAACAACAGTAAAATTTATCAAATAATGTTGGACAAATGAGGCACTGGAGTTAGTCTTGTCCTTGAATCTTTGTACCAAAACAATCTTAAAATAGTAACGGGTGAATGTTTGGTCTAAGAGCTTAAGAGGAAGCTTGGGAACACTTGCGTCCCATAGCATATGCCCCAACTGGAAATGTGGCTATACTCCGAAGTGTGGCAGCGGGTGATGATGGTCTGAGTAGCTGGGTTCCTGTCATTCACGCAGAGCTATCTATGCCAAGTTCCAGGCTGCTAGCTTCAACCTGCTGCAGCTGTCACATGTTTGGGAAGTGAAGCACTGACTGGGAAGGAAGTGTTCTTCTCTTTATCAGTCTTGCAAATAAGCAAAGTATATAAACAAAACTAACAGAAACACATTTCCTACCTCACTGACACAGGCATCAGACACCATCCCTTGGGAGGACTGTACCCACAGCAGGATTAGTGCATCAAAGAGTTTAAAAAAGGCAGCAAGATTGACCACAATCTCATGAGGCAGGCTGTGATAGCTCTCTGGATCTTAAAATAAATAAAATAAAAGGCATGCCATCAGTTAAGATTAATTTCATGACATTTTCAGAATAAATTAAGCCTGGAACTTAACATCAATATCAACACAAAGTTCAAGTCTCAAATGTGGAACTGAAAAAGAATCTATGCTTGCTATTACTAAGTTTAAATAAGCCAAGTATACCTATAGATATAACAATTATTTATGAAAAATTCAAATTATGAAATGAAAATACATACTTAAGTATTTGAACACAAAAAGAAAATCAAGTGTAAATGCATATGGGTGGTTAGTTAAAAAGATAAAAAAGTATCAATGAAACTAACAGTTGCTTCTATAGAAATGAAGTTATACTTCTATAAAGTTGGAACTTTGACAGCCAGATATCTTTTTCTTGAAACAAATATAAAAGATGAGAAAATGTTCTTTCCTATAATCAAATGCTTCTGCATGTGCACCAAGCCCAGCAGGGCTAGTTGGGAAGTTCTGGCTTCGCTGTGACTTAGCACCTGCGAGTCTCCCTTCCCTCACTGCTGACATAAGCATCTATCTCACAGGGCACTGCAAGTGAGATGGGACACCTGAGATGCATTCAGCTGAGGCTCTGTGCCGAGTCCAGGCTTGGGCAGTGGTTGGCAGCCACAACAAGGAAGCCTATATGTTTACAGAAAGGCCAGCAGATCAACAAGAATCAATAAACAGTAGCTGCTGCTGAATGTCAGCAACATTATGCCATGCTATACTAACTAAAGAACGTACGGACCAATGTTCTTACCTTTATGGAATTCAAAAGACATTCTCAAAACACTATTTAGCTTTTTAACACCAACAGAAATTAAGTTGGCTTCAGTAAATATCCGTTTCTCCCTATCAAGATATATGATGGTCCTGGAAGAAGATTCAAAAACAAGGTTAGTGACTGGCTGGGAACACCTTCAATGATTTCCTTTATAAGCTGAATCTGGGGAAGCTGAGAACTTCTATTTCCATCCTGCCATTTTTCCTGCCTCTACGAGGTGCAGACAATGGCTGTTTAAGTGGGAGAAGAGGAAGGACAGTGAGACAAAGCTAGGTCTACACAGGCTTCCAAGCCTCACTCCTTGGCTCTGCCATGATGTTACAAACTGTCCTGAGAGCTCTTCAAAGCAGCCATCACCAAGTTCATCTCTGGGGTGGAAGTTACCTGGGGAGGAGACTAAGGGGAAGGCAAAGCAGCCTCAGGTGCAAGTTTGCACCACACTCCCAAGGTTCGCTTTCTGAAAACTCACTGCAACCATTTACATAATTATTAATAGTATATCTCCTGATAATGTACTCTATATTCCAATTTTAAAAGGATTTCTAAACCTAGTTACACCGACAGCCAATTTCGAAATATCAACTAGCCACTAAAAATGAGGAAGGATCATTCTGATAATTATCTGCATCTACATACGAGTGTAAGTTGAAGGTAGAAAATGGCTGAGAAATAACAGATGGCTGAGCGAAGGACATGTGAGAAAACAATAAGGGATTTCTCACAGTGGGAGGTTATGGAAGACCACAAAAAAGAATAATCTTTTGATAAAGGATGACTTTAAGATAATAACAATTAGCAAGATTGAAGGCACTCATTTTTAATGCCCTTGAGCTTCTTGGTATTTACATACAGTAAATATACACAAGCTGCTTTTGACAGTCTAAGGAAAAGTAGAATCTGTAAACCCAACAGGATCCAAAGAAACCTGCCACTTACTTGTTTGCCTCAGATTCCAAAAGGGTGAACAGCTGCGGTTCCTTCTGTGGGTCAAAGTCCATTGAATTTTTAATGATGTCCAAAGCCTGCATATTCCATCGGGGGTCCAGAGGAACCACAAACTCATCTAGTTTACAAAAAAAAAAAAAAAAGAAAGAAAAGAAAAAAGAAGAAAAGAATAGAACAAGAGAATTTTGGAGCTTAAAACTTGTTCCCTACTATGTTTCAGTTCAGTGTTTTCACCATTTCACACTGGCTCAGAGATGGACAAGGAAATGCTATCGGTTTCATTCTAGGATAGGAGAAATGCAGGAAGCCACATCTTTTACAGTTTCCTTTCCAAATGCAAAGTAGCTCTAATCAATGAATTCATTTCCTCACAACCTCAAAACACTTCTGAAAAGAACTTCTGGGTACAATTACTAAACCCACCACCATTGGCCATGAAAAAATTTACATGGCAGAATGAATAACACCTCAGTGTCCACTTTCAAAAACAAATGCAACTCAGGGGCCAGCATGCCATATGGACGCTGGTTTGTTTCTTTGCTGCTCCACTTCCAATCCAGCTCTCTATGTTTGGCCTGGGAGAGCAGCAGAGGATGGCTCAAGTCCTTGGGCCCTGTACTCCCATGGGGGTAATTAAGGGAAGTTTCAGGCTTCTAATCAGCTCAGCTCTGGCCATTGCAGATAGGGAGTAAACCAAATGATGTAGGATCTCTGTCTCTGTTTTCTCTCTGTAATTCTGCTTTTCAAATGAATATGAAAATAAATCTCCTAAAAAAAATTTTTGTTTCTCTTAAAGGCAATATCTCTACAAGCACTGTGACAGCAGCAGCTGTTAAGGCTGCTGTCTCGTGTTCCTTCGGCTCAGACTGGACACGTCCTCTGTAAAGTACACAAGAACCCTGGGAGCATCTAGATGAAGGTGGTTGTGCAGGAGGGTTCTGTAGAGCATTCAAATTTCAAAGCATCCACCATACTGTAGCCTACCAAGGAAGGACTGTGAAGAGAAACATACTTTTAAGCAAAGAACACATATTCTAAAGCCCAATTAACAGACAGCACTATCTAACTGAAAAAGAAAATGCAGTTAAAACTCATGTGTTCCCAAAGAAGACAAGCAGCATCTGCCACTCTGCGTCTATCCTATCCATTGTAAAGCTAGGACTGAGTTCTGCAACAGCCCAACTATCATAGCAGTCTACTCTATTGCTGGGTTTCTTGACATTCACTTCAATACCTTCAGTATTTTTGGTACCTTTAGAGTACAAACAACAATTAATTTAGAACAATGTATGTATTTTTTCCAACAGAAATACTTGTTATCTGCACATTCTGAATAACAACAAAAAAAGGAGGGATGAAGAAGTGGCAAAAATCTCTTTGTGAAATGCCCCATTACCCTCATTATTGCTTATTATTATTTCATCAAATACTTATGCTCTCTGTATTAAGAAAAGAAACTTGTTTACCTAGACAATCATTTTTTTCAGTTTTTAGAACTGCTTCATTGGGTCCAATGCTGTGGCCTAGTAGGTAAAGCCACTGCCTGATACATCAGCATCCCAAACGGGTTCAAGTCCCAGCTGCTCTATTTCCGATTCAGCTCCCTGCTAATAGCCATGGCAAGCACCAAAAGATGGCCAAAATGTCTGGATCCCATGTCACCCACGTGAGAGACCCAGAGAAAGCTCCTGGCTTCAGCCCAGACCAGTATTAGCCATTGTGATTATTAGGGAAGTGAATCAACACATAGAATATATCTCTTTCTCTCTCTCTTCTGTGTAACTTACCCTTCAGAAAGTCAAATTTAAAACTCTACCTGTTAATAGTAGAAGCAACATCAGAGCAGTAAGAAATCAATTTCCCTAGTTTTCAAATACAAGTGTAAATTATGAACTGAAACACTGCCAACTTTATCTGTGGCAGAGTTGAGATGAGAGATCAATGCTCTAACTCCTGGGTTCTTTACACTACATTGTACTCATTAGCCTCTTTCATAAACTACAAGCTAATGAACAATTTCAAATAAAGAAAACTAATTTCCACCTGGGATATTCTCAAACTTGTACAAAGTATTTTAATGGTCAAAACTCTGATGCTATTTCCCCATAAACACAATGGACAAGTTTCCAAAACACTGAGGAGACCCAGAAATCAAAATCAAGTGTCTACCTGTTACATTTGGCTGTAATATTTTGAAGATACTGCTGATCCCAGATGAGAGAGAATTGGAGTAAAAATTTCTGAGACATGTGGCACTGGCTTCCAGATGAATCTGCACTGATTCTATGGAGGATGGAGAAACAAACATTTGACTCTAGCAGCTGAGTGAAACTGAAGTTACAGCAATGATGAAGTTGTTTCACAGATGTACTACCCAAATAGCCTTGACTCACATGTGAGAATTTTGAAAAGTGGCTGATACGACAAGAGGACTCAATCATATAGCTTATTTAACATAAATAAACACACATTTATTCATACTAATAGCTCTCAGTAGATAGCGACTATACCCAGGCACTTATTTATTATAAACACGTTATTTATATTATATTCAAAGCAATGCAAATAAAAATATTTAACCAGGATGGGCACATGCGATGTGGGAAGCCAGCATTCCACATCACAGAACCTCTCAGCCTTCCTGCTAATGCAGACCCCAGGAGCTAGCCATGGTAGCTCAAGCAGGCAGGTTCCCCTACTCGCAGAAGACTTGGATTGAATTTATGGCTCTTAGCTTTGACACTCCACCCCTTCTATTTGTAAAGCAGACTAACAGATGAGGGTGTGCTCTCTAGACTCCTCTAAAATAAATGTATCAAAAAATATACAAATTCTGTATCAAAGACACACATTCACTGATTTATATGAAACTTCGCAGAGATTAGAAAAGCTAGTTAATGCAGGACACAGCATTGTGACATACAGGTTAAGCCACTGCCTACAATGCCAGCACCTCAGAAGGGTAACTGTGTACTGGATGTTCTACTTTCAAACAACAATCTGCTTTTGGTCTAGAAATAATCAGAAGATATCTCTAAGAATTAAATCCCGGGCTTGCCAGTGGCCTAGCAGCTAAAGTCTTGCCATGAACGTGCCAGGAACCCATACGGGGGGTGCCGGTTCTAATCCCAGTAGCCCCACTTTCCATTCAGCTCCCTGCTTGCGGCCTGGGAAAGCAGTTGAAAACAGCCCAAAGCCTCAAGATCCTCACAAGTAAAACCTGGAGGAAGTTCCTGACTCCTGGCTTTGAATTGGCACAGCACCAGCCGTTGTGTTCACTTCGGGAGTGAATCATTGAACAGATCTTCCTCTCTATCTCTCCTCCTCTCAATATCTGACTTTGTAATAAAAATAAATAAATAAATCTTAAAAACAAAAAGAAAACACATCACATACAACATAGTCTCCAAGCAGAATGGTTATGCAAAAAATGTGGATAATAAAAATTAACATAATGTAACAGAATTGCATATACCTTCCTTACAAATTTTAGTGATGAGAATTTGAAATGCCTTAGTATTATATGGCAACAAAAGTAGCTATTATGATATATGTAAGAACAGCCTTTACCCTTAATTTTTATGTGTGTCTTTCTCCTTAATTTCAAGTATCTAAAGAATAATGCTAGGTCACAAATCTCTGTAAAGAATTCCCTCAGTAACCATTATAACAGTGGAAATATGAAATAAAATGGTGCTGAAGCATTTACAGAATAAGTGTATATAAATTCCGTCATTACTGAAATTAGGCTTCCTTACTTACCAAGCCCCTGTGGTACGTTCTTAGCTAAATGATAAAGCCATTTAACTCTAAGCATCCAGTCCTGATTGGTTGCTCTTTCAATGACCAATTTAACACCCATGGCCAAAACATCCAGCTCATCAATCCAGCAAGGATCCACTTCCACTACGCTGAACTTCAGGTTGTCAGGGTTGGGAGACTGCATGATCTTCTCCAAGTCTGGCAAGGTAAGAGGCTGACTCCTGAAATTTATTGGAATGGACATAATTACTACTAGAATAACATGTTATTTCACATTTCAAAGAACTAAGAAAGTAGTTTTACAACATTAGATCAGAAAGATAAAAAGGAAAAACCTGAGTCCCCGCAAAGGAAGACAACTACAATACAAACCCTAGTCAATTACAAACAACAATATCATAAGGAACAATGACACTATGATAGCTGAACAACCAGCCTCCAAAGACACTGGGTGTATGTGTGGTGTCCTATTACTGCAAAAGCAAAACCAAGCCAAGAAATCACAAACACACATCGGGTAGAGGCTGGCTGACCTTGCCCAGCTGTTGGTTTTCATGCTCAACCTGTTGAGGCAATATGCCAGGATCTGCCCATCACTTCGAACTGTGGAGAGGTGAGAATCTTCAGTAGCAAAGAGAGCTGAGGGCATCGAATCTGGCCATAATCCCATAGCAAGAACTGAATTTCCCCAGGCTTCATGTGCTCGAAGAGTGGCAAGATGCTTCTCCAGTAAGGCCTGTACAAGCTAGCAGGAGATAATAACAACACAGCACCAATATAAGCGTTATTAGCAGACAATGCATGAGAGTTTTTAGGGCCATGATAACTCATAACAATTCGCAATTACATTCTTCAAAGCACAAATGAACAAGTTGAACTTTATTTTGTTGTCGGTAGGAAAGTTTCAGGAAAATATTTACATTTAAGCTATTTTCCAGAAAACTAACAAGATCATTATCTCCACTAAAGCGAAACTAAGGTGGTCACCTATTTCAGATTATTAAATTTACCACCTGCAAAAATTGTCTCAGCAATAATGTATGGTATTATACCTCACAGGTATTTGACAATTCTTAGTACCTTCTGGTTTGCTGAGGAATGCTGGGAACGGACATACACTGTCCAGCATGCTTCCGAAAAGGATCTGACCAAACTCAGGCCCCTCTGCAAGCCTTGGACAATAAACACAGCTGTCTGGATCAGGGCTGACACAGACAATATTGGAGAACCTATCAAGAAAATGTTTGCCAGCTGTGAGAAATTGCTTCTTCAAAATCACAAATAAAACTGGTAAATTATCATATCAAACTTCACACAACGCAACCACATACTTTAGTGTCTTCCAAAGGCACAACTAGCATATACAAGCATTTGCATTCCTTCTTCCTGTTACCCACTCCCTTTAACTCTGGCTATGTGCAGTGTATCATGGGATACTTCCTCACAAGCACATGAGGTATGGTCACAGTTACCCTTGATCTAATACCAACACATAGTGAAGACAACAAAAGGAAGCTAGGGCTCACAAAGGACCATAAAATTTAAAACCCAACAGAACTACTTTCAAATTACAACTGTCACTATTAACTGGCCTGTTAAATTCTTTGAGCCCTACCTACAGATTAGAAACACATGCCTTCCACTGATACTTTCAGGACTAGCAGACAACAAGCAGTATACATAACAGTCAATACAGAATTTCATTGTTCTGAAGCTGAATATTTAGAAGTCACACCTATCTGTCTGAATTCAGTTTCCTCTATTCCAACTTCAAGAAGGCAATGAAGACCTTGATGTAGGGTAGGCAAACATTACGAATATTCCTGACTATGAGTGCAAGTATTAGAACTGCCTAGAGTCTTTATAAACTTGACATCTCCACTTAAAATAGGCTGTTCTGTTAATTTCCACTTGCAGGTAGACTAATATGAGAACCCACACTAGCAGGGCAGACGCCCTGCAGAAGCCCTGAGGTAAAGCATCTCACCTGTAACAGTAGTTCGGATCTCTGTGTGCAGAGCCAAGAGGATGTCACATACACTGTCTCCCACCAACCCAAGACTGTGCAGCAGGACTTTCAGATCCAGAGTGTCTGGGATGCACCCATCTCCTTCTCCTGAAATGTAGATTTCAAGTCCACGATTCCTCATCGCTCGGGATATTTCTCCATGAACAGGATCCATTGAAAGAAAAAGTCTAGTAAAATGGCAATTCAAAGAAAAAATATAAATATCAGTGCAATCAGTGCCATAGTTCTTAACAGTCAGTGACAGCAACTTAACAGAGGCCCAGATCCAAGGAGCTCACCAAGGCAGGCTCCACCACCTCCCAAGGTGCTGTAGTCAGCTGCTTCCTTCTTTCTGCTTCCCAGCAGCATCAGGCCTGTCCATCAGTCTGCAATCCTAATTCCCCAGAGCTATGTATTGGATGTACTGCTATTTGAGAATGTTAAAAATCTCACTTTCAGAGTTCCCAAATTGGGGCCAGTTCTAATTCATAATTCTAATTTGCAGAAGGCAGAAAAGTAGTATATTCTCCTGTAAACATTAGCCTCATATATCCAATGCCTATTCACACCACTATCTATTCATATCTATCCACCTGACAACATATATGCCTGTCTACTACCTTATTTCTTGCTGACACTCCCCATGCCAGCCCTGCTCTTCTGCCAGTCTACCTTTCTCAGTAATTGGTTCCGTTTTTCATGCAATGATTCAACCACAGGACCATCAGGCTGTCCTGTCCATTTCACCACAAGTCTACACTGTCATTATCTCTTGTCATGGTCCACAGGAAGCAACTCCTGGTTACTCTACACCACCAAGCCAAGGAGAAATCTCACTGCTTGTTTCCTATTGCATCCTCATAGCCTAACAGTGTCTGGCAAATACTACAGTCTCAGTAAATACCTGTTACCTGAGTTAAGGAGGCAAACAGCGCAGGGCTCCATAGATGAGTAATATGTACACAGAGGTACTACTACATGTCCATTGTCAGATACTTTGGCAGAAACACAAAAGTTACAAATACCTGAAATTGGGATGTGGTGTTATCGTGGGAATAGATCCATCTACCATTCCTCTCTCACTAACAGTGAGGACGCCTCCAGGCTCAAGCAACGCATTCAAACGATCCAGCACTGATGGGCTGCACAGACAGAATTCAAAAGATGGACACACAGGCACATCACCTTGATACTACAGCCTCTCACACAGGCACCCACCTGCTTGCTTCTGACCCTCTTCTTTCTCTCAATAAGGACCATTTATCCCATTAAGAATTGTGATCTCTTGCAAGAGGAGATGTCCACACTAGTCTCCTCACTCCCCAAAGCACACTGCCCGCCCAATGCATTTCACCTTGTAAGTACAGGAAATATTTGCTGATATAAGTGAAACAAAGCCAAATGATAGGAAATTCCCTCAGTTACAGTCCTTTCCTTCCTCAATCCTCTCCAACCATTTCTAATGTTATTAAATCCTTTACAAAGTAGCTAGAGTGTCTGGTGCATGGCCTAGCAGTTTAAGTCCTTGAACACACCAGGATCCCATATGGGCGCCGGTTCTAACCCTGGCAGCCCTGCTTCCCATCCAGCTCCCTGCTTGTGGCCTGGGAAAGCAGTCGAAGACGGCCCAAAGCCTTGGGACCCTGCACTCGTGTGGGAGACCTTTAAGAGGCTCTAGACTCCTGGCAATAGATCGGCTCAGCTCCAGCCATTCCAGGTGCTTAGGGAGTGAATCAGCAGACAGAAGATCTTTCTCTCTGTCTCTCCTCTTTGTATCTGACTTTCCAATAAAAATAAATAAATCTTAAAAAAAAAAAAAAGTGGTGAACTTTAAAAGAATGTAGCTAGATTTCTAGGTCAAATACTCCAGATAAAAAAAAGTTCCAGGACCTTCATGGTAGCCTAGCGGCTAAAGTCCCTAGCTTGCACGCACTGGGATCCCACACAGGATTTTACATTACACAGAATCAACAGTGACCTACCCAATGAAATGTCATCATCACTGAGACACATTTAGCAGATGTCTGCTCAGACAGGAATACCTGGATTTGAGTCCCATCTCTGCTTCCAAAGCAACAGCTGATGGCTCACAGAGCTGGGTCCCTGCCATGCACCACGGAGACCTGAATGAAGACCCAGGTTCCTGTTTTCTGCCTGGCCCACAACTGGCTACTGTAGCCATAAGGGAAATGAATCCCAGATGATAAAGCGCTCTCTCTCTCTCTCTCTCTCTCTGCTTTTCAAACAAAATAAAGACAAATAGGAATGAAAAGACACAGGAAAAAAAGGATGGTGCTTCAACCTGGGTTTCTACTTTGACAAGAGATTGATAACCACAAATTTCAAACAGGCCCATTTGCAATCAAGTGTAAGATTCTCACTTGCAGAAGTTAACGTTGTCCAGCAGCAGCCAGTCTCCAGACTTCAGGGCCTGCACCAACATGCTGTCTACCCATTCAAAAGTGCCCTGGCTACAGCCACTGGCTGACTGCATAAGCTTCACCCCGAAACTTCGGAAGTCTTCCACAAGTCTGGCAAACTCTGAAATATCACAGACAAAATAAGCATCCATAGCACTTATTAGAAATCAATACAATTTTAAAAACTTCTATTGAAACAACTGCAGTTCAATTTTGTGAGTTACATCACAGAATAAATACTAGGATCTTAGGGGAAGGGGGGAGGTTCCTGTTTAATCACACATTAGCAAAAATGTTTTGGACAAAAAAAAAAATACTTCTTACTTTCTAAATTGATGGCTAAAAGCTCCTGGATTAATGCTAGGGTGAAACAATGAAGACATTTCTGTTACAATTTAAGAAACTGTAACAGAAGCACAAAGACATCTCCCACCTATTGTTGGATTTCTCCTATCATATGAGAAATGTACTCAGGGTCTGGTACTGCAGTATAGCTCATCAAGAAACCACCTACAACAGCAATATCACATACAGGCACCTATTTGAGTCCATTTCCAATCAAGCTGCCTGATAACCCGTGAAAGCCACAGAAGCTTGTCCAAGTGGACAGGCCCCTGTACTCACATGGAAGACCCCAACGAAGCTTCTAGCCTCTGGTTTCAGCTCGGCCCAGCCCCCAGCTGTTGAGATCATTTCCAAGGAGTGAACCAGCAGAACAAAGTTTTCTCCTCTCAACTCATCCCTACCTTTCTCGAATAAGTAAATCTTTTATTTTTAAAGATCTATTTTTTTTATCTTGAAAGACACAATTATGAAGAAACTGGGTGGCAGAAAGAACTTTCACCTGTTATTTCACTCCCCAAATGGCTTCAACAGCCAGACCTGGGCTGCGCCAAAGCTGAGAGCCAAGAGTTTCTTCTGGGTCTCCAACACAGGGGCACATGCCCAAGCTCTGCTGCTTTCCCAGGCCATTAGCATGGGGTTGGATCGGAAACAGAGCAGCTTATATGGAATGTCAGCACCACAGGGAGAAGGATAGCTTGCTATGACATTGTCCCAGCACCAAATAAATCTTAAAAAAACATAAAAATAAAAAAGGAATGCACTCGCTGGCACAATGTAGTTAGTGTATTAAACTAGGTTTCCTTTACCCTGGCTACATCACGCAACTGTCATTAACAACTAGAATTTGTCAAATGCTTTGTAACTTATGGTGCATATAGCCTTTGGCTAAAGATTTTTCATTGATTCCTTTGTGTTAGAATTGTTGTATGACCCTTTCCATATCACAAGTAAAATCCAGTGGGCAATTGTTTCTGGCTATGAGGGACTACAAGATGTATACTTAACTTGTACCTCTCACAAAAAGTAATACATACTTCAAATACACACCTGCCTTGGAGTAAGAGTTGATCTTATTGTTAAGCCGCTGCATGAGCAGTAACACTGCTTCCAGTTTATTGACAACCTCCACTGTGATGCCTTTGCCACCATCTTCAAAACACTGAGGCTTGTATGTCAGGAGGAAGTGACTCCAGGCTCGCAGCACTACCTCAGCATCATCAGCACTGACCAGCAAGCTGTCCCGCAGCAGGGCCCTCACTGTGTCTTCCACCTTCTCCAGCAGCTGCTTCCAAGGTCGCCTAAGATCAACCTACAATTTGGAGAGCACATAACTTAGCCACTGGACACAGAAGACCCTCTATCGATCATGGGGTGGTGCTTTTTTTTTTTTTTTTTTTTGGCCTAAAAAAAGGTATAGAGAGAATATTACCTGCTCAAATCCACCCAGAAGTTCCGTGGTATCGACTGCGCTGTTCATAGCCATGATCTTTAGTGGGTGACCAGTCAAGTGTGCAAGAAGCTGGACCAGGCTGGTCTTGCCCACTGAGGCTGGACCCACAAGGATGACCATCCAGCTCATCTGCACACACTTCATGATCGGCTCCAATGACTGGAATGACTGATGCAGGAGTGACAGGGGTCTGCGTGATGGGTGAGGAACATAGGTGCCCCGGGAAAGAACTGAATAGCCTAGCTGAAAAATAACAGCAGTGAGAACCCATGAATATACTTGAGGATGGTAGGCAGAATAAGCAACAGAAAATTTTCAGTTAAGTAGAGGGTTTACCCTACTCTCCTCACCTGGACATCATAGGGAGTGATATGAAACAGTCTGGTCCCCAGGTATGGAGTAGAATTTGAACCAAATACATCCTTGAATACAGCAATGACCTAAAAGAAAATGGTAAAATCGAAGACACACAAAAATTAAGCTTATTTATTTAAAAGGTTTACATACACACACACACACACACACACACACACACACACACACACACACACACACGCAAGCAAGCAAGCAAGCAAGCAAAGTCTTCCATCTGCTGATTCCCTCCCAAATGGCTAAAATACCTGGTCTAAGCCAAGACACCACCAGGAACCAGGAATTCTATCCTGGTCCCTCACTTGAGTGGCAGAGGCCCAAGTATTTGAACCAGTATCTGCTGCCTTCCCACATTGTTAATAGCACTTGCCGGAAAGCGAAGCAGCCAAGTTCATGCCAACTATTCATCCTGCTCTATCACAACATCAGCCCCACACCACCAAATCATTCAAACCTTTCAGAAGGAAACAAGCAAAGTGATGAGACTCCCTGTATCTTATTTTTATCCTTTTTCTTTTCATTTTTTCCTTATGTTTTTAAGAGATTCACTACATAGCAAAAATCATAATTCCTTTACCTCTTGCAGCCATCTATTATAAGGATAGACTCAATATGCCATTGCCATGGCATACCCAGCTAAGCTTCCACCTGCAGTGCCAGCATCCCATATAGGCACCAGTTCAGGTGCCAGCTGCACTTCCAATCTAGTTCCCTGTTAATGGCCTGGGAAAATAATCAAGAATAGCCAAAGTCCTTGGGCCCTTGCAGCCACAGGAGAGACCTGGAAGAAGCTTCTGGCTCTCAGGTTCAGACCAGTCCAGCTGTGCCCATTGCAGCTGTTTGTAAAATGAATCAATATCTCTTTGTCTTTTTCACTCTCGCTGTAATTCTCTGATAAAATAAATATTAAGAAAAAAAGCTACACACATAAAATTCTGAGTTCAAGAAAAGAATAGCCACATAATACAAAACTATTTTGAGAAACCAGTGGAAATTCCAGATACCGGAAATGAAGGGGCTGTGCTTTCATCTTCTAAGATCTCAGCTACAGAGCCCAGAGCAGTAGCCTAGGGGCAAAGTCTTAGCATTGCACATGCCAGGATCCCATGTGAGCTCCAGTCGTGTTCCAGCACCCATACTTTCCATCCAGCTCCCTGCTTGTAGCACGGAAAAACAGTCGAGGATGGTCCAGAGCCTTAGGACCCTGCATCAGCATGGGACACCTGGAAGAAGCTCCAGGCTGCTGGCTTTGGATTGGCCATTACAACCATTTGGGGAGTGAAATCAGAGGATACAATATCTTCCTCCTGTTTCTCCTCTTCTATGTATTTCTTACCTTCCAATAAAAATAAACCTTAAAAAAAAAAGATAACAGCTACTAAGAGGGCAAAAAGCCTCTGAGTCTCCTGTCACTTACTTACCTCTGTGCCTGGCCAGATGATGAAGACCTAGCTGTTTATTACTATGGAACCCTACTGTTTTAAAGGAGGTTTATGATTATGCAGATCTAGATAAACAGGCTAACTGCATCCTCCAAAGTAAACTACTTTATACTGTGAGAAAATAGATAGGGGAACATTTGGCATGCTTCCTTAAATCCTAAACTGCAAGCAGCTTGACAAGGCTTGGTGTAACTGGTATGAGTATGCCCATTCCCTTCTTTAGGAAGAAGTCAACTTTCACATGAAAAGAAACCCAAAGATCAAGGGAGAAACTCACCTTTTCTTTGTCTTCCCGGGTTCTCATCCTTTCCCCATAGACCAAAAACACATGCTGGCCAGGATCGTAATAACCAGGGGACTGGTCGACGAGCATCAACTGACACCAGCGAAAAAGATCCCGGAGATTGAACTCCCAAGGTCCTCCTTTTTGGCCCCATTTCTTCTCAACAGTCACTTCGTGATCAATCTGGAAAGAAAATATGGAAAAATAAGGGAAACATATCCTGCTGCCAGGTACCACAGTCAGTGTTACCAATGTACCACAGGGGGTATGCAATCTGGGTCAGAAGTCCACAGGCTTCGTTCAGATAACTTTCTTCTACATAAGATTTCCAAATGCCAGAAATATTCTATAAGCATTATTAATGAAATTTACAACACAGAAATGAATTCTTGTACCATTCAAATGAGAAGCTTGCCTTCCACAAGAAATTCATAGAATCCTAAGTGATTTATTCAAAATAAACTTTGATTTGGCAGAGTACCACGTTGAGGGAATAGTCCTGTACAGATAGGACAATAAAGAACAAGTAAAACGAATGGGTACCTACTTGGTTATTAAAAACGACCATTTTCTTAATAATAGTTTTGTCAATGGCTGGAAACAAAGTACTGGCAATAAATTCCATGTCAATTACTGTAAGAGGATCCACAAAAACCTTTAAAATTAAAAAGCAAAAGAAATTTAATTTTTCCTTGTAACATTCTAGAAATGATATCCCTGTCTTACTACCTGAAACTTTTAACACTAAATAATAATGCTTAAGCAATACATATGATCTTTAGTTATAGACATTTCTCTTAGTGTATTCTCAGGATGAAGAAAGGTAAAATCTGGTTCTTGCACTGTTGTGCAGTAAGGGAAGCCACTGCCTACAGCACCAGCACCTCATATGGGTGCCGATTCAGATCCCAGGTGCTCCCTGATAATTCACCTGGAAAGCAGTGGAACTTGGCCTAAGCATTTGGGATCCAGAGCTAGACCCAGGCAAACATCTTAGCTCTGACTTGGCTCAAGCTTAGCCACTGTGGCAACTTGGGGAGTGAACCAGTAGGCAGAAGAGCTCTCTCTAGGTTTCTGGTTCTCTCTCTGTAATTCTGCCTTTCATATAGACAAATAAAGCCTACATAAAATAAAAAACTCTTAAAAATACACTGATTTCTTTTGAATTATACTCAAGAAAAAAAAAGACGTGCAATTTTTCTTTACTTAGCTTTTCAAACCTTTCTACGTACAAAATATTATAGCTTCAAAACACTGGATGGTAGATATAAATGTGTTAAAACTGAAAAATTCAGTGAACCTTTCAACTGAAAATGTTCATAATAAAATGCTCTTAAAAGAAAGATACTAGCCAATTTTTAAACTCCAAGGGATAAGGTACCGCAGGTAGTCAAGTAGAAGAAAACAGTTGTTAAAATCAAATAAGCATAAACATAGACACATCCTTCTACAAAGAAAAATTAAAAATATCACATAATCATTGATGTGATACTGGAGTTTTACTCATGTTAGCTTTCTCACCTCACTGTTTACAAATTCAAATATGTAACTTTTAAGGTGAAATTTTCCTAATCATTTGAACAAATCACATGAACTAGGAAAGGTCAAACATTGTGCTCCATTCCCGAGGACAGCCAACAGAATCCTAAATAGTACAATGATCTTACAATCCTCTGATAACCAAGTGATTTAAGCCGATAGAACAGTGATTAACAGAAATCAGTTACATCAATGTACATCACATAGAGACAGGAAAAGGGAGCCATTAAGTTGGTCCTCTCTCATTGTCACAGTGAGGCCCGTGAAAGCCAGGTCACAGCCATCTCATGATTCCCTGCCTTGCCACCACCAGTTTTTATGGCAACAGTGAATCTCACCTGAGTAAATCTGTTAAGGAAAGACCTGGGTAAGCCCTTCCTCCCACCTCCTTGTCTAAAAGGATTCTGACATCCAAAAATCTTTGTCTTTTCATGCTGTACTTGAAAAGTCATCCCCAATTCTGGTACGAAGATCTCTCCTCGATGGTCAAAGCAAGCATTGAGTCCTTCCAATACAGACTGAGAAGCCAGGTTAAGCTATTGGGGGAACAAAGAACATATGTACCTTTCGTTATCTGTTTTATACAATTGTTAAAACAGCAGGGGAATGATATCCAGCAAAGTAGCTTATCTTTAGCAGAAAGCTCAGTATTTAGCATCCCTCGTTCTGAGACATGCAGTCGAGGCACACCTATTACTCATTAATTCAAATAGATGGTAAAAAGATTTTGGATATAATAAACACAAGTGTATCTCAATTATTCTTAAGTAATGTGAATAAGCACTGAATTAATTTTATAAACTTGCAATCTTCTCTAAAATTACTGTGTCTATATGTGCACCACTACTGACCAATGCTGTAAACAAGAATTTACGAAAAAAAATTACTAATATACAAGCTTTTCATTTTCATGCTCTAACTTTTTGAAGAGTTAATACTAATGCAAGGAACAGACAATGTTTGATAGTTCTTTTATACAATTTCCCAGCTCAAACACTGAGTTAAATCTCCAAGAGGGCTTCACTGACATAATACATTCACCAACAGTTCCATGAACAAGAATAATCGCAAGGGGTTCTCATATCAGAAATGAGGAAAGCTGAATTTACAACACAAAGCTGGGGAGGCACATATGCTGTTTAAGTAGTGAAGGAAAAATCCAATAAAGAAAATATGAATCAATAAAATGCATATGGGGGAAAAAATCAAGACCCTCAATGGTAATATTTACACAAGCACTACATTACATAAATTTTTCTGTGTATTACCAGAAAATACACAGCGCGGGTTATGTCTCCACCTGCAGTGACAGCATACGATACAGGTGCTGTCTCCAATCTTAGCTCCTCCACTTGTAACCCAGCTCCCTACTAGTGTGCCTTAAAAAGCAGCAGAGCATGGCCCAAGTCCTGGCTTCTCTGACAAGCTGTTGAAGTTACTTCAGGAGTGAATCAAAAGAAGAGAGATCAGTATCCTCTCCTCCTTCTCTAATTCTTTCAAATAAAAAGACAACCCTTTTTTAAAGTTCATTTTCAAATACAGAAGGTCCTGTGCGCCTCGAATGTATTTCCACTAAACAACAGTAAACAGTAGCTTTCAGCGTTAAAACCTGGCTCTTCCTTTGCCTAAAGAAGCTACAAGGCAAATCACAGGCAAGAACCTGGTCCTTGATTGTTCTACATGAATGGCTCTGCATTCTGCCTCTGATGGAGGACCCAGCAAGTCCTGGATCTTGGATTGAGTCCAAGTTGCATCTGCAGACATTCCATTGCTCTCACCATTTCAGCTCCACAAATCCTTCCAGTTTTTTTCCAGAATTAACACTGCACGCTCGCAACTGAGCTGTTTTCATTCTGAAGCTGTTAAAGATTCAGAATTTACCATGCCTCACAGTGTGATCTTTTCTTCCAATATACAGACTGCACGGATCATCTCCTGGTCACATTTGTACATGATTTTGTTTATCTTTCCCCGCTACTCAAGTATACTAACACAGAAGAAGTGGTTGATGTTATTGGAAAACACCTCTGAAATAAGTACAAACAGAGCAGATCTTCCAGAGAAGGAAGGCTAAACTAATTAAGGTAAAGTTGTTTTCTGCAGGAGAGTTTCTGAGTTAGACACGCAGAGGGGCTTCTCTTACTCTTAAAAGAAGCTGTGGAGGTTCTCTTAACAACAGACGATGCCTTTCTTCACTAGCCATCAGCACGCTCACTTAGCAAGAACTATGGAAAGCAGGACTGCTTCTCCAGCAAATGACCCTGTCCTGGAGAAGCCCTCACCTCATCCAACACAACCCAGTGCCCTGCCTTCAGAGCTGCCAGCAGGGGGCCATCACGCCAGGCAAATTCTCCTCCCTTACCACCTTCAACAGGGAGATCTGCTCCAAACAGGTCTGTGATGTCCTTTGAAAGAGGGAAGAAAGGGAGAAAAGCCAGTATTATCAACCACAGAAAAATAACTGGAGTCGAGGATCCTAAACCTGAAATGACAAGCACTTGGGCTTTATACCCTGCTCTTTTTCCTTATCTGTAACATTTACCCTGCCTTCTTCCTGGAGCCCACATGGTCCCCAAGCACCTTCTCACTGCAATGGTCATGCATATCACTCAATCTGAGTTGGTGCTCTAGGTTAAAAGTTCTCATTCTTCCCTTCATTAATTTGTGAACTTAAAAAAAAAAAAAGAAGAAGAAAATCCAGAACATTAATAGCAATTCCTAGGCCCTGTTTCCTAGACACCATTACAAAAGATACATTGCATTTGTCGGCTCTGCCCTATATTTTCAAAGGTTCGTTTACAAGCCACTTTATTTCTACTATTTGGTTATTTTTCAAAATGAAAAACTTAACAGAATTATAGTAAATAGAAAAGTAGGAAATTCTCTCTCATAAAATGATTACAATACAGCATCTAACTGAAAATATTACTGTAGGTGTTAGCTACCAACAAACTCAGAGCACATCAATACATGAAACGTTTGAGACTATACATTTAATACCTATTACATAATAACAGCATAGGAAATTCTATAAATAGACAAAGCCACCAATAACTATTCCCATCCACTACAAGATGGTAAAGCTTACTGTCTGCTCCGATAAGTTGATTCGAACGAGAGTATGTCCTGAAGCCTTTGCTAATGCTGCAACCAAGCTTGTCTTGCCAACACCGGGCGAGCCTTCCAAAAGAATGGGTTTGTTCAGTTTGGTAGCTCGTAAAAGCCTCTGGGCATTCATAGCTGTAGTGGCTGCATTGAGTGCATAATCGGTGATATTATTCCTGTGGAAGACAGGACCTTCAAGGAGAAAAGCAAAGGCACATGTAAGCTGCACGTAACAAATTCAAACATACATGTCAACACCAAATTCTAAGAATGCATCATTGGACTGGTAGTGACAATCCATGTTTCAGGTTTTCCCTACTCTGGTATCCATAAAATGTGGCATACGTTCATCAACTCTGCTACACAGATCTATCTCCATAAACACATTTACATAGGTTGAAGTACAAATAAATATCTCTGACTTTGTAATGATTTGAATTATAGATTATAAACACTTGCACATGAATTTTCATAGTAACTAAAAGCCAAGCAATTCCAAGGCTTCCGGATCACCTAGACAATTAAGGATATGTCATATCTTAACTCATATGGCAACCAAAGCACAAGAATAAAAATTGCAATTTCACAGGACTTAACACTTGTGCTACTATATTTCTCAGAAGAAATTCTGGTATTTGAATTGAGAAGCATAGGGTTAGGACACCATCTGTTTCCTCACCTGTGCAAGACTAGCCCAGTACCAAGATATGAGCACACAGATTCTACATAAGAACACTGAAAACTATGACTGTGGATTTGGAAGAGATTTAGCACTTACATCATCAAGGCCCATCAAGATGAACACAGTATGTGTTTTTTGTTTGTTTGTTTTTGAAGATTTATTTTTATCGGAAAGGCAGATATACAGAGAGAAGAAATAGAGAGGAAGCTCTTCCATCTGATGACTCACTCCCCAAGTGACCACAACGGCTGGAGTTGAGCCAATCAGAAGCCAGAGGCCAGGAACTTCCACCGGGTCTCCCATGCGGGTGCAGGGTCCCAAAGCTTTGAGCCGTCCTCAACTGCTTTTCCAGGCCACAAGTAAAGAGCTAGATGGGAAGCAGGGCTGCCAGGATTAGAACCGGCGCCCATATGGGATCCTGGCAAGTTCAAGGCAAGGACCTTAACCACTACACTACTGCGCCGGGCCCAAACACAGTATGTTTTAAGAGATAATAGAACTTTGACGGGAGAAGGAAAGGATATGTGATCTCTTTGGTCAGAAGTCTGGGATGGAATTGTTTACCAATGAACCTCTGTACATCAGCAATTATTAACATAGAGACAGAGAGAGAGGAATGGAGAGGATCAGATGACCCTGCAATGGGAGCAACAACACAAGAACAGGGTTCATTAGGAGACATCTCATTTATTTTTCTCATTAAAATGCTTGGAGAAGCAACCAAGCCAGAATGATGATAAGCATCAGAACTTGGCTTGCTCATTTAACCATTTATTAATTCACTCACTCAGTCTACAGACACTTTCTGAGTGCCTGTGACTACCAGGAAAAAGGGCAAATGCCAGGAATAAACAGAAGAATGAGAGAATATCTGCCTTCAAGGGTTCACAAGCTTATTTTTGTAAAAGGCAGTGACAGTCATGTAGTTCAGATACAGGGCTAAACAACCTTTTGCAAGATATTTTACTGACAGCTTAACTGGGACATAGAGCTTTATTGCAGGAAGCTCTTATTATAGATAAAAACTAATAAGCAAATGTATTTCTAGAAAACAATCTCTTACACTTTGTGCTTTCTTTTAGCTTTACATACCATGTATATATTTTGAACCATTCAATTACAATTCTATCAAGTCAGATTCCAATTCAGATAATGTTCAAAAATAATCATGAATGCAACATACTAAGAATAAAGTAAAAATCTTTGATCTATGAGAAAACTTTAAGTTCTTAAAAAAAATTCTTACCCCTTGGAATAAAAAATGGATGAATTCCCCAAAGGTTATCTATCCCAGTGAATTCTTTGGCTTTGAGCATGCTATAAATCTTCAATTCCTTTTTCTGACACTCTGTAAGTTGGACTATCTTGGAAAGTCTCTTGATAAGGAATTTCAGGCATTCTTCGCGAGCCAAGAGAGCTGTGCCAAACCCAGAGGAAGTTACCCCTAAAATAAGAGGATCATTAGGTCAACCAACACAACACCAAGCTTCACTAGAGCTCTTGCAAGAGCCCGAGCCATGTTCCTGGGGAGCGTGGATCCCAGCAAAACTAGAGCACACATGCAATTCCTCATGTGAGCACTTGAAAGAAGAACCTGACACCATCCCACTTGTTTCAGATCCATTAACCAGCAGCTTATTCAGTAAAGCGTTCCAGCCATGCAGTGACCAATCAGCCTGAAGACAAGAGTACCAATGCCACGTGTTTTATTTCTAATCTTCCCAGCTGAAAGCCCATAACATTAATGTTGAATTTTATGATAATTTAAAGCAAAATGATGCAAGCCCATTAACAGAATTCTGCTCATATTAAGACCTATTCAGTGCTTCAAGAACATAATCATCACAATCATCTTACGCCTGTGGCAAACCTTTTACATCAACTACCTTTCAAAAAACATGAAGAAAAGGAAAATCATTCTAAGTTTAAGACTTGAGGATTCAGTCACATATTGCTTCCATCCACATTCTGTTCTACCCTGGTACCTTGCCTCCTCCAGCTAACAGACAACATACCTGAACCTATTCCATCTATGTACACCAGGCAGGCAGCATGAACAAAAGATGTGACTGTAGAGATGGTGTCTGGCCTTTTCGAATCAGCTTCCTTCACCATTGTGTTCATGAAGTTTACCCACGAGAGGAGATCTCTGATACTGACCACGCACTTTCGGCCAAACTCCTGGCGGGTCAGCCAATCAATGAAATCCAGCATCACTTCAGCTATGTCAACCCCTAAGACAAAAGAAAACAAAGGCATTTGTGCGCATTCCAGGGAGCTGAATCAGAAATGGGGCACTCAGGCGTGCCTGAAATCAGTATTCATAATAGATACTGTTTAATCCACTACTACACAATAAAGAGATTCCTGATTTATCAGTGGTTTCACTCCCAAATTTTCTATCTCTCAGTGCTGGAAAAGCATTTGAATTCAGTGGAAATTATAATAACTTTCATCTTAACAAGAGCTAGCACTATGTGGGACAATTCCTTCAACTATGCTGAGCCATGGCCGGGAGCTAGAACTCCCAGTCCACCAGTCTGAAGGGCAAACAACTCATAGTGATTTGTGAACTGTCATTAAGCTAATGCTCAGTAGTTTCTGGGGATTAAATGCTTTTTCAACTTAAATCTCCAACAGAAACTGAGGAACATCTGTATTACATTCATGATAATGAAGAATGTCATCTTTTTAGTGACATTTAGTTCAAGTCTTCTTTTCTCTGCATCATTCAACTCAGCAAATTAGTGGATTCACACACTTTGTTTCATGCTTAGTGACTAGTGTAGTGCTCACAATTATATATCATAAAATACCTGCCTTGAAAAAAAAATACACCTTACCTAATTCACAGATTAAAACAGTATCATTTAAATTAAGCAGAGCCTTTTATAAAAGCTTATAAATCAATATAAAACATTTTACCTTAAAAATATAACTGTCAACAAATGTCATAAAACAGTAAATTTAGGGATGGGCACAGTGGCTCAACTGTCTAATCCTCCACTTCCAAGCACCAGCTTCCAATATGCATGCCAGTTTGTGTTCTACCTGCTACACTACTGATCCAGCTCCCTGCTTTGGGTTATGGGGGAGCAATGGAGGATGGTCAAAAGCCTGAGACCCCACACCCTTGTGGGAAACCCAGAAGAAGCTCCTGGCAGCATGATATGCTCCTGAATCAGAAGTGTAGCACCTGGCACTCGAACCAGTGGCCTTACGTAATGACAGCACAATAGTAGGAAGCTTACCCTTCCCCTCCTCATGGCACCAGCCCTTCTCCAATTTTATTTCTTAATGGAAAGTAAGAGATACAGAGAGAAGAAAAGACAGAAAGCAAAATCTTCCATCCGTTGATTCACTCCCCAAGTGGCTATAACAGCCGGAACAGCCAGAGATATGCCAATCCAAAGCCAGGGGCCAGGAACCTCTTGGGGGTCTCCTATGCAGTTGCAATGTTCCAAAGCTTTGGGTCATCCTCAACTGCTTTCCCAGACCACATGCAGGGTGCTGAATGGGAAGCGGGGATGCTGGGATTAGAATCCATGCCGATTTGGTATCTTGGCACATGCAAGGCAAGGACTTTGGTCACTAAGCTATTGAGCCGAGCCCTATCCAATCTACTTTTGAAACACAACTTTAATAAATTGAACAGACATGATTATAAATTGAATGAAGTAAATACCTTTTATATACTCTAAGAATAAAATAATTTAAAAAAACCTATGTATTAAATCTTAGAATTAAATCTAAGTTTCGAACAATCAAGGTCAAAGAAAAAATATACATAAACTAAGCCAATGTGAGTCCAGAGCAGTGGCCTGGTGGTCAAAGTCCTCGCAGTGCATGGGCCGGTTCATGCCTTAGCTGGTCAACTTCCCTTACAGCTCCCTGCTTGTGGCTTGGGAAAGCAGTAGGGCAAGGCCAAGCCTTACCTCCCTACACTGGCAAGAGACCTGAGACAAGCTCCTGGCTCCTGGCTTTTGATCATTTCAGCTTTGGGCCTTGCTACTGCTTGGGGAGTGAATCAGCAAATGGAAGATGTTCCTCTTTGTCTTACCTTCTCTCTGTAAATATGCCCTCGGAGTGTAACCCTCTTTGGGGACCCTGGGGTGAGTGGGAGGCTGTGTGTGGGTTCTCCCTTTATCTCTCCCCTACCCCCAGATACAAGAAAAAATATATAGAAACAATAGTCTTACCCACTCTTCTTTAGTCCTTGTCCCTTTATGCCCTAATCAGCTATGTAAAGATTATAAAAATAAATAATTAAAATAAATTAATAATAAATCATCAAAAAAGAAAAAAAATCAGGCCCAGTGCGGCAGCCTGGCATGTATCAGGATCACATATGTGTGCCAGATTGTACCCAGGCTGCTCTGCTTCCCATCCAGCTCCCTGCTTGTGCCCAAGGAAAGCAGTCAAGCGCAGCTCAAAGCCTTGGGACCCTGCACACCCAAGAGAGACCAGGAAGAAGCTCCTGACTCCTGGCTTTGGATTGGCTCAGCTCTGGCTCTTGTGGCCACCTGGTGAGGCACAAGTAATAGAGCTCCTTGTTGCTGGCTACAGGGCAAACACTGTCCTGGCTACTGTAGGTATTTGGGAAGTGAACTAGTGAATGACAGACTTAGTCTTTCTCTTTGCAAATTCATTAAGTACATAACTTTTTAAAAATACATCATATAATAAACAACCTGAATCTATTTGGGCATTTGAATAATTGTTTAAAAAATTTTAATACTACTCTAGTTTCTTCATGTTTCAACATTTTATAATAATTTTTTTAGGTATTTATTTAAATTGGAAAGGCAGACCAGATTTATCAAGAGAAAGATCTTCCATCTGCTGGTTCACATCCCCAAAAGGCCACAACAGCTGGAGCCAATCGGAAGCCAGGAGTCAAGAGCTTCTTCCAGGTCTCCCACATGGGTACAAGGTCATCCTTTGCTGCTTTCCCATGCCACAAGCAGGGAGCTGGGTGGGAAGTGAAACAGCCTGGTCATGAACTGGTATCCTGACACTTGCAAGGTAAGGATTTTGCCATTTAGACATTTCACTGGGCTCAACTGATTTTTAATAAAGGGAAAGGAAAAAAATAAGTTGGTGACAAAAATACAGTTTAAGTTCTATAAACTCTTTCTCAAGGAGGCAATAATTAAAATGTAATGAAACATTCTGAGTATCTGTTTATGTTGTTTCCATTTCGCTACATCCTATTTCCTTTAACACTATGTACACCCATGGTTACACACGCTCCTAGCACACACCTCCATTTGACCCAGTGAACCACTCTGCTGCCAACTGTCAACTAACCTTTATGATCCATTCTGCTCAGGGACAATCCTGGATGAAGATTACAATTGATAATCTGAATCAAATCTTCACGGCTTGTACTCTGAGGACACCATATTTCCGTAAACCGATTTCTCAAGGCAGGAGACAACTATAATGAACACAAATCCTAATGTGAATTTTCAACCTATAAGAAAAGTTAGGAAAACATATCCTCGCAAAGGTTGGTAAGGACTATGGCACATATTAGATGCCTCATTTATGACTTAGTTACCAACTTACTGAAAGCTCACTTTCCCTTGGCTACACACAGCATCTCACTTCTCTGCGCCAGCAACATCTTCAATCTTTTCCCACTCTACATACATGGTACATAAAGATCCCTGGTTCCAGCCAGAGGTTTCAATCTTACTTTCAGCCACACAGAGAAGGGTTTACTGAAGCTTACATGAAGAAGCTTATATTTTCACCTTTTCAAATAAAAACCATTAAGGCCCTCCTTTCTCACGGCCTTTGCCCTACACACATTTCTCTTTCCCTTCCCCAAAACTCAAATACCTACCATGCCACATGCACAAAATTATCAGTCTGTCATCACTTCATTGTTCCTTGGTGATCATCTACCAGGTCTATCAAGGACCAGAAACCATGCTTATTTTTATTGCAAAGCCAGATATATAGAGAGGAGGAGAGACAGAGAAAAATATCTTCGATCCTATGATTTACTCCCAGAGTGCCTGCAATGGCTGGTGCTGTGCCAATCCGAAACCAGGAGCTAGCAACCTCCTCCAGGTCTCCCATCGGCTACAACTCAATAAACACAATTCAGTTAATGTGTAAGTGCTCCTCACCACCAACTTGGTTTTTTTTTTTTTTTTAAAGAATTATTTTTTATTTTTATTGGAAAGGCAGAGAGGAGGAGAGACAGAGAGGAAGATCTTCCATCTGACGGTTCACTCCCCAAGTGGCCGCAACAGCTGGAGCTGAGCCAATCCAAAGCCAGGAGCCAGGAGCTTCTTCTGGGTCTCCCACTCGGGTGCAGGGTCCCAAAGCTCTAGGCCGTCCTTGACTGCTTTCCCAGGCCACAAGCAGGGAGCTGGATGGGAAGTGGGGCTGCCAGGATTAGAACGGGCGCCCATATGGGATCCTGGCACGTTCAAGGCGAGGACTTTAGCTGCTACTACGCAATTTTATCTCTCATTTGCTCTGCCTGCTGATGATGCAAAACCAAAATGTTGCTTTCCGTTAAGTAGACTTTGTTCAGTCTTGCCTAAGAAAACTTAAGCTGACCTGAAAAGATAACATACAGAGCCCTGAAACTAGAGCATTCTGTGGTATTGTCTTTGTGCCAAGAAACAGATTTGATGTTTTGATTCTGAAACTGTGAAGCTTTAAAAAAAATGTTGAAGACCTGGCACAGTAGCCCAGCAGCTAAAGCCTTGTCCTGAATGCACCAGAATCCCATACGGGCACCGGTGTATAGCCTGGCTGTTCCAGTGCCCTTCCAGCTTGTGGCCTGGAAAGCAGTGTAAGATGGCCCAAAGGGGAGGCGGAGCCTAGACCCAGAGGCTTGGCCCCTCAGCCGCCATGCAGCGGCTGGGGGTCTCCGTGTCCAGCCACCTCTAACCTGTAAGCACCAAGGCAGCTCCCACGTGCACATGGTGAGCCGCCCGGCCAGGGAGCCCTGGGATTTTGGTTCTCTGAATGCTGCTCAGACAGCTCCATGCCGAATCCGCAGTGCTTTGGGGACGCGAAACAACCCTAAAGATTTCCAATGATGGTAAATTTTCCTCAGATGAACCTGCAACTAATACGGTCTCACCCCATGTGTTCTGAATGATTGTAATACCCAATACACTCCCAATTCCTTGTGATACACAGAAACTGGGTAGAAGCACAGAGAAATCTCTCATCTCCTTTGAATGTGTGAGGAAGCCGTGTAGTGTAACCTACAGGAACTGGAGAGGCAACTTATACATGATAGATTAGACAATAGTAAAAACTACAATGTCATAAAGGGGAAATCAGTAGCGACCCTAATAATCTATTATCAGGGGGTCATATGCACAGAATAGGGAAGAACCCCAGAGCGGAGCAGCAGGACAGGAGGAGGCTTATATCCCAATCATAAGGACTCCCGGACTCCCACCAAGGTCTATCAGAACGGGCACCAAGAACATCATCACAACTGCCAAAGAGAACACGGGGAACTGGAATACCTTCGGATGCTGAGAACCCAGAGGACATCCATCCCCCCTCTTTGGACATACTACATGAGATGGAAGAAGCCCAAGTCCTTCCTCATAGGATCCAAAGTCATCAGAACAACAGCCAGGAACCACAAGCAGTCCTCAGAATCAGAAGAACAATAAACTTCCTTTGGGACAAGGGAGAGGAGCCTTCTCCAGTCCTTATCTAGTTCCAACTCTGGGCCTCCACCCTCTATAATGACCAACAGGGTCGCTCCAGACCCTCCCCCCCCCCCCCCCCCCCCCAGCCCAAACACACACACACACACACATACACATACACACAATAGGAATAGATAAGCAGAGAACAATAAAGAAAGATAGATCATCAGGGATTCACGCATACCCTGCTAGGTAGAACACAAAGAACAAGTACTCCTTACCAAGGTATGAGAGATTTCTCTGCATACCCCCCCTAAAGCTGTTATGCACCTCAATTGTTAAAATGTCATTGAAATACTCGCAGGAGGTTAAGAACTTACATGTAATTTTAACATATTATTTACTCAACACTATGTCAATTAATTCCATAACAATATATATTGTTGCTGCTGGGGCTTTTAACTGATCTTTAATTGATCTTGCTCTCTTGGCCCTACCTTCAGACCAGAGAAGAAGCAAATGAACTTATCTGGATAATAAGATGCTGGACTCTATGCTTGGTATATGCTTATAATGAAAGTGTCTCAACTGATTTTGAACTGAGATCTCACAACAAGGTGCAGGAGTCCACCATGGGGGGAGGGGTGGGGGAATCCCAGTACCTATGGAACCGTGTCTCATAATACAATGTAACCAATAATTTAAAAAAAAAAAAAAAAAAAAAAACAAGATGGCCGAAAGCCTTGGGACCCTGCACCTGCATATGGCAAGTTTGAGGTATAAGCCTGTTTGGACTATCCTAAATTTTGTGTAGTTCAGTAGAAATCACACTTGAATACTTTAAGCTGCTAAATATATAAATGAAGACAGACACAAGACAGCTGAATAGTACCCTATAACTATTTAAAGGTGTATAGCAGCCGGTTGTGTATAAACTAAAATTGAGATGTCAATGAAGTAGTTACAGCATGTGGTTAAGGACTTGCATTTTCTAACATACTGGTCACTCAATACCATGTCAATTAACTTTGTGATGTTGTAAATTGTTGTTGAAATTGTGTAGGGGCCTTTCACTGGAGGGGATGATATTCTGCCAGCCCTACTTTCAGAATAATCAAACTGTTGAATTTATCTGGACAATAAGATGCTGGACTCTCTGCATGGTCCATGCCCACAATGAAAGAATCATGACTGTTTATGATCTGTACTACTGTAAAAATGTGGAGGAATTCAATATGAAGGGAGGGTTTGGGGAAAGGATGGGGGAATCCCTGAGCCTATGAAACTGTGTCATAAAATGAAAAACAAACAAAAAAGCCTTTGAGCAAAGCACCTGGCTCCAGGCTTCAGATCAGCTCAATACTAACCGTAACTACCACCTAGGGATAAAGCTAATGGATGGAAGATCTTTCTCTCTGTAAACCTGACTTTCAAAAAAAAAAAAAAAACTTCCATTCCCCAAATGCCTGCAACATCTAGCGATCCGCCAGGCAATGCTAGGAGTAGAAAGAATTAAATCCAGATGTCCAGCATGGGTGAAAGGGATTTGCCACTTCACTTGCTGCTCCTAGGGCATAATATGTTAGCTGATGTGAGTGTCCCAAAACATTTCAGTCAATGGGCCAAACACCCCACACAATTTATTTTATTTTCTTCCTTCTCTTTTGCTTATTGTATTTTCTCTTCAGACACTGAAGCATGTAATAATCCTTCTTCCTATGCTACTGAGAAAAAGTAGATGTAAAATACCATGCTCACATTTCAAACACAAATTAAGTTAGCAAGAATCTTAACTGCCTACATTTAAGATCAGCTCCCCCATTCTTTCCAATCATTTCTGACTTACTACCATACCATACTGCTCTCTAACTTGAGCAGAACTGGAATCTAGCACATAACGATGACTTTTCTCCACTGAGACTCTGCAAAACTGAAAGTCACAGGGTGGCTGGCTCCTAGCTGTATCTCAATAGAGCCTTACAGACAGAGGTAACTGCCCCATATCCTTCACTTTAGCATCACTGTGGCCCTGCACAATCTACGTGTAGCTCCACCTGCAAAACAGCAATAGGCTCCTATGATTATTTCAGCCACTTCAACACTCATGAAATGTTTTAGACCAGCATTTAGGAAACTAGACTCTACAGACAGTGCCTGAGCTTAAATTTCAGTACCAGCTTTTCTTATCAAAAAGATTGTTTTGCAGAACCCTTAAGATCACTTGTCAGAATAATGGAAAAAGCACTGAGCAATGTCAGGAAAGAGGGTATTTCAGGAACATGCACAAAGATAGTCATCAAATGAGAAAGTGCATGTCAAACTTCCTTTGCAATGTAATAGTAAATCTAAAGTGTCTTTTCAGAATTATGCTCTTACCAAGCTTCTAACTCCACATAGCAGTTCAGATCATACTTATGGGTGGCAATAATAAATTATATTTAAAGTAACAAAGTTTTTACCTCTTTTTTTCCAAAGTCACCCCCAGGGTTCATGGTGGCTAAGATACGGAATTTTTTCCCAGCAGTCAACAGCTCCACTTCATTATCCTTATCCTCTGAGCTCCCTTTCTCAGCTAATACCAGAGACTTCTCCACCTCAAGGACGCTAAGAGAAAGAAATTCAGACAAGGTTTACACATTATACTTTGTAGTCTTTGACAACTTTTCTTAACATTTATTTTTATTTGATAGACAGTGTCACACAGGTGGAGAAAGACACAGGTACATCTTTCACTCACTGGTTCACTCTTTAAATGGTCGTAACAGCCAAGGCTGTGCCAGGCCACAACCAGTTCTTCCAGGGCTCCCATCAGAGTTAGAGGCCCACATACTCAAATCATCTTGTGCTGTTTTCCCAGGGTCAATAATAGGGAATTGGGACAGAAGTAGAGTAGCCAGGATACGAACCACCCATGCCCACATGAGATGCAGGTGTTGTGGTCAGTGACGTACACCCATACCTTAGCACTACCTCCCCTGCTAAGCCAGCTGTTTCCTGAATGGCTTCCTATCTTAAGTTTAAAAATGACTCACTATCGCAACATTTAATCAAAAGAATATTTCAATCAAGAAGAAACTCCCTCTAAGGCAGACTATGTCAGCCAGTGGAGTCTGGAGATTTTATTGTGCTTGGAATGGCAAGACTGGCAGCAATTCAGAACTGCTGAATTATCAAAACCAGTTGATCAGTGCCCTGAGAGCATGCCCCATATCGGAGACCCTGGGATGGGTGGGGCTTCTCCCTTTTTGTCTTCCCCTCCTCCCAGACACAGGAAGAAAAAAAATCAGAAAATGTGGAAATAATGGTTTTACTCACTTTCCTGAAGCCCTTGATCTTTTGCACTTTAATCAACTATGTAAAGATCATCAAAATAAAGCAATAAGAAAAGAAAAAAACTCCCTTTTCTATTATACCTTCTTCAGGCTTGTCTTATAAGTCTCTTCCTTTGTCGTTATGCCTTTCAAATAAATGAATAAAGAAAAATAAAGGAAAGCAAGTGCTCTTTTTAAAAAGAATTTTTACCCCAGCTTTATGCTGGCAGTGAAAAACAGGGCAAATGGAAATTAAGATAGACTATGTCAATCATAAGATTCTTCAGCGACCTCATCGTGCTTGGAACGGTGAGATTGGCAGCAATTCATAACGAACTACCAAAACCACTTGAGCAAGACCCCCAGAGCATGCCCCATATCAGGGACCTGGGATGGGCCAGAGACTGGGTGGACTTCTCCCTTTATCTCCTCCGTTATCCCAGATTCAGGAAAAAAATTTGGAGGTAATAGTCTTACCCAAAAAAATTTTTATAAATAAATAAACTTAAAAGACCACTCTAGAGGCATAAGAATTTGCTAATGATTAGAGCAAGAGGTGGAAGCAATGAAGCTTAAGAGGGAGCTCACTGCTTTAAACATTGTAAAGCTTGATTATAATAGTAGACAAATTAACGAGTTTGACTAACAGTCATTAGATTGCAGATTTCAAATGGATACATTTCCTGATATGTAAATAGAAGAGCTGTTACTTGCCTTAATACAAATTATGTGGTGCCATAGACTCCTAATAATAGTCTAACATTAGTTCTTCCAAAAACATTCAGAGTAGATGCACAACTTGGCTTAACCAAAGAATTTTAAAGATCGACTCACTGGTTTTAGCCATGTTATCACACAATTCTATCTTTTATAAGTGGGAAAAAAAAAAAGAAAAAAACCTAGGTCTTGTAAAGGAAACCATGAGTGCTACAGTCAAGTAAAAACTAAATCATCAGTAATTTCCACCATATACTGTGCAGCTATGAAGAGTATTAACTCTTCTATAGTTTATTTAGAAAGAGTCCATCTGATGGATATTTATTTATTTATTTATTTATTTATTTATTTATTTATTTATAGGTTTGAACTGCTCGCTCACTTCACAAACACCCAGAACAGCCAATGGCTGGGCCAGGCTGAACCCATGATCTAAGCACTCCATACAGATATCAAGGATCCAAGTGCTTTCACAGAAGCTGGCTGCGTCGGAAGCAAAATAACTGGTACTCTAACTGGCACTTTGCTATGGGATTTGAACAGCCCATTTTTGCAACTGAACCCACTGAGCCAAAAAAACCATTCCTTTGTGTTACATTATCGTGCACAAGACTAAATTCCGGGCCCGGCGCGGTGGCGCAAGTGGTTAAGGTCCTCGCCTTGCACACACCGGGATCCCATATGGGCGCCGGTTCTATCCCGGCAGCCCCGCTTCCCTTCCAGCTCCCTGCCTGTGGCCCGGGAGAGCAGTCGAGGACGGCCCAGGACTTTGGAATCCTGCACCCGCGTGGGAGACCCAGAAGCGGCGCCTGGCTTCGGATCGGCATAGCATTGGCCGTTGCGCTCACTTGGGGAGTGAATCATCGGACAGAAGATCTTCCTCACTGTCTCTCCTCTCTGTATATCCACCTTTCCAATAAAAAAATAATAAAAATAAATCTTAAAAAAAAAAGACTAAATACCGAAACAAAGGCAGATCAACACACATACACAGAGCAAGACTTTCACCATGTACCTATTGAGTCTTTCAAGAACAGAATCATCTGCTAGCGAGATCTCATCCAAGAGGAAAAAACCATCCTCTTTCATGGCCATAACCAGAGGCCCATCATGCCATTCAAAAAGCTTTGACGTGTCCACTTCTTCCTACGGTATAGAAAAGTGGGGTAATTAAGTACAGATAATACACATGTAGCCAGCTGTTGTCTACCTGGATGAACTGGTCATTCCAGAAGAAATAACAGCCTAAAAACACAGACAGAACCAGGATGATTGTCTGAGCAAATTACAGATTAGCGGAAATCTGCTAAGAAATATATTCTTCCACAATTAAACCAAAACTTGGATCCAGAAACCCCACCACTAACAAAATTCCACATGGACACAGTGAACTGCAGTTCTTCAAATGAATGCACACATCAATATTTGTCATTGAACATACCTTGTCACTTTGCTTCTGCCTCACTGGTCGCAGCCCCCCCAGGAAATCCGAGGTCTCCATGTGTAAGTGGCAGTTCACAGAATATAATTTCTGATTTGCTAAAGCTGCAAACAACTGACAGATCGTAGTTTTCCCACACCTATTAGAGATGTACACCAAATTAACAAAGGAGCATGAGTTCCCAATAAATACCCACAAACACCCCATCAGCATACAGGGCAGCCACAGTGACAACCTCATCACAGCAGCAGAACAAGCAGCAAGGAACATCCATCCTAGACCCAGTGTCCCCTCCCACATCTCTGATCCAGAAAGACACAAATTTCAATCCCATCATTTTCTAGTAGTACACACAGCTATTGAGGGAGGGGAGGGAACCAACTCATACAAACTTTCCGAAAGACTAACTCACTCATCCATTTTTTCCTCTAGAAACCTAAGGCTAAGACCCTCATTCCTCAAGATTGACCAAACACAGCCCACAGTGATCAAGATGCAAGCTATCACTCTTTTGCATAAGCAAGTAGTCTATCTGAAGACAAAAGAAGTGAATCACAGGTCTCTTGGTTGCTTCTTTAAAAAACAAAACATAAGGGTTTTGAAAATGAAAAAGAAATCACAAAATTTGCCAATAATCAGTCTCTTCAGAGATACCTCAAGTAATGGTGAGGGTTACAGAACTTACCCAGTGTCTCCAACCAACAACACAGGTTCACCAAATTCCAATGCTCGTCCCACTAGCATGGCCAATCTCCGCATGGCTGTGGTCCACACGACATGTCTGAACTTAGTTTCCAACATGGACAATTGGGGAGACAATTTACCTAAACAGGGAAGAACATGTACTTTTTTTAAAGATTTATTTATTTTTATTGGAAAGAGATATACAGAGAGGAGGAGAGACAGAGACAAAGATCTTCCATCTGACGGTTCACTCCCCAGGTGGCCGCAACAGCTGGAGCTGAGCCAATCCAAAGCCAGGAGCCAGGAGCTCCTCTGGGTCTCCCATGTAGGAGAATAGGGTCCTCAGGACTTGGGCCGTCCTCGACTGCTTTCCCAGGTCACAAGCAGGGAGCTGGGATTATTACCAGCGACCATATGGGATCCTGGAGTGTGCAAGGTGAGGAACTCAACCAATATGCTATCGTGCCGGGACCCAGAACATGTATTTTAACACTCTACTGAGCACAACTCCATTCATATTCCTCTTAGCTTTTAGACCTACTCACCCAGTAATTTCAGCACATTTCCCTTGGAGAAAAGTGAGTTGGGGCATAGTTTTTTCTTGAAATGTTTCTCAAGAACTTGCTGAATCACATCAACCTCTTCCTGCTTCCTGACTCGACCTGCTAGAAGCATGAAGCCTAGAAAAGAAGAAAAATCATCAAGCTCCTGGTGGAAACACTAAGACAATGGAGCAGCATGCTTCTACCATAGCTGGAACAGAAACTGGGGAAATTTAGAAGGACCACAATCACAACAAAGAACATATCTGCTTTGTGCCCAGCAGTACCACAAATGAGCAAGTGTGCACCAAGACACAGTCTGGACTGCTCAAAGAAAAATTCAGAATTGATTCCAAGGTCTCAATGAGAGAATAGAAAAAAAACAAACTGGGAGTTGACATAAGGCAACAAAAAACTATGAATGGCTCCTGATATGCCCTGACAGCATGACTAAAATGCACATCAGGATGGATGGAAAACTCAGACTCAAAAGAGAAAATACACCAGGGCCTCAGTTAGATGGAGTCAGAGCAGTGATTTCAGAGTAGAGATTTCTGCTAAGAGACTTGGTGGGAATTTCTTTTACATTTTACATTTGCACAGAGGTAGAAATAACTATGTATACAAATACGCATGTGCAAAGACATTTTATCCTATGTACTATGCCAATAAAAATACTTTCTAATAAAGGCACATTCTTCCATTCTTTACCAGAAAAGAACAGGTAAAAAATATCCTTATCACAGGCTAATTTAATTTGCTCTCCTTAATTATTAACTACCTCATTCATGACTCATTCAGTACTTTCAAGTGGGAAGATTTCAAAATGTTACCTATTTTGCCACAAATAGTAAAATAAAAAGATTTTTCATGGATCAAAACAAGATACTAAACTGAAGTCAGGGCTGTGTGCTACCTACACTGCAAATAAAAGCTTAGTAAGCTATACCCACCCATATACCTCAACTCCCACGGGGTTATGCCCATATCCTGACTACACAAATGGTGATCACAAGCAAAGAACAAACCTTAGCAGTGAACCCTCACTAAACTCAGGATTGCAGAAATGGAATTCCCAACTAAATCAGGCCTGAACGGAGACAAGATCTGTTTGTGGAATATACCAAGTAAACAGTATGTATCAGCCACAATACAGGATGACATCCATTTTATCAAAATGCTCAACACCAGTCATAATTTCAGAGGGTAAGGGTATCTCGTCAGAAACATACCATCATTGGCTAAGTGCTGAAGCCAATCATAGTCCTTGTCCGTCTGCTCAGCCAGCCGGTAGCGTTCAGCCCAGCGGAACAGATCTCGCAGAGTGATGAAACCCTGCTTTCCAGCAAAGACAGAAGAACTCCTGCGATATGACTATTAATGAACACCGAACAAAGGAACAGGACCTGGTTAACAGCACTGTCAGAGGTGTGCAATTTAACTGAAATAAAAATCCTTAACAAATTAAATTTTTGATTAACATGCTCTCATTCCAATGATTATTTCTTTAATCTAAATAAAATATAATTAATGGAAGAAAAAGTTCAACTTCATGTATCACAATATAAATACACAATTCTATCTCATATGCCTTTTTAAAAATATTATAAATTGTAATAAAAGTGAACCAAAATACAGAGAAAGATTGGGCCCACAGTATGATATCTTAGTAGGAAGTGTTAATTATTGTTAGCTTTTGAAACAGCAGTATGAAAATTTAATTACGACAAGAAATACTTTTTTTAGGGGTGGGCATTGCAATGCAGCAAATCAAACAACATCTAGTGCTGGACTATCATGAAACCATGAAGAAATAACTCAATTCATATTTTCAGCACGGATGGCAGGGATGCAAGTACCTGAGCCAACATCTGATGTTTCCCAGGGTGTGCACTGTCTAGCTTAGACACAGGAATGGAGTCACAGCTGATGTGCACAGATGAAGCATCATCACTAAACGCCTGCTATACAACAATTCTACCTCTACAAGCTACAGTATACTCTGAAAACCAACTCTAGCTTTGCAGTTGACATGGGAGACATACACTGGGTATCTTTATGCATATCCGAGTAGCCTATTATGGGCATAATATTTCAAACATCTGAAAAACAAACACTTTAGTTTGCCTATACCAAATTCCAGCATTAAGTAAAAGTTCCAGAGGTGGACCTAGCACATATTCTGACCATCCTGCTTCCCATCAAACTCCCTGCTTGTGACCTTGGAAAGCAGTCGAGGACAGCCCAAAGCCTTCCTGCACCCAAGTGGGGGACCCAGAGGAGTCTTCTGGCTCCTGGCTTCAGTCAGCATAGCTGCAGCCATTATAGCCACTTGGGGAGTGAATCATTGGACAGAAGATCTTCCTCTCTATCTCCACTCCTCTATGTATATCTGCCTTTCCAATAAAAACAAATCTTAAAAATAAATAAATATTAAAAAAAAAAAACTTAAAAAAAGGTTCCAGGGGTTAGAGTTACAGCATAGCTCATGAAGATGTCGCCCTGCAATGCAGACATCCCTTAGGGATACCAGCTCATGTCCTGCTCTATTTAACTACCTGAAAATAGCCTGGGAAGACTGAACGATGACTCAAGTGCTTGAGCCTCTCTTTGTTTATATGGGAGACCAGGAGAAAACTCCTGGCTCCTGGCACCAGCCTGGCCCACTCATGGCAACTGAGGCTATCTGGGGAGTGAACCAGCATAAAGGAGGTGTTTCTCTCAGATTAACCAGTCTTTTTAAAGCGAAGGGATAGGAGGTGGGAAGGAAAGGAACATAGTTAAAGCTTGAATAAATCCACGATCCAGGGCCAACAGTATAGTGTAGCAAGTTACACTGCTGCCCGGACCATTGTTGCTATGCTGGCATCCTATGTGAACACTTGTTATTTAGCTTCCTGCTAATGCTCCTAGCAAGGCAACATAGACACGTGAGATGTGAACGGAGTTCTAGGTGTCTCTGCCTTTGGCCTGGCCCAGCCCTGGCTGCTACAGTCTTCAGGAGTGTAAACCAATCAACAGAAGATCACTCTCCTTCTGTCAACTGTTTTTCAGACACATACAATAATCTTTAAAATTATTACCCTGTAACAATTAATAAACGATTAAGACTCTGTTTCTACTTATAGAAGCTGCCAGATTTTGGTTATGAAAACCAACCAGCAGTTTCCAGCCACAGCTAAACTCAGTGAAAAGAGCATACCTGGAGATCCAGCATGACTTTAACCAATTTGCTGCAATAGGAGGGCGGCAGACTACAGCGCTTGTGCAAGATTGTTTCCAACTCAGAGCTGGGCAGTTCATCAAAGTGTAGTTCCACAAACCGATTCCTAAAGGCTCTAGAAAGCACCTAGGAAACACACAGAAAGGATGTGGTAAATGGCGCTTCTTCAACCAATTTCCAAAATGGAGGCTCTGCTGGACACCACACAGAGGCAAAACTGGCTCACTCCCCACAGAAGGGATTTCTCATTCTACACGACACTGAATGGGAGGCACAGAACAAGCATCACATGCCTTTCTACCCCCATAAAGTCCTGGGGGGTTCTGAGTGGCAAAAAGCATGAACCGAGGATGTGCTCTGACAACTTCTTGTGTTTCTGTTATTAGCAATTCCCGGTTATCATCCAGCAGTCTATTCAGTGCCTCCAGGACATCAGTAGGTGCCAAATTTAATTCATCTAAAATAATCCAGTAGCCCCGTCTCATAGCATCAATAAGAACACCTAGGAGGAAACGAACATTGAGAATTAGTGTATAAATTACCCCCAAAATTACAAAATTCTAGATTACTACTAAATTTCAAAGTGGCAGGTCTTGCCCTAAAACGGTCTGTCATACTGCACACCACATGTGCTACTATTTACAGCACCAGTATCCCATAGGGTCATCAGCGTCTATCATGGCATTCCACTTCAAATCCAGCTCCCTGCTAATGGTCTAGTAAAATCAACAGAGGATGGATCAAGTCCTTGGGTTATTATCACACATGTGGGAAACCTCAAAGAAGTTCACGGCTCCTCCTGGATTTGACCATTCACTTGAAAAGTGAACCAGTGAATAAAGATACCTCTCTCTCTCTGTTGCCCTCTCTTCTCTGTGTAATTTTTAAAAAATAAACAAATTCACATTACATCCTCAAAGAGGAAGAACCAAGACACACAGCTGCCTCATTTCCAGCTTCATTTTCCCTTGGCAGGCTAATTTCATTTAAATTATATTTTCTTTTCTTTCTTTTTTTTTTCTTTGGAATTTATTTTAAATACTTGAAAGGCAAAGTTAGAGGGAGACAAAGGTTTGTCTCCACTGCTTCACTCCCTAAAAACCAAAGCAGCTAGGGTTGGGCCAGATCTTCATTTGGTTTCCCACGTAAATAGCAGGGGACCAAAAACTTGAGCCATCTTTCGTTACTTTTTCAGGCACATTCCCAAGAAACTGGATCTGAGGTGGAAGAATTGAGACTCCAACCATTACCTAATGCTATGCTAGCACCACAGAGGACAGCTTTACCAGCAACACCAGAGCACCAACCCCTTTTTTATCTATTCCCAAACTCTCTTCAATACTTGCCCCATTATTAACTCTATAGGAAATAAGGCAGAAGTTTGGCTGCTGTCTTTGAAAGTTGGCCCTCAACCTATACACAGATAGTATGATCAGTGTCAAACCCCTAAAAATCACCCATTAGCCAGGTGTAAGCAAGGGACAAAGAAAAGCAGCTGTTAAGGCAGAGGGAAGTATACCTCAACTGAAAAGAATGAAGAAGACTGCTTGTTTAAGGAAAAGGTCCTAGAGACTGCACACCTATAGCCAGACTGGCTTAGCAGCATACCTTCCTTAAAGACAAGCTTCCCGGAAGAGCTGGATGTGTAACACCCTATGTATTCCTGAATATCCGTGTGTTCGTGGTTGTTAATCCGCACGCAGTGGTTGCCAGTAGCTGCAGCCAACCAGCGGATCAGGCTTGTTTTACCAACAGATGTCTCTCCCTGAATCAGTACAGGATAGGTTCTGCAAAGATTAGGCAATAAAGCAATTTAAAAAATGCACAATTTCAGTAATGTGGAAAAAAGAAATGATATCATTTAGCATTGTCACAAAAGAATACTTAAGCAGACCTATACACTAATAAGTTCATATGTAAAACTGCAGCTATAAACAGTGCTTCCAGCAAAGCACTGGTAAATTTTGGAAAATCATCCTTCACAGCAAAGCTCTCTGAAAGCTAAGGAAGGTCAAATTAACATGCCATCAATGACTATGCTTTAGAAACTTCAAAACATAGAAGAAAAGGCCCACACACCCTGCAGACACCACTCGGACGATATCTCTCAGGTTTAGCTTAACAGAGGACGTCAGAACATAAGATTCATCAATTGTAGGCTCCTTGTCACCCACTGAAATCCAGTAGCCTTCTACCTGAATAAGCCGACCTCCTTTCGGCTCTGGAATAGGCTGAAAAACACAAGAGTTAGAGAAATAACTATAGCCCCATGACAATTTTGCCATTCTTTCAGAACCAAAAAGAGGGCCCGGTGGCATGGCCTAGTGGCTAAAGTCCTCGCCTTGAATGCACCAGGATCCCATATGGGCACCGGTTCTAATCCCAGCTGCCCCGCTTCCCATCCAGCTCCCTGCTTGTGGCCTGGGAAAGTAGTTGAGGACAGCCCAAAGCTTTGGGATCCTGCACCCATGTGGGAGACCTGGAGGAAATTCCCGGCTCCTGGCTCCGGATTGGCACAGCACCAGCTGTTGCGCTCACTTGGGGAGTGAATCATCAGACGGAAGATCTTCCTCACTATCTCTCCTCCTCTCTGTATATCTGACTTTGTAGTCAAAATAAATAAATCTTAAAAAAAAAAAAAGAGGGAAAGAAATTGCCACAAAGAATTCTAACATCTGGGTGCTTTCAAAATTATACATCCAATTATAGGTTATAGGTTTTAGTCACGACTGCATACCTGACCCCAGCTTGTGCCCACTAGGAGGCAGAAAAAGGTGGCTCAACAGTATGATTCCTGCCACCAGTGTTGGAAGCCAAGACTGAGACCAAGTCTCCAGCCATCAGTGTTACACACATGCAAGGAGTGTGCCCCCAGCAGGCAGTAGATGTCCTCTCCCTAATTCTGCCACTCTAATAAATACAAAATAAGTCCAAATTTCAAAAACAAAAAATACTCTGAGAAGTAAAAACAAAATTACAATTACTGATTTTAAACTGGGATGAGGGCAAGTCAAATTATGAAAAAAATTGTGAATTAACTGCCACTGGAACTAGTTTTCTGACCAACCACATTGGCACCTCAAACCAAGCATTTTTTTTTTTTTTATCAAAAACACATTTTGCCTATATCAGGTTTCTGATGGCGTAGGCAGTTGGAATGAGCACCGTGGGAGGTAGCAAGTAATGACTCAGATGGTGAGGTCCCTGCCATACAAAGGGGAGACCTGGACTGAATTCCTAGCTCCAGGTTGTGTCCTGGCACAGCCCTAGCTATGGTGGAGTGAACTGGTCAAAGTGAAATTTTTCTCTCTACCTTTCAAATAAAATTTTTGAGGGGGAAAAAAAAAAGCTTTCATAGGGAAGAAGGATCCCTTTTTCAATCCTGAAACTGATCCTTCAAGAGCAATAATCAAGTAAGGACAATATTAGGAATGATGATGGCATAATATTCCCCAGAAAAGAGGATATTTGAAAAAGTTTCTGTAAAAGTGGAATTAAGGGGCTGACATTATGGCATGGAGGGTTAAGCTGCTGTACCCAATGCTGACACCCCATATGGGATCTGGCCGGAGTGTTGGCTCCTCTAATCGAACTCCATACCAGTAGCCTGGGAAAACAACAGAAGACTCAAATGCTCAGGTGCCCGACCCACATTAGAGAAGCGCCAGCTCCTGGTTCCTGGCTTCAGCTTGGCCCAGTCCAGGCAGTTTCAGCCATCTGGGACAGAAGATCCCTTCCTCCATTCTTTCCTGTTTCCTTCTCTCAGGGTAATTCGGCCTTTCAAATAAATAAGCATATATTTTTAGTGAGAATAAAAGGCCATTTTTATACAAAAAAACAGAAAGCCATGCATACTTTTCTCATTATATATGTTTTAACTTTGAAAATGTTTCAGAGTGCAGATTATTAAACTGAATTGCACAAATTGCCAAAAATGTCAGTAATCTAATTTCTAACAAAGAAATTCTTCTGGAACAGCTGGTATCCAGCGATGGAGCTACAATTCTAGACACTGATTTTAAGTATTTTGAGTGAAAAAAAGGATTCCTCTTTAAACTTCCATCTCAACCACAATGAACACACAAAATAATTGAGCAACTGAAGGAAACTATTTGAGTACGATAACAGCCAAAACAAATTCAACCTTCTCAGTGGTTTTATACTCTACCAAAAGTGTTTGTTCATGCGTTATTTCCCTAATTTTTTAAAAAGTTGAATACAAAGTAACAACAAGTTCTAATGGTCAGTTCTTCCTAGAAAGTAAACAATCAACATGTCCCAAGTTAGTTCTGTGCCTTTAAGCCCCATGTTCCTTTGTCATTTCCTGCCACTCAAAAAGTTGGTGTTAGGGTGCTCACGCCAGGAAGCTAAATGATCAGACTGTTCACTATGGCAAAACCATCAAATGAAATGCTAAAAGGTTCTTAGAAAGGTCAGAATGATCGCAGATGCAGAAATAAATATATCTAAGAAACAATAAGGTTAAAAAACAGACTTACAAAATATTTTTTCAAATGGTCTTACATGTGATACATATTGGAATTTTCCCCAGTAAATCAACAACCACAATTTGAATATATAAGATGATAAAATATATGCAAAATTAACTTTCTGAAAATGGCAATCGAAAGAGTACCATTACTGGAAACTCCCTCCATCTAAGACACATCTTCTTAAAATTTTTTGTGACAGATAATTTGTATAACAAAAAAAAACATTGTAAAAAAATGAACAGCAGGGCCCAGCGGTGTGGCTTAGCAGCTAAAGTCCTCGCCTTGAACACGCCAGGATCCCATATGGGCGCCGGTTCTAATACCGGCAGCTCCACTTCCCATCCAGCTCCCTGCTTGTGGCCTGGGAAAGCAGTTCAGGACGGCCCAAAGCCTTGGGACCCTGCACCCGCGTGGGAGACCCGGAAGAAGTTCCTGGATCCTGGCTTCAGCATCAGCAGAGCATTGGCCGTTGCGCTCACTTGGGGAGTGAATCATCGGACAGAAGATCTTCCTCTCTGTCTCTCCTCTTCTCTGTATATCTGACTTTCCAATAAATAAATAAATCTTTAAAAAAAAAAAAAAAGAACAGCAAAATTTAGCCTTTCACATATGTCAAATAACTATATAAAGAGCATACCGGGCCCGGCGCGGTGGCGCAAGTGGTTAAGTCCTCGCCTTGCACGCCCGGGATCCCATATGGGCGCCGGTTCTAATCCCGGCAGCCCCGCTTCCCTTCCAGCTCCCTGCCTGTGGCCTGGGAAAGCAGTTGAGGACGGCCCAAAGCTTTGGGACCCTGCACGCGCGTGGGAGACCCGGAAGAGGCTCCTGGCTTCGGATCGGCATAGTATCGGCCCGTTGCGGCTCACTTGGGGAGTGAATCATCGGATGGAAGATCTTCCTCTCTGTCTCTCCTCTCTGTATATCCGCCTTTCCAATAAAAAATAATAAAAATAAATCTTTAAAAAAAAAAAAGAGCATACCTGCTTCAGCAGACTTTTGACATTGCCAGAGATGATGTGCTGACAAATGAGTTTCTGAACTCTGGGATAAGATGCCCTGTCAAGCTGTGTTAAAAAACCCAAACAAAAGCCCTAGAGAGAAAACACAAATCAGCATAACACTAATTATCCATCTAAAACAGCAGTCCAATTTAAGTTATTAAGTTATAAGTTATTAATAACGTATTTATTTAAGTTATTTATTAACTTATTAAGTCCAATTTATTTATTTAAGTCTAACTTCTTCAGTGGTGCTACTTTCTAGAACTACTTTTAGATATGACAAGGTAGCAGGAAAAGGCAAGACATCATGATATGAAGTGCTCTGGACTCAGATAATTAGAGAGCACAGATACACCTGGAACAAACAACCCCGTTCCCGTTACCCCACGTGGAACCCTATCACCAAACACTGAAGTCAAACAACTTTAGAAAGACCTCATAGAGCGAGCGCTGGATGTTGCCACATGGATTGGTAGCTGCAAATCGCAGGGCCCTGCAAAGAGTCCGGAGGCTGTAGTGAGGTCTATGGCCGGTCCCATCCACCAATTTCGTCCCAGACTCTTTCCGCAAAGCTGTGTAGAAGCTGCAAAGAGAAGGGTCCAGAAATTTTATTAACTGGATATTTATTATTTTGCTAGTTTCTTCATCACAAAAGATTCAAGGAGCCTGCTTATAATTGCCCCTTACTTGGGGTTTTATACATCAGAAATAGTCAAGCTTATGTATAGCTTCCTGGAACAGCATCAAAAGCTCTCGGTATTCTTAAAACATATTTTATGCATACTCAAAGGCTACCTTTCAAAATAGTAAAATAAGTATCTGTTTCCTCTGGGAAACTGTGAAGCGTAAGCTGCAACTCCTCTAGTGAAAAGGTATTGACAGTCGAGGCAAGAAGCTGCTGTTCCCTAAGGACAAGTCAGCAACACAGGATAGGCACTGTGAGAAGAATACACCAAGTTCAAACCCAAGCTTCCCAGCTGCCGCTAACCTGGACAATCTGACTCGCTGTACAAGCCACAGTGGTAATAAGCACAACGAATAGCGAATGCAAGATATTTTCGAAAATATATGATTATAGCCAGTATCAGTAATAATAACATATTTAAAAGTATAACAGTATGATGGCAGCAACTACTACCATCACCACACTTCAGACCAGATGAAACGAAGAAATTTCAGATCGAAACAGGAATTTACTGCACTTCAAAAATCTGTGAAATTCATTATCAGTTCCTACATGATCAATGGAATCAGTACATGTCATGGATGAAATAATAGTTCTGGCTCAAATAAAATTTGTTTTTCCTTCTGTGAACAATCCTTTCATGATAAGCTGATAGAAAATAGGACTTTAGGTCTTCTAATCTCTGAAATCTGAGTTATAATTTACACTCAGATTCCTAAGCCTCAATGAGAACACAAGGTTCCTTAGAATTGGTTATCTTTACGTCTACAAGCAGAGCTCTATGAGCAAAACCAGGATTTCAGCTCTTTGGCTTTTTTAAATTAATTCACATAATCACTCACTATTCTGACAGGTACAGATAGACCAGGCACAATTTCTCATGCCCTGATTCACTCCCTTACGGCCTGCTGGGTTCAGAGGATCCAACCCAGACTACCCACATGGATGCCAGCACCTTCACCTGCTGCCTCCCAGGGGGTGCACTACCAAGAAGCTCAAGTAAGGAGTCAGACTAGAGCAGGGATCTCAATTCCAGGTTCTAGGAATCAAGACTGTCTTACTTATTTATAGTATATCTAGCACCTGAGCATTCAGAAGAATATTCATTGGGATCTGAAAGACATACAGCAAATGAAGAAATCTGCCCAAAATGACAGTAATTTCTGATAAAACTACCACTGGAACTAACATTTACTACCCATGAAAGACTGAAAACTTCCCATATTTAAAAAAAATGGGATAAGTCTAAACTAAAGCACCAACCTGTTCTAATTTATTCACTCAAGCCTCTATTAATTCCATACCTGACACATTAATTACATGCACCTTTCCCCATTTATAACCAAACAGCAACAAGAAAATATTTCATCAAGACATGTCAGAATGCAAGCCATCCTCTCCGCCAACAATTTAAACTTCTAACTAGGAATTCAAAGGTAATGAGGAAAGTTACTTATAATTGTTTACTTTGTAACAGTTCCAAGCTTCCCAAACAGTTTTCTTGGGAAACCTGGGGTAGATCTTACAAGATTCCACTTAGGGGGAGAAAAATCTAAAAACAAATCTTCAATCAGACTTCACAAGTTAGAAGCAAAAAGTGTGTATGTGTGTATGCACACATGTATGTGTGTGTGACACATTTCAAAGTTTTCAGAGACAAGCTGAGGCAAACCTACTTTATAATCCCTTGAACTGTACTCTTGTTCACACTCAGTCCTTTCAGATAATCCACGATAAGAATTTGTAAGTCTTCTTTACTTTCTAATTCTTCTACATAAATTTCTGTGAACCTGTAAGACAATTATTACACAATAACCACCTTTTAGAAAGTTAATATTGCAGTGATGACAGAAAAGCATGACATAGAAAAGTAGATGTTCATCTTAATAGGTTATAAAATATCTCAAAAAAATGCTTAAATATCTTTCAATGATATAAACTGATCATAATGACAAGGATTATTAATGTCATAAAGAAATGTTCTTATTATTTCATTAATTCTGTGCAATGAATCTTCTCTATAAAATTCATACAACAATTAGAAAAATAAAACACCCTCAGTCTCAAGAGTTTGATTATAACTATATATAACACTGAAAATAAACCCTTTCCCACCATGAAAAAAAGAATTAGAAAGTAAACTCATTAATATAATGCCTAAAATTTCCTTCAGAATCTTTCGTTGCTTTTACAGTGTTGAGAGGAGATTTTAAAATCGTTTATCACTAGCCGGTAGAGCTTGGGTTGCCTGGCCCAGATCCTAGGGCCTGCCTTTAAGGCGAGTGTTGGTTCGTGAGCCCCAGTGGTGTGGGGGATCTGGCAGGACTCAGGTCACCTAGCCCGGATCCAGGGGCCTGCCTGCAAGATGGGTGTTGGGTTTTTGAATCCCAGGAGTGGGGGGATCCAGCAGTGCTTGGGGGCCAGGCAACTACATGCATATGGGGTTCCTGAGCCCTGGGGGTGGGGGATCCAGACACCTCTCACATTGTTAAAAGAAGTCTTTTTGAAAGCTAGATGGCTACTTCAAGAAGAAACATTTTTATTTTCAACAATATTCATGAGCCACTAAGTATCAAACTAAAACCCAAACTTCTCCAGTGTTACAGACTTTCCTTACTACCACTACTCATAAAAAAACTTAATTGACAGTGTCGGAAGTATATTTCCTCTATCAGAGGTCAAGAAAATTCACAACCTGTGCTGCTGCTTGGTTATGTTATCATTACATCTATCCCCTTACCTGTTTCTTATTCCTGGGGGCAGATTTCTTTTGCCCACATCAGTAGCTGGATTCATGCAAGCAAATAAGCGAAAGTCAGGATGACGAACCAGTGGCTCTGTTAAGAGAAACATTATAAATTCTCAATAATTCATAGCAATCATGTAAGAAGTTACAGGTCCTCAAAGAAGATTATCCACATCTATGGAGTCCCAAGTATAGTCACCCGCCTTTACAAACTCAGCTGGTTGGTACTGGCTCTCCACTCTGCCCTTGCTTTTTCTGAAGCCCCACTGAAATCATTTTTCAGACCTATATGTATGTATCAATCTGCACAACCATTCCAGTCTCTCATGCTGCGTTTGTTCAGTGTGAATTTACCTGTCATCATAACATACGTGGGTATATTTTGCTAATATGTGCCTATCTATCATCTGAAATCCAACTGCCCTGACAAAGCCTCTTCTTTGCATGCCCCACACCACCTGACAACAACTCATAAAACTGATATTCAAGAAGGAACAAATATAATTAGGAGGGTTATACAATCCACTTAATCAAAGCAATCTCACTCTGCAGTAACCAGAAGATTTGGTACCAATTCAAGGGGGATGAAGAACTACCTGTGTCTCCTCGATCCAGCAACACCAGAGAGCCAGAGGATCCTTCCAATAAACCACTCAGACATTCTAACGTTTCAGGAGCAGCCAAATTAATTTCATCCAACAGGATCCACTCCCCTTTCTTTACTGCCTGAACTAATGTGCCCTAGAAGAAAGTAAAACATCATGTTAAGATTTCATTTCAAACATATACACACTCAATATGGGCTGTTATGCAAATACCAGTATCTTGAACTCATAGAACCTAGCTAGGTATGTCAGCAGAGGTAAGGCCAAGTAAAAGATTCATGTACTTTATTTGAAAGGCAGATTCTTACAGAGAGAAGGAGAGTAAAGAAAGAGAACTGATTCATCTTCCATCACTTGGTTCATTCACTAGTGGCTGCAATTGCAAGAGCCAGGAACTTCTTCCAGGTCTCACACAGGGAACCAAGTACTTGAGCCATTCTCCATAAGCAGAGAGCAGGATAGGAAGTGGAACAACCAGATATAGAACTGGCGCGCATATGAAATGCTGGCGCTTACAGGTAAAGGATTAGCCTAAACAGTCACTCCGCCAGACCCAAGTAAACATCCCAAATAACCAAAAAAGCCTAATACAGACAGGCAATAAAAATGGAGCTACTCATTACATGGATGGTCAAGTAAATGACAACTTACAATGTATTTAGGTGTTTAAATGCATGCAAATACTAACCAAAAGCACCTAAAATAAATACAACATCAGGATACATGTAGAATAAAGTTCAGATGAACCTCTGAACTAAGAGTGTAGATAAACATAGCTTCTCAAGGTTGCTGAGAATTACTTCAATCCATCTTTACTCAGCTCTCTCTTCAAATACTGCTTCCAAGAGTTAGAAAAAATTTCTTAACATCCAATCAGCTAACATTTCAAAAACCGTTTTACTACTGGAGACAGATCCATCGTAATTTTGTCTTAATGCTTAGTGAAAAAGAGAATCATCCACAAACTTAAATGTATTAACTCCTACTGAACTGTTAAGTCATAAAATATAAGCTTTCCTTTGAAAACATTTGACATTTTCATTGGTTATTTTATAGATAATGTTACTGAGACGGATGTTCTGGCACAGAGAGTTAAGCACCCAATTACAATGCCAGCGTCTGAGATCAAAGAGCAGGTTTGAATCCTGCTAGACTTCTCCCAATCCAGCTTCCTGCTAATGCACCTGGGAAGGCAATGGACAATGGCCTAAATGCTGGGAACCTTGCCACCTATGTAATACATGATGGAATTTCTGGCTTCTAGCTTCAATTCAACCCAGGTCTAACTACTACACTGCAGGTTGGCCGAGTTCTGCAGCAAAGGAGCTCTGAAAGTATAGTCAACCAGAGCTAAGATTTTTTCTCTGTATCTCTCCTATCACTCTGATTTACAAATAAACATCTTTCATTATTTACAAATACATCTTTCAAAAAATCATATCAATAATGACAAAACTTCCCAAAACCATGAAAATACAGTTGAATAAACTTTCATCAGAACATAAACTCAATGACTCCAGTCTCCTCTAGGCACACTCTAAAGAACATCACAGAATTAAAAAACCTAAGTCATGAATACTACTCCAGTAGCTCCCACCCATAGTATCAAAGGACCACAGAGTAGAGCTATCCTTGATCAGCCCAGGGACTCCAGGAATGCCTGCCGGTCTCTTTCCCAAGACCATAAATGAATTATTAGTACTCTCTACTTGTGCTTAAATGCATCTTTATTAACAATAACGGTGACTCTCAAGATCCTATGATTACAAAGAACATTTTGCATAATGTTTCCTCTAAATCATATTTTATTAAGATTGTTTAAGTCTTACACAAGAACTCCTAAAAATACTGATTTTTATAACTGAAAAAATACAATAAAAACCTCAACACTGTAAGTCAATATTTCCTTAATCCAAACAAGCAAAAGTAATACCTCTACAAATGCAAACAACAGGGCATTTTCAGTCATTTTCATCTGCTGTTGAGCATGGTTGAGTCTAAGACCAAAGGCTTCCCATTTCTCCTTTAAAAGCAATCCTGAAAAAAAGAAATAATGAGTTAACACACATTTTGAGATTCAACACATACAAACTTTTCTGGTTTCTTTTGTCCTTATTGTGCCTCCTTTGTCTATTTTTTCTATTTCTGTTTTTCTCTTCTACCTGTATCTTCAATCTGCTGGTCCACTCCCCAAAAGGTTCCAAAAGACCCAAAAAGGCCCCCAAAGCCAGGGCTGAGCCAATCCCAAGCCAGGAGCTTCTTCCAGATCTACCACATGGGGGCAGGGTCAAAAGGACTTGGGCCATCCTCCAATGCTTTAATCCAAGCCATTAGCAGGGAGCCAGATTAAAAGCAGAGGAGCTGGGGGCCCAGCACAATAGCCAAGTGGTTAAATCTTTACCTTGAATCTACCAGGATCCCATATGGGCTCCAGCGTATGTGCCGGCCGCTCCACTGCCCATCCAGCTCCATGCTTGTTGCCTTGGAAAGCGGTAGAGGAAGGCCCAGGGCCTGGGGACCAACCCAACAGCCATGTGGAAGACCTTGAGAAGGTTCATGGTTCCTGGCTATGAACTGGCTCAGCTCCAGCTGTTTCAGCCACATGGGGAGTGAAACAGCAGGCAGAAGATCTTTCTCTCTGTATCTCCTTCATTTGTACATCTGCCTTTCTACTAAATATAAATAATTTTTTTAAATGAAGTAGTAGTAGAGCAGCCAGGACTAGAAATAGCACCAAACAGGGTGCCAGTGCTCCAGGCAAAGGATTACCCTGTGAGCCACTGCACCATCCCTTACGACATTTTGTACATCAGGGAGTTAACTGAGCTACCAAACTGCCCTGGCATAGAACTTGATCCTTTAGAAGTAGCATCATGGGCCTGGTGCAGTAGACTAGTGGCTAAAGTCCTCAACTTGAACGGACCAGAATCCCTTACAGGTACCGGTTCTAATCCAGACAGCCCCGATTCCCTTCCAGCTCCCTGCCTGGGACCTGGGAAAGCAGTTGAGGACAACGCAAAGCCTTGGACCCTGCACCTCCATGGGAGACCCAGAAGCAGCTCCTAGCTTCTGGTTTTATGCTGGCTTAACGCCAGCCGTTGAGGCCCCTTGGGGAGTAAATTAGCAATGGAAGATCTTCTTTACTGAGGAGGGCAGTTACTAATCACATGATGTTTATATACACATCAACAGCTGTTTATTCAGGACACAGTACTACAACTATGGCAACAAAACTACAATATTTGTCACTGCTTCAACAGCCCTCGGAGCTACACCATGCACTCTTTTCTCTTGATTCTGCTGTCTGCCATCAGCCTCGCACCCCCACCGAGCAGTCTTGGTCACACCCTCACCAGTCTCGTTCTCTTTTGCATCCTTGTTGGCAGCAGACTTGTACACATGCTGCATCAGTTTGAGGAGATCGTGCCACCGTTTCTGCCTATAGCAGGTCTGAATGTGTCCCAAGAAGGTAAAGTTTTGTTTCTTGGAGAATGTCTGCACGAAAAGTTCTTCAAATGCCTCCCGCAGGGGTAGCCAAATCAGCCTATGGTCCACTGGTTTGTAACTAAAACAAAAAAATAGGTGTGATTCACAACTTTCTGAGGCCAGTGGAAAATTAAACAGCAGAGCTCAGAATTCTCCAAATCAGAAATACTACCAAGATACTTTACATCCAACTTAAGTCTTAAATTCTAAACTGCTTTCCCCAACCTGCCCAAGCCCAGCAAAGGGGTTACAAACTATATGAACAGATGAAGATTATAAAAAAATTTTAAGAAGCTCATAGTTGAAATAAGAGGTGTGTCATTTGTTTTATTATTATTTAAATTAAAATGTGTACTATTTACTAAGACTAGTAAATAGTAACATATACCATATTTTATTAAGTTTCACCAAAAAGTTTTCAGCTTTTTATGGCTGAAGATATTACATACTGCAATGGAGGGACACTGAGATAAAGTTTATTTCCTAGACGAATAATTCAGTTTAGAAAGTAAAAAGACAACAAATTTTTAGCAAACTCTAGCATAATAGAATTATTCTTACTAATTCACCACCCTTACGGGAAAGACAAACAGATGAGTAAAAACCGAGCACCAACACTGACCATCTCTACTGAACAATCAAGACCCAATAAAAAATGGCATGGAAGCCTGAAATTGCTTGACTCATTTGTCTTAAAGCACCAATTTTTTTTTTAAAATACCTATTTAAAATACGAGCACAGGGCCCAGCGGAGTGGCCTAGCGGCTAAAGTCCTCGCCTTGAACGCACCGGGATCCCATATGGGCGCCGGTTCTAATCCCAGCAGCTCCACTTCCCATCCAGCTCCCTGCTTGTGGCCTGGGAAAGCAGTTGAGGATGGCTCAAAGCTTTGGGACACTGCACCCATGTGGGATACCCGGAAGAAGTTCCTGGATCCTGGCTTCGGATCGGCAGAGCATTGGCCGTTGCACTCACTTGGGGAGTGAATCATCGGACGAAAGCTCTTCCTCTCTGTCTCTCCTCCTTTCTGTATATCTGGCTTTCCAATAAATAATAAATAAATCTTTAAAGAAAAAAAAAATACGAGCACAGTAGCCTAGTACAAAATCCTCACCTTGGACGCATTAGGATCCATATTGAACGCCAGTTCTAATCCCAATGGACATGTTTCCCATCCAGCTCCCTGTTTGTGGCTTAGGAAAGCAGTGGAGAATCGTCCAAGGCCTTGAACCCCTGCACTAGCATGGGAAACCCAGAAAGAAGCTCTTGCTTCCTGGCTTTGGATCAGCTCAGCTCTGGTCACTGTGGCCACTTAGGGAGTGAACCATCAGATGAATAATCTTTCTCTCCTTTTCTCTGTTTGACTGCCTTTCCAATAAATTATTAACTCTTCATAAAAAATTAAATAAATATATGCATAAAACTCATATTTATTTAAAATGCAGAACTACAGACAAGAAGAGGTAAAAGCAGAGAGAGATCTTCTACCCCCTAGTTTACTGCTTATGTCCACAATGGTCAAGGTGAGCTGAGCTGGGACAGCCAGGCCAAAGCCAAAATCAGGAGCTTCAAATGGATCTCCTGTGTGCTACAAATGCCCAAGTGCTTGGACCACATTCTGCTGCTTTCTCAAGAACATTAGTACGGATCTGTATTGGAAGTAGAGCAGCTTGTACTTGAATCAGCACATATGTGAGGAATTACCACCTATGTAGGCTGCTACTTCAAGTTTGCAATAATGACTTGCAGAAAAGTTAAGATTAAGGATGGTAGGACTCTAGATAATTCTTCAGATCAACTGCACTATACAGACAATATAAATGACTTTCTCACTCTCTTCCAAAGCATCATCTTTTAATTTTTTTCTAGGATTTATTTATTGGGGCTGCTGCCATGGCAAAGTACACTAAGTATTCACAAATGGTGCAAGTAATGCATATGGAAACCAGTCTGTGTCCTCGCTGCTTCACTTCCCATCCAACCCTCTGCTTATAATTTGTAAGGCAGCAGAGGATGACTCAATTCCTTTGGCCCCTGCACCTAATGTGGGACAGCCAAAGAAGCTCCTAGTTTTGAACAAGCATACCCTCAGCTCTTATGAGAGTCTGGGGAGTGATTTAGCACACTTATCTATCTCTTTCTGTAACTTCACCTTTCAAGCAAAAATTAAATTTTGGGGAAAACAAAGAAGTGTGGACAGCCCAGTGTCTCATGAGTCAATTTTTTTTTAAACTTAAAAAGCAACTTACAGAGCAAGAGGGAGAGACAGGACGAGAAACTGTCCGCCTGCTGCTCCGCTCATCAATGGTCTGGCCAAAACCAAGAGTCTGAACTCCATCCAGGTGTCCACATTGAGTGGTAGGGCCAATGTCCTTGGGCCATCTAGGTGGTGCATTACCAGGGACATGGATCAGAAGTGCAGCTGCCAGACTCAAAACGAGCAGCCATCTGGTGTGCTTTTTGGAGGTTTGCCCTGAGTCATCATGGTGCCATCCCCAGGGTATCCTCTTTGACAGCCTCAACACAAACATCCACATACCCAAGAGGCCCTCGATACATTGAAAAATTCCCTACTTTTTCAGGAGGAGGGTACAAAACTTTAAGCAATTTTCCAAAGCTAATTTTAGACTTTTTTGAAAAACAGTACTTTTACCTCAAGCAGTAATCATAAAAGAACAAAAAAATGTTACACCACTTACCCTCCAAGTAAGTCTGCAGTGTCACTTTGTTGATTCATATTGACAACCCTCAAACGGTGTCCTTTAAAACATAGAAGTCCAGTTAAGTTCAAACATCAAAACGACTGGGGATTTCCAGTATGCTCCTTAAGGATGTGGGAATAGCACAGAGCAAATTCTGGAAGCATTCTTTTTATTCCTTTTAATGACTGTCAAAAACTTTAAATATGATTGCGTTTCATAATTCACACATCAACAAACACAAAAAGATTCAGAGGGCATGACTGCTAGCGGATCAGGTAACAGGAAATGTGTCAACAGTTCCATGTCAGCAAATTAGGATCAAATAGCCACAGAAGGGCAATCTTATTTAGCCTTTAGAAGAAACCAAGCATTCTGTTGTTGCAAGGTGTGGGGACTATAAACCAAAGTGTTTGGAGACAAACAAAAAACATTACAACAACAAAAACTATATGCATACAAGGAATTTTCATGATGCTAATGGAAAATATACATAATAAAAAGTCATGCACGATTTCCAATTATTTTTCCATAAGTGTTCTGACACCGAAACATATATTCAGAGCCCAAATCAAAAATGAAATATAAAATAGTATCAATCTGTTAATGATGGCTATTTCCAAGGAATGAGAGCAATTACCTGTAATGTGACCCAAGTACTGAACAGCAGAAGTTTTGCCAGTCCCAGTCTCTCCCACCAGCAACACTGGCTCTGCCCTGCTGACACACACTGCTAGCTGTTCAATGAGAACACAGGATGGCCGTGTAGCAGCAAATGTAAGCCTCTCTCTAAGAAAGGGAAAAGACTCTTAGCAAGTTGATTTTAAACAATTCACAGCAATGGTCCTCATGCTAGAACTTACACTCTAAAAATTAAATGGTGTCTCTGGAAGGAGAGCTGCAGACAGAAACACACACATGAACACAGACAAGTATACACATCACAAGCACATGCACATAAAAGTTATCTGATTACAGACACCAGGGTGACACATATACAAGGACTGCACCCAACACGATCCCTCAATTGACTTAGCCCTCCTTCTCCACACACCAGGTTCCCATATGGGTGCTTGTCTGTGTCCAGAATGCTCCATTTCCCATCCAGCTCCCTGTCTGTGACCTGGGAAAGTAGCGGTAGATGGCGCAAAACCTTGAGACTGCAACTAAGTAGTAGAACTGGAAGAAACTCCTGGCTCCAGATTGGCTCAGCTTGTTGTTAAAAGCCATTTAGGGAGTGACCCAGTGGATGGAAGATCTTTCTCTCTGGCTCTCCTTCTCTCAGTAAATCTGACTTTCCAATAAAAATAAATCAATCCAAAGGAAAACAAAACAAAACAAAAAAAGCAGCAGCAAAAGCAGTTGAAGAGCACCAAGGCCTTTGGGAGCGGGAGCCAAACAAAATAAGACAGAGACTGGAAAGCATTCTCCTCCAGACAGTTGACTACAGAACTATGAGAATTCACCTACTTCAAGCACCCAGGCCATGATTTGTCCTTTAGCCGTAAGACACATTATGGACTCCATGATAAAACAAATGCAAAGAATGGAGCATAATCAGCCACACAATAAGTATTTAATGAATATTGCCTCAGAATTCACAGATATCCTACAAAAACTTGTTTCACTGACTACATCACAGCCTATAAAAACATATATCCTAAGGGCTTTTACTGCCTGCCTCATCCACTTAACTTTTTATTATTATTTATCTATCTTTATTGGAAAGGCAGATTGTAGAAAGATAAGGAGACACAGCAAGATCTACCATCTGCTGGTTCACTCCTAGAGTGGCCGCAACACAGCCAGAGCTGAGCCAATCCAAAGCCAGGAGCCAGGACCCTCCTCTGGATCTCCCATGCACGTATGGGGTTCAAAGGCTTTGAGCAATCCTCCACTGCTTTCTCAGGCCACAAGCAGGAACCCGGATGGGTTCTGGAGCAGCTGGGACATGAAATGGCACCCACACGGAATGCCGGCACTTGCCAGCAAAAGATTAGCCAGCTGGGCTATCTTGCCCAGACCTCAAAGGAACACTTCCCAATATTATGCAGCCCATGGAGAAATGATAGCTGGGTTAGACCTCCCAGTTTGCGCATTTGCTTAGAACTCTACTTACTTCTGAAGATGAGCAGCCTCACTTTGTTTCCGTAGAAGCTGTACTCGGCCCACTTGCACATCCAGTTCATTGATCACAATTTCTGGTTTATAAAGTTGGCAGAAGAACTCAGCCTACGAAAGGGAAAGAGAATGGATACTCACTCTGTCTCTCCCTCTATCACTCCACCTTTCAAATAAATAAATAAATCTTAAGAACAAAAAAGCCATCTCCTTCAAAAATGCATATTTTAGGAAAACAAAAGAATGGAATGGAAACATACTAGCGGACAATGTTCTCAGTAGTCTAGGTAGTGAGTACACAGTCACATGTGCACACAGTCATCAACTTCATCCCTTTCCTCCCTCCAATCTTCAAATTAAATCAAGTACTCATTAAAGTATTTACTTATCTGTAAGGTACAATGGCAGAAAAGGAGAGTCACAGAGAAAGTCTTTCGACTGCTGCTTCATTCCCCAAATGTCTACAAAAGCCAGATTGGAGCTAGGCCAGGCCAAAACCAAGCACCAGGCGCTCCACCCATGTCTCTCGTATGGGTGGCAGGAATCCAAGAGCTTGAGCAAGCTCAGCCATGTGCAGAAAGCAAGATAGGAAGCTGAGCAGCAAGGACTTGGACTGGCACTCAATGCAGGACACAGGTACCCCAAGCAGCAGCTACATTTGCAGTGCCGCAATGCCTGCTCCTCAACATGTTTTAATAGTTATTAACTCAATTAACTAAAAGGGAGAAAGAGAGACATATAGATATTCCACCCACTAATTCACTCCTTAAATGTCTCTACAGCCAAGACTACACCAGGACAAAGCCAACAAATTCAGAACTCTGTATCCATCTCCCATACGGGTGGCAGAACTCAGGTACCTGAGTCATCATCTACTATTTCCTTAGATGCACAAGCAGGAATCTGGAATTTGAGAATAGCTGGGACTTGAACCAGAACTAATATGGATGTAGGTTCTCCAAGCAGTGGCTTAATCTGTCACAGCACAACATTTGCCCAGTACCATCCTTTTCAATGTTCTTGAGGTTTTAAAGTATTAATAAAAAAAGATGAGTAGGAAGTATGTGCACGAATCTATAGACAAAACTATTTTAATAAAACAGTTTCAGTCCTAAGTCTATAATCCAAAGCATAAGCACTCACTGAAATGAGAAAGACCTATGGGACATTTGGAGAACATGGAACACATGGAGTGTGTATTGAATGCTGGAAATCTCAAATTTTGGACAGGCAGCAGTGTAACCACAAACACTTACAGGAGTCCATACTGCAAAAAGTTGTTCTAGATAGGCACCAGACCCGCAAAGCTACATATCTCAATCTCCTTTCCAAAGTCAATGAAGGGGCCTAGTGGCTAAAGCCCCCACCTTGCATGCACTGGGATTCCATATGGACACCAGTTCATATCCCGGCAGCTTTATTTCCTATCTATCTCCCAGATTGAGACCTGGGAAAGCAGTCAAGAATGACGCAAAACCTTGAGATCCTGAACCCACATGAGTGACCCTGAAGAAGCTCCTGGCTCCTGGGCTCCATATCAGCTTAGTTCTGGCCATTGCAGTCACTTGGTGAGTGAATCAGCGAAAAGAAGATCTTTCCGTCTCTCCTTCTCTCTGTAAATCGACTTTCCAATAAAAATAAACCTTAAAAGAAAAAAAAGTCAATGTAACACTACTTACCTTTTTCTTAGAAATGTTCAATTTGCTTCCAATAATTTCTGCCATTTTCAGTTTGCTTGTACAATCAGAAAGCATTGCTGTGAAACAGTCCAGAGCCTATTAAAATAATCAAGTAAATGCCAAATACATTTTTAAAAAAAATTACACACAAACCACAGAACAGCACTATTCTGTCCACAAAGCAAAGAACACAAAACTGAGCACAAACACTTCTGCATTTCCTGAAGGAAACAAAAAAATCAACTCTCAACACAGGATTTCATCCCAGTGCAGACAAAGGCCAACAGCCATGAGGGATTTTTCATTAACATACAAAACAAACAAAATTACTTCATTTTACAAATCCTAACTTCAAGCAAAGAACAGTGTTAACCTTTAGGTTCAGATTTCACAGGTGAATTAACTCAGAAATAGTTCAGAAGTTAACAACATAGACGCATTCTACCTGAGGTAAGCAGCAAGGTGACCACAATCACTAACACAATCCAGTTCTCAGTCCCAGCAGCTACCAGAGGACCAACCAGCTATGTCTTCTAATGTAATGTATTGGTTCTGATACTTATCAGACATCGCTGCTTTCATTTCCCCAGGGTTGAGGAAATCTTTCCAGGATTAGCCAAATGTGCTAATTCCTAGGCAAATCCACAAGCCCAGGAACCCCACCTGAGGTGACCTCAGACTTAACTCATTTGTGCCAACCAGTTGCAGGGTCAGATTCTGTCAGTCACCTGCACCAACCAATGTACAAAGTGGTAGATACAGCTGCCTGGCCAGTTCTGCCATCAGCACCATCTCCCATGTGAACTGATAAATGCTGCTGCCTGGCCCAGCCCAGCCTTCATAGGCCCAGGCTTCACACACTCCAGCAGATGCCACAGTCTAGTCAGGGCAACCCCCAATTACCCACAGCAGGCCCCTCCCAAACAGCCACAATTTTTGCATGTGTCAGCACATGCCATAACCTAGACCAGTCCATCCCACATCCCATCTGGCTCTTGTATACACCCACTGGCTTTGTGGCTTAGCCACCATGCCCCTAGATCCAGTCCCCAAGTATGCTGATGGGTTGTGCTGCCTTGACCAGTCTGGTGTGCCCCAAGCCACGGTTTTCATGCTATCAGGAGCTGCAGCCCAGCAGGGTGGTGCCCACAGTTCCCATCAAGCCCATTCCCAGCTCTGGAATTTGGACCTGCCAGAAGGTATCGCAGTCCAGCCTGACATAATTTGCATGCAGTCCCAGCACTTGCCAGCTAGTGAAGCCTATCCCAGACTGGACTACCCCTATTCTGAGCTCTCAGGCTCACCAATGGAAGCAGCAGCCTAGCAAGGGAACACCTGAAGTTCCCTACCAGGCCCACTCCCAGCCCTAGGACTTGCACATGCCAGCAGGTACTACATCCCAAGCTAAGATGGCCCACTCCCAGCCTCGGCATTCACCAGCTGGTGCTGCAGGTTGGCTTAGAATGGCCTGACCTAGTCCCAACTCTCATAGGTGGGTGCAGTAGCCTCGCCCAGCCCAGCCCTGTCCCAGCCCTCATGTAAACTTGAGGGTATTGCACTCCAACATGGGTTACACCTTCTCCTGGCTCTCACTGGTGCCAATATGTGCTATGGACTTGCCAAGCCTAGTCCACCCCAATACTTGGCTCACACATGTTAATGGATGCTATAGCCCAGTCTGACATACAGGCATTCACCAAATGAACTACATCCAAGCTCAACTGGCCTTTACCAGCTTTTGCACATGGCTGCTAAGTCTAGCCCAACTACCAAACCCAACTCTCATGTGAACCAGCAGGTGCTACAGCCTAGCCTGACCTGTGTCACTCAAGATGGTGGTTCTAACACTAAAAACACACACACAAAAAAAAGTTGGAACAGCATATATCAAGGCATTAACAGTGCTACAAAATCTGTGGATGAGGAAATATTATTTCATCATTTGCTTTAATATTTTTCCCACTTTCAGCAATATTTTTTAGATATATATAAATACTTATACATAAATGTTTTCAGCAATATTATTAAAAATATCAAATGTCATTGAAGATGCAGAAAAAGAAATTGAGTGTAACAGTACAATGAACCAGCCTTAAAGAGAATGGTGCACTGGTTTAAGGTCAAAATATGCATCAACCATGAAAATATGCTGAGTGAAGCAGTGAGATACAAGCAGTCCAATATTGTCTGAGACCATTTCTAGGAAATGTCCAAAACTAGTATACTCAGAGGAAGATTAGCCTCTCCCAGGGGCTGCAGAGGGAGGAAACAGGATTGGCAGCAAACAGGGATTTCCCTCTGGGGTTAAAAAAAAAAAAAAAGTCCTGCAACACACAGTGGTGACATGGTATTAAGTCTGTATAATTTTAACATAAAATATGAACAATATACTTTGAAAGACTTTAAAAATATGTAGAGTTTATATCAATAAAGTCATTTTATATTCGAAGCACTCTAAAAAAATAAGTAATGAACAATATCAATGTCTCAATTTTATTAAAAAAAAGTCTAGGGCAATCTGACAAAGATGAGCAATCCATGAGACTTAGAAGGAACATTGACTGCAGAATAGAAAGGAGGAATAAAAACGGCCACATAACATTCAAGTTTCAGCTAAGAGAAAAATGAGCTTTCTTTTCTAAAAGGTACTTGACAAAATACAAAGAAATGCTGCAAACCAAACTGGGTCACTATTCTCTCTTCAATTCCAGCTGACAGAAACCAGAGCAAGTCACAGGCCATATGGGTCAATGCTTTAAAAGCCCCTACATGTCAGGCAATACCACCCTAGGCAGGAATAAATCTCTATTCTTATTGAATGTGGCAGGGCTGTAACTCAGTAGGACTTGCCTCAAACAAAACATTTTCCTCCCAATGTTTTATACTTTGCAAAAAGATTTTTAAAAATCCTTATAAGGCATAGTGGAGGAATCAAATACAACTGCATTAACTAAACTAAGAAATAACACATAGGCCTAGAGGCTACATGTCTTAGAAATACTTTATTTCATAAGACTTCTTTATTATTATCTGGGAGCATTTCTTTTCATTTAACCTTTATTTTCATTATCTGCTTTATCCTGTTCCCAAACTATATTTCCTCTGAAATTAGTAATAATCAGTTAAAACCACATAAGTTTTATTTATTAGCTTTAAATGGAGGGTAAGTTTATTTAAGCAAGCTAAGGACAAGAAACCACACTAGACAAAATAAAAAGTCTTATAGCAATGGAGACAAAAATAACACTGCAAAGAAAATAGCAGTCTTACAGAGCAGAGGAAATTGGCAGGAAGGCTGTAGCTTACCTCCTGAAAAATATGTAACGATGCTGAAGATGATGAACTGTCAAAGCTATGGGCAATTCTGTTACACCAATTCAGGAGATCTCTTAAAAAAATAAGAAAAAGTCTTCGGTCAAAAACACAGTCTATTTGTTTTGCTTGTATGTCTGGCAACATGAAGATAAAAAGTGTTAATGGAAAAATTAAATGCAGCTCCTGATCTTTATTCCTATATCAGGAAGTGATCTACCACTCATTCTCTCCATCCATGCCAGACAAAATAGCAGGAAAGTGAGGGAAGCAACTAACTCAAATCGAAATGTGGGCAGCTCGCCTTTCCTTCTCTTGTCACTGAAAACTAAGGATAAAGGCAAAGAACTCATTGCTAGGACAAGACAAGAAGGCTTATTTTAAGGCTCTGGATGTCACCTGTCACACCAGCATCCCATAAACACCTATTCAAATCCTAACCGCTCTTCTTCCAATCCAGTTCCCTACAAATGAGCCTGGGAAGGCAGCACAAGTGTAGCATCCCAGCCTTCTACAAAGGAGACCTGCACTGAAATCTTGTCCAGGCTTTGGCCTCAGGCCATTGCAACCTGAAACCATCTGAGGAATCAAAGAGTGGACAGAGATCTGTCTTTCTCTGCCTTTCAAATAAAAGACTCCATGTCAGAAAAGAATATATATTAGAAGGATTACATTAGTAATTGCCCTCAAGTTTATTTTTAAAGGTAACTTTTTAAAGTTAAAAAATGTAACATTTACCAAGCTTTCCCAATGATTAAACTACATTTGGGAAAGGAGACTGACGACACAATGCAACCTCAAAGTTTCATTCCAAAACCTGACCACTCAAACCAGTTAGTTTTGCACTGTAGTTTTAAAATATCAACTCAGAAAAGTGTTTACGTCAGTACCTGAGAGACAATTCTCTTCCCTCAAGGACTGGCTTTTTGCTTTCTCCTTGGGTTTCTGAAACTTCCTCTGCTGCCTGATGACACCCCAAAGCACTGTCACTCCGAGAGGGATGCTTCTCTCCAGTAAGCTCAATATAAATCTCAAGCAGGCGGCCAGCTGCTGCTACTAGGTTCGGATATTTGCTCTGAAGAACCTGAAAAGGGGGGAGAAGGACAAAAAATCAGGAAAATCTAGTGCCCTGCTTCAGACATTTTAACAGTGACCCAAGAGATGGGAGCTCATTCCATCTCTACTTTTAAAATAAATCAAAAAGGGCCCAGCGGAGTGGCCTAGAGGCTAAAGTCCTCGCCTTAAACATGCCCCGGGATCCCATATGGGTGCCGGTTCTAATCCCAGCAGCTCCACTTCCCATCCAGCTCCCTGCTTGTGGCCTGGGAGAGCAGTCGAGGTCGGCACAAAGCTTTGGGACCCTACACCCATGTGGGATGCCTGGAAGAAGTTCCTGGATCCTGGCTTCGGCCGTTGCGCTCACTTGGGGAATGAATCATCGGGTGAAAGATCTTCCTGTCTCTCCTCCTCTGTATATCTGACTTTCCAATAAATAAATAAATAAATCTTAAAAAAAAGAAAAAGAAAACAAAGCTGTATAACAGACTGAAGTTTAAAAGAAAGGAAAAAAAAATTTTTTAAAAAAGAGAGAGAAACAATCCTACAGGGATAATAGATACAATGCTGGAATAAAATGCTGGCACAATTAGTAATAAACTTATTGAATAGTATTTGGTGGCTCATAATGGCATTTTCTCTATTTTCTGTAAATTTAGAATATTTCACAATAAATTATAACAAATAAAAAATATTAGTAATTTCTAACACCCACATACCTCATTCAGCTCTGCTTTATCCAAGTTATCCATGCGAATTTTGGTCCAGTATTTGTCCAACAAAGAAGCGTGACTATTTAGCGGCCGATACCAACTTCCTCCACTGCTCAACAGTCTGTTTCAAAATATACAACAGTCATACAAAATTCCTTATTTGAATCTTGGATTACTCTAGTCCTTAATATACAGAAAGAATATATCCCCTTCTGCCTTAAACAGAAGAAAACACTACAACCTGTATTACTACATTTTTCTTTATACATGTATACTTTTGGCAAAGCTTAATTTACACATTAGGTGCAATAAAACATCAGCCACTATAATGACAATACACGGTAATGAAGTTATTTAAAACAATGTTTCCTGGGTCAGTTCATTAAATATGTTTGGATGAAGGATGAACACAAACAAGCAGAAAAGCACAAACAGAAACCAGATATTTATCTCCTGCTGTGATTAACTCACAGCGTAGCATTCAGAATCCCTCCTTGTGCGAGAGACTGACAACTGATCCACATTCAATCCTGCCTAAGGAGGAATACAGCTTTGACTAAGCTATTTTCAAATCACCACAAGTGATTTCAACAATAACGTACTTCTTACAGCATAAATAAACTCAGGAAAGAGAAAACATGATACAGGCCTTGCAGGACTGATTATCTGCAAGTTCACTGTTTGGTACCAGAAGATAAAATATTGGTTTACTAGAAATTTCTACAAGAAAAATAGGTAAGGAACACAATACACACTCCAGGTAAACCACTCGCTTACATACATAAGCTGTTTAGTTCTCACAACCACCATCCTAAGGAGAAGTTATTCTTTTCTTCAAAGCTGTAAGGTCACAGAAACACCCCTTCTCACTCATCTAAAACAGCAAAGGGCAGAGCCAGAAACCAGCAAATCAGCACAACAGGCTAAGGCCTTGTGGTCATTTGTTATAAGCCAAATTGTTTCTAGTAACAAAATATTAGCAAACACTAGGGGCTGATGCACTGCCTCAACTGGCTAATCTTCCAACTACAAGCACCAGCATCACATGGAGGCACCAGTTTGAATTCCAGCTGCTCCACAGCAAAGAATAGCCCATGCCTTGGGACCCTGCACCTGAGTGCGAGATCGGAAGAAGTTCCTGGCTCCCAGCTTCAGATCAGCTCAGCTCTGGCCACTGAAGCCATTTGTGGACTGAACCAGAGGATGGAAGATTTTTCTCTGTGTCTTCCCTTCTCTCTGTAAATCTGCCTTTCCAATAAAAATAAATATTAAAAAAAAAAAAAGCTAACACTTAATACAGCATTAGTTTCACTTGTAGACACTTAAACACATAAGAACTTGTTCAGATACAAACCAGGTATGAGAAATAAGTCAGTGTCTCCATTATAAAATGCCAGGGGTAGGGAAGGCATTATTCCCCAGTAAGTTAAGCCACTATTTGGACCACCCATTTCCAATAGAGTGCTGGTCTGAGTCCAGAATCCTCTACTTCTACACGACCTCCATGCTAATAATGGCAGGAAGCAGACATACTTGGGCCCCTGCCAACAGGTGGGAAAACCAGATGGAGTTCCAGGCTCCTGGCTTCAGCCTGGTGAAGCCTTGCCTTTCACAACCATTTAGGGAATGAAGCAGCAGATGGAAGATCTTTTTTACCCTGTCACTCTTTCAAATAAATGATAAAGTAAATAAATCTTTTTTTAGGAATTTCATTTCAGGAATGAAAACACTGGGTCTGTCATCAACTCCAACTAACTACCTGAAGTGGATGCAGGGCACTCTATTCCAATATTTCTCAGCTTGGCACCAGAGGAAGAGAAAAGCTAACAGGACATACCTCCTTGTTGCAAAGAACTGAAATCCAGGAGCCACTTTTAGACAGTCACCTCGGCCAGGAATCAAGAGCTCTCCATTCTCCAATAGAGGGATCAGTACAGAAACCTAACCAAAACAGCAACACACTGATAAGACTATTATTGATCCAAAAGCAATCCAGCCAAGTTATCCAAGCCTTCAAATCAGATCCAACAGTTGACCATAACTGCCTTAAGGCAATCAAACAGCCTCTTTCCATCACTCCCAAATCACTACTAACGAAATGCTCTTCAAAGACAGAAAAGATGTTAGGAGGCAATGATTCATATGGCCAACATACCACATCCAAGGGGGCATAGTCAATATCCTCCAGAAGGATCCAGTGGCCCTTTGTCACTGCCTGCGTCAGGGTGCCAGGCTGCCACACAAACTCTCCAGGAACATCTGTGCAGCGATACATCCCCAACAGCATCTGCAAAAAGACGATAAGGAAATTATTAAAAATCCTCCCCAAGACACACCTGAAGAGCTGAGGCAAACTCCTTCAATTAATCCCACTCTAAGTCTACAGCTTAATTCTGTTAAAGTTTTTGAGATTTGACCCCAACAGTTGCAAGCAGGAACAGTGTGACTACTCCTCACATTCCTTCAGCAGAGATGGAAATGAAGATATTTACAAGCACGCCAACCCACCACCAACCTGCCACTTCTGAATTACCTTACTGTCGGTCTGGTCACCAAGCTGGACTTTGAGAAGCTGAGGAGGCTTCCTTCTACCTGTCATGACAGCTAAATGTTCCACCAACGATGTTTTGCCACATCCTATTGGCCCTTCCAACAATACAGCATTCTGAGAAGCCACTGCCATAGCCAGCATCTGAAGATTTTTGCAGACAGACTCAACCAACACATAGGACCTGAGGGCCAACTCCTGCTCACGTGAAGGATTCCTATTACCACCCTAGGGAGGAGAGTGAGAAACAAAGTCAGGTCAAGAGTCCTTCTAGAGTGGAAGTTATGTTCCGCTTGGTTAAGCTGCCATTCAGGATAGCGGCACCACACAGCATATTCACATTCCTGACCCATCTCCCGACCACCGACCCATGGAAGCATCAGATGATCCTTAAGTGCTTGAGTTCCTGCCACTCACGATGTGGGAGACCAGGAAGGAGCTCCTGGCTCAGACTTTAGCCTCACCCAGATTAGGTAGAGTGAATCATCAGAAGAGTTCGCCATCTATGTCTGTCACTGGACCTTTCAAATAAATAAAACTGTAGGGTACCAGTTTGTGTCCCAGCTGCTCCACTGGCATCCAGTTCTCTTTTTATGGCCTGAGAGAGTAGAGATGGCACAGGTCCGTGAACCTTCCATCCACATCAAAGGCTGGAAACAAGCTCTTGGCTCCCAAAACCGAATCAGCTCAGCTCTGGCCACTGAAGCAATTTGGGGAGCACACGAGCAAATAGAATACCTCTGCTTCCCCTTTTATTCTCTATAAAATCTCCCTTTTAAATTAACAAACATTAAAAAATACAGATAAAATAAATAAATCTCTAAAGAAATTTAATGAATTATTTGTCCTAAAACATACAAACTAGTTTCCCTAACATTGCACCTGCCCTCTGCAAACAGACTACTAATGACAGGCATGCTATCACCAGAGTGTTTGATAAACTTTCCTTTTATTCTGGATTCAAGGGAAAGAACAGCAATGCAGAATTTATCCTTAAATTTAAGAAAAATCTCCTAGGATTTAACAAGCAAAAAAGTTTGAGGTACAGCAAGTTAGGAGCAAACCTCAATTATCTCTGTTCAATTTTACTTTGTTCCTGTCCCAATATCTAGAATTTCACATCTAAAATCGATATGGGGCCCAGCGGCATGGTCTATTGGCTAAAGTCCTCGCCTTGAACACCCCAGGATCCCATATGGGTGCTGGTTCTAATCCCAGCCGCTCCACTTCCATGCTTCTGGCCTGGGAAAGGAGTCGTGGACGGCCGAAAGCTTTGGGACCCTGCACCACTTGGGGGACCCAGAAAAAGCTCCTGGCTCCTGGCTTCATATTGGCTCTGCTCCAGCCATTGCAATAGTCACTTAGGGAGTGAATCATTGGCCAGAAGATCTTCATCTCTGTCTTTCCTCCTCTGACTTTCCAATAAAAATAAATCTTTTTTTAAAAAATTAACAGGCACCACTCAAGCTGCTAAAATCATATGAGAACAGCAACAAATGGAATATCAAAGAGGAGAGCCCAAGATGAACTTTTCTCCTAAAAACTTGCATGAATAAAACAACTTAGCAAACTTAAGTTGGTTCACACCTCTTACAGAAAGCCAAGCAAACAAAGCAAAAAACTCACTGAGGGAGTTGAGGAGGATAAGGGAGGACCCCCCCCACTGATGGCAGCGTACCTGCTCTCCCAGGGCCGGAGACTGCCCATGCAGAAGCACCCCACAGACAGCTGTGACCCTGGAGCAGAGGTCAGCTGAAACAAGGTGTCCGGGAACGTACTGCAGCTCCTTCTCCTTCCGCCAATGCAAAGCTTCTGGATTGGCCAAAACTAAGGCCTTCTCCAAGTCCTGCAATTGTGCCTCTTCTAACAACCTACAGGAATGGAGACTCCCATCAATGACTTCACCACAAGAAACCACAGCAAGACCTCCAGGAAGAACCCCGCTTACCTCAACCTGAAATGAATCAATTCATCAGCAGTAAAAATCTTCTTGAGAAAAGATAACTTGTGTTCTTCACTCATACAAGTCACCAAAGCAAGACAGTTGGCTGTATACCTACAGAAAATATGTCATTCAGGTGATTTACAACTGATGAAAAGGACAAAGAAAACTTATCAGACAACTGAACACTAGAAACCTTAAATAACTGTTACAACACAAATACAAGCAAAAGATGCAAAGCAGACATGACAAATGCATTTGCAGAAGCACATGTGAAATGTGGGACCACTTCTATCATTACCCTTCCTCTGAAGTAGCACACAATGAAAGGGTGATGAAGCAAAGCCACAAAAACACAGCAAATTCAGCACAATATCCATTCCCTCCTCATGCATGCTCCCATTCCACCACGACCACCAGAACTACAGTCAGTTGCCCCAGCTACGCACCAGCGAACCAAGGTGTCGTGACTCCTGAGCAGAGGGACACACACACTCCAGTCCCAGAGCTCCCGAAACACAGACTGCTCTTGCTGCAGGAACCTGTAGGCTGCTTCCATTAGGTCCCGGAGCTTCATGCGCCTGCGCCCGAAGCGGACGGGATTAGCATCAGAAGTTTCCAGGAAGAGTCTCTGAAAGACTGGGGAGGTGTCCTTGAAATATCTCAGGGCAAACCTTTAGAAAGAGAGTTAAAGAATTTTCAGGGAGTGATGACAATTTCAAAGAATACTTTATTTGTTAGAAATCATCACGGAATTGAACAGAACCCCAGGCATCTGAGAGCACAGTAATCAGAACGATAAAACCATAAAGTCCCAAGATTCTGGGGCCTGGAGCTGTGAACCAGAGGCTAAAGTCCTTGCCTTAAACGTGCTGGGATGCCATATGAGCACCGGTTCTAATCCTGGCATCCCTGATTCCCATCTAGCTCGCTCCTTGTGGCCTGGGAAAATAGTCGAGGATGGTCCAAAGCCTTGGAACCCTGTACCCATGTGGGAGACCTGGAAGAGGTTCCTGGCTCCTGGCTTTGGATTGGCACAGCACTGGCTGTTGAGGTCACCTGGAGAGTGAGTCATCACAGGGAAGATCTTCCTCTCTGTCTTTCCTCCTCTCTGTACCTTTGGCCTCGCAATAAAAATAATTTAAGCTTTAAAAAAACAAAAAGATGTAAAAAAAAAAATTGTGTTTAAGCATCACCATCACTGCATGAAGTACCTATCAGAAAGGATACAAAAAACCTGAAGTGGGGCCAGTGTGTGGCCCTGTAGGTTAAACATCCACCTACAACACTTGCATCTCATGTGAGTGCTGGTTTGCGGCCCACCTGCTGTACTTCTGATCGAGCTCCTTGTTAACATGCCTTTGAAAGAAGAAAAGCATGGTTCAAAAACTTGGACGCTTGCATCCACGAAGGAAGAGACCCAGATGGAGTTCTGAGCTCTAAGCTTTGCCTAGCCTAGCCCCAGCCATTGTGGCCATTCTATGGAGTGAATCAGCATATGGAAGATATTTCTCTCCATACCAAGAATTCAAAGTAAATAAAACAGGATCCAGCAACGTAGCCTAGTGGTCAAAGTCCTCATCTTGCACATGCCGGGAATCGACATGGGCACCAGTTCTAATCCCGGCAGACACGCTTCCCATCCAGCTCCCTGCTTGTGGCCTGGGGAAGCAGTCGAGGACAGTCCAAAGCCTTGGAACCCTGCATCCATGTGGGAGATCCAAAAGAAGCTCATGGCCCCTGGCTTTGGATCAGCTCAGCTCAGCTTAGCCCGTTGCAGCCACTTGGGGAGTGACTCAATTGACAGAAGATTTTCCTCTCTACCCCTCTCCATATATTTGACTTTCAAAGAAAAATAAGATAAATATTAAAAAAACAAACAAACAAAAAGAAATTTAAAAATCCAAAGCAAAGGAATTTTCAAGTTTTTATTACTGAAAATGCACTCATTTCCAACAACCTATGAAACTTTCACTATGGGCCAAACACTGCAGCAATAGAGCTTTTTGCTTTGGTTTTATGATTTATTTGTATTGGATCCCAGCGCCGTGGCATAGCAGCTAAAGTTCTCACCTTGCACATGCCGGGATCCCATGTAGCTGGTTCTAGTCCCAGCAACCCTAGTTCCCATCCTGCTCCCTGCTGTGGCCTGGAAAAGCAGTCGAGGATGCCCCAAAACCTTGGGACCTTGCACCCTCGGGGGAGACCTAGAAGAAGCTTTTGTCTCCTAGCTTCTGACCGGCTCAGCTCCAGCTGTTGAAGCCACTTTGGGAGTGAACCAGCAGATAGTAGATCTTCCTCTGTAAATCTGTATATCTACCTTTCCAACAAAAATTAATAAATCTTTTTATTGAAAAATCAGATATACAGAGAGGAAGAAGTATCTTTCATCTACTGACTCACTCCCCAACAGCTGCAATGGGCTGAGATGAGCTGATTCAAAGCCAGGAGCCTCCTTCAGGTCTCCCACATGGTTCCCAAGGCTTTGGGCCATCCTCAATTGCTTTCCCAGGCCACCAGCAGGGAGCTGGATGGGAAGCGGGACCGCCAGGATTAGAACTTGCGCCGTATGAGTTACTGAAGTGCCATACACAGCTTCAATCCTGATGTCCAACCACCCCAATGTACACACTCCTCTACCACGGACATCAGTGAAACTCCCCCTCCCTGTGTATCTTCTAGTTCTACTGAACTCATCTATTTTAAACTTCCCTTTTTGGAAAGCTTATTCAGACACAGCTATTCCCCAAGCTTTCATTTTTCACTCTCTCAAGAATAGACTCCCAGGAAGCTAAAGTACATGTATTGTGATGATGAAAGCTAAAACAGGAAGCACCAGATATGAGATGCTCCCCTCAGCATGCAGAACAACATTATTCCAAGACAGTGTGACTTCCTGTATACGTGACCTCAGTCCACCCTGGAAGGAACAACGCACAGCATGAAAGTGCTACTCACGGGAAGACATCAGGGTGGCTCCCGAGGAGTTTGCTCATTGACACACAGAGCCGTTCATGTAGATCATGGTTCACTTGGCCTCCAACTTTGATGGCTGCCACGTTCCTTTCCAGCAATTCCAAAAGGAGGGGGCGCAGCTGGTGGCCAATCAACACTGTGCAGTCCTTGTCCAGCAGCAACTGTGCTAAAGTACTCAGAATACATTGGCGGTCTTGGGGTGTCCACACCTGATGAAAGAGTAAAACAAAAGCACCTGTGTAAACAATCTCCATTTGCAATGCTGGAAAAGAGCATGGGTGTCCTACTTTATAGACAAAATAACCCCATTTCCAGATTTTAAAGTGAATTTCTCCTATAAAACACATGGCGAGGGCCCAACGGCGTGGCCTAGCGGCTAAAGTCCTCGCCTTGAATGCGCCAAGATCCCATATGGATGCCGGTTCTAATACCGGCAGCCACACTTCCCATCCAGCTCCCCAATTGAGGCCTGGGAAAGCAGTCGAGGATGGCCCAAAGACTTGGGACCCTGTATTCCTGTGGGAGACCCGGAAGAAGTTCCTGGGACCTGGCTTCGGATCAGCACAGCATCGACCGTTGCACTCACTTGGGGAGTGAATCATCGGACGGAAGATCTTCCTCTCTGTATATCTGACTTTCCAATAAAATAAATAAATCTTAAAAAAAAAAAAAAAAACCATGGCGAGTGAAGCAACAGAGGATGAGAATTAACTTAATGTAACAGCCATCTAATACATCTAAGTCCCCTGAAGGGGGAAGTCCTTCAGTCCCGATCAATTGCATGTGAAATGCTATGTGGGAGGGTCTTTGGCACCTCAGGACACCAAGATGCTGGTATCACATCTTGGGCATCGCTGCGTTCAAGCCAACGTCCCACTAACATACACCCTGAGACATAGCAGGCCATGGCTATAGTAGCTGTGTCTCTGCCACTGCATAAAAGTCCCAGATTTAGTTCCCAGACCCTGCACTGGGCCTAGCCTAGCCACAGTCGTTGCAGGCATCTACAGAGCAATCCAGCAGCTGGGGATGTCTCCCTCTCTCTCTCCCTGCCTTTCAAAGTACACAACTTGGGTACAGTACATTGGTCCTGTGGCTAAATCCTTGCTTTGAACATGCCAGGATCCCTTATGGGAGCTGGTTCAGGTCCCAGCTGCTCAACTTTCAACCAGCTCTATACTTTGGCCTGGGAAAGTAGAGGGTGGCCCAAAGCCTTGGGACCCTGCACCAGCATGGGAGGCCCAGAAGCAGCTCCTGGCTCAGCTCCAGCTGTTGCGGCCATTTAGGGAGTGAACCAAAGGATGGAAGATCTTTTATTTTCCAGTAAAAATAAAAATAAATTGGAGAAATAAACATAAAAAAAAACAAAAAAAATGAAAAAACTAAATAAATCGGAGAATCAAGATGGTGGAATACAGTAAGGACATATTTAAACAGAGAAATATTAGCCAATGTGAAGCAAAGAGGGCACATTTCAGGAATTAGAAAACAGCAGAGGGGCACCTGGAAACTGACAGACACAAGAGAGCAGCAGACACAATGGTGTGGTGCAATGACTAATACCCCAGCGGCATTCAGCAAACAGCGATCCACCGGCAGCTGGAACTCCACCAGCAGCAAGGTGGGAAGGGATGTTTACCAGGAGCTCAGGAGGTAAAAGAGTCAAAGAACTGCCCATTCTGCTGGTTTGTTTGATTTGACCAGGAGCAAACACAGAGCGGCAGGTCACATACAGGCAGTGCGGGAACAGGGTAGATTTCACAGCCCAATATGCCCCCTAAAGCCAAATTGGGCATCATTTTGCATGGTGTGGAAAAACTTATAAGACTGTAGGGACAACAGTCAGCTGCACATGCGCTGAGCTGGGAGCGAACTCACTGAGCTCATTGCATGACAGTGTTCCCACAGGGAAAATAATACCGACTTTAGCAGCATACGGGTCAAAATAGGTCTATGTAGCCCTCAGACCTAACGACCAACAGGTTCCGGCAAGATCAGCACCACCAACAACCGACCTATATAGGACACCTGGTGTCTCCCTAATCCTGGGACCTGCTCCAACTGAAAGTGGGAGAAAGGTTGCACAAAGACAACAGTGCAGCCTCAGCACAGTATCACACAGGAGATGGAAAGTGGTGAACCAGAAGCTGGGGCTATGGAGACCAGGGTGGAAATCTAACAGAAGAACCCAGACCTGGAGCTCGCTGGAGGGAGTAGCACAAGTGACTGCAAAGAGCTGTGTACCAACTGCAGTAAGTAAAATCAAATTGCAGACCTGTGGGTGACTCAGCTTAGAAACCTGCCCCAAGGAGAAGAATCTGATAACTAGAAGTACAATAACCAAGAGAAAAAGAAGAGACAGAGGCACAATGGATATTACTGAAGACTCCCCTGCAAAGGAGCAAAACCCTTTGCCAACTTCAGTTAACTGAGGAAGACATCGAGAAAATGGGGGATACAGAAATCAAAACACTTGTTACAAAACTTATCAACAACGAGAAGCACGTAAAGCAGGCATTCAAGGAATTTAAGGAATATGTCACACTGGAAATGAATCAAATGAAAGCTGACATATCAGAAATTAAGAACACAGTAGAGCAAATTAAAAGTACAGTGGAGATTCTCAAAAATAGAATGAATGAGGCACAAGAAAGAATTTCGGAACTGGAAGATATTTCCTGTCACCACGAAGAAACAAAAAGCTGGAAGCACAGCTGGGTCAAGCTAAGAAAAGTATCCAAGAATAGGGCCCGGGCGGCGTGGCCTAGCAGCTAAAGTCCTCCCCTTAATAAAAGATATGATTAAAAGGCTCAACATAAGCATTACGGGGGGGTGGGGGGGGAGGAGTTATGGGAATCCCAGAAGGTACAGAAAGAGAAGCTGGATTTAAAAAGGTATTTAAAGAAATAAGTGAAAATTTCCCTATCTAAAGAAAGAATTGGCAAACAACATCCAGGAGCATCACAGAATTCCCAACAGGGTTGACCAAAAGTGATCTTCACGACACACAATAATCAAGCTCTCTCTAATCAAACATAAGGAAAAGATCCTTAAATGTGCATGTGAAAAAAATCAACTGACATATAAAGGAATGCCAATTAAACTCACAGGAGACCTCTCACAGGAAACTCTACAGGCAGAAAAGAATGAAGTGACATATTCCAGATTCTAAAACAAAAAAATTGTTGGCCCAGGATAACGTACCCAGCAAAAACTTTCCTTTGTCTTTGAAAATGAAGTGAACTTGTTCAACAGCAAAGAAAAGTTAAAATATGCTTCTTCCAAACCTGCCTGACAAATGATACTTAAAGATGTTCTCTTGACAGAGAAAAGGAATAGCACACACCAAAACCAAAGGCAAATGTGAAGAACATCCTAGTAAAATAACAGAAGACTAAATCAATATACAACCCATTGCTAAGATGAAAAGACTAAATTACCACCCATTTATATTAACCCTGAATGTAAATGGCTTAAACTCATCAATCAAACGTCATAGATTAGTAGACTGGATTAAAAAAACAAAGCCCATATATTTGTTGCCTATAGGAGACACATTTCACCAACAAAGATCAGTGGAAACTAGATCTCTTAGATTTTGTTTTTTTTATTAGTTTCATCTCTTCAAAACACTTTCTTCTGATTAAATTCTTCAATGACTCACAGATCATACTGCAGCATCATTTTTCTTCAAGAAGGTTTTTAATTTTCATTTCTTCAGTGACAGTCATTCAGTAGAATGTTATTTAACTTCATGGTGTTGGTAATTTCTTTTTTCCTTCCTGTTGTTGATTTTGCTTTTGGCTTTTCATTTAAGAGGATGTATAGTTACTATGTAATGGATACTACCACATTCAGTAGTGCTACAACTTCATGGCGTTTTAAATTTCCCAGGGCCTATGGATTTGTATCATAACATGATAATAAAAGGTAAAAAAAAATTTAAATAAAGTAAAAATAAATCTTTTAAAAGAGAGAAGAACTAAAACATGTGTCCCACCCACCTACTTCTATACCTTGGATCCTCCTCACCCACATCAGAGGCCCACATGGGCTGTATCCCTCTCAACTATTAAACAATATAAAAAAATAAAAAGAAGTCATCTTATACCTAAGCTCTCAGAAAGTCTCCCAAATTGTAGGCCATTCCCTCATAAAAACACCTAATTCTAATTCTGGGATCTGCGGGTTAAGTCTCTGACTGTGGCACCAGCACCCCACATGGGGGCCAGTTCACATCCCAGCTGTTCCACTTCCAATCCAGACCCCTACTTACGGTCTGAAACTTGCAGAGAATGGCTCAAGACTGTGGGACTCTGTATCCATGCAGGACACTTGGAAAAAGTTCCTGGCTCCTGGCATGGGACTGACCTAGCTCCGGCCATTGCAGCCATTTGGGGATTGAATCAGAAAATGGAAGATCCTTCTCACTATCCTTCTCTCTGTGACTCTCTGCATTTCAGGAGAAAATAAATTAAAAATTTTTAAATAAAATAAATCTTAAAAAGAACTGACTGTTAACAAAATATTGAAGAACAATGTCACCTTGAAACAATGTCAATCAATATTAGTTCTGTGCTTACCGGATGCCCTTTGATAACCTGCAGCTTTATAATAGTCACCACACCTGATGCACCTGCTTCCATCAGAGAGCAGAGACAGTAACACTTAGGAGACCTTCTAAAATGGCCAGACATTGGGCAGTCACCAAATTCTTGAAAACTCCACTCAAAACACCACTTCCTAAGTCTCCAGATGGCATACAGGAGGGTCCAACCCTAGTGTGTGTAGGCCCTTCACTCCTATCTCTGCCTCTGCTGCCCCCGGGTGGCAATCTTCTAAATCTATCTCACCTCATCTTACATGGACACCTAGCTAATAACCTCCAGCATCCTGACTTTATTACACTTGAAAAGTGCTGATGCACAAGATGATATTCAAAGGTATGAGGGGCTACAACTTCTACATCATATTTCTGGCAAACAGAACTTTGCCAACACTGATGCTATCTTAAATTTTCCAAATTTTCTACCATAAATAATATTACCATATAACAGGGTTTATTTTTTTTTTTTTTTAAGATTTATTTTTATTATTTTTTCATTGGAAAGGCGGATATACAGAGAGGAGAGACAGAGAGGAAGATCTTCCGTCCGATGATTCACTCCCCACGTGAGCGCAACAGGCCGATACTATGCCGATCCAAAGCCAGGAGCCTCTTCCGGGTCTCCCACGTGGGTGCAGGTTCCCAAAGCCTTGGGCCGTCCTCCACTGCTTTCCCGGGCCACAGGCAGGGAGCTGGAAGGGAAGCGGGGCTGCCGGGATTAGAACTGGCGCCCATATGGGATCCCGGGCGTGCAAGGCGAGGACCTTTAACCACTTGCGCCACCGCGCCGGGCCCATATAACAGGGTTTAGAAAAGTGTCTGCAGCCAACACAGTAGTGTAGTAAGCTAATCCTCAGTCTGCAGTGCAGTCACCCCATATGGGCTCCAGTTCTAGTCCCAACTGCTCTACTTGCGATCCAGCTCCTGCCTGTGGCCTGAGAAAGCAGTGGCCCAAGACCTTGGGCCCCTGCACACACACGGGAGACCCAAAGGAATCTCCTGGCTCCTGGCTTCAAACCAACTCCAGCAGATGACTTCTGTCTGTCTCTCCCTGATTCTGTAACTCTGACTTCTAAGTAAAATAAATAAGCCATTAAAACTTGTTTCTATTTAAACACATGACAGAGTAAATACCAGTTCTGCAGAAGAAAAAGGATCAGCTGGGCTAGTATTCCAGGGAACTTTTGGAGATGGAAAGCAGGCCATTTAAAAAAAAAAAAAAAAAACCTATCTAATGACTTTTTCAGTCTTGGACCCCAGGGGGCCCTAAAGCCAAGTCTGGGCAGCTGACTTGCTGCAGTGGGCAATAACAATAAGCAATGAATGCCAAAAGATTAATTTTTCAAACCTGTGGCTACTCCCAACCTTTAGGTAATTATATTCTTGGGAAATTCTGCCTTTCTCCTTGCAGAAAACCATGAACCAGCAGACTAAAGAGCTCTGTCACTCTGCTTCTTAAATAAACAAATCGTAAATACATGTATGTGGCAAAGTTTTCCTTTCAAATGTTATCTAATGTTATCTAATGTCAACTAAAACTTTTAAAATGTATTTACTTTTACTGAAGGACAGATTTACAGAAAGAGAGACACAGAAATATCCCCTGTCCCCTATCCCCACATGGTTGCAAAGGCAGGAGCTGAGTTGATCTGAAGAAAGGGGAATCAACTGAAACTTATTTTGAGATAACACCTACAACACTTTATAAAGGCCCAACAGTCAACAACATTGAACACTGAAACTTTTCTACTTCTGATTACTTTCATGATTATATTACAGAATTGTTTCTATTATGGTTGAATTCAAAAAAGCTTTGAAGAGTCATATTTTACTGAAAAGATCGAGTTTTTAAAAGCTGTGTTCTGTGTGGATCATGTCTGGATTACAGAAAATATTGACTGAACCAGCCCGGCATGGTAGCCCAGTGGCTAAAGTCCTCCCCTTGCATGCCAGGATCCTATATGGGCACCAATTCTAATCCCAGCGCCCCCACTTCCCATCCAGCTTCTTGATTGTGGTCTGAGAAAGCAGTGGAGGACAGCCCAAAGTCTTGGGTTCCTGCACCCATGTGGGAGACTTGGAAGAAGCTCCAGGCTCCTGGCTTCGGATAGGCTCAGCATCAACTGTTGCGGTCACTTGTGGAATGAGTCACTGGACACAAGATTATCTGACTTTCAATAAAAATAAATAAATATTTAAAAAAGAAACTATGGGGCCCAGCGCGGTGGCGCAAGTGGTTAAGTCCTCGCCTTGCACGCCCGGGATCCCATATGGGCGCCGGTTCTAATCCCGGCAGCCCCGCTTCCCTTCCAGCTCCCTGCCTGTAGCCCAGGAAAGCAGTCGAGGACGGCCCAAAGCTTTGGGAACCTGCACCCGCGTGGGAGACCCAGAAGAGGCTCCTGGCTTCGGATCGGCATAGTATCGGCCGTTGCGGCTCACTTGGGGAGTGAATCATCAGATGGAAGATCTTCCTCTCTGTCTCTCCTCTCTGTACATCCGCCTTTCCAATGAAAAAATAATAAAAATAAATCTTTAAAAAAAATTTAAAAAATAAATAAAAAAGAAACTATGTTCTGCAAAGCTCAATGAAGGGTGAGTACTGTCCTAGAGTAACAGCTCCAGGAAGAAGAGGCGAAGCTCCGCATGCACGCCACCGCCCCAAGCAAGTCCTTGAAGCTGTTTTTGTACTTTCTGTGATAAACAGTAAACATCTGTCTGGTCAGCTAACCCAGGGCAGACAATGCTCCAAATCTATTCCCCACTTCAACAGTGCTTTGAGCAAGGTACCTTGTTGACTTTCCTTGAACTCCCTGCTTACAGACATGACCTAAGGCTGACCTGTATTTGAACTATTGTTTTACTAAGAACTGTAACCCTGGAAATAAGCTTTGTCAGTTGCCCAAGATCACTGTCCCTCCCCCCAGCAGATGGAAGATCTTTCTTCCTGTCTCTCCCTCTCTCTGTGAATCTGCCATTCCAAGAAAATATATATATATATAAATCCTAAAGACAAAAAAATATACTCATCTCATTTTATATAAGAAAAGGGGGTGGACTGGAGGAGTAGGCTAACAAAGTTAGCAGCAAAAACTAGAATCCATCACAGACCCTGACTCCGGAGTCCCTGCTTTTAACTAGTCAGCAGCTGCTTGATATTTAATCAAGCAACTGAGACTCACTGCAGTTAAGTAACTTGATCAAGGGCACAACCACAATTGACACTGGATCTAATTATCCAGCCATCTCCAGCACCCGTGCGAGCTCGTGGGCACTTGGCTCTTCATGAACACAGACACGGACAAAGGAAGAGGCAGAGATGGAAACCGAGGTAGGAGTGACAAGAAGAAACAGATTAGGGGACTAGTGCACAAAATGGAATGAAAAGCCAAATTGCCAGGAGTAACCAAAGGCTGCTACCACAACAGCTGAGACAGACAACAGAAGCACAATTTTTAAAAAATCTCTTTCTTCAATACAATGAGAATCAATATTTCAAGTCATTGCTGCTTTCCAATAAAGTTTTAAGAAGTAAGAATAAAGTACAACAAAACAGTCCACTCTTCAGTGGAAAGCTGCAAGTTATTACCAAAAAATGGAAAGAAACAAATTTGAAAGAAATTTGAGATTGGGGACTCAGCACAGTAGTCTTGAAAGCAAGGAGATCGATACGGGCCCTGGGATCCCACATGGGCAACAGCTGGTAACCCCGCTGCTCCACTTCCCCATTCAGCTCCCAACTTGAGGTCTGGGAAGGCAGCTGAAGACGGCCCAAAGCCTTGGGACCCTGCACACACATGGGAGACCAAGAACAAACTCTTGGCTCCAGATGGGCTCAGTTCCGGCCATTGCGGTAAATGAACCAGTGGATTAGAAAAAAACAATGTATATACATATATATATATTTCTTTTCTTTTTTTTTTTTTAAAGAAAAAGAAAGCCAGAAGTTTAGCGGGCCCTTTTCGACCCCTTCGCCCAGGCCTCCGCAAAGCTTCCTCTGTCGCCTACTCACTTGTGCTAGTCCTCTTTTGCTTCCCAAGGTCCACTGGCTGTGACCAACTGAAAACGCCTCCTAGGTGAGTTTCCTGACGCCTCAGACCACTCAGATACCCCAGTTCTCACCCCAAACAATGCTGCTGCGTCCTAGGCAACAGAACACAGGCAGTAGTTGAACAGAAAACGATTTTTCTATACTTTTCTATACAGCGAAGTTACGAAAATAGAAACATGCATTCTACTCTAGAAGCGTCTAGATATCAAAGGTGTGAAATGGTAAAGCAGGAAGTTAAAGTGCAACGAGAAGAGAGGCATGATAAAAGTCCTCAACGCCGAGTCACTCAGAGAAGACTCAAGGTAAAACCGCGGCCACCACTCTCAATTACCACGAAAACCTCGTTTGTTCAACAATTCCTGCGACTCGCTTCCAACAGCTGCCACTAAGTGCTCTGCGCTGTGCGAGAGAGACAGAGGGGGACAGAGAACGTGTGAATGTGTGTATGTGTAAGGAAATGCCTGGAAAAGCAGACGCACAAGTCCCTGGGGCAGAGCGACTTTCGCTCACCAAGAACGCAATCAACACTTGTCAAGCGGCCGTAAAGGAGGGGTGGGGAGGAAAAGACGCACCCAAGCCCACTGGGGTGGCCGGACCAGGCAGGCAGCTAGCCCGCGTCCGGGGGGTGCGGGGGGCCACGTGACGCACACCAGCAAGAGCACGGGGGCCGGACGGCGAGCGGGGAGGGCTCCCCACATTAATAAAAGCACACGTAAATAAAGGCAGGCTCGTCGGGCCGCTCTCCCCGCGGAGAGGGCAGCCAGCGACACCCGGCGCGCTACCTCCCCTCCATCTCTCACCTGCTTGGTCAAGAACCTGCCCAGTTCGTTACGGCTCTTGTCGTTCTTGCCGGCGATGATCCGCAGCGTGGTGGCCGCCACCTCCAGCATGAGGTGCTCCATGACCCCGGCGCCCTTCGCTCCGCGAAGCCACCACCGCTCCTTCTGAGAGACCCGAAGCCGACGAGGTCTCCGACTACGCCCCCAGGGAAAGTGGCCGCCGCGCTTCTGCCGACACCGGGCGAGCACGAGCACACGTGGGGAAAAGCGCACGGCGCGCGCGTCATCAGCCCCCGACGGCGTCGCGGGGTGCTGCAGCCCCGCCCCCGGGGCGGCGGAAACGGCGCGCGTGAGCAAGCGCCACTTCCGGGAGGCGGGTGCTCGCCAAAAGTGGGCTGCGGGGGTGATGGGGCCAGCAGGTGCGCTAAACCGAGGAAGCCAGGAGGTTCTGCCGGCCTGTGGTGTCTGCCCACCGCTCCTCGCGAGAGCTCAGCATCTGAAAACGTAGACAGGAAGGAAAAGCCGAGGCGTTCTTCTGACCCAGCAGTTCTCTTAAAATTCCCCTAAAGTCGTCGCCTTGTTCGCGTCGGGATCCCATATGGGCGCCGGTTCTAATCCCGGCGGCCCTGCTTCCCCTCCAGCTCCCCGCTTGTTGCTTGGGAAAGCAGTCAAGGACGGCCCAGAGCTTTGGGACCCTGCACCCGCGTGGGAGACCCAAAAGAAGCTCCTGGCTCCTGGCTTCGAATTGGCTCAGCTCCAGCAATTGCAGCCACTTGGGGAATGAGGAACACATCTCTCTCTGTCTCTCCTCTCTGTAAATATAAATATTTGCAATATAAATAAATAAATCTTTTTAAAATGTATTTCACTATCTTGAAACAGAGAGAATCTTGCATATACTGCCTCACTACCTAAATGACTGAGCCAGGCTGAAGCTAGGAACCTGAACTCTATGCGCATTTCCAATACGAGGGGCAGGAGTCCAAATACTTCAGCAATCTTGTGCTTCCCAGATGCCTTAGCCAGACCCTACCCTTCCTTTAATGTATAAATCTGCCAGAGGCCAGCTCCAGCTGAGTTCGGAACTTTAGAAGGATGCGTGAAGTAGGGGTAGAGAGAGAAGAAACGGATCACTACAATTTCAGGATCATAATGGACCCTGCTAGGAAGCTCTCCGCTTTATTTATACAGAAGCAGTCACAAACTCTGGCACAGACCTTTTAAGTCATGGTGTTGCAGCCAATCGGCTGCAGAGTGTGGGCCATGAGCAGTACAATTACAAAGTTTTCTTTAGGGGCAGTTTGACATAGCTTGGAGGGGGAGGTGGGCATGATTTACAACAGGTGAGAGGTGAGTAAGGCAGGATTACACATTCCTTGCTTATCTCGGCTTGCCAGTCCCCACCTGCTCTCCTCAGGTCTGGGCTCTAACCTTGGCACCACCTGTGACAAATAGACCCCGATCTTAGATTATCTATCAGTGAATAAGGCTGTGGCCTTAGTTTATGAGGATTGGGGTCATTGGCACTAGTTGGCCATTAGGCCTGCAAGCTCACACAGTTTGTTAGCTAAGCAAGTAAAGCAGGAATTATAAAGGCAAAAAGAATTGCAGTTAGCAATGAGCCATGTTTACTCCAATTTGATTTCAGCTCTACAATGGACAAGTGGGTGTTACCAAAGATAATTCTGCAAAGTGTTTCACCTTAAGGCAGGGCATTTTCCATTCTGACACTGCAGTCAGAAATGCCTCAGTAGACAACACATATTAATTAGTAATACACTCCTACTATAATTCTCATTCTATAACTTATCAGAGGAGAAAATATGTCACAGAGGAGAACAGATAAAGATCAAAAACATAAAAACTACAAACATAAATTCCCGCTACAACTACAGACTCAATAACCCTAAATTAGTTTGAAAGCATGTATTACAATGTTAGTACAGCCATTCTTGAACTCTTCTAGCCAAAGGGCCATAAAAGCAACTGAGACAGCATACATTGTTAAAGGCCCGTTCACCCAGACGTTACCAGCAACATTAACTACCAAGCTCACATTGGTTGTAAAAACCATCTGACAGGGGCAAACAACAATACCTCAATAGATTACAGAATTCCTAGCGGGGTGGTCCAGTGTCCTTGCAAAGGGAGGTGGAACTGTGTTCAGGTAGTTGCAGAGACAACTGCCGGGCCCTGCAATGCAGCAGGAAGCTCCCCCAAGCTCTGCCAAACAGGGGACCTATTTTCTTCACACCTTTATGTCGTCCACACCTACTGCACAGACACCAACATAAATCATACTACTGTATAACCAAAACTGTGATGATTATAAGTCTCTTCATAAAAATATTCCACAGGCCAATGTAGACTCAACCTGTAGTGCTGACATCCCATAAGGGCACCAGTTTGAGGTTTGAATCTTGCCTGCTCCACTTCTGATCCAGATCCCTGATAATGGCCCAGGAAAGCAGGAGAAGATGGCCCAAATGCTTGGGCCCCCTATACACAAGTGGGAGAGCCAGAAGAAGTTCCTGTCTCCCAGTATTGGCCATTTAAGTAACTTGGAAGTAAAATGGTGCATAGAAGATCTGTCTCTTATTCTCTCTTTACAACTCTGCCTTTCAGATTAGAGAAATAATTTTAGAAATTCCAGTTAGGGAGTTTGGCATTATAGAGCATCCGATATTGGAGATCTGGTTTCAGTCGAGGCTATTCTATTTCCTGCCCATCTTCCTGCTAATGCAGCTGGGAAGACTGTGAAAGATGGTCCAAGTACTTGGCTCCCTGCCATCCATTTGGGACTCTTGAAGAGAGTTCTTGGATCGTGGCCTCGGCCTGATCCAGACTTGACTGCTGTAGTCATTTAGGAAACAAATCAGCAGATAAAACATCCATTTCCGTGTATGTGTGTGTGTGTATACCTCTCATTTCCTCTTTGAAATAAATGAATAAACATTTTCTCCAAATTGGGAAATATTGTATCACCATTCTAATACCTTCAATCAATTGATTTAGGTATTAAGCATCAAGGGCTGCTAACATTGCAAGAATAAAAAGAAGCTGCATCTTAGGTGACTCCAGATCAAAGAACCTAATACTATCTATTGTATTACCAAAAGGATCAGCTCTCTGGATTCAGCTATCAAGGTGTAGAAAATAGGAGAAGGAATATGTTATTCTACACAATAAATATATAATCAGAGAAACTAGGGTTGCAGGATATGGTACAGATCAAAAGCCCATGGCTTTTATTAGAATTTTCTTTTTATATTTTTATAGTTTTAATTTATTTTTAAAGATTTTTTTTTTTTTTTTGCAGGAAAAATGATGATTTGCAAAGGGACCAGATGAGCAAGGAAGGGAAGCAGAAGGGAAAAGCACTTCCCAAGAGAAAGCCAGGAGGTGGGGTACTTCTCAAAAGGGGGAGTGAGAGAGAGACACCTTAAAGATTTATTTTAGTTTTGGGGCCCAGTGGCGTGTCCTAGTGGCCAAAGAGTTCACATTGATCTCGCTGGGGTCCCATATGGGCGCCAGTTCTAATCCCAGCAGCTCCACTTGTAATCCTGGCAGCTCCACTTCCCATCCAGCTCCCTGTTTGTGGCCTAGGAAAGCAGTCGAGGATGGCCCAAAGCTTTGGGACCCTGCATCAGCGTGGGAGATCCGGAGGAGGTTCCTGGCTTCAGATCAGTGCAGTACCAGCCGTTGCGGCTCACTTGGGGAGTGAATCATCACATGGAAGATTTTCCTCTCTGTCTCTCCTCCTCTCTGTATATCTGGCTTTCCAATGGCAATGCATAAATCTTAATTTTTAAAATTTTAATATTATTTGCATATTTTTGAGGAATGTATGCCCTTGTGGGTCTCCCATTAGGATGGGAAGGGTTGAGGTATGAAGAAAGATGTGTGGCAGAATTGTATGCATTTTTAAATTTTTTTTCTCCTATGCCTGCAGGACAGGGAAGTAAAGGGACCACTTCTTGCTATCAAACTACAAGAGATAAGATAGTGTCCTTTGAGGATGCCCTAGAGATCTCAAGTATGGGGAAGAATGTTCTGAGGGTATTACTTGAATGGTTCTGATAGTTCTGATAGATGTCATTGGCTTCATTGCACCTGGGTAGAGAAAATTTTTCCAAGTCCACCTCAGCGCATCCACAGGCCCAGAAACATGTTGTAAAGCTTAGCCAGAAGAGCGGTCCTAACTATTCTGCTTTCCAACCTGTGGCCTGGATGAGCTGGCTGTCACGTGCCTTGTGTGCGTTTGGCATGCTGACCACTGCACAGGCATCAACAACTGAAGAGGCACAGTCCAAGGTCGGATCACATATTTTCACCACAATGCGTGCCCCTCCCTAATACCTTTGATGTGAGTTTTACCTCCCTCCTTGACTTGCAGTTCCTCTGTTTTCAATGTCATGTTTCCAAGTCAACTCTTTACTGAAAATTAACATACTAAATTAAGAAAGTGGTGTCTGGATCAGAAGGCCCTTGACACCCCAGGTCATAAGGTTTGTAATTCAGGGCCCTAGGGCCTAAAATCCTTATCTTGCACACTTGGTTCTAATCCTGGCTGCCCTGCTTCCCATCCAGCTCCCTGCTTGTGGCCTGAAAGCAGTGGAGGATGGCCCAAGGCATTGGGATTTCACACCATCTGAGGCTCAGAGGCAGCTCCAGGCTCCTGGCTTCAGAGCTGGATGGAAAGTGGTGCAGCTGGGACATGAACCGGCACCCATCTGGGATGCTGGTACAACAGTCAGAGGCTTAACATTCTAAGCCATAACATGGCTTTTAATTTTCAATTTTTTTTAAACAGATTCAATATAGTCAGTAGATGCAATTCTAGGAGTATACTGATATTATCTTCCTCCTTCCTTCTCCTTATCTCCTTATCTCCCTCCTACCCTCTCTCATTCCCCCCACTCCTTTTTTTTTTTATTTTGGCTTCTGAGATAAGGTATTTCAAGTTTACATTACAGTTAACAAGACGTAATACACCAAATAGGAAGTTTAATGAGTAAAAAAAGTTCCATCATCCCGTATGGGTACCAGTTCAAGTGCCAATTACTGTTTTTACTAATGTACCTAGGAAACCATCAGATCACCCAAACGCTGGGACCCTGCACCAAGGTGGGAGACTCAGGAGGAGCTCCTGGCACCTGGCTCCTGGCCTTGGATCAGCCCAGCTTTTGTCATGTGTCCAAAGAAGCCTAGAAAGAAAGGATTTTTATTTTAAAGATTTATTTATTTTTATTGCAAAGTCAGATATATATACAGAGAGGAGGAGAGACAGAAAGAAAGATCTTCCATCTGATGATTCACGCCCCAAGTGAGCACAATGGCAGGTGCTATGCCAATCCAAAGCCAGGAGCCCAGATCTTCTTGTGAGTCTCCCACGCGGGTGCAGGGTCCCAAGGCTTTGGGCCGTCCTCGACTGCTTTCCCGGGCCACAAGCAGGGAGCTGGATGGGAAGTGGGGCTGCAGGGATTAGAACTGTGCCCATATAGGATCCTGATGCTTTCAAGGTGAGGACTTTAGCCACTAGGCCACAGTGCTGGGCTCGCATGCAGGATTTTTTTTTTTAAGGTTTATTTATTTTTATGGTAAAGACAGATTTACAGAGAGGAGAGACATCCAGAATGATCATCCATCCACCGTTTCACTCTCCAAGTGGCTGCTGTAAAGTTAGAGCTCATGTTCAGAACGAGACATCCACACAGAATAGAGTTCAGATTAGAACAAACTTAATTCGGAGTTCTCTCAGGTGAGGTTCACTGTCTGAGGGGTTGTTTTTATTAGAGGGCTGTAGAGGTGGGGGTTGGGAGAGACAGGAATGTGCCTTTTAGAGTGCTATAGGTTGGTTCCCCTTTGAGGATGATTGATCTGTTTTCACTGTTGGTGGAGAGCAAGCTATCTTCTCCTGGTATGGCCTTATCAGCCACCCTTCTCAGCCTCCTGCTAGGCCACTCCTCAACCACCCTGGCTGAGCCTTACAGCCACAATGGCCGGAGCTGAGCAAATCTAGAACCAGACACCACAAGCCTCCTCCAAGTCTTCCCTGTGGCTGCAGGGTCCAAAGTCTGTAGACCTTCCTTGACTGCCCTCCCAAGCCACAGCAGGGAGCTGGATGGGAAGTAGAGCAGCTGGGACACAAACTGATGCATATATGGGATCACATTCATGCAAGGAAAGGATTTAGCCAATAGGTCATTGTGCCAGTTCAGGAAGACAGTTTCATTCTTTTTTTAAAAAAATTGTTTCTAAGATTTATTATTTTTTTCTAATCTTTTTTTTTATTGCAAAGTCAGATACACAGAGAGGAGGAGAGACAGGAAAATTTTCCGTCTGATGATTCACTTCCTAATTGACCACAATGGCTGGTGCTGTGCCGATCCAAAGCCAAGGAGCTAGGAACTTCCTCCAGGTCTCCCACACGGGTGCAGGGTCCCAAGGTTTTGGGACATCCTCGACTGCTTTCCCATGCCACAAGCAGTAGAGCCACCAGGGTTCGAACTGGCGCCCATATGGGATCCTGGGGTGTTCAAGGCGAGGACTTTAGCCACTAGGCCACGGTGCCGGGCCCAGAAAAATTTCTTTTTAAGATTTTATTGGAAAGTCAGGTATATACAGAGAGGACCACAGAGAGGAAGATTTTCCATGTGCGAATTCACTCCCCAAGTGACTGTAACAGAGCTGAATTGATCTGAAGCCAGGAGCCCAGAGATTATTCTGCATCTCCCAGGAAGGTGCAGGATCCCAAGGCTTTGGACCGTCCTCTACTGCTTTCCCAGGTTACAAGCAAGGAGCAGGATGGGAAATGGAGGAGCTGGGACCTGAACCAGTGTCTGTATGCGATCCTGGCTTGTGCGAGTTGAATATTTTAGCCCCTTGGCTACCATGCTAGGGCCAGGAAGACAGTTTCTAAATACATGTAATAATGGGGCAGTATTGTTTGGGTTACGCTAATGCCTGTTCCTCTGGCATCCATGCAGGTTCTAGCCTCAGTGCTCCACTTCTGATCCAATTTCCTGTCAATGTTACTGGGAAAGTTGACTCCTGTGCTGGGCTCCTGCCACCCACATGGAAGACCTGGCTTTAGCCTGTTCCAGCCCAGGTCAGCCTTCAAATCACTGGGGGAGTTAAACAGTGGATACATTCTTTCTGTTACAAGGCTTTTCATATCAATAAATTTTTTTTCAAATAAAGGATTGTTACAAATAACAAGGCATTTGCCTTTATATTTTTAAAACAAGAGTTCTTTGAAAGAGTTACAGAGAGCACAATGAGACAGAAAAGGAGAGATGTTTCAATTGCTGGTTCTTTCCTGAATTGCCCCAAGGGCTGGGGCTGGGCAAGGCCAAAGCAGGAGCAGGAAGTGTCTCCCAGTCTCCCACAAGGATGGTGGAGGTTCAAACACTGGGGCCATCTTCTGCTGTTTTTCCCAGGGAACTAGCAAGGAACCATTATGTCACAGCTCTGGCCACACTTGAAAAACAAAAGATCTGGGCCCAGCGCAGTGGCCTGGTGGCTAAAGTCCTCACCTTGAACACCCCAGGATCCCATATGGTTGCCGGTCCTATCCTGGCAGCTCTACTTCCCATCCAGCTCCCTGCTTGTGGCCTGGGAAAGCAGTTGAGGATGCCTTGGGACCCTGCACCCGTGTGGGGGACCTGGAGGAAGTTCTTTGCTCCTGGCTTTGGTTTGGCACAGCACCGGCCATTGTGCTCACTTGGGGAGTGAGTCATCGGATGGAAGATCTTCCTCTCTCTCTCCTCCTGTCTGTATATGTGACTTTGTAATAAAAATAAATCTTTAAAAAGAAAAGATCTTCCATCCCTTTGCTCACTTCCCAGCAAGCCACTTTTCGCTACTTTCCAGGCACATGAGCAGGGAGCTGCATAGTGGGAACCAATGCAGCTGGAATTCCAACCGGAACTCTTATGGGATGTCAGCTTCGCAGGAGGTGGTTTAACTCGCTGTGCCACTCCAGCCCCAAGAAGTCCACCTTTCTAAATACTAAATTAAGGCTAAATTGTAAGGAAGATGAATTAGGGTGACAAAGTAGCCAGGGAATGCAGCTTGCTTTCCTTTCCCAGCAAGCAATGGCTCAGTCTCCGAAAGTCGAGTTTTACCCTATCCCGTTTCCTGCAGGTTCTTTCTATAAAGGCAATCCAAGGACGACTCCTTCTAAATCCTTCTGCGTGCAGTCACCCCCCAGTACACCAGCAATGCTTTCTCGAAACTTCCAACACCCGGCGCTGTTCCCATGCCTGCCCTTCCGGAAAGCACCTGAGGACAGGCCAGCATCTCGGATAAGCCCAGGACGCGCTGGACACTCAACAGAACCCACGGAATAGAGGGTTAGGACAAGCCGCAGCCTTATCCAAGACGACTTTCCGCCGCACAGACCCCGCCCCGCCTCCGCACAGGCCCCGCCCCGCCTCCGCTCAGGTCCCGCCCCGCCTCCGCTCAGGTCCCGCCCCTTCCGCAGCGGGTCTCCGCCCCCAGCCATCCCCGCCCCATCTCGCCCCGCCCCTTTCCTTTAAATCCCGTTGAAGACTACAGGAGTTTGGCGCCAACCGAATTTTTTTTCCCCTCCATCCAAAGGCGGGAACTGGTTCTGTGCGCCGGAACGTGCTTTGCGTCGGCTCTGATTGGTGTTCAGGACTCAGTCCCGCCTCCGCGTGCCGTTTGCGGGTTGCTATTGGTGGAGATGTCAGGGAGCTCTTGGTGTCCACAGAGAAACCCGGGCTGTCTTGGGCCCCGCGGGGCGGGTAAGTTGTCGTGTGGACCGTGTCCGTGCGGAGCTGCTGTGGAAGGGACTCCGGGAGCGGCGGTATTCCGGACGGTGGCAGGCCGTGTCGCGGAGATCAGGAGTCGGAGAGAGTCCACCTAGAGCTGCGGAATCGGTGGGGGAAGGGCCGCGCCTGACGTCTGGGGGCCACAGGTTAGCTTCGGGTGCCCCCCGAAACGCGGCCGTCCGGCTGCGGCCCCTGGCCTCGCGCCGGGGGTCCTCTGGGGGGTCCCGGGAGGGGGTCCCGGCGGGGCCTGGGGGCGAACGCGGCAACTAGTTGCCTTTCGGACCGCTCCTCTCGCCCCTCCCCCAGCCTGGCGGGGACTGGGGCTCTTCCGGGGGAGATTGTCCCGGGAGGCAGGTCTGCCTCAGCACCCGGCGGTCGTGGACGCCGGCGGCTTCCCAAAGTGATGTGCCCAGGGAAGTTGTTGGGCTTTAGCCTCAGCGGGATCTGCAACTCCCTCCGGGAAAGAGCAGGCCCCAGCTCAGGGGTGAGCGGCCCGTGTGCTTCCAGGGAGCAGCGTGGCTGTGACTTCGCGACGCTTCCACTCCACGGCTGTCCTGTTTTCTCGGCTCCAGCACGCAGCCGTGACGCCTCCCAGGGTCCTCACATCTGCCCCAGCGCCCCTTGATTAGAGGGAGACTGGAGCCTTCTAGGCAAGACTTCCCTTATCTCTCGGTCCCGTCCCCACCCTGTATGCTCTCCTGGCCTTTCCTGCCATATCGCAATAAGAGATGTCCTGTTGTATACACGTTTCAATGGATATTCTTGATCTTGTGGTTTTATAAACAGATATAGGACCTCATCGCAACCCTGTTGCGTACCTTGGGCAGTTTTCTTGACAGATTTTCCTTTTCTATAAAATGGGGTCGGGGAGAATGAGATAGGCTTCATAGCACTTTGGGGCGGATTTAGAGTAAATCATATGCCATGAGTAGCAGATGGTAGCTTTTATTATTATTTGTCCCTCCAGTCATTTTCTGGGGTCTTGCTCAAAAAGCAAAAAAAAAAAAAAATTATGTTGATGTAGAGAACATTGATATCCATATGTAGGTTTTTTCATCAGGTTATTTTTTTCATAATACTTAAACATTTGTTTAAAGAGAGCTTTGGTGGGCCTGTGGCATAGTGGCTGTCATATCTTGGGATCTCTGTAACCTGTATTGGAATGCCTGGTTTGCACTCTCTTCTATTCCACTTCCCTGTCCAACTTCCTGCCGATGTTCACCCTGGGCACACGGGAAACCTTAATTGAGTTCCGGGCTCCTGGCATTGGCCTGGCCCAACCCTAGCTGTTGTTAGCATTTAGGAGTGAAAGAGCTGACAGAAGGTTTCTTTCCATCTGTCTGCCTTTCTAATCAAGTGAAAATAAATAATTCAAAATTTTACTTAAAAACTTTAAACAATACTTACATACTTTTATATTTATGGGTTTGATGCAGTATTTTAACATATGTGTAGTGTAAGTACCAGTTCTGAGATGCTTTTATAAAAATTGCATATAGTTTTTTAAAAGATTTATTTATTTATTGGAAAGTCAGATATAGAGAGAGGAGGAGAGACAGAGAGGAAGATCTTCCGTCCGATGCTTCACTCCCCAAGTGAGCACAACGTGCTGATCCAAAGCCAGGAGCCAGGAACTCCACCCAGGTCTCCCACGCGGGTGCAGGGTCCCAAAGCATTGGGCCGTCCTCAACTGCTTTCCCAGGCCACAAGCAGGGAGCTGGATGGGAAGTGGAGCTGCCAGGTATTAGAACTGGCATCCATATGGGATCCTGGCACATTCAAGACAAACACTTTAGCCACTAGGCCACTGCGCTGGGCCCAAAAATTGCATATTTTTTAAAAGGCTTATTAATTTTTATTGAAAAGGTAGATCAGATTATGGAGAGAAGAGGAGACAAAAATCTTGCATCTTCTAGTTCACCCCCAAGTGGCTTCAGTGGCAGAGCAGAGCTGATTTGAAGCCAGGAGCTTCTTCCGGGGTCTCCCCACACAGATGCAGGGTGCCAAGGCTTTGCTGCTTTCTCAGGTCACAAGCAGGGAGTTGGATGGGAAGTGGAGCAGGCTGGATACAAATGTTCATATGGGATCCCAGTGCTTGCAAGGTGAGGACTTAGCAGCTGAGCCATTATTACATCAAGCCGCAAAAATGATTTAATTTTACTTTAGTTTATTTTTTATATGCTACAGTCTTAAGGTTTTTTTTTAAGATTTATTTATTTTTATTGCAAAGTCAAATATGTATACAGAGAGGTGAAGAGACAGAGGAAGATCTTCCTTCTAAATAGTTACTCCCCAAGTGACCGCAACGGCGGTGCTGTGCCGATCCAAAGCCAGGAGTCTCCTCCAGGTCTCCCACTTGGGTGCAGGGTCCCAAGGCTTTGAGCCGTCCTCAACTGCTTTCCCAGCTCACAAGCAGGGAGCTGGGAAGCGAAGTGGAGCTGCCAAGATTAGAACCAATGCCTATATGGCATCCTGGGTGCAGTTAAGGTGAGGACTTTAGCCACTAGGCCACTGTGCTGGGCTCCCCAGAGTTGTGTTTTTAACAGAATGGGAATTTCATTAATTCAGCAAAGATTCTTTTATTACTAACCAGCCTTCGAGTCTTTGTACTGAGAGCTGGAGGTATGGTGGTAAACAAAACAGAGACTCTCCTTGCCCTTATAGAGCCTACAGTCAATTCAGTGGTTGAAATAGGTGTTTGTCTAGGAATTCCACAAAATTTAATATGAATTGGGGAGAAGTAATTAGGGAAAAGGAAACTGATACGAAAGAGGACTTAGCCATTTGTAGGGCTAGGCATTTGATATAGAAGTTGAGGCAACACTTGGTATTCCTACATCCCATAAAGGATTGATTGGGTTGCATCTTGGCTCTGCTTCATGCAAATGCACCTACTGGGAGGCAGGAGGTGACGTCTAAGCAATTGGGTCCCTGCTACCCACATGGAATATCTGGAGAAGGGACCCTGTTTTCATTCAGCCTGGCCCATTCTTGGCTATGTGGTCATTTGGAAACTGACCCAGCAGATGGGAGATCTCTGTGTACGCCTATAACTGTGACTTTCAAGTAAATAAAAAGATCAAGCAGGGCTAACATTGTACAGGGGTTAGGCCACTACTTGCAATGGTGTCATCTCATATTGGAGTGCTGAGTCAAGTTCTGGCTGCTCTGTTTCCAATCCAGCTTCCTCCTAGTGTGCCTGGGAAAGCAGTGCCAAGATAGCCCAACTGCTGGGACCCCTGCCACCCACACAGGGGCCTGGCTGGAGCTCTGGGCTAATAGCTTCTGCCTGGACCAGCTCTGACTGATATGTCAAGTTGGGTAGTAAACCAGCAGATGGAAGACCAATGTTCTCTCTTTTCCTTTCTCTTCCTCCATCTTTGTTTCTACCCCTTATTGTCATTCCGTCTTTAAAAAAAGATACTAGGACTGGCGACTGGCGTGATGGCCTAGTGGCTGAAGTCCTTGTCTTGAACGTGCCAGGATCCCATATGTGTGCTGGTTCTTTTTTTTTTTTTTACTTTAGACTTTTAAATTTTCTTTATTTTTGTTATTTATTTATTTATTTTTGTATAATTTTATTTAGTTGATTAGGGTACAAAGGGTCAAGATCTACAGAAAAGTGCGTAAGACCATTGTTTCCACAATAATAGCATCATTTCCCCCCATATCTGGAGTCGGGAGAAACAAACGGAGAAGCTCCATCCAGCCTGCTACGCATCCCAGGTTCCCTATGTGAGGCACGCTCAGAAGGTCCTGCTCAAGCAGTTTTGAAAGTTCAACAGTTCTGAATTGCTGCCAGTCTCACCGTTCTAATCGCAATGAAACCTATTCAAAATCTACTGGCTGACATAATCTTCATGGTTGGGGTTCTGAGATCAGCAGTTCAGTTGGAGGGATCTCCAAAGAAACTTCATCTGAGGTGATCCCAGACCTGATTCTTGTGTGTGCACAGCAGTTCAGGGTCCTGCACAGTCCTTCGCCCCAATAGGCTTATGCACATGCTGGTGGTTGTAATTGCTGGGTCAGTTCTGTTTCCAGCCCTGTCTTCCATGTGAACTGATGGGTGCTGTAGTCCAGGCAGATCCTTCCCACTTCATACTCTGCCCTCGTGCAAACCAGTGGGAGTTGCAGCTTAGTTGGGGCGACTCCCCGTAACCCCCACCAGGCCTGCTCCTACCTTGGTTCCCATTCATGCCAGCATGTACCACAGACTTGTTCAGTCTGACTCATGCACCCACATGGGAGACCTGGAAGAAACTCCTGGAACCCGCTTTGGACCGGCCTAGCTCTTTCTGCTGTAGTCATTTGGGGAGCTAACAAGAAGATAGAAGATCTGTATCTCTCCATCTCTAATTCTGACTTCTTAAGTTAAAAAAAATTATTATTTGGTGGTAATAGTGTTGATTCTCATTTTATTGCTAAAGTTAATCTTTATTTTATTATCTGTCTTATAACAGTAGCATCATTTCCTTAACCATTTTAACTTTTAAATTTTGTTGTATAATTTTGACTTTTCTGAGAATACTAGACTTTGCTTGTGATATCATAATTTTTCTTTTAAGAATAGTACAGAGTGAATACATTAATGTGTCCAAATTTGAAAAGTTGCTTTTTAACTCTAGGTTTATTCTCTGAATAGTGAGGTTGATTTTAATAGTGGGACATTTTATATTTAACACCTTAGATGGCGACTTTCAAAATCAAAAGGAAATAGAATCATGGCAGCAGATGATGACAATGGTGATGGGACCAGTTTATTTGATGTCTTTTCTGGTAAGTGCTACTTTCAGATGCCTTTCTAAATTTACTTCAAGTCACAAAATCACAGCAAGCACTTGAGTCATTTTCTGATGCTTTCCTAGAGAGGGTGACAAGAAGTTGGATTGGAAGTGGAGCAGCTGAGACTCCCAGCAGTGCCCTTATCAGATGCTGGTGTTGCAGGCAGTGATGTAACACACAGCCCTGAAAGTGTGTATTTTTTTTTTAAGATTCCATCTGCTGGGTCACTTTCCGGCAGTTGGGCTGTTCAGAAGCTGGGGTCCAGGTCTCCCACCTGGGTGGAGGAATCCAAGGATTTGAACTTTCCTCTGCTGCTTTTTCAGGCTTTTAGCAGGGAGCCAGAACAGAAGTGGAACAGCTGGGACCCATATGGGATGCTGGCACTGTAGTCAGGATTGGTTGTGCTGGTCCTCAAAAGTCAATTTTTTGTAACTCTGAAATTGAGGTGATAAAGTCGTAAGTCTTTGAACCAGCAAAAACATATATAGAAAACTTGTCTTTTTTTTTTTCTGCAGATGAAACTTAAGTACTTCCTAGTAAGAGTGGGAAAACCTCATGGCATAAAGTCAGTTTTAATGAGTCTGCTTTTTCTGCAGCTTCTCCTCTTAAAAATAATGATGAAGGGTCACTGGACATATATGCTGGGCTGGACAGTGCTGCTTCTGGTATGTAAAGTTGATAAATAGTTTCATTTTTGTTTGGTCAGTGTGTTTTTATTTTGTTGATACTAAATTCTGATAACACTTTTAACTTTCATCTTAAATATTTTAAAATATTTAAATATAAAAAATATTTTTTCTGCACATTTTTGAAATGATTAGACTTAGGTGATTATTAGCTTTCTTGCTTGTTCAGTAAAGCATATTTGTACACAATTTGCTTCTTATCTAGTTCTCAGATATAATAGATCTAGTGCAAAATAAGTATTAGTACCATTGAAATAGAACCAGGTCTGGCATATGTACATACATTGTATTTGTTCTGTTACAGATTATATGAAATTACAACATTTTTAAGTGTAATTACTACAAATACTAGTAAGAATTAGTAAGGAGTTTAAGGACGTACCTAAATTGATACCTTTTTCCTAATTAGATCCCTCGAAGTTTTGAACAAATAGGATCATCACAGTTTGTTGATACAACCATTTTAGGTAAACTGGTGTAAATGGCTGTCATGTGCAATTTCAGTGTAGATTTGAATGAAATGGAGGAGAGGAAGGAATATGAGGTCGACGCAACTTCAGAATCCTAATATACTTCAACCTGAGGGTTTTCTGTTCATTTCAGACAGTGCTTCCAAATCCTGTGCACCATCTAGAAATTGCTTGGATTTATATGAAGAGATCCTGACTGAAGAAGGAACTGCAAAGGAGGCAACATATAATGATGTAATGGATTGCCACAATTATTAAGGACAGTTCAGTAGTTTCATAGCTCCTAAGGAGTGGGCAGTAGCTAACTACTGAATAAACACTCCTGAGAAACTAAAACACAGAGTAAATAATAAGTCAGTTTCTGCCTTTAAGCTTGCTCTATAAATGATTTTTTTTTCTGTATTTGTCTAAACTTAGCTGATTTTTTTTTAACATAATTAAAGTGTTTGTGTAAAACTGCAACAGGCAGTCAGTGGGATGTAAATTGTATCTTTTTAAAATTTGTAGTTTTATGTATGTTTCACAAAATGTCCTGAGACTTAAATGAGACAAATTTCTTCCTACCATGCTTAGATTATAATGTGTTGAGGCTGAGTGTAAACCTAAACAAAAATGGTATTGCTAGGCCCAACTTTGAAAACCAGTAACCTTACTGAAAACCTCTTAGTGGAATGATACTCAACTTTTCTTAGTGAACTGATTTGAGAAATTTTAAACTATGTTGAAATGTGAAATGTCATTGAAGTAATACTTTGTGCTTTGTAGTTGCAGATAGAATATGGAAAATGTCAGCAGCAAATGAAAGAGCTAATGAAAAAATTTAAGGAAATACAGACACAGGTAGGGTTTGTGTTTTTGCTTTGTTAACTTTTTTTTGTTAACATTTTTAAAGCAAATATTAAAAAAAATTACTATGAGTAGAGATGTAAATGTTAAGTATTGGCAGTTTACCAGGAAGTCTTAATATTAAGTACATTTTCAAATGTGGCAAAACATGGCATTATTCCATGAGTTAATATTGATATGGGAAAATTTCTTGATTTGTTATATGGCAATGACATAAAAGATGTGTTAAACCAGTTAATTATTTAATAGTAGAATATGTGCTGTGATTTTGATGGATGGTTTGAAAGAATGGTTTATGAGGAACAAATGTAGAATGGTGATGTTTTGTAATTTTTCCAGAGTGTCCTGGAGAAATTTAGATTATCAGGGTTGATGTGGCAGAACTGGCAAAGCAGCCTGTAGTGATGCCCGTGTTGAAGTGCCTTGGTTTGGGTCCCACCTTGCTTCCTTCTTTCTTTCCTTTTTTTTTTTTTCTTTAAGATTTGTTTATTTTTATTGGAAAGTCAGTTATAAAGAGAGGAGGAGGAAAGTCAGATATACAGAAAGGAAGATCTTTTGTCCACTGATTCACTCCCCAAGTGACTGCAACGGCTGGAGCTGCGCTAATCCGAAGCCACAAGCTTGGAGTCTCTTCTGGGTCTCCCATGTGTGTGCAGGGTCCTAAGGCGATCGGCTGTCCTTGACTGCTTTCCCAGGCCACAAGCAGGAAGCTGGACAGGATGCAGGGCTGTCAGGGTTAGAACCGGCGCCCATATGGATGCTAGCACTTGCAAGGCCATGTCTTGAGCCACTAGGTTATCACACCTGGCCCTCCTGCCTTGTTTCTAATTCACCATCCTGTTAGCATGTGCCGGAGGAGGCAGGGGATAATGACTCAGGTATGCAGGTCCCTGACACCCATGTGAGGAAGATGAATTCCTGGCTCCTGGCTTTCGCCTGGCCCAGTCCCAGCTGCCGCCGGCGTTCGGTAATAGAGCCAGCACAAGAAGATATTTAGCTTTCTCTGCCCTTCAAATAAATTTCAAAATGAGGACTATTATGTTCTCTGATATGAGCAAAGATAAGATTGTTTCCTTTTATTTCCCTTTCTGAAAAAACTCAGCTCTCTGAGAATTAATTACTGCAGATTTAATCTAAGTTGTTAAATATAAAATTGTTACTGTTTATAGATGTCCAAGATAATGACTGAAGCAGAATATAGTTTCTTGCTTTTTATTTTGTCTATTGTAATTACTTTTACCTGATTTTACTTTAGGTGTGCTTTTCCTAGTGCCAATTATTGCTGAGACTCAACTTTCCCTATTTTATAATGGGATTATTGTGTTTTTTTCTTTTTAAATATTTACTTATTTTTATTGGAAAGGCAGAATTACAGAGTGGAGATGCAGAAAGATCTTCCTTCTGCTGGTTCACTCTAAGTGTTCAATCACTGGAGCTGAGCTGATTTGAAGAAAGGACCCAGGAGCTTCTTCTGGGTCTCCCACATGGGGACAGAGTCCCTAGACTTTGGGCCATCTTTTGCTGCTTTCCCAGGCCACAACCTGGATGGGTAATGGAGCAGCCAGGACACAAGTCAGCACCTATATGGGATCCCGGCATGTTCAAGGTGAGGACTTTAGCCACTGAGTCATCACGCCGGGTCCAATAATTATACTTCTTATAGTACCCTGATCCCCTTTTTTTCAGATATATTTGAAAGGCAGATTTAGGGAGATTTTCTATCTACAGGTTTACTTTCCAAATGCACATTAATTAGGAGCTGAATAAGAAGGGAAGGGGCCAGGACTCAAATTGGCACTCAGATGGCTTACCTGTGTCACAGGTGGCGGCATCTTAACCAGCTGCATTAGGGCACCAACCCTTTAGCGCTCCTTTTAGAATGACATAAGACACGTCTGTGATGCCTGTCATGTAGTTAGCATTCACTGATTGTTAGCTAATGTAAGTTGCAGTGTTAATCCTGAAGAAATGTATTTTATTAATACATTTTATGATATTTCAGAACTTGAGTTTAAAAAATGAAAACCAGTCTCTTAAGAAGAATATTTCAGCACTTATCAAAACTGCCAGGGTGGAAATAAACCGCAAGGATGAAGAAATAAGTAATCTTCACCAAAGGTATAACTGAGGGTTGTAGATCTGTCAGAGTAATCTGTATTGGTACCTGAGCTATTTCGCAGCTCTTGGTAGAAAGATGAGAGACATGTGTTTTATTAAATGCTTAGGTTTTAACGTTAGTAGTGGCTAATATCATATTTATATATTATGATAGTGATATGTGATTATTAACAGAACATTGCTACATGTCTTTCTGAATATATTCAGGTCTAAGACAATAGGATCTTGCTGTAGTATCCTTTGTCACTGAGATGATGGTGTATGTGTATTATAAGTTCTTCTAGGTCCCCAACAAATTTTCACAATATCAAGATGGCATCTGTGCTCACATCTTGTTACTAAATACCCCTTAAACTCTCTCTGTGGTGCAGTCCTTTCCCTGCTAAGCGGATGTTGTGTATAAGTTTTGCCTTTTTATTTGGGGGTATTATTCTACTTCAGAGACGTTCCTAATTTTCCTTTCCTCCATGGGCAGATCACTGAAGGATTTTCTAAACTTACTGTTGTTTCCGTTTCTTTTCTTCTTACTCAAATCCAGTTTCAGTTCTGCCTGCATTGATCTACCAAGGCAGTGGGCATTCTGGGCAGCAGCGACTGCCACTTCGTCCATCAAATAGTTTGTCTCCTAGTGCAGTGCAATTTGTCCTCTTACACACTGCTTGACACAATTCACTTTTCCTTCTTAATGATTTTTGGTTTTCTTCTAAACTTGAGATTTATTCTCCTACACTTACAAGTTAAAGTTCTTCAGAGCTTAAACCTATGTCCTTCAATTTCTAATCAATGTTTTTTTTTTTTTTTTTTTTTTTTTTTTTTTAAAGATTTATTTTTATTATTTTTTCATTGGAAAGGCGGATATACAGAGAGGAGAGACAGAGAGGAAGATCTTCCGTCCGATGATTCACTCCCCAAGTGAGCGCAACCGGCCAATACTATGCCGATCCAAAGACAGGAGCCTCTTCCGGGTCTCCCACACGGGTGCAGGTTCCCAAAGCTTTGGGCCGTCCTCGACTGCTTTCCCAGGCCACAGGCAGGGAGCTGGAAGGGAAGCGGGGCTGCCGGGATTAGAACCAGCGCCCATATGGGATCCCGGGCGTGCAAGGCGAGGACCTTTAACCACTTGCGCCACCGCGCTGGGCCCCCAATGTTTTTTTCTTAAGTTAAGCCAGTTGTATTTATATGTAGCGAATCAGTTCGTTCCCCTCCCCTCTTTTTTTTTTTTTTTAAGACTTGATTTTACTTTAAAGTCAGATTCATGGAGAGAATGAGAGACCAAGAGAAAGATCTTCCACTGGTTCACTGCCCAAGTGGCTGCAACAGCCAGAGCTGAGCTGATTTGAAGCCAGGAGCTTCTAGGTCTCCCACATGCAAGTGCAGGGTTCCAAGGCTTTGGGCTAGCCTCTGCTGCTCTCTCAGGCCACGTACAGGGAGCTTGGTAGGAAGTGAAGCATCCCATCTGTTGCCAGGCGAGGACTTTAGCCACTAGGCTACTGTGCTGGGCCCAGCCAGTTCATTTCTCTATATTGAGGGCTTCAAAAGTTTTTACAGCTACCTTATTCAAAAATAAATTTATTGTCACAAATCTTCTGTTTCTCCCTAGGTAGATAGATTGTTCCATCTTTTAGTCAGTTTGTGCAAACTGAAGACTTGGGAGGTGACCACTTAATTTATCACCCCAACCAGGATACTTTCTTTTTTTTTTCTTCCAAGATGCTTTTTTAGTGAGGGCTGTGCTAGTCATAATAACCTAGATTTATTGGTAAGTCACCCTATCTAGGAGTTGTCATGGATGCCTGACTCTTAGATCATCTCTCATATCCAATTTGTTGTCATGTCCTGTTGTGTTTGATCTCTTGTGATGTCCTGATTTATTATTGTCACTGTTATCACTGCTTGTCCACTCTCCTCGGAATTAGAATGGTCCTTGCGTTGATATTGATAGCCCTGATCTACTTTTGTTCTCTCTAGCCTTTGGTTTCTTTTTTTTTTTTTTTTTTTTAATTATTTTTATTGGAAAGGTAGATATAAGAGAGAAGGAGAAACAGAGAGAAAGGTCTTCCATCTGCTGGTTCACTCCCCAAGCAGCCCCAATAGCCAGAGCTGAGGAGATCTGAAACCAGGAGCCAGGAGCTTCTTCCAGGTCTCCCACACGGGTGCAGGGTCCCAAGGCTTTGGGCCGTCCTCTACTGCTTTCCCAGGCCACAAGCAGGGAGCTGGATGAGAAGTGGAGCATCTGGGAATGAACTGACACTCATGTGGTATTCTGGGTGTGCAAGGCGAGGACTTAACCACTAGCCTATCATGCTGGGTCCCGGTTTGTCTCTTGTCATAGCCAGAGAACATGTTCTAAAGCAAAAAAATCCAGACATCTCACTATCATCAGTTACTGTCTTCCTTTGCCATCAGCCAGTAAAGACTTGTTTTGTTTGTTTATCTATTTGAGAAGCTGGCTTATTCCTCAAATGCCCACAATGTCTGGGGCTGGACCAGGCTGAAGTTGGGAGACGAAAACTCAATCCATATCTCCCAGGTGGGTGTCAGGGACCTAAGTGCTTGCGTTGCCACTTGTTGCCTTCCAGTGTGATATGTGGCAGTGGGCTGGAATTACAGGTAGGGCTGGGTTTGCAATATGGGCACTCTGCTGGGATGTCAGTGTCCTAACCTCTTACTTGAGGATAAGCCTACTTCATATGCTCCTTTTTAAAAATTAAAACACATCCATGAGTTCATTATTTTTTAAAAATCAGATCTTGGCCTCTAAGGCCGAGATTATTTTTCAAGCCCACCTTCAGTACTTTCTTAAACATCATAACTTTGTCCTAACCCTGGCCTTCTTTCTTCAGTGTACCATGAGCTCTGTCTCAGGACTATTTCCAATCTTTTGTTGCTCCTCTTCATCTGCTAAATCACTACCTGCTCATTCTACAGTCTTGACTTAAAATTTGATTTTCATTGGAACATTTTCCTGTTTTCTTAGGCAAGGTCAAATTTGTCTTTTATAGCTTATATACGTGGCAGTATTTCAAATCAAATGAAATGTTTGATTAGTGTCTTTTCTATTGAACTGTGTCCTTCATGGAGTATAGATTGTCTACATGTCATCTTCATTTTTCTCAACATCTAACATAGTGCTTGACACATGATAGATTGCAAGTAAAGGAAGGTTAATGAATATAATCTTATGGCATATATAATTTGGCATTGGTTTTCAGTATTTGAGTCTCCTCAGAGAGGAGCATGATTGTATGACAGATAAAATAAACTGAATGAATAAATGATGGGAATTGCATATTAGATTGATATGGTAATACATTATCAAAAATTAACTTGTCAAATATATTACTTTTGTACGTTGTAACAAGTATTGCATTGCTATTATTCATTATTTGGTTGAAATTTTGTTGAATAGGAATTTTGAAATATATTTTTAAAGTTTTATTGATTCAAAAGGCAGAGTTACAGGGCCCATGATGATGGCTCCATAGCCAAATCCTCACCTTGCAAGTGCCAGGATCCCATGTGAGTGCCAGTTTGTGTCCCAGGTGGTTCGCTTCCCACTGAACTTTCTGCTTGTGGCCTTGGGAAAGCAGTCGAGGACGGCTGCACCGGTGTGGGAGACCTGGAGGGAGTTCCTGAATCCTGATTTCAGATTGGCTGAATTCCAGCTGTTGCGGCTGCTTGGGGAGTGAACCAGTGAATGTAAGACGTTTCTCCGTATCTCTGTAAATCTGATCTGCATTTCCAATTAAAAAAAAAAATCTTAGAGAAAGAGAGAAATGAAGAAAGAGTTACACAGAGGGAGGGAAAGACAATGCTCTTCCATCTGCTGCTTCACTCTAATTACTTCAGTGGCCAGGACTGGGCTAGGCCAGGGCAAAGTCAGGAGCCTGGGACTTTGGATCTCATATCAGTGGCAGGGGCTCACGCACTTGGACCATTCGTTGCTGCTTTCCCAGGCACATAAGCACGGAGGTGGATCAGAGTAGAGTAGCCAGTACTTGAACCTCGCTCAGGTTACATCCTTGTGTTATATGGCTCCTGATCTTTCTTTTAAAGATTTATTTTACTCATTTTAAAGGTAGAATTACAGAAATAAAGGGCGAGACAGGAAACAGAGTGTTCCAAACTACTGGTTCACTCCCCAGATGCCTCAACAGCCAGGGCTAGACCAGGTCAATGCCAGGAGTCTTCTGTTTCTCCCATGTGGATGCTGGCACCAAAGCATATTGGCAGTATTCAGCTGCTTTCTCCAGCACATTAGCAAGGTGTCGGGTAGGAAGTGGAGCAGCTTGACTCAAACCAACACCCTTATGGGATGCCATCTCTCCAAGAGGCAGCCACTAACCAGAATGCTGAATGGCTGCCTCTTTTTAATACCACTATTCTACTACCCTGCTTCTGGTTTTAAATTGTGGATTTTAATAGATTAGAAATATGAGTATGTGAAAATTCAAGGAGATTATGTTAGGTCAGGAAAATGAACTTTTGCATAAAGTCAATGTGAACCATATATATTTTACTGCTGTAAGACCAATTTGGGGCAGGCATTTGGTGGAGTAGTTGTCTCTACCTGGAACACACAAATCATATGTCACTAGGTTCCAAACTTGGCTCCCCATTTTTGCAGTTTCTCATAATGTGTGCCCCCCAGGAGGCAGCAGATGGTGTTGCAGTTGCTTAGGGTTCCTGCCACACATGTGGGAGATAGAATCAGTTTTGGGCTTCTGGCTAGCCTAACAGTGGTAGGCATCCAAGGAGTGAACCAGCAGGTGCAAGATCACTGTGCCTCTCTACCTTTAATAATTAAACAAAACAAAACAAAAAACCCCACAAGTACCAGCTTTTCTAAACACAGAAGTAAAACCTTAAGACTTAATGCTTTTTTCTTTTTTTTTAGCAAAGTGGGGGAATCCATGCCATTCTAGATACAGAGAATTCTAAACTTCAATTTTGTTTAGTGTATACTATCTTAAGGTGTCTATTGATATTTTGGCTTACTGTGGGATTCATGTGAAACAGAAAGTTAGGATAGAGAATTACCTAATTACTTTGGTCATGTTTGTTTCCACCAGGATTTCACTTTGGTCTCATTTGGGGTTGAGTCAATGGGAAAGAAAACAATGTCATTTGTTTTACAAGATGAGAGTTTGTGTTTAGTTTGGCAATGTGCACCTTTAATAAAGAAAAAACAGGCAAAGCAAATGGAGTTCCTTGTTTTGAAAACTGGCTTGTTTAGTGGAAATGGTACATTCTTTCTTTTTTTTTTTTTGTAAGATTTATTTATTGCTGGAAAGGCAGATTTCTAGAGAGAAGGAGATACAGAAAGAAAGATCTTCTGTCTGGTTCGTTCCCCAAGTGGCTGCAATGGCTGGAGCTGAGCTGATCTGAAGCCATGAGCCAGTAATCAGGAGCTTCCTCTGGGTCTCCCACATAGGTGCAGGGTCCCAAGGCTTTGGACTGTCCTCTACTGCTTTCCCAGGCTATATACAGTGAGCTGGAAGGAAGTGGAGCAGCTGGAGCATGAACTGGCACCCATGTGGGATCCTGGCACATGCAAGGCGAGGATTTAGCCACTGAACCATTGTGCTCTGGATCCAAAGCTTGTAAATTCTTTAGCACTTATTTTTCCAGAATGTAGGCAACCAAGATTTTAAAATTTATTCACCATTCAAAAGGCATAGCTACAGAGGAGCAAAGGAGAGAGTGAGAGAAAGGATCTTCATCCCCTGTTCATTTCCCTCCCAGTTGACTGCAATTGCTAGAGCTGGGCTGGTTTGAAGCTAGGAGCCAGAAACTCTGTCTGAGTCTCCCACTTGGGTTGCAGGGGCACAAGCCTTGCAGCCATCCTCTATGGCTTGCCTTGGTACTTTGGCAGAGAGCAGGATTGGAAGTTGAATAAGTTGGGACACAAATCGGTGCCCATATGCGATTCAGCACCTCAGGTGGCAGCTTTATTCTTTGTGCCACAATGCCAGGCCTAGCACTCAGATTTTAGAAGTATGTCACATTTGAGTAGAATTGGGAATATTATTAAATACCAATTAACTTAGCTCTGCTTCTTAACTTTCTGTTCCTCAATAGATTGTCTGAATTCCCACATTTTCGAAATAATCATAAACCTGCCAGGACTTCATCAGATGCAGTTAAAGCAAAAGATTTTAAATCGAGATCTCCTCATTTGGACGATTGCTCAAAGGCTGATCACAGAGCTCGAAGTGAGGATTATAAAAATGGACATAAAACTTCATCAGATGGAGTTAAAGCAAAAGATCCAAAATCGAGATCTCCTCATTTAGACGATTGCTCAAAGCCTGATCACAGAGCTCGAAGTGAGGATTATAAAGATGTTCATAGAACTTTGTCAGATGGAGTTAAAGCAAAAGATCCAAAATCGAGATCTCCCCATTTGGACGATTGCTCAAAGGCTGATCACAGAGCTCGAAGTGAGGATTATAAAGATGGACATAGAACTTCATCAGATGGAGTTAAAGCAAAAGATCCAAAATCGAGATCTCCCCATTTGGACGATTGCTCAAAGGCTGATCACAGAGCTCGAAGTGAGGATTATAAAGATGGACATAATAGCACTTCACTGCCATACCCGGAAAAAGAAGGAAAATCACATTCTGAAAAAAAGAATATTTCCTATTTGCCTACATCTCTTGACAGACACTGCACCAATGGCATTTGGTCACGCCCACATCATCATTGTGGTGAAGGTAGCTCAAATGAGGATAATAGAAGAGTTAGAAAAGATAGTAGGCATAGCCAGTATTACAGAGGAACTGATCGGATACGAAAAGACTTAAGTATTAGTTATGATGGTGAACCAAGGCACCCAGAGGCTATTCAGAGGCTACAAGGACGTCCTGAGAAACATGGGAAAGGTGAACCAAAGGCTGAAAGCAGAAATTCAAAATTTAAAAGTAATACAGATTTGGATTATAAAAGTGAACGTAGCAGCTATTCTTGGGAGAACGAGTCTTTGCGAGAAAGGTCACATAATCGAATAGAATTTCAAAGTGACAAAAAACTGGAAAGACAAAGTGAGAGATCACCAAATATCAACCAAAAGGAACTTAATTCACAAGACAAAGAAGAACGAAAAGGTGATCAGAAACCTAAATCGGTAGCCAAGGATCAGGATCCCTGGAGAAGATCTGAGCGAGCATCACTTCCCCTCAAGAGCAAAATGAACTCTCACAGTTTAGACAGATATCGTGGAGAAGAGAGAAGGGGCAGGGAAGAGTGCAAGAGAGACAGGGTTGTAAGCAATCATAGTTTTCAAGATGGAAGATCTTCATCTTCTCTTCCAAGCAGAACTCACAAACACATTGACTCTAAGGAAGTAGGTGTTGCACACCAATGGGAAGATACACCATTAAAAACAGTAAGACATAGAACTGAAGATAAGAGGAAAAGAGAACGAGAAAGCAAAGAAGAAAATAGGCATATGCGAAATGAAAAAAAAATGCCTGTAGAATATTTGCCGAAAACTAACAAAGAAACTCAGAAAATGACTACTGATTTGAAGAGACAGAATGAGCCAAAAAATGATAAATGTGAAGTCTCTAATAATAAAATTTCTGAAGGACTAGACAATACAATTGCACTAAAAGTTGAGAGTGGTTCAAGTGACACAAAAAACAAAGACTTAAAGTTAAGTTTTATGGAAAAATTAAACTTAACCCTGTCTCCTGCTAAAAAGCAGCCTGCATCTCAGGATAATCAACATAAAACATTGGATCCTCCCAAGTCGAATAATGTGTGTGGTTTGGAATCCTCAGTGCCTGCTAAAACAGAACTGTGTCTTAATTCTGTCAGTGAACACATCACAGAGGAAACCAAACCAAAATTGTTGGAACCAAGGGAAATTCTTCCAGCAGCATCTATGCCCAAGATAGACATTCCAGAAAGCAAGATGAAAGAAGATAATAGTTTATTAGTTAAATCTGTCAAGAGTATGGTGCATTTGGAATTGCCTGTTGGTACGGAGTCTTCCTCAACAGCTGTGGAAATGGAAAATACAGGTTCCTTGTTTCCATCATCGAAAGAAATGGAACAAACTGTTAATGGTCCCCCGACAGCAGCCTCTGTGGTAGTGGACATATTACAAACAGATGCTTCTCAGAGCTATGGCCTGGAATTGGATGTCAACAAACAGGAGGATTTAAATTCTTGTGTTTCTGAAGGTATGGAAATGAAGTTGATTGTTTCAGCAAAAGTGACTGAAACCAGTGAAAGCATTTTGCAGCCTCCAGTTGAAGAAGCTCGCATTCTGCCAGTAAACTTTTCAAAAGATGGAAACCCTAAATCTGAACCTTCTCTTGTGGATGATACACCACTGAATGAAAGTAAATCTTGTCATTTGGAGCCTTGCTTACCTAAAGAGTCTCTAAAGCAGACTGACTTCATGGAGCCAAGAGGGGAAATTAGTGAAACAAGTTCCATATATCAGGATGATGAGAGCTCAGTTTTAAGCATTGACTTTAATCATATGAGACCGATTCCAGCAGCCATCAGTCCTCTGAATAGTCCAATGAGACCTATAGCAAAAGTTCTTAGAATGGAAAGTCCCCCTCGAGTTCCACTGTGTAATATCACTCATAAAGGTAATTATCTGCTCTAAGTCCTTTTCTTGTAAAAATGAAAAATACATAAGCAAATTTTATGGATTGTGTCTTTTAAAATTTTTTATTGATTTATTTGAAATGCAGAGCAAAACTGAAGAAGAAACAGACGATCCATGCAGTAATTCACTCCTTCATTGGCCACACAAAATAGGCCAAAGCTAGGAGCCAAGAATTCTGTCCTGCTCTCTCATGTGGATGTCAGGGGCCTGAGTACTTGGGCTATCTTTATCGTCTTCCTAGGCACATTAGCTGGAAGATTGATTGGAAGCCAGTATTCAAACGAGCACTCAACATGGGATGCTGGTGCCATAAAGATTGTGTTAACTCGCTGTGCCACAACTTGTTTATTTTTTGATAACAGAAAATCTAACATCCAGATTTAGTTGTTAAGTAGAAGTGTACTTGAGCCTCCAGTTTCACTTTAAGTATTGATTCTTTATACAAGAAAAGGGAACACTGGAACAGATTGTTTCAAGTACTGCTTACTTGCTTTCAGGTACATTTTAATGTTCAAAATCATCAAATTGCAGAGTAGGTGCTGCTGTTTAAAGTAAATATGTACTGAACAGTAGGTGATTATCAGCTGGTTGATATTTATCAAAGTCCTCATTTATTACAGCATCTTTAAGTACTTTTTAAGGCCATTAAGAACCAATGAAATGAGTTTTATGCATTATCATATTGTTGTCTTTCAAAGATATATTTAATATACTTTTCTCTTTCACAGAAGAGTTTCCACCGAATTCAACATGTTCTGTCTCCCAGTCTGATCTCAATAAAGAAAACCAAAAGCCATTTTGCAAAGCTGACAAATGTGAAGTGGATTCCTGTAAGAATTCATCCTTAGATGATTTAGAAGAGGGAGAAATTAGAAGTGACAATGAAAAGTCTGAACCACACAAAAATTTTGAAAAAAGTGCCAATGCTAGAACATCTGCTGAAGTATACAACACAAAGACTAGTCCACCAAGTAGGAAAAATAATATGTCCTTGGATAGAGACAATAGGAAAACCTCTGTAAAAGTCCATCAGACCAATGGCAAATGGGGTAAAAGACCAAGTGACTCTACCAGATATTCAAAAGCGGAGAAGAAGGACAGAACAGTAAGCATCTCTAGCTTGGAGAAAATAGTTCAGATTATTACTGCACCCTCTTCTGTTCCAGAGATTATGCACATGTTAAGAATGATAAGAAAACATGTGAGGAAAAATTACATGAAATTCAAGGTCAAATTTTCATTAAGACAATTTCATGGAATTATTGAGTCAGCAAGTTTGAGTTTTACATCACTAATTAGACATCTTGACTTATCTAAAATCTCTAAGTCAGTGATTACTTTACAGAAGAAGCTCTGTGATGTTATAGAATCCAAACTTAAGCAAGTTAAAAAGAATGGCATAGTGGATCGCTTATTTGAACAGCAAGTACCAGATATGAAAAAAAAATTGTGGAAGTTTGTAGATGAACAACTTGATTATTTATTTGCAAAACTTAAGAAAATCTTAATGAAGTCCTGGGATTCCAATAATTTTGGAAATGACAGTGACAAAGGAAAGCTTGATAAAAGAAGTAAAGAGAAAGTAGAATATTCAAATTGTCAGAAAGGTAATGTGGAAAACTCCAACAAAGAAATGCCGAAAGAAAAATTGCCAAAACCAGGGGACCCTGTTCGCTTGAAGTCTCTCTTGGAAAGTGAAAATTTTGAGGAAGAATACCAAGACCAAAATAACACCAGTGTTAACACAGTAAAGCATGATACCAAAAAAAGCAACAACTGCTTTGATAATGTGAAGAACTTTCCACCAGAAGAACATGCTTTGCAACTAAATTGTCCAAGTACCCCAACGCTGGGCAAACCTGAAAGCAGTGCCTCAAAGGAAGCACAGACATCCCAGCATGCCACTTTGAAACCAGAACGGAGTTTTGAGATCCTCACTGAGCAGCAAGCATCTAGCCTTACTTTTAATTTGGTGAGCGACGCACAGATGGGTGAAATATTTAAGAGTTTATTGCAAGGTTCTGATCTTTTGGACAACAGTGTTAATTGTACTGAAAAAACTGAGTGGGAGTTAAAGACTCCAGAAAAACAGTTGCTAGAGAGCCTTAAGTGTGAATCCATGCCAGCCTGCACAACAGAGGAGTTGGTTTCAGAGGTGGCCTCTCCATGTCCTAAAGTGATTAGTGATGATAATTGGTCATTGTTATCTGACAAAGGTCCAGCTCTGTCTTCAGGACTTTCATTGCCAGTGCATCCAGATGTGTTGGACGAAAGTTGTATGTTTGAAGTGTCTACTAATATAGCTTTAGGTAAAGATACTATGTGTAGTTCAGAAAAGAGTAAAGCCTGCATTTCTTCTATACTTCTTGAAGATCTAGCAGTATCTTTAACAGTACCGTCCCCTTTGAAATCAGACGGTCATCTTAGTTTCTTGAAGCCTGAAGGTTTGTCTAATTCAACACCTGAAGAAGTCCTCAGTGCCCATTTTAGTGAGGATGCCTTACTCGAGGAAGAGGATGCTTCTGAGCAAGACATTCATTTAGCTCTGGAGTCTGATAATTCGAGCAGTAAATCGAGCTGTTCTTCATCGTGGACAAGCCGCTCTGCTGCTCCAGGGTTTCAGTACCACCCCAATCTGCCAATGCATGCTGTGATCATGGAAAAGTCCAACGATCATTTCATCGTGAAAATCCGGCGTGCAGCACCATGCACCTCCCCTGCTCCTCAGCACAGGGTGCTGACTGACGAGTCCTTGGCCTCTTTGCCCAGTGTTGGAAAGGAAGTGGAGGAAGCAGCAGAGAAAGAGTATGTTTCATGTCAGGACACTGTTACTAAATCTGTAGAAGAATTGGAAAATTCCAGCAAAAATGTTGATGGCAGTAACTCAACTCCTGAAGGACAGAATGCTAGGACACAACCACAGGTGCCTGACATATATGACTTTCTTAAAGATGCTTCATGTAAGGCCAATGGCAGTAACGAAGTGACTGATGAGTGTTTCAAGTTACATCAGGATTGGGAACCAAAAGTTCCTGAACGCATTGAAGAACTTCCTTCAATAGAAGAAATCCCACACTCTGTTGAGGATCACCTTCCAAATACATACATCGACCTGACCAAAGTTCCAATTACTGAGACCAAAAACTTGGGGGACTTGATAGAAGCAACAGTTTTAAATATTGATCAGTTGAGATCTTCTGGAGACAATTTAAATCAAAATGCTCACATTTTAGGTAATTCTTTGCAGTCCGATACTGTGAGTGCTTTTATTGATTTGACACAGGATGCTTCAAGTGAGAGTAAAAGTGAAAGTAACCATTCGGCATCAGCTGCTGAGGGACTGGGATGCCAGGTGATATGTGTAGATGAAGAAAAGTGTAAGGAAGAAAGGGTGCAAGTGGCAAGCAGGCCTTTGAAATGCCTTCCTGAGAAAGTCTGTATTGATTTGACCACAGAACCTCCTGACTCATGTGAGCTAAACGATGACTTAAAATCACAGCCAGCGTCAAATTCTGGTAATCCAGAGTTGCCTGAGACTTTGGATAATGCTCATAAAAAGAGAAAAAACCTTTGTGAACTAAGTCAGTCTTCTCAGAAAAAACAAAGAAAGGAAACAGACTTCCCTAACAGGGAGAAGACCAAGAAACTTATTCAAGAGAATGGTGAAGTTTCCCAAAAGAAAGCCAGTAAGAAGAGGGCCCCTATTGGGAATAAAGATGCTCCATTAAATGCCAGCCCAGGGATTAAGGACTCATCAGCAGAGCTCATCACTTCCACCAGCCTTTCAGCAAGGAATATCGTCAAAAAGAAAGGAGAAATTATAGTTTCCTGGACAAGGTAAGCATTGTGAGATTTAAATTATGAGGAAATTTTGAGAGATTAGAAATTGTAGTTTCATGCCATTCTAAAAAAGTGTGATGACTAAATGGCCCAATTTGAATATACGTTCCAGGGGTCAGTCCTGCGATATTCTAGGACGGTGGCTTTTGGCCAGTGGTGTGCGTTAACACCAGATAGCGTTTTTTTATTGTGCTTTAGCCTCACCTTTTTAGTTTAAAAGAATTGTTTCATTTGGAAGTAATGAATAACATTTTTAAAGAGATGACTGGTGGTAAAAGAGTAATTTGATTATTCCTCTAAATGTAAAAATCTCCAGTTTTATAAGTAGATTGTACTTTTCATTGTTGTGTGTATGAGAGACTTTTTTAAGAAGTTGAGATCCGGGGCAGCATCATGACATAGTAGGCTAAGCTGCCTACATCCCTTATGGGTGCCAGTTTCTGTCCTGGCTGTTCCACTTCTTTTTTTTTTTTGTTTTTGTTTTTGTTTTTACTGACTTTAATATATGTCTTTTATCTTTTGCTGATGTTTATTTTACATGGTTGAGAAGGATACATACCCATATAGATCAGGGTGGGGAGGTTCAAGGAATGGGGGAAATGAGACAATTAAATTGTTTCCATTTTTTTTTTCTCTTCCTGTATTTGGATGTGAGGGGAGAGTAAGGGATAGGGTGCCCTTAGCACTGGCTGCTCCACTTCTGATCCAGCTCCCTTTTACCCTGGGGAAGTAGTATAGAATGGCTCAAGTCCTTAGGACCCTGCACATGTGTGTACAGGGTTCCAATCCTCCACTGCTTTCCCGGGCCATAGTAGAGAGCTGGGTCAGAAGTGGAGTAGCGGGCCCGGCAGTGTGGCCTCGTGGCTAAAGTCCTCGCCTTGAACACGCCGGGATCCCGTATGGTCACCAGTTCTAATTCTGGCAGCTCCACTTCCCATCCAGCTCCCTGCTTGTGGCCTGGGAAAGCAGTTGAGGATGGCCCAAAGCTTTGGGATCCTGCACCCGAGTGGGAGACCTGGAGGAAATTCCCGGCTCCTGGCTCCGGATTGGCACAGCACCAGCTGTTGCGCTCACTTGGGGAGTGAATCATCGGACGGAAGATTTTATTCTATCTCTCCTCTCTGTATATCTGACTTTGTAATAAAAATAAAATAAATCTTTAAAAAAAAAAAAGAAGTGGAGTAGCCAGGACACAAACTGGCACCCATGTGAAATGTTTACAATTGCAGGTGGAGGATTAGTCCGTTGAGCCATTGCACTTGCTCCTCTCATTCTCTTTCCTGCTCTATAAATCTGCTTTTCCAATCAGTCTTTTTTTTTTCTCTAAGATTTATTTCATTTTTTTTGGAAAGGCAGATTTACAGAGAGGAGAGACAGAGAGAAAGATAATCCATATGCTGGTTCACTCCCCAAGTGGCCACAATGGCCAGAGCTGAGCCGATCCAAAGCCAGGAGAGGCTGCTGTTCCCAAGACTTTGGGCCATTATCTACTGCTTTCTCAGGCTACAGGTAGGTGCTGGGTGGGAAGTGGAGCACAAACTGATGCCCATATGGGATCCCAGGATGTGCAAAGTGTGGATTTAGCCACTGGGCCCCTGCACCAGGCCATAAAGTAAATCTTTTTTTTTTTTTTTTTTTTTTTTTAAAGATTTATTTTTATTATTTTTTCATTGGAAAGGCGGATATACAGAGAGGAGAGACAGAGAGGAAGATCTTCCGTCCGATGATTCACTCCCCAAGTGAGCGCAACAGGCCGATACTATGCCGATCTGAAGCCAGGAGCCTCTTCTGGGTCTCCCACGCGGGTGCAGGTTCCCAAAGCTTTTGGGCCGTCCTCGACTGCTTTCCCAGGCCACAGGCAGGGAGCTGGAAGGGAAGCAGGGCTGCCGGGATTAGAACCGGCGCCCATATGGGATCCCGGGCGTGCAAGGCGAGGACCTTTAACCACTTGCGCCACCGCGCCGGGCCCTAAAGTAAATCTTAAAACAAAAAAGTTTAGATCCTAAGATCCCAGTTTAAATGAGAAGGTTGTGACCATTGGACTAGAGCTGGACAATGTTCATAGCTGATTAAATACTCAATGAGGGAACTTGGTTTTCTTAAGCCTAGTGGTCAGTTTTCTTTAAAATGACAGCCCTTAAATCCTCAATTCAGGAAACTCATACAGGGTAGAATGAATTATCCGACAGGATGCAGTAAACAGACATTCAGATCAAGTTGAAAAGTTTGAGATAGAGGCTGGTGTTGTGGCGTATTGGGGAAAGCCACCACCTGCAGCACCAGCATCCCATGTTGGTGCTCGTTGAAATCCCGACTGATCTGCTTGGGGTCCAGCTTCCTGCTCATGGCCTGGGAATGTCAACGAAAGATGGCCCGAATGCCTGAGCCCACACGGAAAACCTGGATGAAGCTCCTGGCCTGTGCCTGGCCCAGCCATGGAAAGCACCTCTTTCCTCTTAACTCTTCCAATTAAATAAATATTAAAGAAAAAGCAAAAAGCAGATCTAGGATTGAGTGGAGCAGGACTATTTTGGTGCCTGTTATTCTGCTTCTTATGTCTATGATCATTTGGAGGACCTCTTTTTAAAGCAGTGAATATGTTAACGGTAGAATTTTTTTAAAACCTGATTACTTAAAAGCTTTTAAGTCATTAGAAACATTAAACATTAGAAAAATAACATTTTGTATACAGAAAAATTGGTGCAGATATGAGCTTGGGGTCAAGTTATCTCTAACTCATTTCTTATAAGTATTCATTGTCTATATTTTGATATATGTAGGCTTAAAAATTTTTTTAAATTTATTTTAGATGTTTATGATATAGGTTTTAATAAATGTAATTTTTCCTTTTTTTCACTGTTTATTTATTTATTTTTCACATTTTATTATTATTGCTATCATTTTACGATACAATTCCATATTCCCTTATCCCCTCCCAATTCCCTCCCCACCCCCCCAGTTCCTTTATATCATTACTAACATATAGTTCTTCATACTCAATCATATGTTCATCATTGCGGGCATGGACAATGGCAGAGAGTCCAGAATCCTATTGTCAAAATATAATATAAACAGTTTCACTGTAAGTCCATCTTTGTCTGGAAACAGAGATGCCGACCACACTGCATCCTCACATCTGGTTGTTAGTCTCCATTACATAACTACTGTACATTCCCTTAAATGAAAAATCATGATACAAAGTCAACAATAAAAACAAAAATAGAAATTTACAATTTGCCTCTTCCAAACCTGCTCTACAAATGATGCTTCAAGATGTTCTCTTGTTAGAGAAGAGGAATAGCACCTACCAAAACCAAAGGCAAACGGGAAGAACATCCCAGTAAAATGACAATAGAAGACTAAATCAATGAACAACCCATTCCTAAAATGACAGGACCAAAGTACCACCTATGTATATTTAACTCTAAATGTAAATTGCTTAATAAATGTAATTTTAATAAAAAAAATTTTACACCATTTATCAACATTAAGCCAGTAGCATTTTTATAATGTTTCCACAGTAGTGTATAAATGCTAAATATGCTTTTTTCTTCCCCAGAAATGATGACCGGGAAATTTTGTTGGAGTGTCAGAAGAGAGGGCCATCATTGAAGACATTTACAAATTTAGCTGTTAAATTGAATAAAAATCTCAATCAGGTAACTATATAAGTTTTATATTTCTACTGATGCAAAGATGTTGCTGTCCCACTTTCTTAATTTTTAGCATATTAAATACATAGATATAATTAGTCAAGTTCTTTAATAGCATGCCTCCATGTAGAACTATTAATAAGCTGGTGATTGTGGAAGAATTGTGACTACATTTTTTTCTCCGTGTCTTTTTTTAAGATTTATTTGTTTTTTATTACAAAGTCAGATATACAGAAAGAGAGACAGAGAGGAAGATCTTCTGTCTGATGGTTTATTACTCCCCAAGCGGCTGCAATGGCTGGAGCTGAGCCAATCTGAAGCTAAGAGTCTGAAGCCTCTTCTGGGTCTCCCACACGGGTGCAGGGTCCCAAGGCTTTGGGGCGTCCTCTACTGCTTTCTCAGGCCACAAACAGGAAGCTGGATGGGAAGTGGGGCCGCTGGCATTTGAACTGATGATGTTTTGCTTGTTTAATGAGATAGTAATGAATATTAAAAGTTATGTGATAGTTATATAATGATATGTAATATAATGATATATAATGTAATATAAAATGTTTTGTGGAAGGATTCATTAGTTATAAAGAGGGCAGGATGTGGTGGGTGCAGTGGTTGTTACTGCTTGGGTCACCTTCATCCCATATCAGATTGCCTGCCTGGAGTACTAGCTTCCCTGCTTCTGGTTCAGCTTCCTGCTAATGCTACCATCTATTTCCAGGCTCTGGCTGTGGCTTGGGCTACTACTCCTGGCTATTGGGGTCATTTGGAGAATGATCCAGCAGCTAGAAGATAGCTCTCCACCTGTCCATCTCAGCCTGTCAAATAAAAATGAAAATAAGATTTTTAAAAATCATTGAAAAAAATTTGATATAATTATGAGTAATACTAATTTTTTTTTTCAGGTCTCAGAAAGATTCCAGCAACTAATGAAGCTCTTTGAAAAGTCAAAATGCAGGTAGTAAATGGTGGTACTACAGGAGACTCACAAAGTAAATGTTTGGTAAGTGTAGTGGTGCACTGAATGGCCTGGTAGTCACGGAAGAGCTGCGTGGTGAGCAAGAGACATGTAGTTGGGTTCCTACTCCTGTCACAGGTTGCAGGATGGTTGGTTACGGGCATCTCGGATCACATCAGCTGCGGGGATGTGCCCATATCAAAGCCTGCTGCAGTTCAGATCAGCATGGCATCGCTCCTCAACCCTCTGATTGCTGCTAAGTCCAAGGTTGGGGGAAACCCTTTTGGTGACTAATAATAGGTTTTTTTGTAGTTGAAGAGGAAATATTCTTGACTAGCAGGATGTTTCAAAACCAGTGATGTCTGTATAGTCACTGTAATTTAATATTTCTTATTTTAACTTAGGAGTACTGAATAGTTTACAGTATGAAACTTCTGAAGTTGAAGTCCTTTGCTATCCAAATAAGTGGCATGGTTTATTGTATTAAACTATTACTAATGTTCACAGACATGTTTCCCAGTTTGTCTTTTTTTGTATAAGCTTATTAAGATGATGGTACTTGACTAATTAGTTTTTTTTTTAAATAAGACATTAGCCAACTGCTTAGGATTCTGGACTTTTATGTTGAAAAAATGGTGAAGATTATATAGATATCTATATATTTACATATATATCAGTGTATTGCTTGGTTTGTAATCTTTATTACATGAATGTAGAACGCCCAGTTTCACAGTAAGTTTGGGAGGCAGGTGTTTTCTGGAACAATGGAGATGCCAGTTGAGATGTGCACTTCCTGCATTCCATGTTACAGTGTCTAGGTTCAAATTCTGGTTCCCGTTCCAGTTCCTCTTCCTGCCAGTGTGCACATTGTGTGGCACTGGTTATGATGGCTCAAGGCTTGCGTCCCTGCCATCCCTATGGGAGCTGTCAGTTGAGTTCTGGGCTGTTGTTTTTGTCTTGGCGCTGGCTGTTGTGGGCTTTTGGGGCATGGACCAGTGGATGGGTGATTTTTATGTGTCTCTGCCTGTGTTTCAAATAAAATGAAAATAAAAACACTTAAACATTGAGTTAAACTTGGATAAAAACTGTATTTGGACACAGATCACGGTGTGAAGGGCTCTGAACATTTTTGAGCTATAAACTTCCATTTCAGCCCCAATGTGAATGAATATCTTAATTTGTTGATTTCCACACCAACTGATTTGCTAGTGATGAGCTCTTCAAAAGATGTTTGGTGGTTTATTGTAAAGTATAGATTCTGTTTTTATGGGAATACTTCCAAGAAGTTCATGAAAATGAAATTAAAAGTTTTATCTTGGCTCCCCCAAATTTAAAATATGCATGAGATTTCTCAAAAAAAAAAAACCACATAAAAATACATATTGTGAAAAAGCTGCATGGATTTCAATTTTTTTGCACCCAAATAACATATTTTTTAAAAAAAATTTACATTATGTTCTTAGAATTGTTTCTAAAATATTTTTTTTTAAAGATTTATTTATTTGTTAGAAAGATATACAGAGAGGAGAAGAGACGGAGAGGAAGATCTTCCCTGTGATGATTCACTCCCCAAGTGAGCGCAATGGCCGGTACTGCGCCGAGCCAAAGCCAGGAGCCAGGAACTTCTTCTGGGTATCCCACATGGGTGCAGGGTCCCAAAGCTTTGGGCCGTCCTCGACTGCTTTCCCAGGTCACAAGCAGGGAGCTTGGATGGGAAGTGGAGTTGCTGGTATTAGAACCACCGCCCATATGGGATCCTGGCGTGTTCAAGGCGAGGACTTTAGCTGCTAGGCCATGCCGCTGGGCCCCTAAAATTAACATTTTAAAGGCAGAGTAACAGGCACAAACAGAAAGAGAGAGATCTTTTTTCTGCTAGTTGGCTCCCAGTTGGCCCCAGCAGTCAGAATGGAAGTTCCAAGCTCCAGAGCTTAATCTCATCTCCCGTCTGGGTGGCAGGGCCCGAGTTCTTGGCTCGTGAATAGTAGCAGGAAACTGCACTGGAAGTGCGGCAGCCCGGACCAGGCGCTCTGATACGGAATTGCAAGCAGCAGCTTAGCCTGTCACACCACACCACTCCGACTTGCAACGTTCGATATAGTCATAATGGAGAGTGAAACACTGGGAAGTTGAAGAAGTGTGTTGTAAAGAACTTTTTTTTTTTTAAGCTAAGATAATAGGGACTTGGAGTTTTTAGAATTACTGTGTCTTAAGATACTGTTTTCAACAAATGTCAGCAGTGTTTTTACACGAATGTTTTCTTAAAATATGACTTGCATTCTCTTCTAAGAATGTAAATTCATGAAAGAAATAACATGTCTGGGAATATGCTTATTACCTTAAATTACCTAAATGCATTGTAAATCTCAGATCATTAATTTTACAAATTTAAACTTTTTTCAGTGAATTTGGGATTGTATTTGTTTGCATAATGACACATGTAATAGAGTGTTTCTTTCCTACCTTGTCCCTTCTGGACTTTTTCCCCAGGTACTCTTGTTTTATTAAATTCTGGTCAAAAGCAGTATGATGGTTATCTCAAAACCTTTAAAATAAATATTCTCTATACAGAGCTTATTTAAAAGGTGACATTTTGTGCAAATGGTCATATCAGACGAATACAATCATAACTTGAGCATTTTTTTACATTACAGATAACTTGCTGAATTCCTTGGAGTCTAATTGGTATTGCACTCTGCACAGAAGCTTCGCATCCTTCAGATGTTTTAAATGAGGAACTAGAGGAGGCTTTCTTTCATTTTGATTAGTGGGTAACTGTCTCCGTTTGCTATTAATTACTGACTACAGTCTCAGGTCAGCACATACAGGTTTTTAGTCATCTGTCTTGATTTGCTCACCTGTTAATGGTCAGAATATTTACTTTTAAACATGTTAGAACTTACCAAAATGAAAGCAACAGTGATGCAGAATTGAAAATTTAGTTTTGATATTTGAAAGAAGTCACTTTCTTTTGTGGATTTTTTATAACAGTTTTGTAGCCTTTTAAACAAGCCACCAGTTTGTTTTCACCCATTTTTTATTTGTTTTTATAATTGCCTCTGCTCATTTTGGTAAATTGTAAATTTAAACAATGTATTTGTAAATATGTATAATTATAATGATGTAAAATACTTTATATATACATGTATGTATTTGTGTATATACACAGACATAAATGGTTTTGCCTACCCAAGGATTTTTTAATCTGTATAGACTTTGTATAAAGTTTGCTTTCAGTAATAGTAATGTACAATAAAACCATGAAAAGTTCTGTTATATTTCAATTAAAATGTTTATTTGTTTTTTGAATATTGAAGCAAAGTTTAATGAAAAAAAGCAATGAAGAGAGTACACTTGCCAGATCAGGCAGGCATTCCAGTAAAGAATGGAGAACCTAGAATGTTGGTTTTAATGTGTTTATGCCTGGGTCCCTTAACTCATGGGAGGAACGCAGGTTCTTTTTTTTTTTTTCTTTAAAGATTTATTTATTTTTATTGGAAAGACAGAGAGGAAGATCTTCCGTCTGATGGTTCACTCCCCAAGTTGTGACTGCAACGGCTGGAGCTGAGCCAATCCAAAGCCAGAAGCCTCTTGGGTCTCCTGCCCGGGTGCAGGGTCCCAATGCTCTAGGCCGTCCTCACCTGCTTTCCTGGAGCATATCCTGCTGGAGCTGGATGGGAAGCAGGGCCGCCAGGATTAGAACTGGCGCCCATACAAGATCTCGGCGCATTCAAGGCAAAGACTTTAGCTGCTACGTTATTGCGCTGTGCCCCAGATTGAGTTCTGAGCTTCTGCTTAAGGCCTACCCCCAATCCAGCTGTGGTGGACATTTTATATCTATTTAAATTGTTATTCAACTGTAACACCATAATAAAAACATTGAGATTTGGAAGAAATTAGCAGAAAGTCTAGGGGATAATACAAAAGCTAGGGGAATAATAGTGGTCAGATCCTTTGGTAGGACATGTTGAAGGGGATTTTTTTTTTTTTAACATCAAGTGATGGACATTTGGCATAGTAGTTTAGGCGTGCCTCTTTAGAGCCAGTGTTTTGTAGGGGTAAGGCCCCTCCCTGCCTGTGACACTGGCAATCCCCAGGGTACCAGTTCCAGATTTGACTGTTCCATTCCAAGCCAGCTCTCTGTTGATGTCCCTGGGAAAACAGCAGAGAATGGCCCATGTGCTTGGACCTCTACATGTGTTTGGGAGACATCAAAAAGCTCCAGCCTGTTTACTGTGGCCTAGAGCATGCCTGACAATTGCTCATACCTGGGTAGTGAGCCAGCGGCTTGAAAAACTCTTTCTATGCTTCTTATTCTTTCTAATTATGGCTTTCAAATAAATGAATCTTATTTTTTAAAAAGATTTACTTATTTTTATTGGAAAGGCAGATTTACAGAGAGAAGGAGAGACAGAGAGGAAGATCTTCCAGATGGTTCACTCCCAGGTGGCCTCAGTGACTGGAGCTGAGCCAATCTGGAGCCAGGAGCCAGGAGCTTCTTCCAGGTCTTCCACACAGGTACAGGGTCCCAAGGCTTTGAGGCCATGCTTGACTGCGCTCCCAAGCGAGAAGCAGGGAGCTGGATGGGAAGCAGAGCAGCCAGGACACAAACCAGTGCCCATATGGGATACAGGTGCAAGCACTAGCCACTAGGCTACCATGCCAGAAACTCAAATAAATATTAAAAAGAAATAAAAACGTTGTATCTCTTATTGCAGTGCCTGGGTTCGAATTCCAGCTCCACTTCCAATTCCCCCGTCCTGTTAACACACACTCTGGGATGCAGCAGGTGACGGCTCAGATGGCTGGTCTCCTATAGGAGACCTGGTGAGTTCCTGACTCCTGGCTGTTGGAGGCATTCGGGAAGTGCACCAGTAGATGGAGGATCCTTGTCCTTCTGCCTGTCAAATATTTTATTTTTTTCAAATGTGCATCACTCTGGAGCAGCTACTGTAGTTGGATTCACCACATGAGTAAGGTAGTCATTCTAAGACCTTTTACTTTCCTGCACAGGAGCTGAGATAAGTAGTATTACCTCACAACTTCGAAGTCTTATTAGAAGCACTGATCGAAACAGTTGTCTTAATGATGAAGTGTTGTATTTTGAGGGGAAGGGATTAAACATTCCATTTTGTTTCTTTTATATGTATTATTTGCTTTGGATGTTTTAATTTTTTACCTTTTGTCTCCATTCTCTTGATAATTTTGTTTTTGGATACTTTTTATTGTCTGTGCTTACCCTAGGGAATATAAATCAGTACTATCAAAGTCTAAGTGTTGGGCCCTCCTTTCTTGACTTACTTTTTGAGGGTTTTGACTGCCAATTGCCTTGTCAGTTTTACCCCACAAGAAAGAGTTACAGAGAGAAGAATAAACAGAAATTGTTGATCTGCTGGTTCATTCCCCAAATGACCACAACTGCCATGCTTGGAGCAGGTGGAAACGAGTATTGCAGAGATCCGTCTGAGTCTCCTACGTGGGTGGCAGGGGTTCAGATAATGGGCCATATGTTTTCTGAAATGGGTTAGTTAGCAGGGAGCTGGATCAGAAATAGAGCACTGGGATTTCAACCTACTTGGTGGCTGAACAAGCTAATCCTCCACCTGCAAGCGCCGACATCACATATGGGTACTGGTTTCAGTCCTAGCTGCTCTTCTTCCGATCCAATCCCTTCTTATGGGCTGAGAGAACAGTGGAGGATGGCCCAAGTCTTTGGGCCCCTGTGTCGACTTGGAAGACCCCGAAGAACCTCCTGGCTCCTGGCTTTTACCTTCCGATCAGCTCAGGTCCTGCTGTTGTAGCTGTATGGTGAATGAAACAGTGTAAGGAAGATTCCACTCCCTGTAAATCTGCCTTTCAAATGAAGATAAATCTTTTTTTTTTTTTTTTTTAAATGCTGGCATTGTGTGTACCTGTTCAACCCATAGCTGCTCTGCTTCCTATCTAGCTCCTCTGGGGAAGCTGTGGAAGATGTTCCAAATGCTTGGGCCCCTGTCACCTACTTGGGAGACCTGGAGGCCACTCTGGCCTCTTGACCTGTGCCTGGCCCAGCCTTGAGCATTGCCTTTGGGGGAGTGAGCCCATATGAGCTATCGGCCGTCCTCCACTGCTTTTTCAGGCCATCAGCAGGGAGCTGGATGGGAAACAGAGCTGGCACACACTCTGGTGCCTGTTTGGGATCCCTGCACATGCAAGGCGAGGACTAGCCACTAGGCTACCACTCTGGGCCAAGATTTCATTTTTCTTCTTTAAAAGATTTAGCTATTTTTAAAAAAGATTTTATTTTTGGGCCCGGCGTGGTGGCGCAAGTGGTTAAGGTCCTCACCTTGCACGCCCGGGATCCCATATGGGCGCCGGTTCTATCCCGGCAGCCCCTCTTCCCTTCCAGCTCCCTGCCTGTGGCCTGGGAAAGCAGTCGAGGACGGCCCAAAGCTTTGGGACCCTGCACCCATGTGGGAGACCCGGAAGAGGCTCCTGGCTTTGGACCGGCCGTTGCGCTCACTTGGGGAGTGAATCATCGGAGGGAAGATCTTCCTCTCTGTATATCCGCCTTTCCAATAAAAAAAAAAATAAAATAAATCTTAAAAAAAAAAAAGATTTTATTTTTATTGGAAAGTCAGATATACAAAGAAGAGGAGAGACAGGAAGATCTGTCCATTGATTCACTCCCCAAGTGGCCAAAACAACCCGAGCTGCGCTGATCTGAAGTCCAGCCTGGAACCTTTTCTGGAGCTAACACACTGTGGCAGGATCCCAAGGCTTCGGGTGGCCCTCCACTGCCTTCCTAGGACCCAGATCTGCGCTGGGCCCAGATTTAGCTATTTTTGAAAGATTTATAGAGAATTTAACTATTTTGAAAGATTTATAGAGGAGAGACAGATCTTCCATCCACTGGTTCACTCCTCAAAGGCTGGAGCAGAGTCCATCTAAAGCCAGGAGCTTCTTTCGCGTCTTCCCCCATGGATACAAGGGGCCCAAGAACTTCAGTCATGTTTCAATGCTTTCTGGATCGAAAATGGAACTGCTGGGACATGAACCAGGGCCATACGGGATGCCGGCGCTGCAGGCTGTAGTTTGCAGGTTTTATGCCACATCATCAGCCCTGTAATAGTGCTCTAACAAATACCTTGTTTTCATATCATATGTTTTGTTTCATTGATGTGGTACAAAGATTTAAGGAATATCTGCAATGCCTTAATTATAAGTGAATCAGGAAAATACGTTTGGCTTAACTATCAGGACATCTCTGGAGAGTGAAATGCTGGAGTCCAGCTCCGGCCAATTCAGAACTTGTGAGGGGTGCGCGGTTTAGGCATAAAGAGAAAAGAAACGGATCACTACAGTTTCAGTATCATAATGGACAATGCAAGAAAGCTGTCCCCCTTTATACATTAACCCTCACAAGCTCTGGCACAGACTTTTGATGTCATGGTCAAGTGGGTATTTTCAAGAATAATTGCTGTTTCACCTAAAAGCTCAATAGAAGTTCTCAATAGATGCTGCATATCAATCAGTAACACATTCCTACTACAATCCTCATTCTACAACTTAATGTTGAATTAGTTAAAGGAAGAAATGCATCACAAAAATAGGGGAACCTAAAGATCAAGGATGGTCAATGGGGCCAGCCGAGACAGAGACAGCATGGATTTAAAAAGCCATTATTAGCAACATTAACCTCCAGGCTCACATTGCTAGTGAAAAACCAACTCCTCAGCAAACAATATTTGAATGGATTATAGAATTCTTTCGTGGGGTGGTCCGGTGTCCATGCAAAGGAAAGTAGAGTTGCATTCTGGTGGTTGTAGAGACATCTGCTTGGCCCTGCCTGCAACAGAACAATATTCTTCACACCTTCGTGTCTCCCACATCCACTGCATGGACCCCAGCAGTGAACTAAGAAATGGAGGACCCCTATGACTCTGTGTAACTCTGATTTCCAAAATAAATAAAAATATTTCACCATTTATTAAACTTAATAATTGCTGTATTTAAATTTCCCTGTTGTGTCTGAGCAGATTCCAATCTATGTTCTTTGCCTTATAAGTACTGGGATTGTTCTGGAACAATATTGCAAATAGGTCCTCAACTGAGTTTTGGTTTGGAGCAAGTAGGAAGTACAGTTGGTAAATCTTTGGTCTGCCACGCTTGGCATGTGTGTTTTATCATTTAAAGGAAGCCAGTGGATGGGGATGCTGTCTCAGCATATGAGAGCTCTGGTCCTCTGCCTCTCAAATAAAAAGTGATCAGATTGAGTTATCTGCTGGAAATTTCAAAAATATAC